TTGATTGAGTCTGTACATGAGGGATAATGAATACGTGCAACATCCCTCACGCCCCCTAGCACCGGCTTGAGCGGTACTCAATTCTCAACACTTAATAGTGCTGGCATCAATGATCCCGAAGGACCAGAAAAATATAACAACACTGAAGTGAAGTACGGGCAACTTTTTACAGCTGCCACACAGCACTTGTCACCTGCTGTTGTGAAGAATAAAAATCTGGAAACAAAGTGATCCCTCGGAAGCATTGATCACAACAAAATTACAGAATTGCAGACTCGGTTTGATTGATTTAACACCAGGAAATTCGGAAAAAGTACACGTCTTGCTGAACAAAAACTAATTGCTAAAATAGACATTTAGGAATTATTAAAACCTCTACCAGATTTAAGAAAACGAAACCTTCTCGACATACTGAAAATAATCTTGTCAATTCCAACATCACAGATAAGTTGTAGATTTAGTTAAGTTTACTTGTTCTATTACATGGGAGGCAACTCGTGTTATCCTTACTTACACTAGAACAGGAAGATTTACAGCCAGTGGTTAACTAATGTATAGTCATTTAATTTTATCAATCATCAATTTATTTTGTAAATATTCAAGGTTTTAATTATTCTGTACATCTAAATGTATAGAAAAAAAAGTTAATTAAGATGTCAAAGTACGTACATTTGCGTAGTAACTTTATATAAGATGATCTTGTTACTTGCTCCGTTAATTTCATATACATGTACATTGTATTTTGTTATTTCATCCAAATGATTACTAGTAATTCATACAAGTGTTTTCTTTATATACACAATCACTTTCTTATTTATCGATCTAGTTTTTCATACACTTAACTAATTTATACAGCAGCTTGTAATAATAAACATATAGAACCTTGATGCATCTAAATTAAGTTGTATTGAATTAAGAGGACCCACAATTCAGTTTAGATTAAGAATATGATAGGTGGTGTTGTTGGTAGTTTTACTCTGTATAACGACAGTAAGCCACACTTAATTTACCAGAGCACAGTTCAGTCACCGCATCGGTCATGGGCAGGCTGTCAAGCAGTTTACCAGTACTAGTTGCCTTCACTTTCGCAAGGAACTGATTACTTCTGTACATGCATGAGCAGAGGTACAATGCAAATGACCGTAGAAAGAATTTCATGATCAGTCACAACGATAGAGTCCTGCGCCGGAATCAACCCAGGTCGCCCGATTCAAAATCCAATGCTCTACCTATTGGGCTAACCGTACGGCTATATTATAGGACGATAGGTATTAACACGATCCGGAGATGAAAAAATAAATTGCATTTTTGCATCCTAATTCCGCAAGTTGACTTCTACCCCTCAACCAGCTGATTCTGTTTTCTTATCGTACGTTTGCCTTTCTCTGACTTTTTCAAATGCATAATGAGACGAATGAATGTGAAATCGCGAGAAATACGATAACAAAAAAAAGCGATAATAATCTGGCATCTTATTCTTGTATCTGCTCATTAAGTTATCGTCATATCATGGTTGCAATTACATAAAATGGGTACATTTCACATTAAATGAAGTGCATGATGAAAATGCAATCCATTTCACATAGTGATTTCGCATCTATGCATCACATTTTCGTGTTTTATATTTTGATATCGTCTTACCGACGTCGCTTTTTAAGGCCAAGCAATTTAAATTTATAGACCAATCATAATATCAATTATTAGTGCCGAAAAAAATATAATATTTTACTACTAATTAAGTGAAGCAAAGTTAAAAAAATCCTTCTTTCAGTTTCGATTTCAGACGAGTTTATCTATTTTGTAATCAGTACGAAGACAATGAAATATGATATCCCACTAGTCAGTCAACTGTAATATATTTAAACATTAAACCATTTAAATTGCCTACTAAATTGATTTAAATCGTCATGACAAATTTAATTTTAGATTATCGGCTAAACTAAAAAGATTGTAAGTTTCAAAGGAGACAGTTATGATTAATTTGATATGCACCACTCTTTAGGGTTCACCTTTCCATGTTGGATTTATGTTTTTATCTCATATACCGTATAAGTGTTTTTTTCTGCGGTGACTTTATTTCTGTGTTTTCTGCGGTCAGTTTCGGCATCGCAGAAATAAAAACCGCAGAATATTTCTCTTACCTGCTACGATATGTATCATATATTGTGACCTGTTTCGTCTAAAGTAATAACGACTAACAGATTATGCTACGGTTTTAGCGGGGTTTTTTCAAGTTGGGTATCATAAAATTGGGCTGTCAGCCAAAGTGATGTAATCTGGGTTTGTAAGGATGTACTTATTCCTTAATGATGCTAAATTTAAGAATAAAGATATTTCAAACCATTCCAAACTCAATCATAGCTGCTAAATAATCGTTGTATACTTTAATTGTCATCTGATTTTCGGTAAACTTCTATCAATTTTATTAAGATACTACCGGGGTATATTTTTCACACGTCACTTGTCGCTGATCAAGGATGTATACATTTCTATTGTTGAGCATTGCATTTGTTTGCAAGCAAACAGTATAATTGCTTGTTATTACTATACAGTTTTGCGGTGAAGGCGATAAACAAATGCGAACGTATACATGCAAATATAGTAGATAGGGTAATGTGACTTTGACTTTGATACGACAAGTCGCAGAATTTAAATCACGTTTTGTCCAAAGAATGTGCCGCAGAAATAAAGTCCGCATAAATAAAAACATGCTAAAATTTGGAAAAACCGCAGAATTTGGAGCCCGCAGAAAAAAAAAACACTTAAACGGTACATGTATATTTATAATTAAACTGTATTCACTTTAACTTTTGTTTGAAGAATACTTTGAGATGATTGCATCGCTCGAGGATCAGGTCTTCAGAACATCACAAATAATTGTGCCACATAATAAAACATGATCGAGACGTTTTATCATTAGATTATCTTTCCACTTTATTCAAAGCAATTTTCTGGGAAAATATCGCCAAGAAAAACTATTGTCTTAACAGTTTTAAGTGACATTATGCACATCCATACGGAAGCGTCCTGGTGCCAATTCATAATGTTCTATAAAAAAATAAACTCCTACGTAGGAGATAAAAAAGCCTAATTAGGAGTTTGTAACTCTTACGTAGGACTAATAAAGTCCTACGTAGGTTTTTATAACTCCTACGTAGGAGTTCATAAGTCCTACGTAGGACTTTGTAACTCCTACGTAGGAGATAAAAAAGCCTAATTAGGAGTTTATAACTCCTACGTAGGACTTTTAAACTCCTACCTAGGACGTTAAAACTCCTAATTAGGTCTTTTTTATCTCCTTCGTAGGAGTTATGAAGTCCTACGTAGGAGTTATAAATTACAACGTAGAACTTATAAGGTCCTACGTAGGAGTTATAAACTCCTAATTAGGCTTTTTTAACTCCTACGTAGGAGTAATAAAGTCCTACGTAGGAGTTTGTAAGTCTTACGTAGGACTTTAAAACTCCTAATTAGGTTTTTATATCTCCTACGTAGGAGTTTTAAAGTCCTACGTAGGACTTCAGTTATAAACTCCTAATTAGGCTTTTTTATCTCCTTTGTAGGAGTTATAAAGTCCTACGTAGGAGTTACAAAGTCCTACGTAGGAGTTATCTTTTTTTATAGAACATGTTAAATTGGCACCAGGACGCTTCCGTACATCCAAGTATAAATGTTGAGTGGCTTAGTAAAAGTCAAAATAACTACATTTTTGCCATAATTTTTCAGCATTATATTTTACTATACTAAAAATAATCAATAACCACGTGTACCAAACCAGTTTCTATAAATATGGTAAGGCTCTTTAAAGGAGGGGCATTCTTTTTATGATTTAGGTAATTATTTTATTCTATTCTAAACAATATTTATTATCAATCAATGATTGGTATATCACTATTGTGATAGTGAATCCTTTAAATATAGTATTCATTCAACTCGACTTGACAGAGAAAAAACGGGCAAAATTTCATTAAAAAAATGAAATCATAATACAAAATAACCATTCATTCATTTCTTTATTTGATTGACACTACATCTTTTCATATTTAAATTGTTGTTATTCATTTATTTAAATCGTGATGTAAATTTCTGAAGTGTTCGATTATGCTTACATTCGCAGAACAATCGAGCTAATGCAGTCACCCATTTGTCGGTATCAGCGTCCCTGTGGTTAAGTTTTTGCATGTAAGCAAGTACATGTATCTCCATAACTACTGAAGGGAATAGATTGAAAGTTCATACACTTGTTCCCGTGATTATCTAACATTATTGGCACAAGTCCCATTAATCTGATTTGCTTTTTTGCATATTTATTCCACTTTTTCGACTTAGAAATTCTTGGTTAAGTTTCTGCGTGTAATCTTGTATCTCTATAACTACTTAAGGGATTAGATTGAAACTTCACACACTTGTTCTCTGTGATTATCTTACATGATTGGCACAGGTCCCATAACTCTGATTTATTTAATGCATAATTATGCTCCCTTTTTGGCTAAGAAATTATTGCTTAAGTTTTTGCGTATAAGCTTGTATCTGCATAACTACTGAAGGGAATGGATTGAAACTTCACACACTTGTTCTCTGTGATTATTTTACATGATTTGCACAAGTCCCATAACTCTGATTTGCTTGTTTGCATAATTATGCCCCTTTTCGACTTAGAAATTCTTAGAAAAGATTTTGCTTGTAAGCAGATATCTTTTTCATAAACCACATACTACCATAGAACTACTAAGTGTTTGCGCCTTTTTGGGACAATTTTATGCATTCATAATAAAAAAGCAGTGATTTACACTGAAACATCTAAATAACTTTGTACCTTTTTGGACACTTTTATGAATTCATATAGGTTAGCATTATTACACTCAATGAAAGACCCTTGTGACAACTTTTTCGAATAGTCGCGTCGCCGTCCTCCAACAGTTTTTTTTTAAATTGAAAGTTTAAAGATGTTAACATGTATTTATGTTTGTGTCCGTTGAAAACATGAAAACACAAAAAGCTAAATTGTTTACACTGTATTCAATAATAATTTCTGCTGAAGTTACATTTAGTCATTCACTAACATTTATTTTCATGTAAATGATTATAAGCTTCATACATGTAATAATATAAAAAACTAAAACATAAAATACAAAAATAGCTCTACATGCTACAGAGTAAAAGGAATAGATAAATATAAATAAACTTGAATATTGAACACTCTAATACTCAATTCAATTTTATTTATTGTCTTTTTGATCGTGCAGTCTTTGCGTTTGTGAAAAAAAATATATAATGCCAATAAAGCCATATTCAACGTAAAACTTTATATACAATATAGAATATTTACCACATAATTGTATCAGCTCATTGTGTTGAAATTCTTTTCAAACATCATACATTACAGAATAAAACAGTCCTTGTCTTTTTTGTATTTATCTTTTTTTACTTTAGGCGCAGTTTTCTTGTCAAACTCTTCGATAACTTTGGGGTCGATAGACTCTTTATTGGCTGGAAATGGCTTCGGTTTGACACGTAAATAATTTTCATCGTAAACCGGCAAAGGGGCATTCTTTCTCGTCGGTTCTCTTTCGTTTTGATCTGTTACTCCGCTGCTTTGGTTGAAGTCTGCTTTTTGAACGGTTTCTGTGTGTTCTTTAGTTTTTAGTTGCTCTCCTTGTTGAGAAGAATCCGGTACATTATCCTGTTTGCTTTTGTATTGAGGTTGATTCCAAGTTGCTTTTTCCAACAATTTTTTCCAATATTCTGTTTCCAACAGGAGTGACTCGTAATATGGGTCGTCAGCTGATAACTCGCTTTTCACACGCTCGAGTTCGTTAACTTTCATTTCGAGAATCTCCAGATATTGTGTTCCAATACTGTTCATACCGTTTATTTGTAGGACAGTTATATCACGCTTGATTTCATCCTCTATCTTCTTTTCTTCGTCTTCTTTTATTCTTTTATTTTCAGCTTCTTCTGGATGAATTTCAGTCAGAGAGCTGAGGCGTTGTATCCGTGGTTTAGGCTTCTCTTTAGTCCCTTCTTTAAAATAGATAATATTTTGCATTAACTTGATTTAGATGATATTTTTATAATATAACTGGCAAAAATGTTAAATAATGAATTTTAAAAGTTAAGAAAAGGTAAGACATATAAATATTTCAACATTAGCGCAATATATAAATCTATACGATAAAAAATAAATCACTAACCTTCTTGTGCTTCTAAAACCATTTGATAAACCTGTTCCTCCTCAGACTCTTTACCGTCTAAATATTCTTGCAAAGATTCTCTAGCCTGAAAGTACAGATAATGCAATAAAAGTATTCAACTTAAGAATGTATATTTGAAATGATTCAGGTGAGTGTTACACACTTCCTTAGAGGTTATAAGAAACAAATTTCTAACAAATGTGTCGAGAAAGCAAATTTACGGCTCCGTTGTCAAAAGCGTTATGCTCTTTTGAGCTCATTCGGCAAAACTTCGATACTAAACATGCATTTTGTACAGAGCTTTTGTTATGTATTCGTATCTTCTGTACGAACTTATATGGTCAAAGTGTTTAAATGATACCAGTCCTGAATTCGAAAAATCAGTATTTCCCATCTTTAAGTTAGATGAGTAATTAAACAAGGTATATGTTGTTTTAACTAACCTTGTAGAAAACAAAAAAATCATGTTGTGATAGCCGCCAACATTTTATTGAACAAGAGATAGTCCATTAAAGGTAAAGTTTAGATAGCGTTTTTGTTCGGAAAAAAACGGTACAAACATACCAATGACACAAATATAACAATGTTGAAAAGAAACATTATATAACATTATATAACAATAAATATTAAAGAATCTGGAATTTGCCTTAGTTCCAAGACAAGGTGCATCTTTGTTGTATTGTTTAATGATCCAGTTAAGATCTGTCATATACTCATCATATCCAGCAGGATGACAATACACACGATTCTTAACTTTGCGCATCACTTTCAAGTTAAGAATTTCCAGTCTATGTTGACACATGGCTCTTGAATTCTTGTCGGCAGCGGATTTGAACTTTTTCAAGTGTTCCTTGAATTTTACCTAGAATGGAATTTATATGGAATTAAAATAATTATTAAGTGACAATAGCACAAACAAATACATTTATACAGAAACAGAATTTTATTCAAACACATATTTCGCAACTTGCAGACTACTAAGTATTTCATACAACGAATTGATAACATCTGAAAGATACTAAGAATCTTATATTGTCCAGAATCATGTTTTAAATTATCCTGATGATAACAACGTTTGAATTTATTACTGATATTTATTGATTTATAACACATTTCAAAATCGAAAAACATAAAAACCTACAAGAGCCTGTTTCTTCATACACTTTGATTATCATCAAACACAAGTTCAGTCCTCAAAACTTCAATCGCTGCTTCATGCTTTCACTGTGGAACCCTAAAAGACCTGTATCAGTAGGAACATTATGCTTCGTGATATGGTTTTTTCATCTCTCTGTTGTAAACTTCAGTGGCTTTATCAACAGCTCGTGCGTTTTCAACATCAGCCATGGTAGCCATGGCCTCACTGAGACAGGGCGGATTTCCAGCTTTGAATCGAGTTGACGTAGCTTGTAAGAAGTGTTGCCAAACACTGAAAAAAATCAAATGGTGATCCTTTAACTGCACTGAGTATGAACGCAACATTTACCAATGTAAGCCATGTAAAACATTTAGATACTATGTATTTGTGATCAATTTCTTAGAACTAGATACATTAATTTTGTGAATTGCATTATTACAAAACATGTAGAACAAAAAGCTAACTTGTTTAGCTGTTCTTAATATCTAATAGAAAACTGAAAGTGTTGTTACATTATCTTTTTGAGTTAAAAAGTTTAAGTTGAAAAATAGTATGTACTTCTTCCATTAACACCTCTTCCAGATTTTAAGGTTTTTGGTTCACATGAAAAGATATAGTCCCTAAACGAGTTTAAAGTCTCCTGAAACTCTGGCTTTAATTCTTTTTCATCGATAGTCATTAGCTTGGAAAGAATGTTTTGATTTTGTAGGCGTGATGAAGATAAAGCAATCTCCTTTTTCTTTGAAATATCTTCTAATAAGTTGTCTCGGTTCATTAAACATGCGTATCTTGTCCGACTTTCCCCGCTGCATCATCAGTTTGCCTTCTAAAAAAAAACATCGGCGGTCTTCTCCCGTATGGTTAATGTGAAATCTCTCAAAGCAAGGACAAAGGTGGGAAAGAAAAAATCTAGGATTGAATCATCAGTATTAGAGCCTATCACGTTAATCGATGTTTTTATTTCCTTTAGGAATCTATATAAGTTGTTAAGGATGTATTTTGTTCACTTATTGTCTCGGTCGTTATAAATATGTAATGTCGTATCGTGTGTTCATTACAAAAGTAAATTTCAGACTTTAAATGAAGGTTTTCACCTTGTGCATTTTGATATAATGTCACCACGGTGACCAAATGAATAGAAAAACGGCACTTACCTCTTTAGCTTACTATAACAAACTAGAAATTAAGGAAAATGGACTGTAAAATTGATTTTATACAGTAATAAAAATTGGCTATTTTTCGAAAATAAATCAATGCGATTTTAACCTTGATATCTTCATTAAAGGTAAAATTTCTTAAAACTGTAGCTTTTGTCCGGTAATATTGATATATTTTTTGAAAAATACTGTACATATTGTTCAGAATTTTAGAAGCATCTTCTTATCTTTATTAGCTTATCATTCACCCAGTGATCATGGAAGCTTAGCTGTGTAACAATAAATAGATCTATGTAAAATGTAATTATGAGAATAATAGAACATGTGTGTCACAGACGGCTTTCAAAACGACGAATTTAAAGGCAAGAAACATATCCAAAGGATGATCAAACAATAATCGATAAAAAAATCGCAAATGAATGATCTTCAAAAGTCGAAAAATAAAACTTTTTGTTATTAATCGATGTAAAAAACATTGTTTTTAAAGTAATTCCAAATTATCATTAAACGATTAATATTTTAGTAAATGTCATGAACGACACTACAAACTATCATATCATAAAAATATAAAGGAGGATTCCTGAATTTATCTATAGCCGTTTTGTCCAAATTTCCTCTTGTATTATAAATCATGGTGCTGCTAAGTAGTGTGGATAAGATGAAGAGCCATTGAATCATCTGTAATCTCCACCTGGTGCAATAGATAAAAAATGCCACTTCAAAATTATAAATAAGATATTAAAGTTTCATATTCCCTTTATCTATTGATAAAATAGGAATCTAGAAACAAAGTGATCCCTCGTAAGCATTAAACACAACAAAATTGCATGAAAATTGCAGACTCAAGCCTTAGGTTAATCAGTGTTTTATTAGTTCTGTTCGTGAAACATGAACCCTCTCCCTCTCGTTAGCATGTCCGAAGTTGTATTCAAAGTTGCTAGGGAACTCATTTTGTGCCGTCGACCCAAACTTTATAAGGGGTCGCACTAATGCACCATTTAAATTTTTGCGGGCCCCCGACCCCTTGTTTTTTCAGAAAAATGTCAAAAAAACCCCTTTTGAACCCACCCAAACCTAAAAATTTAAAAAGGCAAATTTTCTGACCCAAAAAAATGCTCTGTAAAGTTTTTGGGGGCCAAGGGGCCGTTGATTTTTTGTTTTTGGTCGACAAAATTTACGTTTAAAAATTTGACATTTTAAATCCTTCTTTAAAATCAAGAGATTCACTCGCAAAAACCGGAATTTCACGTTTTTAAAAATTTAAAAAGGGGCAAAAGGGCCCTATTTGTCGAAAATTTTCGGTTTGAAAATTAATTTTTCCACCCCAAAGGGCCCAAAGTGAATTGGCCCTTTTACCCCTTTACAAAAAAACTTACAAAAAAAAATTTCATCTTGGGCAAGACCCAAAAACCGTTTAAACTTTTGGGAAAAGGATGGTCGAGCTATTTTTCCGGAAAAAATTTGATATAGTAAGGTCAATTAGACCTTTGACTTTTTATTTTTTTAATAATATATAGGGGTCATATACTGACCAAGACTAATACACCCATGAAGCATTAAGGCCTATGCGTGGTTGAGTGGTTAGTCGGAAATAATTTTGATATAAAAAAGGTCAATTTGACCCTTTAATCTTCGACATTTTAACCCAGAGAATAAAGAAAGGTGATCTTTTTCTAGACGAAATGCCCCTGCTAACGTTAAGGGTCATTAGCGCATGAATAAGGGAGGTTATTCTACTAAACTATACTATGTTTTGATATAAGAGGTCAATATGACCTTTACCTATGAACCCTTAACCCAAAGAAACATAGAGGTTAACTCTGGACAAGACAATGTACCTGTAACATTTGATGATTCTTGGCCCATGATGCCTGATTTACTGGTCAAAGGATTGTTTTGATAGAAATGGTCAGTATGACCTTGACCTATCATTTCTTGATACCAAAAATAAATAGGGCTTATTTTCTGGCCAAGAGCCCAATGCACATGACAAGTTTTAGGGTCAAAAATGTATGGGTGGTCGAGTTATTGACCGGAAACTGTCAATGTGACCTTGACTACTTCATCCAAAAATTAATAGGGGTCACTAACTGCCCCAAACAAATTATTGTGGCGCAATAGCTCTGTTGGTTAGACCACTGACTGTCACTCTTGATGTTACAGGTTTGTTTCTTGGTAACACCCTTGAGATTTGTCAGAGACTTTCTAGTGTTTCAAAAGAGGTCATCTTTTGACCAAGGCCAACGCACCTGTGAAGTTTTAGGGTCATGAGCCCATGAGTGGTTGAGCCACTGGCCAGAAACTATTTTGGTAAAAAATGGCATTGTGCCCTTAACCTTGACCTTTGACCCCCTCCCTTTTGTTGCCAAAAAAACAATAACGGTCTTCATCTGGTAAAGACCAATGGGCATGTGAAATATAAGGGCCACAGCCGTTCTTTAGTAATGAATCGGAAACATTTTGGTCTACAGGCAAACCGACCGACCAGTGCAAAGCAGTATACCCCACTTCATCGAAGAGGGTAAAAAGAGGGTAAAAATAAACGTTTCTTTGTGGCCATCTATTTAATGTGCTCAAATTATATGACAAAGTTGTATGTTTGATAGATGTGTTTTATAAGTTCTGTTTGAATAATCGTTTCACTTTGACCTTTATGTAAAGTGTTCATATTATTTGAAGAAATGCTACTATTGCACACTTGATGCTAATTTGATTTTAATAAGCACATCTTACAAGAAAACACTAGTTTTAGACTCATTTTAGATATTAATACCTTATCTGGATCATCTATTCCTTCTGTGTCTAGCAGAACAAGGACTTGATCCTCTTGTGTTGGATGTGGTCGACACAACACCCAAATGCCTTTGGTGACGGCCTTTGTAGTGTGTCCGGTCTCAAACCCGTTCTCTGTAGATTTATAAAAATGTTTTTGATTTTTTTTTAAATAAATTTTCCTGAAAATAAAATAAAGTTAATTATGGTTATACTGATCACTTTTATTCAAAGTCGATACCATATTTCTCGTTTCGGAATTAATGCACAATGCGATCCGGGAGGTCTTCCTCTGCCAGTAAATCTCGAAACTTGTAATATAACATTTACGATGTCACTTACAAACTTAAATTGAATTTGCTAAAAACTGAAACGGACAGCTATTATTGGTATATCTGTATATAAAATATTAAAAAAAACAACTAAAACACATAAAACCATATCTCAGGAGTGTCCTTAATCAATTAGAAGGATACTTTACCGCTTTAATTAACTTATTTAATGAATTGATGAGGTTTGTCGTTTGCGGTGGCCAAACGCAATACTTGTCTATTTTCTTCATTATATTTTTAAAATGAAATATATGAACCCTTGACTCGAAGCATACAAGCTGCCTACTAGTAAATAGTGTATCACCAAAACAAACAATTTATATTTATCAACTGTGCATTAACTGTAACATCTATATCAGTTTCATAACCATTTACAAAGTTTAATTTTACGTTATATGATTCAGTAAATGCAAAATGTGATAAATCAAACCTGATTCTGCTTTTGCAAGTTTATTCAAAAGAAAGGACTTCCCGGTTCTAAGACTTCCCACCACGGACACCACATTTAGGGTTTTCTCTATTTTACTAAGCTCAGCTAAAGTTTCATGATTGCAAGCCGTCTTGCCGTTTTTGTTTTCAACAAGTGCCATAGGGGTGTTGAAGATTTTCGATTCCGGTCTGGAATAGATATTAGAAATGAACAATTTTGAAAAAAAAACTTTGTAAAAATCTGTGTCGTGAGTAGGAAATAAATAATATTTTATGGAAATATTTTTTAATAAATCTATACAAAATTAATTCTTTCAAAATTTATCGACAATGATCTAAATCCATTGTTTAAAAAATCAAACATCTTACTTCCTCTGTTGTTGTAATCCTGGATTTCTGAAAGTCTCATATCGGCTGGGTTTTAGTTTATTTGTTTCCGTCTTGTCCGCCATGCTTACTTTCGAGTGGTTTATGTTCACTTACTTTGGTCTCAAAAACACACCTCTGAATATAAGTATAAATAATTATTTACAACAATCAAATGTAGTAATTAGGCTACTTTTATACTTTTTTAGTAAAACGTTCTCATATTTGTAAATGACAAGTATGGTTCAGGTCTCTGTTAATATATTGTATATATTTACATGTCTATGCAAGTTTTTAGAGGTCTGAAATAAACAAACTATCCATTTTCAAAAAAAATAGCCATCACTTTTTGTGCTGAAATGCCATTGTTCATACAGACTAAAGTATTTTTTTTTTTTGCCTTTACCTTAATTGAAGCATAATATTCCCATATTCTATAATACACGTGTAACACGTGTATCAACTAAGCTTTTTAATATGTTGAATGATTTAAATATCATATTTTCATTCAATTGCTTCTAAAGCAACATATTTTGCCTGCTTAAAGAATCAATAACTTATGTTTACACATTAAAAAAAAAGAAGAAAGAAATGAATATCCGCATAGATAAGATATAATACTTTGTCATACTAACTCGTATTGTCATCTATATACTTAAAAAATTATTTACCGACTTTCAATATCTCTTTTATAGGATTTAGTTGAACCGTATCTTTTTGGGAGCATTCTAATTATCATACACTATGGTACCATATTACTGTGGTAGTAAGGCTGCTTATGAACCCACGGACAGGGGACACACCTATACTTCTCTGCAGTGCAAAGGAAGCTAATAAGACTAAACGAACATGTAAACGTAGGTATAAAATATATCAAATTGTTTTACATATTATACTAAATAATGCATAGCTTGATTGTTAAAATCTCTGTCTCATGGCAAATAAGAGAAAGGTGTTTAAATGCTGTAATTGTCAAATACATGTACTGTTTTTGATAATGGATTGTAAACTTAAACGAACTTAGTGATAATGATCTTGATAAAACAATGTTTATAACAATAGCTAACATAAACTAGTCTTTTCAGATAACAATTCGTTATTTCTTTGACTTCAATAAAATGGAGAATCCGTATAATAATACAGTAATGTCGGTTGTTATAGTCTAAACTATGCCTTATTATCTTATCTTTTGTGTTTTAAACCATTGTTCAATCAATACATAACAATATAATTATAGTACAAATACGTATACCTTTATCAAAATTTGACCTCGTATTTTACTTAATTCGAAACAATAAAAAACATTGTAACGAGAACCCATTAATAGAATAGTGACCATTTTCTGTAGAATACTGACTTCAGTTTTAAAATATTGAAACAATTAGAAATCTAGAATCATGTAAAATGTTATGATATTATCGATCAAGGATGTTTTGTTTAATTTAATAAATTCTTCATTTTTATGATGATAACGACGATGATGATAACGATGACGATTATGAGGATGATGATGGTATTGTTGTCGCAGAAGAGTGAAAATTATCTCCTTGATCATTATGTGATCTTGACATTTGTCTTGGCCAACTGATACGTCTAACTATCTTTTATGAAGTTACATGTCTGGCGTACGTTAGTTAGTATAGTTTGTTATTTGACTACTGCTGGTTGCTATGTTTGTGAAGATTATCTTACAGTAATATTTAAATTTATTTCGAAAATACGTTATCATATATGATGAGTTTAAAATGCTTTTTTAAAATAATTAAGATATTGGATGTTTTAAAGTTAATATTCTGGGTAAAGGCAGGATATTGTATTGTGTATGGGGTAAAGTTACTTTGAAAAATAAATTATATTATAACATTCTTATTTAGCATTCTGTTATGACGTACATACTAATTAAGGAGTTCAGTGCTTTAATAATGCCACTAGTAACCTTAGTACACGTTCGCGAAATACAACATCTGTGCAATGGAAATATCGTATTGTAAAAAGGTCTCTTTTATTACGTACATAATAATTAATCAGATACACGCTTATATGATTGCAGTATATATTCAACTTAAGGTTTATTATATCTAAAAAAGAATATAATTAGAAATTCACCACGAACATACATATTGTCAAGCGGGTTTTTAAAACCACGTTCTTCAAATGAAATCAATTTATTTTATAATGAACATAATGTAGACATCAACAGTTACTTCGCTGTTTCAAACCATTAAAGATTTATCAATATACACTCTCGATATAATGCCCGTATAAATGCTTTAATTTACTCACAGTACAAGTAGGTTATTTTTCAGAAATAAGTTAAATATTACGAAGCATTTTTAACTCTTGTCTCCATTTGATAATTGATATCTTTTGGCGGGGTAGATTTTGATAACGAAATCCACGAAGCGACAATAGCAAAATTGAAACTCATTCCGACTGAAACTAACCAACTCGCATATTCGCTTCTCGTTCACGCGGCGTCGCTTTTCTGTGGTATAATTGGAATAATATTTAAAGGTAATATTGCACCTTATGTAATTTACTAGCATAGCAATTTCAAAAGTATTATGTTTTTGAAAGAAGAAGTTTAGGTTTAAGACGTGAATCGCACGCTGGAACAAAATTAAAGAGTAACTATTTCACAAATGACTTTATAATTGAAGTGACAAAAAGCATGATCATGTATAACTCAACTAAGCTATTGTAAATATAAAGTATATTTTCAAGATACGTTTATATGTTTTTTACCAGCACCAATACCAATACTCCTATTCATAACCATATTTTGAAGGAATCTTTGTAAGGTAAGCTCGTTTTTCCTTTTGTTTGATATTATTTATACCTTAGCGACTGTAGAGTGCGAAAAAGAACAGCCTAATACAAATTCGGTCCGCTTCTTCGTCTTTTATCATATTATCATTATCGAAGTATTAAGTGTTAATTTTGTCTTAATCGGACTATGGACTATGGAAAGGATGTTTTATGTACATATACTCATGTTTTGTTCAGAAAGAAACAATAATTATTTGCACAAAACTACATTTTAAAATCAATGGATATTCATTTCATTTTCCGCTTCACAGAATGCATGTTTCAAGGTTACAACAATTGTAAACTTAAATACATTAATCAGGCCATAATATTAAATAAGAGCTTTATAAGTGAATAGAAAAAAGCGGGTCTTAACTGATAACATGCATGACAAGGGCACTATAAACATAAATTTCGTGATTAAACATGTTAGATAAGTAGATGATAACACTGAAGAGACCGTATTAAATCATAACAAAATCACTGGTCATGAAAGTCTTTATCGGTATATGAACGTGTGCTTTTAATGTACAAGTAAATTTAGCCTGTTCTGTAGCAACATTTCGTAACGTTTGTATATTTTATATTCATGTCTGTATATGACATGTTCATATTTGTATTTGCCATATTTATGTTTGTATATGAGACATTCATGTTTGTTTATGACATATTCATGTTTGTATATTGATATGCTCATGTTTCAATATGACATTATTATGTGCGTATATGACATGTATGTGTTTTTATATGACATGTTTATGTATGTTTATGACATATTCTTGTTAGTATATTACATATTTATGTTTGTTTATTGACATGCTCATGTTTGAATATGACATACTTATGTGTATATATGGCATGTCCGTATATGTATATGACATATTTATGTTTGAATATGACATGATTATGTGTGTATATAACCAGTACGTGTTTTATATGACATTTTATGTTTGTTTATGACATATTCATGTTTGTATATGACATATTCATGTTTGTATATAACATATTCATGTATGTATATTGACATGCTCAAGTTTGAATATGAAATATTCTTGATTGTTTATGTCAATGTCAGAGTCATACTATACAATTAATGCAAACCATTAGTTTTAGAGCTGATTGTATACGAAAACATATAATGTTGATATGTACGAATTTGATACCTGCACATCTGACATCGGATATCGTTGAATCTTATATCTACGATTCTTACATCAATAAATATGATATCCACAAATCTAATATTATATATGAATATGATATCATTGATTATGTTAAGAAAATAGACATCAATTCTGAGTGCATTGTTGTGCATTGTTGTAGAATAATGCACGGTTTGGGTTCAAATGCATAGGAATATAATCACGAAGGCCGATAGACCTAAGTGATTAATTACAAAGCATTCGAACAAATGAACGTTTAATATGTATTTCCATTCAAACACGTCAAAAAAAAATAAAGTTGGAGAATTTGTTTGGTTGTTAATTTTTTTTTTTTGAAGAGTTCCCAATAGAAACGATCTTTAAACGACCGCTATGGTGTAGTAGTTAGCATACTGGATCGGCAATCAAGAGAGCCCTGGTTCGATCCTGGCTGCGGCTTTATAATTTCCCGCTCATGGCTTTCTTTTCCACATCTTTATATTTGTGTTCCATTAAACCGAATTGCATATACGTCTGTAAACTCCAAGTTAAAGGAAAGTAATTATTCGTGTTTCACAATTTGTGAATGAAATTAAAAAATCGGCATTTAAAACAAAACGGAAAAGGTACCACGTTGTGTTCCACTGCATCATGATTTTTACATGAGAAAGTTGGGGCCGTTAGTTTTACATCACAATTGCAATGCACCAATTTTGTTTTAGTTTAAACGAAGTATACTAGCCAATTAATATAAGAACTTATATTTCAGGAGTCTACGAGTCGAACCTAAAAAAGACAATCAAAACAAAACAACGTCTTTGTCACCAACGTATGTATAAAGTTAAAATAACATTATGCTATTTTTCCCCTGTCAAGTTGAGATTAATTAGAAAAATATTTCAAACTGACCGATTATTTATAATGAAAAATACTAATGATACAATATAAAAACTACATAAAAAAATTTAATTTATAAAACATGTATGCCCCTATAGGCGGTCAATCAAAAAGCATTTTTAGTCAACCAAGTCAACTAGAGTTGTTGAGTTATTGGTCGGAAACAGTTTTTTACGTACAAGGTCAACGTGACTTTGACCTTAAAATCAATAGGTATTATCTTCTGGTCAAGACCAATGCACCTGTTAAGTTTAAACGTGAGGGGCCCATGAGTTGTTCAGATATTGATCAGAAATATTTTTTCCTATAAGGTCAATGTGATCTTGACCTCTGACCCTTTGACCACAAAATCTATTGAGGTCATCTTCTGACCAAAAGCAATGCATTTGTGAAGTTTGAAGGTCAAGGGTCCATTGATTGTTTAGTTAGTGATAGGAAACTGTTTTGACATACAAGGTCAATGTGACCCCCTAAAAGAATAGTGGATATCTACTGGCCAAGACCAATACACTTAAGCAGTATGAGGGCCAACAGCCCTGGGTTGTAAAGTTGTTGATCGAAAAAAACGTTTTTACCTACAAGGTCAATGTGACTTTGAGCAATGACCCCTTAACCCCGAAATCGATAGGGGTCATCTACTGGCCAAGACCAATGCTCATATGTAGTTTGAGGGCCAGAGGTCCAACGGTGGACAAGTTATTGATCGAAAACCGTGTCAATATGACGTTTTCCTTTGACCCTTTGACTCCAGAATAAATAAGTGTCATCTACATGCCAAGACCAATGGAACTGTGAAGTTTGAAGGTGAAAGTCCCATGATGTGTAGAGTTATAAATTGGAAAATATTTTGACATTCAACGTCAATTAAACCTTGACCGAAATCCCCTAAAAACAATAGGGGTCATCTCTTGGTCATGAACAATCCCAAGTTTAAAGTTCCTAGGCTTTAAAAGCGTTCTTTAGTTATTGATTGGAAAGCATTTAGAGTACGGACCGACCGCGAGCGATAGACCCACTGACAAATGCTTCTTTGAAGGGGGGAATAACTATTTAAAGACTGTCCAACTCTTGTTATGAATTGACATTAACGATACATTCTAAATGATGCTTATATAAATTTCCGTTAGTCATGTGGATTATGGATTATTTTGCCATTGTTAAATATAAAATTGATTATAAGTTTGGCAATATGTCAAGATATTTTTATTGTTACCTGTTTCCAGGCCTGTTTTACCTAGAGGGACATAATGTCAACTTCTTTCTTACAATAACAACAAAGGAAACTTTTCATCACACTTTGTTTGTAAAGGGAGAAAACAATTCGAGTACATAACTTCATTTTATGAAATAAAATGATTTATACAGTTAATTAATTATACAAGGCCATTATCTTTCTTTTTCTTTTATTTTTATTTGGTAATATTTACAATCTTTACATAAAGGAAGACGAGTAGCTTGCAGGTATTACAAGAGAGTTCACTGTGAGTATTTCATCTTTTTAGATAAGTTAACGTTATATTTCATATTATAGACATTAGATAGTTGTAAGATATATTTTTTGTTCAAAAACGCTTTGAAAATAAAACGATCTGTCTGTAACAATTTCAAGTACGATGACATTGCAGAACCGTTTAAGATATTGCTATCATATGTACAGTTATAAAAATGTCAGTTTAATGTATACTAGCAAACGAATGTGATATTCTTAGCAAACATGCAACATTTTTTTCATTCCAAACAGGCCCGATAACCCAATTTTCCATGCTCCAATGGTATTAGTATACACTGAGAATAGTAAAACAACTTGCAATCAAACAACATTATCCAAACTGAGAGAAATTCAGCAACCACTGAACATCGTGTCTGTCGTTGGAACACTTAGAACTAGAAAATCGTTTTTGTTGAATAAACTTGCAAGACACGGTGCAGGTACATCTTTAATGTAAATAAATGCACGAAACACATTTATTTCGATACCATAAATCGTAACGCATTAATAAAGATTTAAATATAATGGATATGAAGAAGACGTTTGAATACTTGTAAGATACTAAAAAAACATCAAACATCAATAAATCAGTGAATAACGAATTACTGCAAAGAACATAACAAAAGTCAAGTTATTTTTTCAGTGAGTAAAGAAGCGAGCTTTGAGATCGGACATACCACAGATGCTGTAACAAAAGGGATATGGGTTATGTGTCTACCTCATCCTACCCAGGAAAATCAAGTTCTTGTCTTACTGGATACAGAGGGGATAGATGACCCAGACAAGGTAGTTAAAGTGTTTTAATGATAAAGTAATAAATAGACAAATACAATTAGGTAGAATTACATATTGATCAGAACTTAGTTGATAACTAAATGAATGAAAGATACATTATCTAAAGAATATAATACATCGTCGATTATATATAAATATATCGGTTATAAACGATGATTACTTTGGAAAAATGATTTCACCTAAATGGCAAAAAACAGGATAATAGCTGAAGGATATACAATCTTGCCGCTTAAGAGTTTTTGGTTATTTTTTTGGTTTTTTATTTACACAGGTTGATATAGAAGACGCCAAAATCTGTTTATACTCGCCACGCTGCTTTTGTCTAACACAATAGTGTACAACACAAAAGGAAATTTGGATAAAGCTACAATTGATAAATTTAAGTATCCTTTTACCAAATCATATGCTTTTTGACCCATTTTAATGCTTTGTATGAATATTTGTAAGACAAATTCACTATGCAAACAATTATAAAACTGCAATTGGTCAATTTGAGAATCTTTCCACAGAACCATAATATATGTTTTCCAGTACTAATTGTCAATTAGAAATTTTATATTTATAGGTAAAACTGCATTGACAAACAAAATTTTTCATTTTTATAAAATTGTAATGCGTCGCATGACCTTAAATCCAAACTCTACAAGAGCTGAACAGATTTGTTTTTTATGATGATATCTTTCCCTGCATGAAATCAATTTACCTTATAAGTTTATTTTAACTGATTTCACTTCTTGGCGAAAGTTAACAGATGATGATTCCGATAACTATGAATAATCTTCAATTGCCTTAACTGTGAACAGGTTTTTGAATAAAATCAAGACATCAATTCAAGTAAATGGCTCCGAAGAAGACGATTCAATTCTTGATTTCTTTTTTCCAATTTTTGTACTTACCTTAAGAGACGTGACTCTTGAAATTGAATCCGAAGATGGTGATGCCTTTCTGGAGAAAAACTTGAATATGAAAAGAGATGGCAATGTTACTGAAGAAGCACTGAAAGAGTACAACCTTCCAAGGATGCTTATAAGGCGATAGTTCAAAACAAGGAAATGCTTCTTGTTCAGAAAACCGGTTAAACGTGCCCTACTTAAGGAACTGTTGAAAGTAGATGAGTCACAATTCAAAAAAGAGTTCCTTCAAACGCTCGAAGGGTTCCGAAGTTACATATTTTCATGCCCACCAAAATCACTTAAGTCTGGAAAAGCAATTAATGGGAGAAGTAAGTAAAACTTGCGATTAGAAAACTTATTAATTAGGCTTTAAGGTGCTTAATAAAACCGCCCCTGAAACATTTTTAGTTTTGTTGTTTGGGTTCCATATTATCTCTGTCACATGAATATATTTTATGTCGTTGATATAGTTTAGTCAAATTTCATGTTTTATGTAAATTGTTTTGTTGTACCGTTAAATCGAATGCATTTGAAGTTAAAACCAAATGCGTTTGAAGAATACTTTGTATGATTGCTATTGAAATACAAAATAAATATCATCGTCGGATACTCACGGTTGATCAACATATAACAAAACATGTAATCAACTATGGGTAAAATAAATCTATATGCGTTGAGATAAAGCATCGGGTGTGTAAAATATCAACCAATAAAATGGCGTTTAACAAAATTTATATTTTTCAACAGCACGGGCAAACAACTATTAAAAACAAAATATCAACACCCACGGTGAAAACCTGATTCACTTGCCTTGCCAATATAAAAGGCAAAAACTGTAGCCAACTCAATTCTTCCACAATCAGAAACCACTGTAGCGATATTTTTACTAATATTAACGCTTCACCGAACATCGCATAGAACGAGCGTTTTGATTTGGTTTAAATCGCCTCATTGATTCGTGAGGCAACCAAAAAACTGTCTTTGACTGAATATCGGCAAAAAATTATACGGCTACTGAATATTACTGATTCAGCCTTGGGTATCCGACGATAATAAGATATTGCATATCCTTAAATATTGCTCCTTATTATGCTTATCACAGCGATAATTTCCATCATTTTGTTCCTTCTTATTCATTCATACTTGCTTCAAAGAACAATTTGAAAAATTCAAAGAAATTGTGAAGAAGGATGTCGAAGCAAAATGCTGGCAAATACTTGGACGGCTTGATATGATGAAAATTCAAATGAAGATAAAAAATCGAAAGTATTGCACACCGACAGGATATGATGAGTACATGAAAGATCTAGACACACTGATAAAACAATACAACAGAGACGCTGGATACATGGGTTCTGTTGTAAGATAACGATTCTTATATAACATTTATTTAGTTATAATTCATGTATATAAATCTGCTACTGTAAAAAGGAACTTTGTATTTTGCATAGAGTTGCATGTTTATTTCTTTTACGATTTTGCCATTTGTTTTGACACATAAATTAAACGGGACATTGCCAATGAATTTTTATAAGAATATTTTCGTCATATTTTATTACCAAACATATCTACTGTTGATTTTCATATACATCGAAAAATATCTTATAATACGAAGTTTCGGTATCAAGCCATCAAAAAGTATATTGAAATATACAGTTTGGGTATCAAGCATTGAGCAGTTACCTTATGATAAAACAAATATTGAAAGTAATGTTTATTTGATTAAAGGCTTTGTTAGCTTTGCAAGAATTTCTCGCTAAGAAAACATCAGAAGAGGAAGCAGTGTTTTGTATGGTTCAAGAAGCACTTGGTATTACTTACATTGTAGTTACATACAATCATTTAATCATCATTTCAATTATAAAAGTATTATCCAATTTGGTACATACACTTTGTTTGTTTGTTTGTTTGTTTCATTTTACGCCTTTTCCCAACAGTATTTCAGTCATATAGGCGGGTAGTTTCCTAACCATCGTTCCTGGAGAGTTACACCAGTACTAAACTACCTTCCTCCGCGCTAATCTACCAAAGCATCTCCCGGGGATCGAACCCACGCCAGAGAGGTAACTGGATTAGAAGTCATCGACTCTAACCCCTCGACCACGGAGGCGGTGGTACATACACAATACTGATTTTCATAGTCAATTGAAAACGGCTTTGCTTGAAATCATATCTAACTATATATTTTCATGAAAAAGAAAGAATACAAACTCTTTAAACATTTATATCATTCAGAAGGACTGGAAAGAAAAAATATGAAACGCCTGAGCGTGTTCAGAGAAAAAGATGCAGACATTATGAAAGAAGAGGAAGAGGTTGAAGAAGCGATCGAGGCAGATATTGTAATGCTGCAAAGAAATGGTCTGCAGAATATCGGAGATCAATATCTTGACATGCTTACATCAAAAATAAAAGAAATAGATAGAGTAAAAAAAGAACTTACTCGTGATAATTCATATTATAAAAAATTATGTAAAGAAACCGACCACTGGAAAAATGTTTTTGAGAACGCGACATTCAGTTTGTCCAACTATAAGAGGCAACTAAAACCTATTGCTGGACAACAGAGTACGGATATGCAAGCCAATGTTTATAAAGAGCCTTGGAATGATGTGATAGGCCCACTTTGGAAAACAACTGTCGAGAGAAGTGATTCAAAAGACGATGGGAACCTGTCATCAGGAGAAGCAAAAGGTGAACGAATACCGCCAGAGGGAAGTGAAGCAGTTCAAACCTATAGCGATCCACCTCGCAAGAACGTTCGGAAAATAAGTAATAAATGTAACATTTCTTAAGACGAAAAGTTTGTTGCTTTAGTTTTATAATTATTATTGACTATAAATGAAAAGGAAATGTTATGTCAAATAACGCACTGTAAATAATAATACATTGTACTTTTTTATTTTATGACACATAAGATACATTTATCTAATATAGAGCCAAACCTATCAGTTGATTTGGTTAAGATGCTTCACGACATGAAATTTTCCTCTTCATTTTATCTAGTCAAATGAAGCGTACGTAGATAAATGCTATAGTTTTGTAAAATATTTTTAGTTGATTTATATTTTAGTGTCACTTATACGGAAAATCTATATCTATACAATGTATTTACTCTACATAATTTATAAGTTTCTTGGGATTAACATTTTTAGCGAGGCTCGTTAAAGAACGACAAATTTCTTTATTTCTTTGGAAAATAAGGGCTCTGTGACAATTTCAATGTTCAGTCTCATTCATGAATAATCTGTACATTTTCGTTGATATATATTTTTTTGGTATATTTGAAGGCAAAAACTATTTGTTGATTGTAGTTACAAAAATTAAAATTAATGTAATATAAAAGGCGAGCGACAAGCATAACCTTTGTATGCAAAGTCAGATTTCTTTGCTGTACATAATTGAATTGTTTGCTAATATTGTATCGCTATCGCTAAGATTACTGTAATTTAAGCCATTTTAATTAAATATCAATAGTTTTGTTGTTGGTGCTTATTTGGTCAGTTAAGAAAAGTATTAACTAACACTACCTTGGTTGACATTTACATAATTCTCTGTTGAACAGTTTCATCATGAAATTCCATGTTCAAATTCGATTTAGACTTCCTTTTTATTTTTAAAAAAATTCTTTATTTATTACAATTCTCGGGCAATTTTTTGATATAGATCTTTCTGTTTCGCCTGGTTACCTTAAAAAATTTTAATTTTATTCGAAAAATATCCCATACACGCTTTCTGCTGCACAAAAAGTAGGAAAAATAAGTAATTGTTTTAAAGTATGAAATGGCTAGAAAAAGAATACTTAACAATTTGTTTGCGATTACAGTAATATACTAACGCAATTATTACATCAGCAGACATTTTCACAAAAAATCTTACGATTTATCTTAAGTTTTTCACTTACGATAATCGTAAGTTAAATCTTAAGTCATTTTCACAAAGCCACTCGTAAGTTAAGATTTTATCTTAAGATAAAAAATAAACTTACGATAAATCTTACGACAAAAACATCCCTAGCAACGTTCATTTGCATGCTCTATATTTGATTCCGGTTTTAAAATCAAGTAATCAAGAGCTTGAAATATCTATTGAACACAATCAAATTTCAATAAGAAAAAAAACATGATTCATACTGATATTATTTATATCTTGATTGAAGATAATTATATATATCTAAAAGATTTAGAAAGAAGGTCTACTGTGTTATTAATAAATAAAAATGTACCACTAGTACATGCTGGCAATGAAATCGAACTCACCAATTGTACAAATTATAAGTTTTTAATAATACTAGTCTACAGTAAAGTTCACATTATTTTAAACTATTCATAACCCTCTCCATCGTGACGTCATCAAGTCATGACGTCACAAATGTATATGTTGAAAAATAGTTAAACCTCAATTTGTGTTATTTAAAGCATAATAACTGTTTGCTTAATATTTAGTTGTCCTCCAACTTTTTGTTTGTTTTTATTCAGTTTAGGTAAGAGATACATGATATTTTACCCTTAAGAGAGAAAATTACACTTACGAACGGGGAAGACCTATCGTAAAGTTACGACAGATTTTGCACTTAAGATTTTCTTAAGATTTTTTGTGAAAAGGAGATTTATCGTAAGATTTCTCTTACGACAAAAAATTGTCGTAAGATTTTTTGTGAAAATGTCTGCTGGTTGTGTGTACCTTTAGTTATTTCCATGCTTAAAAACGAACTTTAAAGCCGATACGCTACTGAATGGCTCGACAAGAATCAATGTTGCTTTTAAGAATAGTCGCCACAAGGTGAACCAATTTACTATTACAACTGAATTATAGATCACAAAAAAACTACAAATACAACTGAAATAATACATTTAGTATATGTGCGCATTTCTTTTCAAGAAACAGGAGGGATGATAAGCTGTGGAGATATTTCATGAAAACATAATCAAAATAGGACAAAGCTTAACCAATAGTTATTCTACCCATTTAAAATAAACATGTGAATATTCACAATCTCCAAAAGTACCGCATTCTTAGGATTGAGGCTGTGACTGTAAAATTTACTTATACAAGTAAGTTGATGCCCCACATGTAATTGTTTTTTTAATAAATTTCATCAGACAATCTTTTTTCAATAAGTGACATCAAGTTTTACTTAATTCTTCATGTGTACCATTTCGCGTTATACATAAATGTTGCTAAAACTGTTTGCATGCCTAATCTACCCAATTGTTTTTTTCGTTTTGGTTATAAGCCGATTTTAACTTTGGAACCATATGCAAGAGCACGAACGTGACACATTGAGCGTGGTCGGTATATTTTAATTACCACTACCGTGCATGAACAGGTTTAATAAAACCAAGCTGACCATTTCCAATTTTGTCGTTTTGACAATTTAAGGATATCCGTTCTTCCTTTTGAAGACAACCGTTCTTTGATTTTGAAAAGTGGGCAATATAGTTTAACATATCTTTTTTACAAACGAATTTTTAATAATGAATCAGGCCTTATGGCATACATCGTTTTGTTATTTAGAAAACAAAGTTTTAAAATGAAAACAACAGCACAAAATGTATTTTGCATCTAACTGAAATTTGATATTTTTGAATGAATCTCTACCGTAGCTAAAGAAATAGTTCAATTAATATCAGAAAACTTCCCAATGTAAATTTTAAGTAAATTTGTATTGAACTACACCACTCTCAGGCTCATTAACACTTGTCAATATTCATAAACTGTCTTCAGTTCATGCCGAAATCACTGATTATCAGTGAATTCCATAAACGTTTCGTTTTGTATTCTGCCCAAATATATGCACCAGTGCTACATTTTATTTTTCATTTTAGTCTCAAATTTCACTTAAAGTAATTTTGTCGTAGGTGTGTTTCTGATGTTGACAATAATTTCCATTAAATTTTCTTCTCGAAAATTACATGAAATAAAATGCTATTTTTCGTTTCTTGTGAAACATGATATACATGAAAAAGGAACATAATAAAATTCAACATATTTTGCTCACCGTTCCGACTCGTTAAAATATATGGAATTAAATCATGTTTCGTGAAAATATTCCATATTTCACTCAAACAAAAAGAGATCCTCTTAATATTGTCTATATAATAATCTAATTTCTTACCATGGGTTAAAGTCCATGAATATTATCTTTAAATCCAAAGCTTGACACCTGATTGAAATATTTTAAACCAAACAATTAAGATAATTGGATACATAGTCGTTAAAATAATATAAAGCATTGCCCATTCATGTTAAACCGATTTGTAAGCATATTGACTAGATCTACAATATACGTTGAGAGGTAGTATTGTTTAGCTATCTTGCTGAAATATATTTCTTTAGCGAAGTTATTAGATTTTTAAAATTTAAAATGATAATTAAATAATTAAAGTATTGGAAGTTTTAAAATTAACATACCGGAGAAAGGACGCATCTTGTATTGTGTACGGGGTAAAGTAAATTTCAAATAACTTTCTTGTATTGTTATTTAATTTTTTCTTGTTAATTGATTGTTTTGTTGTCGTTGTTGTTTTTGTTTTTTGTTTTTTTTGTTCATTTCTTTTCGTTCATTTTGTCAAGGTTGTAAGAGCATGTCTGATAAAAATGATAATTTTGTAATTATGACAGTAACACTAGGCGCCGCATATAGATTCAAATCTGTTTCGTGACAGTAATAACTAAAGTACGTCATTAAAACTGTTCGGAATCAATCAATAATAACATAATTATTTAGCAATATTTTATGACGTACAAACACATGTACATGTATTTTCAAATAACATTGTGACACTGTATTTACATTTTAGTTTAATATTAGATAATAGCGAAAAACAATTATAACTGACATCAACCCCTTGTAAATTCCCTCTGCCACTTCTGTCAATTAGACTTTTATACTTTAAAAAATGGCAACTTTGTTCTTTTTCGTATAGAGTGAAAGTACGACAAATTAATCATATTGTTGCATCTTACTGAATTCGACTGCGCCCCGCAGGGTGAAAGTCGACAAAGTCGTCACATCGTTGATTTTTTAACCACTTGAATTTTTTAATGCGTATGCTGGCAATGTTAACAATAAAAAACGGTAGAATAGGATTAAAGAGATGACCAGACAATAAATTGTCAACGAAAAAAGTGCGCGTATTATTACAATAGCTTTCATTGATTCATTCTTTCTAAATTTTAATTTGACTGGGGTATTACAAAGAGAAAAAATAGGTGTTTAAGTTTGACATACCTCGCGCACAAGTTTCGTTATAATCCAAATGGCAAATACCATCCAAGACTTGAATTCGTGAATTCAATGCATTTTAAATGACTCGATGAATATGATACATGTATCATTCCATGCGTAAAACATAAGCCCTTACTATATGCATGTATGTATCTTTAAATATAAGCATAAATAAGCTTAAAAACTGATGCGATGATAATAAGTTGAACAAATTGTTCGGCCATGCATTTGTAAAACTTGATATAGTCGAATATTTGTAATAGAACTCAGTATATCAATGACATTCATCCAATGACTTAAGATTAGTATCCTTCATTTTTTACATTACATTATCATTTGAATGGTTATCGTGTATCATTGCATTATGCGAATGATATCTATATTGACTTATAAAGGAATTGCCGGAGGGTTCAAACTGATTTACCCGAACCAAATATATTAGTTATAAAGCGGCAGTAGGTGCGGTGATCGGGGAAGGCGGGTAAGCGTTGAGGGTTATGAACTTATTCTGTGCAAAACTCTTCCAACATTTCTCAAAGAATTTTTTTCTAAACTATCACAATTATGACTTATTGTGTTTGATTCAATTTATCAGAATAAATTGACTGTATCGCATTAAACAAGGGCGGGCGTGTAAAAAGGCTATTTAATTAATAAAAACGATATTACACTAGTGTAATAAAACTTTAACTCGACGCCATTTATATTTTCCGCTCTTATTATTATAATTCGGATTTACGAACTCCTTTCGATTTCTGTTATGTAAAGTCATATATTGGTTTCCCCTTCGGTGATTCGCAGCATGTCATAATAGTGAATGAGAACCGGAAAGCAGTATTGCAAGCTATAAATAACTAGAAGACCTAAACATTGTGAATGTCCGAAAATCTTTTTATTGTTTTGTGAGCAGCGAATTCGAAAAAAGTGATAGTAAACATTTCGTATAATAGCTACAATACTGTGAAAAGAAGTACTGTTTTTAGGATGGTATATCTGGCAAATATTCGTTGTATTAACAGTCCAGGTCATTGGCACAGCTCAGTTATTATTAGATATGAGGTCGCGTAGAATCAGCTTTCCGAGTGAACTAGTTTTAGCCTTTCATCATTTCCAAAAAAAATATCAGATTTTATGAATAAAATTCCTCACTGCTTTGTCTATATAGAGTTGTTCAAAGTGTTGAGCTTATATAAAAGGGATTTTCTCAGTTTATTTTTTTTCTGCTGTTTATAAGTTTAAAGAATAGTTAATCAAATGTAAGTGTCTATCTCAATCTTGTATAATTAATACAAATATATATTTACTTTTTGCAAGTTAATGCTGCACTATTTTGCCCTGTGTTTTTGATTCAAAATTGAAATCTGACCTTTTTTGAATTACTTCTTTAGCGACGAATGACTACAGAAGAAGTCAATCAAATGGTCAGATTTCAATTTTTAATAAAAAAAAACAAGTTCATCGTTGATGGGTTCTTACCATGATTAGTTGTTCATATTTGTAGAAAATGAGTAGGATTATAGGTACAAAGAAAATGTACATGCTTTGATATTTTTATCATCTTATGTAAATGACTTCAATAGTGACATAAACAGAACACTATTGCACTACAGTCATGTTACATTACATTTACAATTCTTGTAAGTCTTGTTTGTATTCAATGGAATTACTTTCCTTAACAGGTAAGCATCAGTAAAAGTATATTTTTGATTTAATATCTGTCCCCTCTCTTATGGACAGTACATGTATACGATAAGTATAATGATGCAAAAAAAAAATTACAAAACATTTGAAAAATGTACAAGAGTACTTAATCCGAATATATTTTATTATTAGTCTGATCTATACATACATATACAATTAAAACAATATACATACAATAAATTATATAGCCATTCTTTTAAGAATTATAACAAAATATAACATGACCTGTGCGTAGGAATGATTTGCTAAAGTATCTGTAATGAGCGCATTTTTTTGCGCGGAGCTTCTCAATTGCTGCATTGCAGCAACATTTGTACTTGATTCTTTTTATATTATGCTAAAACATCATCTCACATACACTTACGCCACAGGTTTTATTCATTTCAGTAACTGTTGATAAAATTTGTATTAGGAAATAAATTACGCAAAGTCGTAAGACACCTATTAACGTAAGCAACTCGTACATGAATGCAACAGAATGACGTCATTTTAAACTGACATTGGTGGAGTTTTCACAAATGATTAGTTGAGCACCAATATAATCCAGTCTGATACGTAACTTTTAATTGTTGATAAAATTTGAAAATGAGTTATGATTGTTCCTTATTATTTTTGTACCTAAACGACAGTAGGGTGCAAAATAGAACAGCCTAATACGAAAATAATCTCCGCTAGAAAAAAAACCGTAAGCGGTCTCACGGGGGAGGACCTCTTACACGAGGGATGAAGTTATTATGATAACTTGTCAGGATTTCTTGTGATAACTGTCACGGAGTTCGTCGGAAAACTTTTGTATTTACTTTAAAAACACTCCTCGAAAATAGTAATTTATATCTTTAAAAAGTGAGTTTTAGGTGCTCAATTTAAATTTAATGATTTAACTTGCCTAACATCTTGTATTATGTGTCAAAAACTTATTCATAGACAATTTTTCATCGCCTCTTGCTTAAAATCTGGTAGTTTTGAGTAAAATTTATAATTATATGCCAATTCGCACGTATTGATCTGCTTATTTCTGGTCTCCATCATAACCATACATAATATTCTAATTGTAATGCAAAATTGCAAACATAAAGCCCCGGCTTACAAATTTATACCCGGTTTTTCAAATGTCCTGGAGTTCTTGTCCTAGAGTTCTTATGATAGCTTTTGTTACTGCCAGTGTGTTTCTTGCGCTAAATCACTGCACGTTGTAGCGTTTTTATTATTCAATAGGGTTGTACATCATTATGAAATGCAGTACGTATGCTCATCCTTAACAAAAACTGTGGATAAAATGTTGGTCTTGAGTGTTTGCAAAGGATAAACAGGTGATTGTCTATCTACAGTAAAAGTCACCGATATTCAGCAGTATCATGGCTTAACCCGCAAACAAAAATGTCTCAAAACATACACGTTGTTCTCAGTTACACATGTTTTAAGCAACCACCTTCCTTAAGCAGACACTATAGAGTTGTGCTTCCCTTATCGAAGGGCTAAGTATTCCTTTTTTTCATTTTATACAATAATAAACAAGTTTATAACCAGGATAATCTCCACACCTATGTCTCCAAAAAGTATGGTACATGATAAAAACTCGAACAAATTTGCACGCCTCTCCGAGTTCGAGCGAACTAAGTTTGACTTTATATTTTTGTTATCAATTACAGCAAAAATAGCAAAGTCTCTTCCACTAAGATTACAAAGAGGAAATACATATCAAACATCGACAGAAAAATTTACGTTTTAATGTTAAAAATGACAGCGTACATAATATTACTTTCGTACATCTGGATAAGTATGTTAAAGCAAATCATGCTCACTCAGTTTGAAGTAATGCGATTCTTAAAATATGACATTCAATTTTGAGTTTCACTTGACTTTGATAAGCTTAACACTTCTGCACTATGGAGAGTCCTGTAAGTCACGTAATGAAGAAAAAAGGTCGATCATCTATAATTAAATACTTACTTTGTATTGTCATATCATTGTCATAGAATTTTCTACGTCTCTATGGCAAAAGTTGATACCTTTTAGTAAGTTTATATACGTAGAATACCTGAAGAGGACCCTACTCATTAAAGATAGTTAGATATAAATAGTGCCTACTAATTCATTTTTTTTTTTGGCTGCAAACTATTTATATGCAATTTGGTTTGCTTCTGCAGACCGATGGGATAGTTACTGAATGTTCTCTAAAAATGCCAGGAATAATGATAATAATAATAAAAGCTTTATTTATAGAAGGTAACACATGAAGATTATACACCATTATAAAAACAAATAACATAATATTATCTAAATTTTAAATGTGGCGTTCTTGACAAAAATATAGAAACACGAACACAAAACATCATGTTATAGTTATATTACATGAAACAAGTTAGTTACGAGGATATAACACTGGCTGGGGCGACATCAAGGGATGTTTCTGCTAAAAAATGGCAAGGCAATTTTTCGCAGAAACATCACGAGATGTCGCCCAGCCAATGTTATATCCTCGTGACTAACGAGTTTCATATACTTTAGCTGTTTTATCACAAGGCATAATGTTTCTTTTTTTTTAAATAGAAATAAAAAAATAAATCGTTTGCTACATTACAGTTATTTATTATAAGGCAGTTTTTCAAGTTGTTTTCGCTGCCGCAAAAAAAAGATATACAAAAGACATCCAATTTTAGAGGCGGATTGTAAACTGTTAACCAATATTGATTCAAGATTAAAGGGCTTTTTTCAGTGGAAATATTTTATTCAGCGGATGTACCGTTTGATTAAATGAGAGTAAATTTCATTTCATTAATTATCTATGTTTATATTTTTCATTGTATTTATTAATCTATTTTATTTATTGATTCCATTTTTTCTTCTTGGACGGTTCGATACCACTGCCCCATTGGAGCCTCTGTGAAAAAAACTACATTGATATATACAAGGTGCGAAAAACAATCAACCGCTATAAAGCAGTCGAGTTTTTTTCCTATATGAATCAATGAAAAAACTGTACTGCTATATATCAATACAGTTTTCAAATGCTCATTGTGAAGTGTACTGAGTATAATGGGTTAGTAAGAACAAAGGAACCATGCGATAGAAAACAATTACAACTATTCCATTTAGATTTTGCGCTATAGCTTTTTTGTGACAAACGCTCCTTTAACAAAATTATAACATAATGACAGAGTTATCAAGGTATTTAATTTATTTGAAAGATATGTTTTTATCCTTTTTTTAGAAGAACGTATATTAGATGGTATTCTATTCAAAATCTTTGCACCATTGTTACAAAAATGCCTTTATAATAAATACATGAAGATGCACATTTTATCACGAAAGTCAATACTCTACATCAATCCTTTTTCCAGTCTACGAAATCTGCGACAGCAAAACTACTATAAAATGAAACATTGCACAAGAAACGGGGGAAAGAATAATATCTCTTTAACAAAAATACAAATATACATTCAAAACCAACATAATACATTCTCATTTTTGTGCAAGGGATGAGCGTACTACATTTCATAATGATTTACAATAGAATTGAATGATAAAACCGCTAAAACGTACCGTGATTTAGCGCAAGAAACACACTGGCAGTAATAAAAGTTATCATAAGAACTTTAGGACATCTTTAGAGTTATCACAAGAACTCCATGACATTTGAAAAATCGGATATATAAATTTGTTAGCCGGGGCTTAATGTTTGTAATTTTGCAGTATAATTAGGTAATTGTGTATGGCAATGATGACGACCAGAAATTAACAGGTCAATACTTTAGAATTGACAAAAGATTTTTTTAAAAATCTCAAAATACCAGATTTTAAGCAAGATTCGATGAAATATGGCCTATAAATTAGTTTTTGACATATAATATTAGGTATTAGGTAAGCAAATTCCATTTGATTTAGTTCCGCCCATTGTTTTCTTGTTTAGGGCAAACTCATTTTTTATTTGGGGACCATATGCCGCTTTACATGGAATGGCACTTATCTGTCACATTGAAGGTTCCATGATAACCGTATGAACACATCTGCGGATGTTTCAAAATTTCAAATTTTACCAGTTCATGTTAAACGTTGAATACTGCTTAGGCCGGTGATAGGGGGCGTAGACGGTAATTTGCATATTCCAACAAGCTCAATCAAAGCGAGCCTGCAACATTTTCAATTTTGTCATTTTGTACGTTCTTTAGGATTTAGGATTCTTTATTTCTGTCTATTTAATATATAAAATTTAATTTAGCACCTTAAACTTTTTAAAAATTAAAATTATCATTTTTGAGGAGTGTTTTGTAGTATATACAAAAGTTTTCCGACGAACTCCGTGACAGTTATCACAAGAATTCCTGACAAGTGTTCATAAGAATTCCATCCTTCGTGTAACAGTTCCTTCCCCGTGGATCTCTCTTATTAACTCCTGTTAGAATATAAATGATATCGGTCTTAGCGTTGTTTATTGGCCTTTTAATACAGGTTTTATCGTTTTTATGCGAACAAAATAACCACGCATGCCTATAGCTTTAACCGCTGTTAAAATTTATTATACTCGTTGCATAAAACAATATTATAATATGATTTTATTCAACTCATTCAATATATTAAATACCAATACATGTAGTATATTAAGAAATACAGCAGTATCAAGCGATTGCAATGAAACTTTTTTTCGCCTGCCATGGTGAATATTGTCCAGGCGTCGTGATTTCATTATTTTTTGCGAATTATGACATTTACTGTCAAGAGTGTATTTTTTCTGAGTACAAGGTGTCGCACATTGCATTTCTCAATTATCAAAGGCGGGAATCCTTTTTTATCCTTTTTTGACCACTGTTGCTGACTCTTGTTGGCTCTGTTTTTTTTTATTATGTCATATTGCCATTCCCAAAGTATCACGTTTACATTCGGACATTGTAACCCTGTCTTATTCCGCCAGAAAAAAATCAGTAGATATTCATTTCATTTTCCACTTCACAGAATGTATGTTTTAGACTTGCTTCAAGGTTAAAGTAATTATAAACAACTGTATCGTGGCTAGAATACAATTCCTTTTGATTAGATTATATTTCTTTATATAATGAATTAAATTGTCCTCAAATGAGCAAACATCTTCATACCTGATAAACCGGAACTGTGGTTTAATTACAAACTAATGCATTTTGGTCTGCTTGTTATCCGTTTGCTATTTACAATAGCAATTAATAGAAAAAACGGGGTTTAATAATTAAAATGCTACAGAAAGGAAAGGTCCATTTTGTAATATATATCATATCTTTAAATATTATACCTTTGATTATACTTTAGATGTACGAATATGTAAGTTTTCATCATCATGGTTTCGTTATTTCGACATTTCACAATCGTACTTTCAAATTTTCACCATCGTAATTTTCGTTAATTCGGCTTTTCATCATCGTTTCTTCGTGTTTAGAGTTATGTGTGTCTCTCGATGGCACTAACGGGACACCGTAATAAAGTCATGTTGTAGATAAATTTTACATGTTTATAAACTGTACATTTTCAGGAAGAAGATAAAATGAGCGAAGAAAAGAAAGAAGTGAAAAGGTTGCCAGCAAGCAGATTTAAAATGTTTGAGAAAACCGATGCAGCTATGGTTGCACCTGTGTAAGTTACATACCTTATATACAGCATATCTGTTGAAGTAAGATAATGGGAAATCAGATAACTTTTAATTTGAGGTTAAATGCAAAACAATATATGTTTCATGAGGCAGGGGATATTATTTGTGTTTGACTTATTGGAATGGAATGACAGGACATTGCATATAACACATCAATCATATTAAGTATGATCTCTTGACAAAATTAATGGAGCATGTTAAGGACATGAATCACATATCTAATTAAAATTGATTTTGAAAAATCTATTTATCTTATATATAGATTGTATATGTACTTGTATTCTTTAAAACCAAAATGGCACGAACGATAATTTTACTTCTTTGTTCTAAAGACCTTTTTGCGACGTGATCGTAAAAAACGACCGGGTGTAGTATTTTCTCGCGCGTGCGTAATCTGCGTACGTCCAACCTGGATATGTAGAAGAAGATCATAGATAATTCTGAGTTAGTTGAAAGTAAAAAATATAATATTAAATAGCTATTAACAAAGAGCAAAAGATGCCTCATAGCTTTGTGGCAAAGATTGCCATAAAAAGATGTGGAAATATATATCTTAAAGAATAGCCTCTTGCGACCACGTCGGACCTGAAAATCATTTAGATAATTTTGTAAATAGTGAATATACATATATATGTTCATGAACATGCTTGTAGTTTTCAGTTAACCTGATTTTATCACACAAACAAAAAATTAAAGATAGTCACTTATGTGTTAAAGTAATGTTAAAAAGTAACATTTCTCACATGGTTAGCGAAATAACATACATGTATCCAGTTTATCGTAACACAATTCCAAACTCGCTGTTATCCGGGTGACATAAAAAAATCACGTTAATATTGAAGTCTATAACTATGAGATAAAAAGAGAATATATATATTCTGTCGATAGATATCACGACCTCTAATTTAGGAATTCAGTGCTTTGATTATGACACAAGCAAATCTTTGTACACTTTAAGAGAAGATAAATGCAAGGACGCATTTCAACACACTTAAATGCGGAGATGGTTTAATTCTAAGGCTTGTATACGAAGGTTCCTTTGTAATCGAATGCATCATTCAGGGTCATTTAAATTGATATGCGTTAATGCAGACTACTTTAATTCGCCATTGCATCGATCATTTATCATAACGAATTATTCTAAACTAATGCTGAATCATTTGGATTACGTAAAATTGTTTATGAAGTCGTTGAATACTGATAAAATATATTATTTCGTTTAAAAAAAAAACGATAAATACTTGGCATTTGTCAAGGTAAATATCCTGAATCTATTCATATGAGGTGACTTAAACGTTGGCAAAATAGAATGTAAGGATGAACTAAAGATTCATTTATAACAATAATATTTGTGTTCACACATGCAAAGTGCTTTCATTCTAATTTTTCCAAAGGAACCGAGTAAAGAGCTTCATTTTTTATTAAAGTACAAAATAAGACTTAATTACAAATACGGTTGATCTATACCTGTATAGGAAGACTGTAAGGGACATAATAAATACGTCGACTAAACATAATGAGCGTTTTATGTCCAGAATAAGTTGTAATGTTTATGTAACTGTATCTTATTTCATATACAAGTATGTTCGTCTTTACAAATATACTCTCTGCAAATAATTTAAAAAACGGAAAGTAATATTAACATTGTTTGCATCTTGAAACCAATCTTTTCAAACCATAGCTAAAATTATTAAAATCGGATTTAAAAAACAAACAGAAAATTTTCTGTCTGTGCTTCACTCCATGTTCAGTTTTAACGCACTACTCAAGCCAAAATAATAATGAGTTATATTTCAGGAGTCCAAAAGTCAAACCTAAAAAAGACAATCAAATCAAAACAACGACTTTGTCACCAACGTGAGTATAAAGTTAAGATGATATTATGCTTTTTTCGCCGTCAAGTTGAGTTAAATATATTTCAAACTGACCAATAATTGAAAATTAAAAATGTCTATGATACAAAAAAACTGCCTAAATTATCAAAAGACTGCCAACTCTTTTAGGGAATTAAGCGTTACCGATACAATATAAACGATGCTAATGATGCTAATAGAAATTTCCGTTGGTCCTCTGGACTATTGATTATTTTATCATAATTGAATATAGAAAATTGAACATGATCTTGGTAACTTGTCAATATACGTTCATTGTTATCTGTTCCCTGACTATTTGTACCTAGATGGTTTGATGTCACTTTGGGTGTGTGTTTTTTCTTACAATAATGACAAAGGAACTTTTGCATCACTATTTGTTTGTAAAACTAGGACAACATTCGTTTCACAAAAACCTTATTCATTTTAAAAACAGTTAAACGAATAGCACAGATGTATTCATTTCTTAAAAGTGGTATAGTGTTTATTATAATTAATTACACAAGATCATTTACCTTTTTTCTAATATTATTGTTTGGTAATGTATACAATCTTTATATAAAGGAAGACGAGTAGCTTGCAGGTATTAAAAGAAACTTCGTTGTAAGTATTTCATCTGTCAAGATCAGTTAATATTGTAACTTAGATATCATATCGCTTATTTTAATTTTCCGTAAAAGAAACATGTATTAGAAAATCTCATTTCATATAAAATATGCTAGAAAAAAAGTGTTCAGTTATAGGAATTATAATGGGAGCCTATACTTCTTTCATTTTTTCGACATTGTGAATTAAAAGTAAAGCAATTTGTTAAAAAAACACTTTGAATATAAAACTGCAAAAATTTCAAATACCATGACATTGTAAAAACTGTTTTAAATATTGCTAACATATACCTGGTTATAAAATTTCATTTTACTGTGTACAAGCAAATAGTTATGTTATTCTATTTAAACATGCAACATTTATTTTATTCAAAACAGACTGGATAATCCAATTTTCCATGCTCCGATGGTATTAGTATCCACAGAAAATGGTAAAACAACTTGCAATGAAACGACATTATCCAGGCTAAGAGAAGTTGAGCAGCCGTTGAATATAGTTTCTGTTGTTGGCACGCTTAGAACTGGAAAATCTTTTCTATTGAACAAACTAGCAAGACATGGTGCAGGTACTTATATGACGTAAATTAATGCGCGAAACACATTTCGTTTGATTCCGTAAAATAGTGGCATAAAATGATTCTGTAATGATGTGCATCTTCATAGTTACAATGCGAGCTGTAAAGGACCATGAACAGTTTTGCTCAGAATTGCTCAGATATGAGTGATTTGCTGTTAATGAAATACTGTAGGGATTATCCTTATAAAATGTAACGAATTTATAAACATTTAAATATAATGGAGATAAAAAATTATGTTTGAAAATTTTTAAACACTATATAAATCAAGCATTAACAAAGCATTGAATAACGAATTACTGCAAAATACAAAACAAAAAGTCAAATCATTCTTTCAGTGAATAGAGAAGCATGCTTTGAGATCGGACATACGCCAGACCCTGTAACAAAAGGGATATGGGTTATGTGTCGACCTCATCCTACCAAAGAAAACCAAGTTCTTGTCTTACTGGATACAGAGGGGATAGATGATCCTGACAAGGTAGTTAAAATGTTTAATGAGTAAAATTATATAATAGTTAGACAATACACTTTGTTCTACATCTTGATCAGAACTTTTTTGATAAATTTGTTAATAAAAGATACATTATGTAACATAATTTGATACAGCGTAGATTATGTAATAATATAAGTTATAAGCGTTGGTGATAACATCGGAAAACTTTAATTGTACTTAAATGTCTGAAACCAAGAAGGTAATGTAACAAGCTGAAGGATATAAAATTAAAAAATAAAACCTATCTTTTAGTAACTAAGATGTTTTGGTTATTCTTTTGCATTTATACAGATTGAAGTAGAAGACGACAAAAATGTGTTCATACTCGCCACGCTTTTGTCTAACACATTAGTATACAACATGCGAGGAACCTTGGATAAAACTACCATTGATAAATTTAATTATCCTTTCACCATAACATTGGCTTATAAATAGTTATTGATACATTTAATGCTTTAAATGAATATTTTTGTAATAATCACATAACTATAACTGCAATTGGTCAATTTGTGTATCTTTTCATAGAGAAATAATGTATGCTTTTGAATACTAATTGACACATCTTATTGATAAGCTGACCTTTAAATTCCATTCTTCTTTGTTACAATGCAATTACAAACTAAATTTTTCATATTCATAAAATTGCAATGTGTTATTGTTTCTGATTATTATATCATTCCCTGCATAAAATCTATTTAATACATACAAGTTTGGTTTAAGTGAAGTTTTTACTTACAAATTTCACAGCCGATTTCACTATTTGATTAACACTTTCGTTTACTTTTGTTCATTTGCATTTGCCTTAACTGTGTACAGATTTTTGAATAAAATCAAGACATCAATTCAAGTAAATGGCTCCGAAGAAGACGATTCAATTCTTGATTTCTTTTTTCCAAATTTTGTACTAACCTTAAGAGACGTGACTCTTGAAATTGAATCCGAAGATGGCGATGCATTTCTGGAGAAAAACTTGAATATGAAAAGAGATGCCAATGTTACTGAAGAAGCACTGAAAGAGTACAACCTTCCAAGGATGCTTATAAGGCGATACTTCAAAAAGAGGAAATGCTTCTTGTTCAGAAAACCGGTAAAACGTGCCCTACTTAAGGACCTGTTGAATGTAGATGAGTCACAATTCAAAAAAGAGTTCCTTCAAACGCTCGTAGGGTTCCGAAGTTACATATTTTCATGCCAACCAAAATCACTTAAGTCTGGAAAAGCAATTAATGGGAGAAGTAAGTAAAACTTGCGATTAGAAAACTTATCAATTAGGCTTTAAGCGGCTTAATAAAACCGCCCCTGAAACATTTTAAGTTTTGCAGTTTGGGTTCCATATTATCTTTGTCACATGAATATATTTTATGTCGTTGATATAGTTAAGTCAAATTTCATTTTTTATGTAATTTGTTTTGCCGAATGCATATGAAGTTAAAACCAAATGTGTTTGAAGAATATTTTGTAGGATTGCTTTTGAAATACAAAATAAATATCATCGTCGGATACTCACGGTTGATTAACATATAACAAAACGTGTAATCACCTCTGGGTAAAATAAATCTATATGCGTTGAGATAAAGCATCGGGTTTGTAAAATATCGACCAATAAAATGGCGCTTAACAAAATTTACATTCTTCAACTATAAAAAACAAAATATCAACACCCGCGGTGAAAACCTGTTTCACGTGCCTTGCCAATATAAAAGGCAAAAACTGTAGCCAACTCAATTCTTCCACAATCAGAAACCACTGTAGCGATATTGTTTCTAATATTAACGCTTCACCGAACATCGCATAGAACGAGCGTTTTGATTTGGTTTAAATCGCCTCATTGATTCGTGAGGCAACCAAAAAGCTGTCTTTGACACACCTCTAATTGACTGGATATCGGCAAAAAATTCTACGGCTGATGAATATTACTGGTTCAGCCGTGGGTATCCGACGATAATTAGATATTGCATATCCTTAAATATTGCTCCTTATTATAAAAAATATAAACACTGTATCATAGTAACTTCATATGTTTTTGTGGTAATTACCATTTTGTCATATCTTTCAGTGTTTTGCTCCCTTGTGCTAAAATATGTCCAGTCTATACGGGCTGGAGAATCCCCATGTCTGACAAGTGCAATGGTGTCAATGGCAGCTTCAGAAAACACCTATGTAGTGGAAAGGGCCTCAGAAGAATATAGAGCCGAAATGAAGAAGCGTATAGGCTCTCATACACCGAGTGAAAAAGGTCTTTTAAACTACCATAAGGACAGCATGTGCGCGGCTCTTGAGGTGTTGAAAGCTGGACTCATCATTGACGACGAGCAAATATATGAAGAAAAGGCAATGGTAAATATTAAACATTGAGTTAATCTAATTATACACACTTCTTTTTAGCGAATTTTGACTTTTTAAACAAGAGCCCGGTTTGAGCCGGGTGATGCTCCCCGAATAGGTTTTGGACACAGGAAAGTACACCTCTTGCAGCTTCAGAGTTATGTCCCTGGAAAAAGTTCAAAGTGCAATAATTCCAAAATTAGACAAGGCAGAGTTACTGTTCTTTGCACTGCACTTCTAATCAATGTGATCTATCAACCTACAAAGTTTCTTGTTGATATCTTGTTTCCAAGTTATGTCCCGCACAACATCAAAAAGTAAAAATAAACAAAGGGCAATAACTCCAGAATTAGGCAAGGCAGAGTTATGATTTTTGTGCACTGCATATCTACCCATTGAGATATATCTACCTACAAAGTTTCATGTTGATATCTCTTATAGTTTTACAGCTATGTCCTTGACAAGATTTTTCTAAAAGGGGAGATAATTCAAAAATGAGGCTTAACAGAGTTATGGTTCTTTTGCACTGCACTTCTACTCAATGAGATCTATCTACCTACAATGTTTCATCTTGATATCCCTTATAGTTTTAGAGTTATGTTCCGGACAAAGTTCAAAGAGTTAAAATTAACAAAGGGTAATAACTCCAAAATTAGCACTAAAAGAGTTATTGTTCTTATGTACTGCACATCTACCCATTGAGATCTATTCACCTACAAAGTTTCATATTGATATCTTTTATAGTTTTAGAGTTATATTCCGGACAAGATTTTTCTATAAGGGGAGATAATTCAATAACCGGGCAAAATAGAGTTATGGTTTTTTGACACTGCACTCCCCCTTAATGCCCTCTACCACTGTATGAAGTTTAAACAAATTATCTCCAAGGGTTTTCAAGTTATGCTCTGGACAAGACAACGGACGGACAGACTGACAGACGGACGGACAGACGGACAAGGCGCCGACTATATGCTCCCCCGAAATTTTTCGGTGAGCATAAAAAGTTTCTTCAATATATTTTTATCTGATCACACCAATAATTTCTATCATTTTGTTCCTTCCTTCTTGTTCATTCAAGACTTGCTTCAAAGAACAATTTGAAAAATTCAAAGAAATTGTGAAGAAGGATGTCGAAGCAAAATGCTGGCAAATACTTGGACGGCTTGATATGATGAAAATTCAAATGAAGATTAAGAATCGAAAGTATTGCACACCTACAGGATACGATGAGTACATGAAAGATCTAGACACACTGATAAAACAATACAACAGAGAAGCTGGATACATGGGTTCTGTTGTAAGATAACGATTCTTATATAACATTCATTAAGTTATCATTCATGTATATAAATCTGCTACTGTAAAAAGGAAACTTTGTATTTTGAATAGAGTTTCATGTTTATTTCTTTTACGATTTTGCCATTTGGTTTGACACATAAATTAAACGGGACATTGCCAATGATTTTCTTTAAGGATATCGTTCGTCATATTTTATAACCAAACATATCTACTTTTGCCATTCATATACATCGAAAAATATCTTATAATAGGAAGTTTGGGTATCAAGCCATCAAAAAATATATTGAAATATACAGTTTGGGTATCAAGCATTGAGCAGTTACCTTATGATAAAACAAATATTGAAAGTATTGCTTATTTGATAACAGGCTTTGTTAGCTTTGCAAGAATTTCTCGCTAAGAAGACATCAGAAGAGGAAGCAGTGTTTTGTATGGTTCAAGAAGCACTTGGTGGCAAAGGTATTAGTTTCCTAGTAGTAATATACAATCGTTTAATCATCATTAAAATACAAGTATTATCCAATTTGGTAAATACTGATTTTCATAGTCAATTGAAAATGGCTCTGATTGAAATCATATCTAACTATACATTTTCGTGAAAAAGAATTAATACAAACTCTTTATACATTTATATCATTCAGAAGGACCCGAAAGAAAAAATATGAAGGACCTTTGCGTGTTCAGTGAAAAAGATGCAGACATTATGAAAGAAGAGGAAGAGGTTGAAGAAGCGATCCGAGCAGATATTGAAATGCTGCAAAGGAATGGTCTTCAGAATATCGGAGATCAATATCTTGACATGCTCACATCAAAAATAGAAGAAATAGATAGAGTAAAGAACGAGCTTACTCGTGATGATTCATATTATAAGAAATTGTGTAAAGAAACCGACCACTGGAAAAGTATTTTTGAGAACGCGCCATTCAGTTTGTCCCACTATAAGAGGCAGCTAAAACCCATTGCTGGACAACAGAGTACGGATATGCAAGCCACTGTTTATGAAGAGCCTTGGAATGATGTGATAGGCTCTCTTAGGAAAACAGCTGTCGAGCGAGAAGATTCAAAAGACGATGTTGACCTGTCACTAGGAGAAGCAAAAGGTGAACGAGTGCCGCCAGAGGGAAGTGAAGCAGTCCAATCATATAGCGACATACCTCAGAAAATAACAGATAAATGTAACATTTCATAAGAGAAATGTGTTGGTATTGCTACTGTTTGACTTATCATTGACTACAGATGGAAGGAAATGTTATGTCATCTAACGCACTGTAAATGATAAAATATGATAAACAAGATTAAAAGGGAAGGGCAGCGTACAATGGACGCAATAATACATTGTACATTCTGTTTATTTTATGACAACTTTGCTACAGTTGGTTTTTTATTAAAAGTTAAACTTATCAATTGATTTGGAATAGATAAGTATTTTATTTATTATATCAAGTCAAATGAAGCGTATGTTGAAAAATGCTTTAACTTTGAAACATAATTTTAGTCGATTTATTACAGAAAATCTATACTTTTAATAAGCATAAGTGCACTTCAATCAAAATTATGGAAAAGAAGTAAATTATTTTTATGTTAAAAATTTGGGATGCGAAAAAGAATTCTTAACATTTTTGTTTAAGATGACTATAATATTCTAACGTTGTATGTTCTGCCCAAGCTTTAACACTTATTAATAGCCGGTACACTGTTGAATTACAAGACAATTGTCAATATTGCTTTCAGAAATAGTCGTCAAAAGGTAAAACAATTAACTATTGTACCTGAATTATATATCACAAAAGAAAACTGAAAATACAACTGAAGTATAATATATCTGTGCATATTTTTTTCTTTTCATTTTGAAACAAAAAGGATAAAGAGCAAGAGAACTGTTTTAAAAAAAAAGAGCAAGATAGCAAAATAGGACGCAGAAGAACAAGTGGTTAGTGTGTCCATTTAAAAATATATGTGAATATTTACAAAATACCGCATTGGTTGGATTGCAACTCGAACTGTAAAATCTACTTATGAGTAAAGGGAAAGTAATAAGTTAAAGCCCTACATACAAACGAATTTGCATCAGACATTCTATTCACAACAACTGACATCAATTTTATAATTTTCATCTGTACCATTTTGCGATAAACATCAAATTTTGCTGAAACTGTTTGCATGCCTTATCTAACACATTGTTTGGTCATAAGAAGTTATTACTTTGGAACCATAATCCATGGTACAAATATGTTACATAGGGCCTGGTCGATAGACATTTTTTACAAAACCCAGATAAGAATATGATAATCAACAATATTAACATCTTTCCTGCTTCGGCGCCATATGACCTAAATTGTGTTGGTGCGCCAGAAAACCAAACAAATCAAAAGAGCATCTTGCATGGTTAGAGAATTTGTTTTTAAAATGCATCATTTAATATATTTGCAGGATAATGAAGGGTTTTATTTTTTTTACCGATTTTGTCCAATTTTATTCTAAAAACATTATCATCTTTTAGGTGACACCCCTACAGCGTTTAACTTGTCTTAAAGAAAGACCCTTCTTGCAAGAATACGGTGACATGATGAAAAATTGTATATAATAATGAATGTTAGTAGCTTTTTCATGAACACTAGTATGCCTGGGTTCCATTGTCACATTCTACATTTTAACTTTTGATCCCTCGGAACCATTAAAATTACAACAAAATTAGATGAAAATAGCAAACTCGGTTTGATTGAGTCTGTACATGAGGGATTATGAAAAATTGCAACATCCCTCATGCCCCAAGCATCAGAACGAGCAGTACTCAGTTCTCAACACTTTAAAGTGCTGGACTCAATGATCCCGAAGGACAAGAAAAACTTAACAACACTGAAATGAAGAACGGACAACTTTTTTCGGCTACAACACAGCAAAAGACACCTGCTGTTGTGATGTATAAGTATTGGGAAAAAGTGGGAAAAAGTGGAAAGTCAATGTTTGCAATTTTGATCGCTGGTTGCTAGCTAAAGGAAGGCACTGGTTGCTATGGAAAGTCACTGGTTGCTAAAGAGTTATCTGGTTGCCATGGAAAATAAATGGTTGCTATATAAGTCACCGGTTGTTATATATGTCACTGGTTGCTATGTAAGTCACTGGTTACTATTGACAGTCATTGGTTGCTATGAGAAGTCACATTTAAGGAAAATCAATGTTCTTTCGAGTGGGGCCAATTTGTTCATAATTAGAATAAGTTTTGTTGAGGTCCACCAGATCATGTTTAATATCGTAAGATATAGCCAGGGCTATAATATGAACAATCTCTAAAGAGGTCCACATCTATGTGCTAGGCCTTTTATTCCAGAGGAGAAAGGTTGTTGTTTCTTTTGGGGGGTTGGGTTGTTTTTTTTTTGTTTTTTTTTTTGCTTTGCTTTTTTTTTTCCTTCTATTTTTCCTACAATCCTGGCAAATATGCTTGGTTTTAAAAGAGTAGGTTTTTAAGGTTACTTTATAATTTATATAACACTCACGCACGCATGTATACCCACACACATGCACGGACGTACGCACATACACACACATATAAGATTGTGGAAATAGAATTAATAAAACCCGGTGATCTATTTCCATTTTCCATAAAGTATAATTAGAATTAATATGATGAATGTTAATGTATTAAGATGTTAATCAAATATCACTAGACATGTGTCCTTCTGAGGGACCACTTTTACTTTTTTCCAGATACTTATCTTTATTCGATAAACTTTGCAATTGTTTAATAAAATTTGAAGTGTCTTCTACATCAAATGACAAAGATTCGTTGTATGGTTTTGAATCATGTCAACATATTTTCAGTTAAAGCTTCACAACCTGAAATAAATGGTCTACCTGGATAACCAAGGAGTAAAAAATGTTTTATGAATTTAAGGTAACATTGTGGCACTCTCTCTGTATTTGTTGGATAAAGCGCCTTAACTGTAGATTCTCATATAATATCTAAATTCTTTAGCTTATCACAAAGTTCTTCATAAAAACCTTCCTGTGGGTTTTCAATAAGTTATTTTTATAGTAAGTGTTTTCAAGTTGCCTATTAGACCTTTCTATCTCAAACTGATTTCGTAAACGGACTTCGTAATACGGAATAAATTTGGGGATTTTCTCAAAACATAAATAATAAAAATATCAATACACTGCATACAGCGTTTTTTTTTTAAATACATATGCTAGTTATAGTATTTCTATAAACCATCAACACATTAAAGATGGAGACAATACATATATAAACATAATTTATATAAAGACCAAATAAAAACAAACAACAAACGAACAAAAAAAATTAAAAAACACAATACAAGTTACTTCATTCATATACTCTATTGTAGTGTTAATTTTTTAACCAATGACAAAGAAGCGATTTTTTCAAGTTATACTGGTAAGTGTTGGTACATTGTGGGAAAGCAGGACATCACTATACTGTCACTGTTGACGACAAGTTCATTTATAAAATATGTAGCAACGTTTCAGTGGGAATTGAGCGTTAGAATAATACAAACGTCGCCATCTGAATGTGTCTTGATAGCGTTGAAAGGACAGTATCCAGAATAGAATTGTTGTTGTGGCTTATCCATAGGTCGCACTTATTTGTGTGATGTTCCATCTTTTGCACCAACTGTAGGATACAATTTTTCCCAGTCGCCACGTTTACTAAGCCACTGATCCATGGTTGGTCAAGTGATGTAGTTCGCAAATAATGTTGTGTAAAATGTAGTATAAATGTGCGAATTTCAATAACATACGCGGTGCTCACATTGAATATGGTTTAAAGTGTTATTATTTAGGGATGGGTAACATCGTATCCACATCACAAACATTAGAATCATATTTACTGACCACTGTAATTCTAAGTTTATGTAATGTTGATATCAATATTTCAGATGTTTTACGAAATTGTATACATTTTCTGAGAAAATTTGGAAAAAAAAAAGATTTTTTCGGAATATCTTTCGAATCATTTGAAAATAAACGGTTGCGAATATCTAGTACAGAGTCTAGAGGTGGCATCATTACGGCAACATAACGATGTACGGTTGATATATTTTGAAGCATCTGGCGGGGATTGAACTAAATCAAAAAGTTAGCCTTCGCCTACTAGCGTTCATTCTAAAAATCTAAATACAATGCAAACAGTATAGTGTTGCAGCAAAAAGTAAAACATAACAAAAAAATGACGATGCACGTATAATAGTTATAGACAGTTTCTCCCACTCAAGATATAACTTTAAGAAAATCGGAAAATTTTGAGGACCTAGGGTTCAATGTTAGTCGGTGTAACATATGTACTATTATTGTATAATTCTAACGCTCGATAATTTAGTGCAATTTCACACTAAAGCGTTACTACATTTTATAAATACTTTAGTCATAGTGATATTTATACAAATATACACACGACGAGTGCCGGGTGTTTCAAATATTGCAGCAGGCCAACGTAATCGACCGGCTCATCGCAGGAGGAATAAGCACTCCCTTTTAAATCAAATATGAGAAAATCAAAAATCTCTACAGATGATGCCCCCCCCCCCCCCCAAAAAAAAAAAAAAAAAAAAAAAAAAAAACTACTCTGTGAACTTGACGTCAGCAGGGACAGCAGTGATGACATTTACTTTTAGTATTGCTTTCAAAACACTCTGAACTTTATGGCATGTTGGTCATTGGTTGAAAAATTAGCACTACAACAAAGAAAACAAGAATTAGGAAACTCGTATTCTTTATTTTTTTGTCTTTATATAAATTATGATTATATTATCTTCTTTTTTAATATGTTGATAGAAATATTATACAAAAGCATATAAATGTACAATTACCGCTGTAATAAAGTTTTAGCGTATTGATTATTTTATTTTCCTCGCATTAATGTTTTGAGATAATATCCAAATTATTCCGTATTATGAAGTCCGTTTACGAACTCCGTTTCAGATGGAAAGGTCTATTATAATCTTCTTCTTCTATGATAACAATACACAAGTAAATCAAAGGAAGGAGAGAATACACATCAAACATCAGGATGGTTTATAACTGGTTTATTCTAGGATCTACCGGTTTCGGTCTTTCACGACCTTCATCAGGATACATTTCAAAGAAAAATGATTACTGAAGTACTAAAAATGTGTAAACAGAATATGACGTATGTTTCTATAAAAAGACATATAAATGAGTTTATCTGGACTAAGTGCCAAGTTTTTCTGGGCAAAGTGCCAAGTTATTTTTCCTTATAAAATGTTTCAAGTGTTGGATAACCACAGATCATATCTATATCATTGACCATTTTACAGCATGGTTTAAGTGTTCATATTCAACAAAATGTTTGTTTTGCATAAATGTGGTTCTAACTTTGTAGTCTTAAGTTGATTAAATAGTTACTGAGGAGAAATAAGTTGGTTTCAGTATTAACAAACTAAAATTCTTCATTGTTATGAGTAAATATATAGACGTTAATTGAGATTTCCTGTGGATGTTTCCTTTATGCAATTTTGTAACAGATGTACATGTATAACTTAAATTCTGGTATGATATTTTAGCTGTTGGTTCTTTCCATCTAAAGTATAATTGGGTTTAGAAGAGCTTTTATTAGATTAAAGTATCTGTAATCTTATTAAATAGTTGTTTGTCTTACAAGAAGTGTTCAATTAGTGTACGAATATATCCAGGGTAAATTACTATTTAAGGCCATGGAGGAGGAATCCAAATCCTCTCGAAAATGAGGCCCTATTATTTACAATTTTCTGCAAGGTTTTACGGTTTAGATAAATATTTTACTGTCTATGATATTTTTCCAAGAGTTATGTGGGTGAAATCATTGTCCTGGACTTTTTTTCTTGTTATTAAGTTCTTTTTCCACATTGAGTGTAATCTTTGCTATAATATCGGTGATGAGATTAATTTGGTCTTGTGATGTGATTTTATTTAAATCTGTGTTGACAGTTTCCATTTCTTTTATGATTATTTCCTTTCTGTTCTTCCAATACTGTAATAAAATTGAGCATAATTTTAGACCGAAAGTAATGTGAGCTTCTTCCCATTCTATTTGTAATAATGAGTTGATGACCGGTACTTGGGGTGTAAGGTTGACTCGTAGAGATTTCGGGATTGTTTTTGTGTTAATACATCTCTCTAAGTATTTAATATGGTGGTTTGTGCGTGTATTTTGAATATTTAATCTTTTCAACACTTTAAAACGGGTTACATTGCTTTCGTCAATACGGTGTGATGGTTCAGCGGATAATTTTCGTTTTTTCGTTGTTTGAGTGTTAGACTGTACCGGAAGTGTTGTCTGGGAGACAGACGGTGTAACGTTAGATGCTTCCTCATATATGTCGTCCTCTTTGCGGTATGCGTACATGATAACAATATCAGAACCCTTGTCTTCTTTATTTATTACAATAGTCTCATCTGAGCGAAGTTGTGTTAAATTGAAGGAATAGTTGATAAAACGATTACCAGCACCTTTCGTGACAAAGTTCTATTTATTAATTCACTAGTCAAAATCTAATGATATAGAAATACATGTATGCTGATTCTCTATTCATTGTTGTAGTTGACCTTATATTACATTTTACAAAGTCGTGAATATTTGAAGGATTGGGATATCTGATCGACTCTGTTTTACACACACTCGATGAATTGTGTAATACACACAATATCATAAAATACTATTTCGTTTAATATTGATTATACGGAAAACATAAACGGAAGAATAATATTCGCTGGCTTGCATTACACATTTCAATCACAGATATGTAACTAAATACAAAAAAAAATAATTGATCGGTCGGTTGTTCTGTATAATTCATAAAACAAGAGCACCGATAGGCGGAGCATTATATGCCCGAAAGTGTTTTGTTTTTTAGTAAGGATGAAGCATGTGTAAGACATGGGAATTAAATAAAGTATTACCTCCTTCAAATAGAAATCATCCTATGAAGTTTGAACACTGTGGGCCAAATGGAACTTTAGTTATGATCCGGAAACTGTTTTCAGTTTTAAGGTGATAGTGACCTTTGACCCTGTGACCCCAAAATCAATAGGGGTCTTCTACCGAATATGGACAATCATCCTATGAAGTTTGAACACTGTGGGCCAAATGGAACTTAAGTTATGCTCCGGAAACTGTTTTCAGTTTTAAGGTGATAGTGACCTTGTTCTTTGACCTTGTGACCCCAAAATCAATAGGGGTATTCTACCCAATATGGACAATCATCCTATGAAGTTTGAACACTGAGGGTCAAATTGAACAAAAGTTATGCTCCGGAAACCAAATTGCTAACGGACGTATGGACGGACGGACAGATAGACGGACGGACGCCAGGGGGTATATCATAATATGCCCGAAATTCTTTCGGGCATATAACAATATTGTACACAGTATATACTTTAAATATTCATGAAATGTATTCTTGTAAAACCATAACAACAACAAAGATTTACGCGAATGTTTCTTTCATGCTGCAGCAACGTACCAATTACTACATTGCCTTTATTGAATCATGATAAAATATCTTTAAAGTTAATGTTTGTTCTTAGTTTGCATACTAAACGTAATTGTATTTTAATTCAAATCACGTGTTGTTGACATTTCTATCTAAAAAAAACAGAACTTGAGCTACCAAAATTTTATAGCCTGCTTAGACTAAGCGGATAAGCTGCTAGCCTGACTTAATTATGTGACAGGTAGGTCAATCTCTTTCCCGTCAATAAGGTAAACCAATTATGCACGTGTTATACAGAAGACTACAAACAGCTGGTGTGATGCCTTAAAGTTTTAATGTTACGTCAATAAGTTCTGACAAAAATTAAAACATACAAAAATATTACTTCCTATTTAAAATATAATTAAAAGTTGATCGCGGGAATACTGTCAAAGTATGAAACGTATTTGGTAAGCATCTTCCTGATATTTTCATCAATTTATAACGAATGTATCCTTTGGTCTACGGCTGTTTGTATTGTCACTAATGAACACACTCAAGATGTTGTAATTTACTCACAATAAAATCAGGGTAATATATTTCTCAAATACGATAAATATTACGAAATATTATTGAAGCAGTTTTACTGCTTTCCTAGATCGTTGGACGTGTATAAACAATTCAAGTGTTTTGATAACGACTGTAAAACAAGTTCCACGAAAGGGGCAATCATAAAAACTATCTCTATGAAGAGCCTCTCGACTGAAACTAACTCATTTGCACACCGGCTTGATGTTCTTGGTGTTGCTTTTCTGTGACATTATTGGAATAATGTTTAAAGGTAATAGTTTTTAAACACGCATCTGTATGCTTAGCATAGCAATTTAGATAAGAACTTAAAAAATATAGACTAAATTTATGACATCAATTTTAAGTTCTAACAGAGTCAAAGGAATACGGCATTCGGTGGGGGGGGGGGGGGGGGCTTGAGTGATTTGTCATATTTTTCCTTTTTCCCACATGGAGAGATTCAATGGAGCCGAGTCTGCATTTTATATACAATTTTATTGTTTTCGTTGCTCCTGAGGGATATCCCCTTTTCCATTTTTTATAACAAAGGCAAAGAAATGATAGAAATTTAATAAATATTTCTTAGCTATTAACTCTTAGTATGAAGCCACCGAACCAGGTAAGATAAGAAGATTTATGGGAAAAATGGTAGAATGACCCTCGTTTCTATCGCCCTAAAGATGTATGACAATTTTAAGATTTACACGTATCATGTGTATAGGGAGTTTTTTTAGTGAAAGAGCTTAAATTTTAGATTTTATGATGTAAAGTCATGTTTGTATCATCAGATAATGACAAGCATCTAAATATTATCTATTAAATAATCTTATTACTTACCAAAGGTCTAACGTTAAATTCCATGAACGCGTCCTTTAAATCCAAACATTGATATCTCAAATTGAAGTACTTAAATTATTACTATAATCTGGTAAAACTTTCTTGTTTGCATATTTATTACTGTATACACCATTTCGTCTGTATGGCTATTTAAATGGAATATATCTTACAGTTATATTTAACATTTCTTTGCGAATAATGCATATAATGAAAACGTTTTGATGCAAAATGATTTAGTTTTCCAATATTAAAGAGGTATCAAGAAACGTATGTCGGGGTGTGTGATTTGATAATCTGTTGCGAACTTATCGCCCAGGTTTTACTTTTTTCCCTCCTCAATAAATATATAGAGTTCTTGTGTGCAAGTCCTTACATTACTCATGAGTCATCAACCAATCTTTCACAACTATTAACTAGAACCCTGGCGCATATCTTATAGGATTTTTGATTTCACTGCATGCTGTATAAAGAGAAATATTCTTCTGTATACAGCTCTACACCTAAGGCCAATGCACATGTTTTCAGGGTTTTGTGATTTGATAAAAAAATTTAATAATGTCACTGTTACATAAAGAAATACTATTTTGCGTGCAATAAAACCTGCCTTTTTTGAGGGATTTCCTTAATGAGGGATTTCTGTCAATCTTTACAGACCTATTGTTAATTAGTATCCTATTGTTTTGTGTTTGATTAATATGTGCGTGCGTATGTGCGTGCGTGCATGTGTCTGTCTGTGTGCTCTTCTGGGCTCAAGTTCCAATGATGATTACAAGCGGAAAAATGGTTCTGTGACAATCCCGTCGCTTGATATTTTGTTTCGTATTATTTCATATTGCCATTAACAAAGTATTTAGTTTTAATGTGAATATGCTATAATGAATGGTCTTCAATATCATAAATGATTATGTTAACAGAATTCAGTATCATTCATGACAACAAAGTATGAAAGCATTGTAAATAAGTGTGTGATTCACGGTCTGATATTTTAAAATATATATACTAGTTGTACAGATAATAAATTGCTCTAGTAAAAACCACCAATTTGAGTATGTAGATTTCATTGTCATTTTCTGCTTTACAAAAAAAACATGATCTAGACATGTTTTAAGGTTAGGGCAATTGGAAACAATTTTATTACGATTTAGACTTAGAATAGAAGACAAGTAGCATTCAATCTTAATGAAATCATATTTCGTCATTCGTTAAGTGCTTGCATAAAATAAAATATATTAGTCCTTGAGTCCACAAATCTCTGCACATAAGATGCATAAAAAACTATAACCTACAAAGGGTAGAATAGATGACAAGGACATTTAACAGACTGAGTGTAAAAAGCTACTCTACCACACAGTGCGGGTTAAAAAACATCAAATATAATCCTTTACGCAATAAATAAAGTGAGGCCCAAACATGTGGTTTTAACCAAAAGTTTATATTCTTTTATGCACAAATTAGTATACGGTGTGGTTATACAGTATGTACATAAGCTAGAATATTGGAAATCACAGAAATGGTTTATTCACATATTTTATTAGTCATAAAGATTTTGACTACCATATATACTTTCAAAAAGAACCTATATAAAGAATTTTTGATACAGCTATAAAGTTCAAATAAACATCACAATAATCGAATGGAAAGCGACGTTTCAAACTTAAAAGTTTGAGTGGATGGCAATACTGAAAATACATAACTTCATCATTTGGACATGAAAGCCTATGTCGATATTTGGAACGTGAGTAAAATATTTTGCTATGTAAGCAAAACTAGATCAATATAATATTAATATGCAGAAATGCTTATTATTATAGTTATATAGTAAACTAACCCATTGCATGTTTAAATAAATCAAAATGTGACTTGAATGTCTATGACCTAAAGCTTAAATTGTTGACCTTTCCAGACAATTGTTTTGCTTTTTTACCAGACTTACTTGACCATCAGTAGTAACAAAAAAGGAAGGGCATGCATTAATTGTTTATCTTATATGGTAAATAATTTATTTGTTATATTCCGATTTACATAAAACATGCTGTATGAATGAGTCAAATGTTTGTTTCAATATTTGACTGATGTAATCAGCCCCCATCCCCACTTCTCCTATTTTTTGACCCCAACCCCCTTAACCCTTAAAACCCTTGTCTCTTTAATTCAAAAATTAAGTTTTTATAACTATGTCGCACATAACTTGTCACTCTCCTCCTTTCGCTGCCCTTAGTCAACTATCGGTTTTGGTTTGGTGCCATCTGGATGCCCTTCTGTGGTAGCTTGGGTGTGTCGGCTGTGTCCATTGAACGTTTCCTTTGCCTAGTTGATCTTTATTCTCGTCCCTTATAGCATTGTTCACATTTTTGTTAGATATGGTATTATACGCTTCTATGAATGCCCTCATTTAATAGCTAGTCAATTAAGGGTATCTGGTTGTATGCAAATATAAATACTGTTGATCTCTAAAAATCTGATATCATATGAATTTTAGAAATTCTAGATATTTTCCCCGCAGCAGTCAGTATATGTGCTGGGGGAAAATACACTAACATTGAAGTGCGTTTAGTTGTTTTACAGATTATCCTTAAGTGTATAAACTTTTATAAACTTTTTCAGAAAGAAAAGAAAAATGAGTGAAGATAAAAAGGAAGTGAAAATGTTGTCAGCAGACAGGTTAAACCCGTTTTACAAAACCGACGCAACGGGGACTGCACCTGTGTAAGTTTTATGGCTTAACTATTATACATAATTTTAAAGAACTTTTTCAAAATGAATAATAGAAAGGCAAGAAAACACTAAAAATATACGAATTATTTAACTTTTTATTTTGAGTTTAAAGAAAGTTAATAATAATGATGAGTTGAAGTAAATTATTAGTGGTCGAGTATTTGAGTTGGAATCACAGAGAATGTCATAATATCATAAACTATGTAAAGACATAGTTAACTGTGTTAAGTTGATTTTTATATATATTCCTGTATAAAGTATAAATATGTACAATCAATATTGATATATAATGTCTCACTTTAATTGTCGTATTGAAGTTTTAGTTTTTGGATTCTGCGGTGTTAGGGGGCGTAAACTGTAGCATGTATTAACAATTGTCGCCATGAACAAGCCCATTCATACCAAACATGCAATATTCCTTTAATACGAACTAAAATCTGGTAATCACATCGCGCATTCTGAAATTAGCATAACGATATTAAGGAACTTTGATAACCGTATTCACATCTAAATACTTGAAAAAAAAATCTAAAAAGAATTTCAGAAACGACGAACTAATTAAGTTTCTCGGAGTTCAGTTAACCATGCTTACCCTATATATAATTTTAATTGCTTTTCACAACTTTTTTAAAAGTTTCACATAAGAAATATTTATTTTAAGTTTACCACGTATTGTCAGTTAAACCAGAATTGTATCGACCGAGTATCATGTTTGAAAGATACTTTTGTGTATTGCTTAATCTTACCGCTTTTGCGAAAAATGTGCAGAATGGCCGGGACTGGAACCCGGGATCATCGAAATACTGTTCCGGAGCTATTCGGCCGCTTACACATTATCTCCCCTAAATAATGATTAGTTCTAAACCGTGACATGCACACTGGTAAAAGACTCTGAGCAACGAAAACATCATTTAAAGCTTATCAAAGCTACAAAACCAATTCAAATCTGTTTTAATCAAGTTATTATTTTATAAACTACTACTTTTTGCATTCTTTAGTCTTCAAAAAGTGAGAGTATGAGAGAGTACTTGATTTATATGAAACCTAATCAACATTTCTTTTATTTAGATGACAATTTTCTTATAGCAGTTATCAAAATACTATTATAATTTCATAACTACATGGTCATACTTACAAAACTTGATGCATAAAAAGTCAAAACATAGAACCATAAACTAAGTACTAACACTTTGTTAACCAGTCCTTGAACCTCCTCTTAGTAAAGTTAAGACATTTAATTGTCAAGGTATATATTGCAGTTGTGGGTGTATCAATTTTCGGGATTAGATTTATATTGTTTAATGTAAATATGCCAAACTTTTCCTCAGTTAGATGTTATATTATTTCCGATACTTTTTATTTCAATTGATGTTTGTCAAAACTTGATTATAAGACATTGATTTCACATACTAGTACATTTTTAGAGGTTATTATAATAATTATTTTAGGAGGAGTCCAAGAGTGTATGTCAAAAAGGGCAAAAGAGAAGACACTTTGTCTACACCGTAAGTTATCAAATATGTATTGCTAAATGCTACCTACTAATTTACTTGATAGTAGTTGACCTTGGTATGTGAATAGGAGAGTAGTGTTTGTAGCAGCAAAATACATACATGTATATAAAAAAACTGACTCTGTTAAAAAAAATGATAACATTGTACAGATAATAAAACCAACAGATTTTAAAAGTAAGTGGTAACAATAACCTTTGATTGAACAGACAAATGCAGCAAAGATAAGAATGAGAAACAAAATGCAGTTAGGAATTGCTAAACTTGACTTATGTGTTTGCTTGTAAACTTTCAACAAGATAAACTGAAAAAGAGTCATAGCTTTTATGAAAATTTCATGTAGAGCTTTTTTGTCTTGCTTGAAACTTTTTATGCATCTAAAAATTCAAGTTAATAAACTCTTGATTCAGAGATTTTATAGCTAAAATAACTTAGATACTAAAAAAGGGACATGACTTTGACAAAATACATCTTAGAGATATAAAATCTGACCGCATTCTCTTGCTTGTGACCTCCTTGCCTTATATGCTTATTTGAGATCCATCATGTATATATTAAATATATATAGTAATTAAATATGGCGTCTGTCGATACGTAAAATTTTTTGCTAAGCTGAAAAAAGCTGAAAAATTGTGTTTAGAGTTCATAGATTGGAAATATATTGTACTGGATTATATAGACAAACCTTTTAAAAATCATTATTGAGAACGATTTGATGATATTTTGGATTTAAACTATGAGTTTTGGAGTGGAAACGCACAATCGTTTTGAACCATTGTTTGTGCCAGAATTTTCGCGGGAAGTTATGGACGGTGATTTACGTTCAAAAGTTGACCATTGTCTTGATATGGATAAACAGCAGATTTTTACAAACAGTACTATGGATTGTAAGATGGACATGATGTACGAGGAGCTCAGATCAATCAGGTCAGATCAATCACATTTTAATAACTGCGTGAAAAATTTAGGTAATGCAGTTGGCTTATTAGACTCCAAAATTGAGAGGGTGTCAAGAACCACAGATAGACATACTGAATATTTAAGAGCCACTACATATAAACAAGTTGATGCTGAGGCCAGACAACGTAGGAACAACCTCATATTTCGTGGGCTAGCTGAAAATCCAGGTGAAAATTGTTTTGAACTGATCCGAGATTTCATGAGAAACCATCTTGATTTGGACCCCGGGGCAATTTATCTATCGCGTGCACACAGGTTAGGTAGACGCAGTCATATTCGCATTTCACGTCGTCCGATTATTGTGAACTTTAGAGATTATTGCGATACAGAAATGATCATGAACCGGGCGCATATGTTAAAAAGTACCCCATTCTCTGTTGACATTGACCTTCCCCTTGATTCAGAACGCTAGATCAAAGTTATGGCCAGACTTTAAAAAGCTAAAAAATGAAGCGCCTAGATCTAAAATTCAAATTGTCTACCCAGCGAAACTCATTCAGGACGGTAAGCTGATACACGATGCACTTCCGGAGTGGGATAGATATACTCAAATTGATATATAGGTTCGAGCTCCTTGATCGCATATCTTCTAGTGCCGAGGGTTCAGAAGCAGCAAATAATACGCAACAACAATCACAATTTGTACGTGCGGAAGAACAGGAACTAGTAAATCAAAGTCAAACAAGTACTAACTTACAGCATTCTTCATGTAGTGAGCCGCGTATCCCTGTGAGCGCTGGTATGCCGCAAATACTACTGCCGGTTCCACCTCAGCCGTTAATGGCACAGCTAACACTTAATTCTTTTATGAATATGTTGGCAGCTAGCTTATCACAACAGTGCAGATCATTCCTACCGATTCCCGTGTTAAACAATAACAGTGTTAGCCCACCAAATGACACTAGTAATGAACGTCAGAGCTGTCAGATGGAAACGCAGACATTTCCTACCACTAATATCATCGATACAAACAATATTAGCTCCATTAGTCCCAATGTCTCCACTGTCCAGAATGTATCCCCAGATCCCCCTGACCCTTGTGTCCAAAGTACTCACATTGTTGATCTCGCTAATCAAAATGATATAAATCCTATCAGTGTAAATCACAGTATTGATAGTCCGACTAGAAATACAATTTTGCCCCCCAACACATTGAACTCCTCTGTTTTGACCACTTCCTACCCTGAACATGAAAATGTAGCACAAATAAGTCCATCCCCAGTTATAAATAAACAAGCTGTGTTGTCCCGAGTTCGATGCCAAATTTTGACAGTGATGAGACATTATTGAAACATGTTCCAGATTCGGCGTGTCAACATATTGACACGCCTCTTGCACAACGTGTAACTAGAGGGCGAGATCGTGTATCTGGTATCTCTCGGTCTCAGAAACGCTCGAGTTCAACCAAGCCGTATAGGCGAAACAGTGTCAGCTCTACACGTGAAAATACAGATTTGGGTTTTACGCGTGCTAAAAATAGCTCGCAGTCGAATAATCCAGGTCAAGATCATCAGGCGGAACGAAAGCAGGCGACGGGTAGCAGTGTAAATACTGGTATGGAATGCCGGTAGGGACATGCCAATTTGCTAATTTGCCAATTGCTGAATTGCTTATTTGCTAATTGTCGATTTGCTTATTTGACAATGGCTGATAGGCTTAACGACAAATTTGCTTATTTGCCAATTGCTTAATTGCTAATTTGCTTATTTGTTAACCGCTGGTTTACGTATTTGCTTATTTGCCTATTGCTAGTTTGCTTTTTGCAATAGAAAAACTTTACACTGTGCTGAAGTATATGGAAAATCTGACTACAGACAACCAGTTGAGTCAGATCTGTTAACTTTTACCAACAGTATTCTTTTGAATTCATTGTTTTTCTAAGAATTCTGTTGGTCAATGAATTCAGTGGCAGTGATGCCTACGCAGATATATGTCTACAACTGATGGCTGACATGTCCTTGAGAACACAGACGCTTGGGGGTCAGACCCCGTACCCCAACGTGATACGTGCCCCTGTAAACACTCTATTTAAAATATTTATTTAAACACGAATTGGACATCGTTAAAACTGGTTTTCAAGCAATTTTTTACATATACCGGTATGAAAAAATACCATATACCACCAAGTCTCAATAAAGTACTTAATGGTTTTATCGTTGTAACAAATGTCCAATTCGTATTTAAATAAATATTAAAATACATAATTATGTAGTTTTGATATAGTGTTTACAGACGCGTATCACATTACGCCAGCATCTGTGCTTGAGAATGCCTTATAATGTGTTGCAGCTATAGATCTGTTTGTGCAGCTTAAGTCAGAGATTGATGGCATAATAAACACTTGATTAGTCATATAGAAGTGAAAATTATTGAGTAAAGATTGAAAATAAAAGAACTTGAAAACAAAACTGTTTCTTATTTTATGGCATATAAAATGTCGTTATTCTCAGTTATTCTCATTTGTCACAGAGGGCCTCATTTTAGTGGTACGAACACATAGTATCACGAATGATACACTTGGTGCATGCTTAACACGGGTGTTTGTCTTTGCACTTAAGCAATAGGCTTCGTTTTTAGCTCTGTAAGATATTAGATCACTTATGTCTGTGTGTGCATCACCATTTTGCTTTGGTTAAATGTTTTTGAAATTTGGTCACACTTTTCCATTTCTTCGTGTTGTACATTTTACATGCTATCAGGTGACCATGACCATGATCATGACCTAGGGTATAATGGACAAAGCCTCTTTGAATATTGTGTATGCATGCTGCCTATTTAATTCTTATGTGAAGTTACAGTTAGATATAAGCAATAGTAACAGAGATATGACAGAAAAACAAAGGCTTTTCAGTACAATACATTGGTGACCTTGACATTCAGTATATAACGGGCACAGCTTCTTCATGTACTTTGTATGCATGCTTGTAACGCAAAGTTTATGCAAAGTTGCAGTAAGATGCATGAATCAGCAAACGTAACAGAGATATGACAGAAAAACAAGTTACGAAGAAAACCAATGCATTGGTGGGTAGAATAGCATCCATGTTCTCTGAATAGTGGAGCTAAAACTGAAACTCAAGATAATTAAAAAAACAACTACTGTCTGAAACTGAATTTATTTTTTTCGAAATTGATTAAAATGTATCCATCTGTCTTTCTACCTATATTCTAGGTAATGATGGATTGATCATAATTGTCACAAGTTATAATTAACAACACTTTATAAACATAATAACATGATATAGGTTCATGAGCTTGAAATAAAGTCTACAAAGACTTGTTATTTTATATCAAACAAGAACTTCGCGAGTCGGACGTGTCGCCTGACAATAGCATAAAAAATTATGTATATAAGCAAATAAGCAATTAGCAAATAAGCAAATTGGCAAATCATCAAATAAGCAAATCAGCAATTAGCAAATTAGCAATTAAGTAGTTGGCAAATAAGCAAAGTGGCATGTCCCTACCGGCATTCCATATTATGGACAATTATAGTTTACTGATCAGAAGGTCACGCTGCGATGCGCGCTATTGAACATTCAAGGTTTAGTGACCAAACGAACCAATAAATAACAGTCTGAAGAAGTTTTAAATATTTTTAAAAATAATGTTATTGTATGTTTTACTGAGACTTGGGGAAATGAATATTGCAATTTTAATGTTAATAATTTTTAGCATTTCTTTTTAAATAGAACAGTCAATAAAGTGTCTGCAAAAAGAGCCTCGGGTGGTATTTGCATTTATGTTAGAAATGATTTTGTGACGCAAGACACGCTTGTGTTCACTAGCGAAGATGATATTATTTGTATAAAAATAAGCGGGTCTAAAATTGGCTTGACAAATGATTTATTTATTGGATTATGTTATATTGTACCCGAAAATAGTATCAGAGAGACTATGATTGATAACAGTACATATGATAGATTGCTTGAATACATTGTTAGTTTAGATAATAAATATGAGAACGGCTTCAATTTTATGTTATGTGGCGATTTCAACTCTAGAACAAGTAATTTACCAGATTGGGTTGTAAGTGATAACATCGGGCATGCTGATATTTTGCCAGAAGATTATCAAATTGATGAAAATCTGTTACGCGTGTCGCAGGACAGCGGTCACGTGAACAATAATGGTCAGTTACTGTTAGATTTATGTAAGCAGACTGGTATTAGAATAATAAATGGCCGTTTAAAATATACATTAGGCAAATATACTTTTGTTTCAAACAGAGGCAGCAGTGTTGTTGATTATTTTTTATGTACTCAAAATTTATTTGAACATGTAGATTATTTTAATATAAATGATCCAAATGTTATTACTGATCACTGTTTAGTAGAATGTCACTTGGTATTTTGTGTAAAACAGGCTGATATTATAGATAATAAGCGGTCTTATGAAACGTCGCAATATAAATATGTGTGGTATAAAGATAATGCTAATGATTATATAAGTAAATTGAATGAAAATTATATTGTACATAAATTGAATATGTTTGATGTAAATGTTGAACAATCGCACAGTAATGATGATATTAACTCGTGTGTAAGTGAATTTGCATATTATGGATGATGTGTGCTCACCTTTATTTAAACGTAATGTTGGAAACTAAAGACCAAATACTAATTATGTAGATACGAATCAAAAGTGGAACACACAAAAATGTGATGATATTAAGCGGGCATTTTACGCTGCGCTGAATTTGTATAGAAATGATAAATCTGAGGCTAACCGTGTAAACATGGTAACGGTAAGGTCTAGATATAAGTCATGTTTACGTAATGCTAGATTTGTTTTTGATAAAAAAGAAACTAATAAACTTGTGAATGCTAAATTTAAAAATGCAAGGTTGTATTGGAAAATGTTAAAAAAACTGTGCTGGTGTTAAAGATGCTAATATACCTATGGAAACTTTTGAGCGTTATTTCAAATCTGTAAATAATCCTGAAGATCCCTTTTTTTTCACCGGATGAAGATGTGTTGCATTTTATAGAAAGATATGAAAGTGAGGAGTTTAATGTTATGTTTTCTTGCTTGAACTTGCCATTTACTTATGAAAATTTATCAAACGCTATTAAACAATTAAGCAATAACAAAAGTGGAGGTCCAGATATGTATATTAATGAATTGTTTATATATGGTAAAGAGGCATTGATACCCCATTTGTTAACACTTTTTAACAAAAATTTTCAAGTCGGACATTTTCCAGCGTATGGTCAGAAGGATTTATAATACCTTTGCATAAAAAAGGAAGCATGAATGATGAAAATAATTATCGAGGTATTACGTTGCTCAGTGCTTTAGGTAAATTATTTACTAGAATTATCAATAATCGTTTAACGGACTGGGTAGAGACATATAGTGTTTATATTGAAGCACAGGCAGGTTTTCGGTCTAATTTAGGAACTACTGATAATTTATTCGTTTTACATGGATTGATAAATCATTTTATAAATAACAATAAACAATTGTACTGTGCTTTTATAGATTTTAGTAAGGCTTTTGATTATGTAAACAGGGACAATTTATGGACAAAATTAATCAAATTTGGTCTTAGAGGCAATATATTAAATATAATTAGATCAATGTACACATCGGTAAAGTCTAGAGTAAAATATTGTAACACTTTAAGTGATAGTTTTCAATGTACATTGGGTGTTAGACAGGGAGAATGTTTGTCTCCTTTTTTATTTTCTATGTTCCTTAACGATATTGAAGATATGTACCTTAAACATGATGTTGAAGGGATATATGTTAAAATGTTTAAAATGTTTTTAATATTATATGCTGATGATATTGTGATTTTTGCAAACAATAGTTTAGAGTTACAAAACAATCTTGATTTGTTGTTTGATTATTGTCAGAAATGGAAATTAGTGGTCAATGCAGCAAAAACAAAAATTATGATTTTTAGAAAAGGTGGTAGAATTTCAGATGACTTAAGATTTTATTACGATGGAAATGTTATAGAAATTGTTAAATCATTTGTATACCTTGGTTTAGTCTTTACAGTAGGCGGTTATTTTGCTGAAACACAAAATACACTTTCTGGACAAGCTTTAAAAGCAATTTTTAAAATGAATAAATATTTATACAAATATCTCCGTTAGACATAGAATAGAATTGTTCGATAAACTAATTTTGCCAATTCTTAACTATGGTAGTGTAGTATGGGGCTTTAATAAAGGATTATCAATTGAAAGATTACATATGCAATTTTGCAAACGTCTATTGAATGTTAAGAAAAGTACACAAAATGACTTTATCTATGGAGAGTTAGGCAGGATGCCACTACAGAATTTTAGATATTATAATATAATTAGATACTGGGTTAAGTTATTATATTCAAACGACAATAGATATTGTAGAAAGGTATATGATATGTTATATAATGATGTTATTATAAATCCAACTAAACAAAATTAGTGTTCACTTACGAGAAACGTATTATGTACTCTTGGTTTTCATGATGCATGGTTGTTTCAAACAATAGGTGATGAAAAATTATTTCTTTTAAATGTTAAGCAACGTATAAAAGATCAATTTTTGCAAAATTGGTCTGGTAGGTTAAATGATTCAAGCAGAGCCTCATTGTATAAATATATTGCTAATCATGGTTTTCAGTCGTACTTAGATATTGTTGTTATTAATAAATATCGTATAAATTTGTCACGTTTACGCCTATCTTCGCACAGATTATGATATGATATGATAGTTTATTCACATAAGACGTGTACAAAATGCACATGGTCACAAAATACATACGTTCAAATATAATTAAACATCACGTAATCATCAAAGTTAACATTATTTAGTAGCAAAGTGTCATACAATGATAAAACTACATCTTTGGACTGCATTAACAAAATGAAAATGTGTAGAGACTGGTCGGTGGACCAGGCCTACGAGCACACCAGTTATTGAAAGGAAATGTAATATATGCAATATACTTGAAGACGAGTACCATTTTGTCTTAGAATGTTCTTTGTATCATGATTTGAGAAAACAATTCATCCCAAAATATTACTGGAAGCGACCAAATATGCAAAAATTTATAGAATTGTTAATGAACGATAAAAAGCAAATCCTTAAGAATTTATCATTGTATATTGAAAAGGCTTTTACTTTGAGAAAAACTGTGTTATATGGTAATTAATGCTTTGAATGCTAAAATTACTTCACTGTAACAAGAAATGCAGTATTTAGTGTGTATGCTTTCATGTTATTATCGATTTGATATGTTATATTTTTTATATAAGTAATAATGTAGTGTATGACGTGTTTGAATAATTATACCCTATTATGTAAACCTCACTTTCTTTACATGAGATAATAATTGTTAAATAAAATGATACCTTGTGTTGAAGTTTCACAACTTTCGTTTCGGGTGAAACTTCAAATTAAGGGTGTAGTCACATATTATACGCATTTTATGTGCTCATCATTATTACGCTTTTAAGTTCAATTCAAATCAAAGTTTTACCACTTTCGTTCTTTCGTTTTTTTTCGGTAAAGCTAAAATACTCATACAGTTCGACAACATTAAAAAATTATATATATAACAGCAAATGCGATTATTATGCCAAAACAATATTCAAAACTTGTAATTTGTTAGTCTCTATTCTTATGCATGATACGGTTTTTTATTCAGAATCAGAATTTTATGGGTTTTTGAAGCAAAATAGTTATATTAATGATTACAACAATATATGAGTAGATAATATATGACACATAATTAGAAAGTCTCGCTAATCGAAAATTTGATAAATTATATTATAAATACGCCTCAGTGCAAGGGAGATAACACAAATTAATGTGAATTTGCGTTTCATGTATAGTTATGTCCCCTTTCTATTGAAATTTATGAACACATATATATAAGAGACTAAAATGATTGTGTACATATACTAGATACATGTAGATGTACGTTCAGATATTATGCATGTATATTTTGTAATATTATATATTGTTCAAAACTTATTTGTAATATATGTACCACATGGGTTTATGACCTTCTGGTTTGATTGAATAAAATCTTGAAATCTTGAAATCTTTATTAATTTTCAAGTAAATATGATATGATCACAAAATAATTAGTTTCAATGAAGTTCATTTTGAAAGTCAAAAAGGAGAATAACTTTGTGAAAATACAAATAATGAGACTAAAAATGATATACTTGATGATAACTCTCTTTACATATTTCAAGTTTCAAGTCAATACCATCTTCTATGTTTTAGTTTCCGAGATAATCAAAGAAATATAATTTTCTAAAGAAGGGACAGAACGTATAAAAATTCTATATACTACTGTGAACAGTCGTGATACTTCATTTAATATATACTTCAAGTCAAAACATGGAGTGAATTGTGACCATATAAAAGAAAGAGTTTTGGGACGGAGCTGGACAAGAAACAAAGAAAACTTGATTGTTGTTCTTGTGGTTGATGTTTTGTTATGGAGTCTAATCTTTCATGTTTTTCATTTATAGGAAAACAAGTATTGTGCATGGGTTAAAAGAGATGCCTTTGTAAGTACTTTATTTGTTCCATTTAGTAAGTTATACCTCAGTTATTAAACAAGTTCTTACTTACGGCTTTCTTATTTGTCACATTCAAGTTCCTGTAGAAAATATTTAAAAATTTCAAGGAATCTGTTCTCCTTAACTAGGGTTAATTGTTGCCAATGTTGCTGTTAATAGTTACGAAGCGCAGTTTATATAGGTTTCACAAGTAACGCTATAAAATGTGATAGACCATATCATAAATGAACTTCTCTCTAACATTTTTTATTTATTCATTCATTCATTCATTCATTCATTCATTCATTCATTCATTTATTTATTTATTTATTTATTTATTTATTTATTTATTTATTTATTTGCGGAGGGTTCATTTTAATTGTTTGTTCTTCTTTGCATAAAATCTTGTTTACATATGGGTATATAACGTACTGTCAAACATTTTATTCTTTCCAAACAGACCCGATAACCCGATATTCCATGCTCCTATGGTATTAGTAAACACAGACAATGGTAAAACAACCTGCGATGAAACAACATTATCCAGATTGAGAGAAATTGAGCAAACGCTGAACATAGTTTCTGTCGTTGGCACGCTTAGAACTGGAAAATCTTTTCTGTTGAATAAATTAGCCGGTGCAGGTACATATATGTATTTGACGCACAAATTAACACTTATATTTTGATTCCATTTAATACGTTGTACATTACCATTGTTACAATGACAGTTGAAAAGTACCCTGGAATGTTTTGCCTAGATTTGCTTAGCTATTTTATTGATTTGTTGTATATTAAAAACGGTACGGATTATCGATATTACCTACATAAAACACAACAAATTACTAGGCGTTTGAGGTTTAAAAGTCTAAAAACATAACATTGGAATTTCTTACATAAATGAGGTTGGGCACTTTAAACAAAAATATATGCAAAAATAGTTAAGAAATATACTTTAAATAAAATGGAAATCGTATTTTTATGATTTTCTTAACCCGATTTGAGTAAAAAGCGTTTTAACGTTTTCATTTTGGGTCATTGTTTTACAATTTGAATAATTATTCTGGTAAAACAAGTATGCGAATGATCTGAAATTTTGCACAAAGATAAGTGGTCTAAACCTACAACAAATAGTACATTTATTTGGAAACAAAATTTTCAGTCCCATCATTTCAAAAAACCTCAGTGGAGATAAAAAGTATTGTTATTTATTTTCTCAAACAGTAAATAAATCAAGCATTATTAAACCAGTGAATAATGAATTACTGCAAAGAACATAACAAAAAGTCAAGTCAGTTTTCAGTGAGTAAAGAAGCGTGCTTTGAGATCGGACATACCACAGATTCTGTAACAAAAGGGATATGGGTTATGTGTCGACCTCATCCTACCAAAGATAATCAAGTTGTTGTCTTGCTGGATACAGAGGGGATAGATGACCCAGACAAGGTAGTTAAAATGATTAATGAGTAAAATTATATATAATTAAAGACAAAAAAAAAGTCAATTACACAGATTTTCATATTGAACAGAATGGAGTGTTTAAAATAATATTATTTGTGAACACCTTATCTGTTAAAGTTATTAACGATTTCTAATAAAAATTACTTTGGAAAACACTTATGCATCCTCAAATGTCTGAAAACAACAAAACTTACAAAATATGTTATTGAAGTCACTGTAAGATATATATTTTTCAAAAACTCAAGGTGGTTCTTTTTGTAGTTTTGGTTTTTCTTTATCATATATACAGGTTGATATTGAAGACGACAAAAATCTGTTCATACTCGCCACGCTTTTGTCTAACACATTAGTATACAACACACGAGGAAATTTCGATAAAACTACCATTGATAAATTTAAGTATCCTTTCTACTAAACATATGCTTAAAATCTTTATTTACTTATTTCAATGGAAGACCTAACTTTGTATTTATGGACGAGAGTAGGTCTAAATGTAAATTTCTAAACCGGGACTTTATTTATGTTTTTTACATTCATTACTTATCGCTGTAATTTATCAAAGTTTATCTCAAGTATAGTTTTCAAATTAGTACTTGGTGTTTCTGTAATAGTTATTGATTTGCCTTAAATGTGTACATATTTCTCAATAAAATCAAAACATCAATAAAAGTATTTGGCTCCGAAGAAGACGATTCAATTATGGATTTCTTTTTCCCAAATTTTGTACTGACATTAAGAGACGTGACTCTTGACATTGAATCCAAAGATGCCGATGCCTTTTTAGAAGAAAAGCTAAACATGAAAAGCGGAGATGGCAATATTTCTGAAGAGTCACTGAAAGAATACAATTTTCCAAGAATGCTTATAAGACGATACTTCAAAAGCAGAAAATGTTTCTTGTTCAGAAAACCGGTGAAACAGAAGCTTATAAAGAAATTATTGACATTAGATGAATCGGAGTTGAAAAAAGAATTCCAACAAACGCTTGAAGTGTTCCGTGGTTTCATATTTTCATGCAAACCTAAATCACTTAAGTCTGGAAAGGCAATTAATGGACGAAGTAAGTGAAATTATCAATAAAAAAGTCAATGCTCTAATCATGCTTGTTATAACTAGTATATGATTAAATCCAATCGAAATAAGTATTTGTTGTGAATCAATCAAATGTATTATTTTTATGCTAATGCTAATGAATACTTAAGGAAACAGTGACAAAATGCTCTTTTCCCTTCATTATTGCGTTTGTTTTTAAGAAATAATAAAACTCTCATAATTACCAAAGGTAACATTATATAAATAACACATGGGTTTGTAAAAATATCATCCCGAGGAAAATACTGTATTTTTACAGGGATGATTTTTTTTACTGTTACTCACAAACCCATATGTTATTTGGTTTATTGCCCCAAACAAAAATACTGTGATGATCTGAAATTGTCAACTAAATCTAACTGTAACAAAAATAAAACAAGAGTAACAATAACTAAACTGTCTTTACTTTTTAAATTTTAAGTGTACTTTAGGCCTACTTGAGAAGTTTTCTTTTTCTTTTATTCTTTAAGCAAGTGATGATATTTACTAGTCACAAACATACAATAAGCTTTGTTTTATTTAGTAAAAAAAACACTAACCCATTTATACGGTTACGATCTGTGAAATCTGATCCTTCTGTTTCCAGAATATTCTTTGCATGTTTTTTGACAAAATAACGATGATATCATATGTCTGTCCACCTTATCTGTAACGTTTCACAGATTAAAATTGTAAAATAATCCTTTGTTCAAGCTTAATTCGTCTGCATGTTCCAGTTTGACACATAATTATTTACATTGAAATTACTTCCGTTGAAAACAGATGTTTACTTTTTGACTATTCAACAAAAATATATATTATACGCGAAAAGCACTTCCGGGTGCAAACAACCAAATTTTATGTGTGTCATAATTACTCCAGAGAAGACGCTGATGTCCTGTCGTGGTGAACGTCGAAAGTTAAATGAAATGGCGGCCATTTTATTTCATTTTATTTAGAAAATTGAACACATGACCAGATTTTATACTGTTAAAAAGTACTGTTACCTATGTAACAGTACAAAATTCTTAGTCACGTGGTACACTTGCATTAACAGTAAGAATAACTCCCAGAGGCCTATGAGAAATTAACATTACGAAAAAAGTGAGGATTAGTAATATTTGCTTTGTATTAATTGCCATTTACAATCGTTTTTGTAAAATACTTCTATTTTCAGTGTTTTGCACCCTTGTGTTAAATTATGTTCAGTCTAATCGGACCGGAGATTCTCCATGTCTCACAAGCGCAATGGTGTCAATGGCAGCTTCAGAAAACACCTATGTAGTGAAAAAGGCCTCCGAAGAATATAGAGCCGAAATGGAGAGACGTATAGGCTCTCATACACCGAGTGAAAAGGGTCTTGTAATCTACCATAAAGACAGCATGCGCGCGGCTCTTGAAGTGTTGGAAGCTGGCCTCATCATTGATGACGAGCAAATATATGAAGAAAAAGCAATGGTAAATATGAATTTAATTTAATTTACACACTGTAACTTTCTTTCCCCTATTGAACAAATCAAAATATATTGTAAATCATATAATGTAAAGTAAAATAGATACTTTTTGTTTGTATTTGTGTATTAATGATAGTCTATTTATATATTTTTACATAACAAATATTTTCCTTTTTGATAATTCAAGACTTGCTTCAAAGAACAATTTGAAAAATTTAAAGAAATTGTGAAGAATGATATTGAGGAAAGATGCTGGAAATTACTTGGACGACTTGATACCATGAAAATACAAATAAAGATAAAGAGACAAAAGTATTGCACACCTACAGGATACGATGAGTACATGAAAGATGTAGACACCCTGATAAAACAATACAACAGAGAAGCTGGATACATGGGTTCTGTTGTAAGAAAGTGTTTTTCATTTTCAATATCTTTTAATTCATAACATACTTAAATACAATCTCTTTTTAGAAAAATTGATTTCAAAATTTATTTGTTTCCTACAAGAACCAAACGAGATTACGTTACAACATGTATATTTTTCATTATCAAAACAAAACGATCACTTTCGTACATGTTCGCACGAAATTATCTCACAAAAGACAAATTTTGGCATGTGCCGCTCGTATAAAATAATGCTAGTACATAGTTTATTTTATAATATAGCAAACATAGATGAACTTTGGATATATGATTATAGGCTATGATAGTTCTGCAAGAATTTCTCGCTAGTAAGTCAAAAGAAGAGGAAGAAATCTTCTCAATGGCTCAAGAAGCGCTTGGCGGAAAAGGTATTCTTTTTGTAATAGACAAACATTCAAACTTCATTTGAATATTTATTCGTAATAAATACAATACTGATTTACATATGTAGCTTAGAGTGGCACTGTTTGAAACTATTTCTAATTAAATGTTAATGATGAGGAAACACAATACTAACTCTTTGTAAAAATAATATTATTCAGAAGGGCCAGAGAGAAGAAATATAAAACATCTGAGCGTATTCAGAGTAGAAGACATAGACATTTTGAAAGAAGAGGAAGAAGTCGAAGAAGCTATCCGAGCAGATATTGAAATGCTGCAAATGAATGGCCTTCAGAGTATTGGAGAACAATATCTTGACATGCTCATATCAAAAAAAAGGAGAAATAGATAGAGTGAAGAAAGAGTTAACTCGGGATAATTCTTATTATAAGAAACAGTGTAAAGAAACTGACCACTGGAAAAATATTTTTGAAAACGCGGCATTCAGTTTGACCCTTTATAGGAGCCGGTTAAAACCAGTTGCTGAACAGCAAGGTACGGAAATGCAAGCCACCGCTTATGAAGAAACTTCGACTGACGTCATAGACCCTCTTTTGAACAAAGCTGTCGAGAAAATTGAGTCAAAAGACGACGGCGACATGTCATCGGGAAACGCAAAAGGTGAAAGAGCAGCACCAGAAGGAAATGAAGCAATTCGAACATACAGTGACCCACTTCAAAAAGGAGTTCGGAAAAAACCGGAACAATGTAACATTTTGTAATTTAAACAAAAATCCTTTGATATTGTTTTAGACTTTGGTCATCACTTACTATAGATAAAGGAAAAGGTGAATGTCAAATAACGCATTTTAGATACTAAAAAAATGTTGATTTTAAGCAACACAAAATTAAATTATTTTGTTATTCAGGGCCGGGTCGATCAATTCATATAGTTCAAGTGGTTCAAAATTTAAACAATCAAAATTTGATACCAGTGTGAAAGGATCTAATTACTTCAATCGCTATAGATTTTTACTTATATTATTAAGTGTTATTTAGACAGAAATAGATAATAGAGAGTTGGCTTTATCTATATGTATAATTTCACTGATCAGAACATGCTAATGATTGTACATGCTATTTTTTTGTTTTTGTTTGTTTGTTGCTGTTCATTTTGCTGTTGTTTTTTTTTGTTTTTGTTATTTTTTGGGGGGTTTATTTTTAACTGTTGATGTTTCTTTTTGCATTTTTGATAATTTTGTTTCATGGATATGTTTTAACGGTTTTGAACTATAGATGTTTGTTTTGAAGAGTTTTAAGGCAAAAAAACCCTTTTAAATGTGTGAATTAAAGATGGAAACGGTTGTTTTATAAGGGAGCTCCACTAAGGTAAAAAAGTCTAAAAACATAAATTATTACTTTTACATAGATCAAATGAAGCACTTTAAATGGAAACAACTGCCAGGGGTAATACAGAAATGTACATAGAATACATTGAATTGAAAATCGATTGCTATTACAATGTTGTGCTCAATATGAGTAAAAAGCGTTGCATTTTTTTGGTCATTTTATACAATAAAAGTTGTTTTACTGGACAAACGTGGTGTAGGGATGATCTATAATTTACACAATGTCCTTGGATCACATCTTTTTTTAAATGTAACATTAAACATAAATCTCGGAACATTATTTCCAATCATGTCTAAAAAATCTCAGTGGAGACCCCCACTCCTAAACAATTTAAAAAAAAAACATTATCCTTGTGTTCGGAGCTTAATATAATTTGCGTTGCGTGTGCATTTTGAAATTGTGAACAAAAGATTATTGTAATATAGACACTATTTATAATAAAATTAATAATGCTGTTAATGTTATTGGTTTTCGAAATGTAATTTTATAAAACAGGATGCAGATTAATTTCTTGAGTCAGTTAAAGTATAAGGTGTATGACTGACAATGTTTCAAAGGTCACTTTATATAATTTTACTCTATTTTATTCTTATTTTACATTATTTTATTCTTTGTCGATTTAGGTAAAAGTTCAGCTATATAGAGCAACAGCATCAGTTTAATTATAGAACAGTTTTACTTATTTTAACTTTATCTAACTATACAAATGGTGGTAATAATTGGTCAAAGTTTTGCAAAAATTATAATGAAAACCAAAGACGAAATATCTGACAAAACATATAAATAATAGAAAATTAAATATATAGGCATCTATAAAGCAGAAAGAGGGTGGGTTCAGAAAACCAGTCATATTTTGTCATTTGTCAAAAGGGCATCAATATATTTTCAATAACATAAATAAAGTACAATTCTGTACATGTGTGCAAAAACTAAGGAGTTTTTTTTAAGTTGTAAGGTACCCTATTTTCAGTTATTTCACACTATATGACGTTCCTCTAAAAAATATCGTATTTGGCGTTATAAATAATGACATTCAAATTTGCAACAGATATTAGACAACATCATAATCAAGAATATCAACGGCTTTGACGGCCACCTTGGACAACGTTGATTTCTTAGCTTCGCATCAGACAAGAGCCAACAGAATATTCGTCCCAGAAACTACAGACACAGACGTGCAGTAAGGTATACAAATCTTGCTTTTTTATATAAAACAGATATAGGTCATTTAACCCTTTGACTATGTAGTGCTAAAATAACCCGATCCAGATCATCAAACTCGTTCAATGGTGTATGATATTACAGGTACAAAGTTCTCATAACTCTATCATTCAACTAAAAATTACTATTACACTTTTAAAAAAAATCTAATTAGCATTACTAGTATAATATATCCCTATCATTCAGTCAACCATCACACATTTAAATCACAGATAAGTAACTAAATTGAGAAATCGGTTGCTATGTACTCTTTATACTGCAATGCTTAAACAGATTATAATTATACCGTTAATATTTGGCTAAAAAAATACGTGAAATGTATTCTTGTAAAACAATAGAAATAGTTTTAGCACACAACCTACGTATCAAAAAGATAAGTGTATTACCTTTATTAAATAAACATAAAATACTAGTTACTGATAATCTTATGTTAATCTAACGTTTGTTATTAATTCGCATATTAAAAGAAACACACTACCACCAACTAGAAACATTGCCAGTTTTTACCAGTTTTTAAGAAGATGTAAATAGGTAAAGAGGAAACCAATTGCTGCGCATGTACATAGTTTTAGTTCTATCGCGATTATGCTCTATGAAGAGTAAGGCGATTACTGAGGAACATCATGATGATTAAACATAATTGCATTTAAATTCTAATCACATAATCTATTTTGACTGAAGGCTATAATGAAACATTTGATATGCAACATAAGGAATATCATTTGTCTGAAATAGATAGAAATAGAAATTTCTCTGCGCGTGATGCTTTAATGTTATAATGTAACGTCTATTACACATTGACGGCAATAAATTAAATGGATGAACGCTAGTAATTAGAGTAGAAACCCTTTTAAAAGACACGCTCAATTTAATTACTTCTTAGTAAAAATATGACAATAAGTTGGCCCATGTGCATTTCTGCAAGCATCGTTCTTACACATAATTCATAATGAGCTTATCTACTCGTCACGGTAAAATTAATGACTGAACATTAGACATTCTCTTTATCAACCCCGTTAAATTTCATAATGTCTCACACTTCATTTTATTTATATAAACAAATAAGATAAATATTACGAAGTATTATTGAAGCAGTTTTAATAATTACATAGATATAAATGTTTCAAGTGCTTTGATAACGAACGTTAATACGTATTCCACGAAGCGCTCATCGCAAAACTTAAACAAAACAAAACTCTCGACTGAAACTAATTATTTGCATATCGGCTACTTGTTCACCCAGGTAGCTTTTTTGTGACATAATTGGATGATTATTTAAAGGTAATAATGTTGCATTTAAAATTTATTATTTTTTCGAAAGAAACAAGTGTAAAATTAGCAGTACATTTTCAATACTTATTATTTCAAAAGAAATAAAAACTTATGTTTATTACTTAATTTGTAACGTTTATCGTCATTGCTTGTTCTAACAAAATTAAAAGGCAGGTATTATTTTATTTACTTATTTTTTCATTTTCTTTAATTTTTTCTGCTTTAGAGAGACCTCCCCTTTTCAAGATTTTTATAATCATTGTTTTGAAAAGATAAATAAGAGCTGTCACGCAAGTGACAAATGCCCCCGAAAATGTTTCTTAAGAATGCAGATATTATGAAAAGAAAAAAGAATGAAAGAAACTAATTGCTTAATTCTGTTCTTGTGAAATGAGGTGCTATTTAACACCTTCGGACAAGGGTCTTTGATGCGACACAGCATCTTGATGTGCTAGACATTTATGCCAAGTAATTTTAAAATCCTTCAATGCATGACAATGTTACAGTTTGAAAACTAAAGTGTACCTTCAAACATTTCTTATGAGCATAAGTACCTTCAAACTATTAGAGTGACCTTGACCTTGGAGGTAGGAACATGGGTCTTATACACAACACGTCATCTTGATGTTGTAGACGTTTGTGCCAAGTTATTTCAAAATCCTTCGGTGCATGAGAAAGTTTTAGTCCGGACACAAATATGTATACCTATAATCTGTAATTGCGATAGTGTGAACCTTCAGAATATAAATGTGACCTTGACCTTTGAAAAGGGGACGTGGTTCTTGGACGCGACACAACATTGTTATGTGATAGGCATAGTTATTTCAAAAATCCCTCAATGCAGGACGAAGTTACAGTCTGGACATGATTGTTGTGTAAGTCAGCCTTACCCACGACACATTGTCTTGATGTGATAGTAATTTGTGCCAAGCTAAATTAAAATCCTTCAATGTATGACAAAGTTACAGTCCGGACATGAATGTGTATCTTCAAACACTTCTCGAGAGAATGAGTACCTTCAAACTATAAGTGTGACCTTGACCTTGAAGGTAGGGACAGTGGTCTTGAACACGACATGTCGTCGTAATGTGGTTGACATTTATGCATAGTTATTATACAATTCTTCAATACATGACAAAGTAACAGTTCGGACACTAATGTGTGTATCTATAAACTCTAATTGTGATAAAGTGAACTTCAAAATGGTAGTGTGACCTTGCCCTTGAGGTAGGCACGTGATTCTTGAACGCGACACATCGTCTTGATGTGGTAGACATTCATGCCAAGTTATTCTAAAATCCTTCGATACATGACAAAGTTACAGTCCGGACACAAATATGTGTACCTATAAACTCTTATTGTGATAAAGTGAAACTTAAAATGGCAATGTGACCTTGACCTTTGATTTAGGGACGTAATTCTTGGATGCACACATTGCCTTGCTGTGGTAGACATTTATGCCTAGTTATATTGAAATCCTTCGATTCATGACAAAGTTACAGTTCGGACACGAATGTGTGTACACATTAACTCTATTTGTAATAATGTGAAACTTCAAAATGTAAGTGTGACCTTGACCTCTGAGGTAGGGACGTGTTTTTTTGGTCGCGACACATCGTCTTGATGTGGTAGACATTTGTGCCAAGCTATTTCAAAATCCATCAATGTATGACAAAGTAACAATCCGGTCAAGAATGAAGTGGGGACAGACAGACGGACAGACAGACGGTGCGATTTTAATATGCCTCCCTTCGGGGGCATAATAACCTATAAGTAAGAACACTGCTCAACTTAGTAATTAGGAAAAGTTAATTCATGTGCACAAAATTGTGAAATGTGTATCACTTTAATTTAGACAAGCGTACCTTAATTTGTACACGTATCAAGTGTACAGGGAGTTTCTTTAGTGAACGATTTTAGATGTTAGATTTGTTAAGCAAGCAAATATGTGTATCATCAGATGACAACCATCATTATTATCTGTTTGTTAATCTAATTAATTACCATAGGTCCACGAATACGACCTTTAAACATTGATATCTCCGATTGAAGTATTCAAATTATCTCGAATACGATTTTACGAAACAGAAAGTTAACATTATTTTGTACTTTATCTGTATGTCCTTTTAAGTAGAATTTATCCTACAGTTATGTTTAACTTTTTGCATACAAGTTATAAAAGGTAAACATTTATATGCACAATGGTATTTTCAAATACTTAAGAGATTCCGTGATGAGTTTTTCGGAATTTATGATAAGCCCATTTTTAGCGGAATTGTGGCCCTTTGTTAGTTCACAGAACTGTCACCAAGTGCTCTGGTGCATATTATCAATGTTTTGTGATTTCCTCGTTACTTTGTAATATTTTGGAGAAATATTTTTTTTCTGCATGGAACCTTTTCTACATTTCTCAAAAAATAATTACAGAACTATTGTCACCAAAGTTCTAAGCACGCGTTCAATATTTGTTTGTTTCTTTGTGTTTATTATTATTATCATCATCATCATCATCATCATCACCATCATTATTATTATTATTATTATTATTATTTTTTGTACTTGAAACAACGAGGTACTCTATTTGTACATGTTAGAATATTAACTTTTCTTTTTCTATTATTATTATTATTATTATTATTATTATTATTGACCATTTTTTGTTCTTGATTGTTAGTATTTCAAATAATAATATAAGAAATACTATTCTGTGTCCAACCACTCCTTCATTGCTTAAGGGTTTACAGCCAAACCTACACAGAAATAATGTCACATAGTGTCCAAGAGCATGTTGGCAAAAAACTGGAACTGTTACAATTCCCTTCGATTGATGTTTCTGTTCATTTCTTATTCTTTTATATGATAATTACTTAGTTTTAGTATTGTCCTATAGCGACTAACGAGATGATGATTTGCTCAGTATATATGGACAACCATCTTCATAACTGACAGAAAGAATTAAAAGAATTAACTATTTCATCACACACGATAAATATTTAACCTACATAGACAAAGACACTGAAAAAAAATAATATGATTCTAACAGTGTTAAAAGACTTAAAGTTGAAATAGATAATGTTCACATTATTACGTCGTACGATTATGGTTCATAAGGATATGCAACAATTTACATTTTATTGAAATTAACTTATTACATTAAATCTAATTAGCTAAGCGGTTAGAGCGTTTAGGTAATGAAAATGATATTTTGAGTTTGAATTTGCAATTGTGCTCATTTTTAGAAATAAATAGAGAGAATTTTTTCAAGTTTTTTTCTTATAATAATATCATGTATATATTTTCATTAAAGTATAATGATACAGTTTAAATATTCATATGAGTGTCGGGTGACGAGATAAATATGGTAAAATTTCATGCCACACAATGAAAATAACTCTGTATTGTATTCTGAAAACTTTGAACTTTGTTCCTGGCTACATGCACAGTTTTCTCTTTTTTGCTTCATAAGCATTTGTTCTATCTTCGCCCTTAAATAATTTTGAGTTTTTACTGAATAGAAATAAAAAGAAGTTTAAAGCAGAGACAATCTATGACAAATTTTCGGAAAACAATTTCTGCACGATTTAAAGATCATTTGTTACATAAAATTACCGTGAAAAATGAAGTGCATTAGCATTAATTTCATAAATATTCTCAATAGTGTTCTTTACAGTATTAATAAATATGATTATTTATATTTACTTGTAACGTAAATGTTCATTTTCTCTTTCATACAGCTAATTTTTGATTTATTTTGTATATTTGTTCATTTTCATTAATTTTAAAATACAAATGTATACCAGTTATGTATAACAATTCACATAATGTAAAAGTTGAATCGAGTTGTGACTCAGCAATTTTTAAATATCCTGGAAGAGTTGGTAAGCCTCACTTACATAGACATTCAACTTATCACTGCTGAATATTTTTTCTCCTGAACTGTTGCTTACTTTGTTTCACATGGCTATAGTACCAGTTATGTGGCGTTACTTCCTTTATGGCTTCCATAAGCATTTGTTCTATCTTCGCCATCTTGAACACTGCATGATATTAAGTAAGTCTCAAATAGTTGTGGCCTTTCTGTTACAAGGTTTCATCTAGAATATGTTGGCTCTGATATGTTTCTCTTTCATAAATCTAGAAGTTATGGCTTTAGTATGTCCGGTTCGATAGAAAGATTGTGTTTAGTCACTCTATAATGTGCTGCTTCTGCTTCAAATTCGCCTGCGATGAACATTTTTCTTCTTGCATATTATGAGAGAAATCAATGTCTACAACGACATTAGGAATAATTATCTCGATTAGCCATTTGTTGATATTGGTGGAGTTAATTTTGTTATGACTTGTTTTGTTTGTTTGTTTGTTTGTTTGTTTCATTTTACGCCTTTTCCCAACAGTTTTTCAGTCATATAGGCATGATATTCACCCGTAGCTGATCTGGCCTTAAACAAAAAAAAACCTGAGCCTTTAATATGTGCATGGACACTTCCAGTATGAACAACTATTTAACGATGTCCTCTTGTTTAAGAAATGTTGCTATATGTGTGAAAAACACGTATGTTTCGTCGGTAAATTGAGTGCATGATCCTCTTCCCGGAATTGCTGTTTCGTTCTTTGCAACTATTACGTAAGAACGTTCCATAAGAATTATCCTATTCCACACAGACCAGAGGTCCTTCAAACCGCTTCAACGGTAGGATTTATGTTTTTATTTTTACGGTGCACCAACACAATACACATTGGCTGCAATTCTGATTTATTAACCAATAAAGGCACCCCTCAGTCCCAATAGGTGGGAAAGTCTTCATTGAATGTTGATAGTTTCCTTCATCAGCTTAAGAATAGTCTTTCCTGATGAATTTCGATTATTTGGTAATAGATTTAATTAATTTGATATATAGAAAAGAAAAAAGACTGTACGACGTCACAATAAAAGAAGTCTTCTTGTCTGATTTTTCTGGATTTTGCAGCATTCTTCAGTCATTTTTATTCTTTCATATTTTGGGCAACTCTAAGCATCTCCTTGTGGTTAGCCAAAATCATATTTCCTGTTTCTGCGCTGTATTACTTATACTGTGTCATTGCACCGTAAAAGCAAATAAAACCCTAATACACCTGTGTTGGTGAGATGTAAAACAAAACAAAAATAAAACTCTTAGCATAGCCTGGTTCAGACGGACAACAAGCGTAATAGTTGCTTACTCTCCTGAAAACATGCCTGAAAGTAAGACCAAAATACGATAAACATAAGCAAATGCATTTAATTTCCTTAACGGTCGTTATTTATCTTTCAATTTTCCATTTATTTTCCTATTCTATTTAAAACTCGACACTTCATTCACGTTTCTTAACAATGGTATCACATCTTTAACTGGTAAATTTATTTTGTTTCATTGTGGATTTATTCAGTATTATCGGCTGTGTAGTTGACTTTGGTTCGGTGCCTTCTGGGTACGTCTGTAAGCCATTAGATATTTTGTAGATCTAGATAATCCTTAAGGATGTAAACATTTTCAGGGAGAAAACAAAATGAGTGAAGATAAAAAGGAAGTGAAAAGGTTGTCACCAGACAGGTTAAAGCTGTTTAACAAAACCGACGCAACGGGTGCTGCACCTGTGTAAGTTTTATGCCTTATATATTAAACAATTTATTTACAGAACTGTATAAAAATAAATTATAGAAACGCAAAAAAAAACACTTATAATTTGCATACAAAAATAGAAGACAATAACTAGAGTTAGGAATGTGATATTGTAATCAGTATTGGTATATAGCAAGCTTATATGAAGACCCTGGTTGGGTTTGCTTTTAGAACCCGTTGGGTCAAGCTCCCTGTTACTTAAATTGAAAAATGGTTTTCGGGCAATGTTCAATTAAACGAGTTAGAACTAAAACTTTGCATTAAACAAGCTTATGAACAGACCTAGCTGGACCCCCTAGGTTTAAGGTCACTGTTACTAAAAAAAGAAAAAATGGTTTCTTAAGGAAGGCAAAAGTTGTAATAATTATTTATACACAGTTGGCGGGGGTATCTTTAGTGATAGCTCTAGTCAAAGGATTTTCTTTCGACAATGTCATTTAAATTAATCGTTTGTTGATTTAGGATCAAACACAATTATGCTGATGATTCGTACAGGGGAATTACAATATATTATTGTGTTTGATTCTAAATCAACAAACGATTAATTCACAGTAAGGATAAAATGGGGTCTCATAAATCTGAATATGATTCTATGTTATTTCAAATTTATGTTAATGAACCATGTTTTTCATCATGTGTTTGTTTTATAAGAACACAATACTTCTTAACAGTTTAAAGTTAAGATAATTAACTGAAGAAAAAATGCACATTTGCTTTTAAATTAATAATTATTTTTGGAATATAAATTATTTTTGGCCGATCTAGTGTTCATTAATAACTTTTTCTTGCGGTATATTTTCTATGATGTTTAAAGTTTGCAAAATATGCAAATTAACGGCGAAATGTGAAAATAGAAACTTTTACCGTATACAACTGATTGTGCACCCTCTTGACATATCAGCGAGCTGTCAAATTGACATGTACGAGTACTTCCTCCCCCTCCCACATACACCAACAATCCTGGATTTATCAGCGTCCGGTCAAGGGTATTATTTGCAATTCAGCTATATAAATATGTAATACTATATTTAAGTTACCTAAAGATTAATTTTACCTAAAACATTGAGATATCCTTAATCATTACCATTAATAAGTTATCTATTTGATAACAAGCTTTGGCAATAATGCATTTAACATGAACTGAATTTGTAAACGCCAAGTATCTTTTTAAAGATATTTCATGTTTTACTGGTTAATTATTTCAGTACATATGTTAAATAAATACGTCTATCAGAACCGAAAAGCCATCTTTTAAAAGCCACATTACCAATGTAATAACTTGCTCAACCGAATGAATTTTGCAAAACAAAACAAAACAGCGTGTGTTCTTTGGTTTAGCGTCCCATCAACCTTTCACTTAATTAGAAAACAGTCTCCTTCAAGCAGAAAATTTAATAAAATGTAAAGCTTTTTTATAGTACTCATTACATAACACAATAGTGCTTATGCATAGAACATCCATACCATAGTAGCATATACTTATTACTAACACCTGGTTGATCAGTATCTTGTATCATAGTTTGGGGACCTTTCTGTTGAAAATGCGTCACAGTTAAATCGTATACATATACATGCACAGTGCGTTAACTGGCGTGCAGGTATTAGTTACACGCACTCCTGAGCACGCCCATTGATTGGTTCATTTTTGCTGGGGTTTACTTATTGTGACGGCAGAGAAACGAAACGCGACAGAAATATGATATTCAGATGCTTGTTAATTGGTTACTTTTTTCTGGGGTTTCATATTGTGAAACAAGGAACGTGTTTTTATGTTTGACTATGATACAAAAGAGAAAGAACACCAAAGCACTCGGCAATCTATTTAATACTCGGGGACTACGCCCCATCGTACAAATCAGATGCCTCGTGTTTCGATGCTCTTTCTATTACTTAACCTAGGAAATATTTCATTACTGAACCATATGGGCGGTACACTTCAATGTAGGGGCGTCCGTGACCGAGTGGTTAAAGTCGTTGACTTTAAACCACTCGCCCCTCACCGCTGTGGGTTCGAATCCCGACAGGGACTTTTGATTCTTTCTATCCAGCTACCTTACGGAACGTCGGTGGTTCTACTCAGGTACCCGTTCGTGCCTGAAATAATGCACGGAAGGGCACCTGAGGTCTTCCCCCACCAGTAAAGCTAGAACGTCGCGATATGACCTATACTGTGTGACGTTAAACCCAAAACAAACACCTCAATGTTCTTTCACATGTTTCACGTGTATGTCTTGTGTGTCGTATGTTTACACTTTCTGTGATGTCTTGTCTTGTTAAATTGTCGTTTGCCTTTCATTGTCTCCCACTCTCCCTAACAGTTATTGTTATATACCGCTCTTCCTTTTTCCGCCATTGTGCCGTCCCCCGTTTTTTTATGGTTTGGTGCCTTCTAATTACCCCGCTAGTGTGACTGTGTTGTGTCAAGTGCTGCATTTTGTGAACATCGCATTGCCTTGTTACGAATTTAGAGAGAGGTATTGGAGATACACCTTAAAATGCTGTACTCCACTTTTCTTCTTTTTCATGCAAGTCATTTCAGAGAAATTTTGCTTATCCTAAATCTGTCTTCACTATTCGATGCAAGGTATTGATGATTTTGCTTTTAATTGAACATGCTTTTCAAGTAAATACAATTTAGATAGTTATATTGTAGGAGTCCAAGAGTCCATATTGCAAAAACCAACCAAGAAAAAGCAACGCCTGTGTCACCAACGTAAGTTATAAAATCTTATTTTTGTTTACATAACTTGTATATTGTTGAATGCGATTCATCCTCCGCCAATGTTTGTGATAGAGCTACATTGGATAGGTGGAAAGGAGAATTATTAATTTTGGGCAGAAATACAGATAAAAGGAATATGGCTGTTGTGAAAACAATGACAGATAATAGTAATACTTTTTTGTGTCGCCTTGAAAAAGGCGACATATAAGGGTTACTTTTGTCCGCGGCGTCGTTGTCGCTGTCTCCTTAAGCTTGTCCGGAGCATAAGTCAGTCACTTCAAATCGGATTGATTCCAAACTTAGTATGCATGCTTCATATAATATCCCGAGCTGCAGTGTACAAGAACCGATACTCTGCACTTCTTAGCTTTTGATTTATTTCCCTTTGTTAATTTTTATACTTTTTTGTCCGGGCCATTTCTCCTAAAGTATAAAAGATATGGACTTGAAACTTCAAAGGGTGATATATCTCAATAAGACGAAGTGCAGTGCACAGAAACTGGTATTCTGCATTTCTTATTTTTGAGGTATTACCCTTTGTTAATTTTCCTACTTTATTTTTGTCCGGGCCATTTCTACTAAAGTATAAAAGCTATGGTCTTGAAATTGCATATGATGATAGATCTCATTAAGAAAAAGTGTAGTGCATAAGAACCGGTACTCTGCACTTCTTATGTTTTGAGTTATTGCCCTATATAAATTTTCATACTTTTTTTTGTCTGGGCCATTTCACCTTAACCATAAAAGCTATGGACTTGAAACTTCATAGGATGATAGATCTCAAAGAGAAGAAGTGCAGTGCACAAGAACCGGTACTCTGTACGTCATGATTTTAGAGTTATTGCCCTTTGTTAATTATAAAACTTTATTTATGTCCGGGCCAATTCTCCTACACTTTAAATGCTATTGACTTGAAATTTAATAGGATGAAGGATCTCATCGAGAAGAAGAACTTGTTTAAATTATAACAGTATTTATTTTTATATTATGGTATAAGGTGGTATAATGATATCAATAAAATCAGATCCAAAAAGCTTGCTTTTTAATCCTGTGTATAGAAAATATATGTTCTGGTTCCAGATATATAATAGAAAATGTAACTTTTATACGTATAGCTTTACCAAATGCAATACAGATCTATGTAACTTGACCTCATTATCTTGATTGTGACCTTCCATATATTTAATTACTTTCAAAAGAATATTTGAACAGGTGTCAGAATTATTTAAGAACATGTAAAGAATTAAAGATCATTTGCTTGGTCGAAAGGGATGATACAGGGGTGATACGCAAAAAAGATAATTTTTATACCTTTATTGGTACAAATAAGTACGTTTCTTAACTGGAGCATTACTCTGTTTAGGTGCTATGAGGTAGTCTTGTGACTTTTTAGCTCACATGAGCTTGCTCAGGGTGAGCTTTTAGGATCGGTGAATGTCCGTCGTCCGTCGTACGTCGTCCGCCGTACGTCGTACGTCCACAATTGCTTGTGAACACTCTAGCGGTCGCATTTTTGCCTCAATCATCATCAAACTTGGTCAGGATGCTTATCTAGTATAAAGCTCGGATGAGTTTGAACATGGCTCATCTCGAATGAAAAACTAGGTCACAAGAGCTAAAAATAGAAAAACCTTGTGAACACTCTAGAGGTCACATTTTTGACCTAATCATCATCGAACTTGGTCAGGATGTTTGTCTAGGTGATAGCTCGGATGAGTTCGAACATGGGTCATCTCGAATGAAAAAGTAGGTCACAGGAGCTATAAATAGAAAAACCTTGTGAACACTGTAGTGGTCACATTTTTGAACCAATTATCATCAAACTTGGTCAAAATGCTTGTCTAGTCAATTGCTTGGATGAGTTCGAACATGGATCATCTCTGATGAAAATCTAAGTCACAGGAGCTAAAAATAGAAAAACCTTGTGAACACTCTAGTGCTCACATTTTTGACCCAATCATCATCAAACTTTGTCAGGATGCTTGTTTAGATAATAGCTCGGATGAGTTTAAATATGGGTCATCTCGAATGAAAAACTAAGTCACCGGAGCTAAAAATAGAAAAACCTTGTTAACACTCTAGCGGTCACATTTTTGCATCAATCATCATCAAACTTGGTCAGGATGCTTATCTAGTTGAAAGCTTGGGTGAGTTCGAACATGGGTCATCTCAAATGAAAAAGTAGGTCATAGGTGCTAAAAATAAAAAAACTATGTTAACACTCAAGCAGTCACATTTTTGCATCAATCATCATCAAACTTGGTCAAGATGCTTGTCTAGGTGATAGCTCGGATGAGTTTGAACATGGGTCATCTCGGATGAAAAAGTAGGTCACCGGAGCTAAAAATAGAAAAACCTTGTTAACACTCTAGCGGTCACATTTTTGCATCAATCATCATCAAACTTGATCAAGATGCTTGTCTAGGTGATAGCTCGGATGAGTTCGAAGATGGGTCATCTCGGATGAAAAACTAGGTCACCGGAGCTAAAAATAGAAAAACCTTGTTAACACTCTAGTGGTCACAATTTTGACTCAATTGTCATCAAACTTGGTCAGGAAACTTGTCTAGGTCATTGCTGGAAATAAATTGAACATGAGACATCTCGGATGAAAAACTAGGTCACAGGAGCTAAAAGTAGAAACATTTTGTTAACACTCTAGTGGCTACTGTTGTGATCCAAATATTCTGTTAATTGGTCTGAAAGTTTGTTTTGATGATTTCTAAGGCAAGATCGAACATGGGTCATCTTGGATGAAAAACTAGGTCACACCGCCCAAATATGGAAAAACCTTGTTCACATTCTAGTGGTCACATTTTCGACTCAATTATCATCAAACTTGGTCAGGATGCTTGTCTAGGTAATTGCTTGGATGAGTTCGAAATCGCATGTGAAACTAGGTCACCGGAGCTAAAAGTAGAAAAATCTTGTTAACACTCTAGTTGCTACTTTTTTGATCCAAGTATCTTGGAAATTGGTCTGAAAGTTTGTTTTGATAATTTCTAGGTCAAGTTTGAATATGCGTCACCTGTGTAAAAAACTAGGTCGCACTGCTTAAATATGGATAATCCTTGTTAACACTGTAGTGGTCACATTTTTGACTCACCTGTCATGAGACTTGGTCAGAATGCTTGTCTAGGTAATTGTTTGGATGAGTTTGATAAGTCAGGTGAGCGATCTAGGGCCATCATGGCCCTCTTGTTATATATGTATGCAATACATGTTTACATATGTCAAACATCAAGTTAATGCCTGAACTGCTGGCTCAAATGATATTTTCAAAAAAGGCTGACCAGGACAGGACGGGACAAACAAGAAAATTTTGAATCACAATTAAGTTAAATGTGAACAGAGGACGTTCATTTCAAAAAAAATTTAAAGCGTTCGAATCATCCAGATCTATTTTTAAAAAGAAGTTAAGAATAGTTATAATTTAATATGTTATATGTTTTATTTTGTGTTTTGTTTGTTTATGAGTTCAATCTTTAATCACAGGAAGCCGGTGAATATGCATTTGTTAAAAGAGACGCCGTTGTAAGTATTTCATTTATTCAGGAAAGTTAGTTAACCACGATTATTTTACCACTTCGATTTCTTTTTGTCACATTGAGGTTTCCGTTGAAAATAATTCAGGATCCCTCCCCCCCCCTCCCCCTCCCCCCACACACCCAACAAACAAAATTGTCTGAAAATCACTATTTAATGTTGTTTTCATTGACTATGTGGCGTAATTTGTATGTCATTTTATTCTATCCGATTCACATTATTGAATGCTATAAGATATCAAAGAATATAAATCAACCTAATGTAGTTTCTCTGATTGTTTTTGCACACATTTACATGCTATTCTTTAACAGTGTAAAGCTAGCAGCAAATAATCGTGTTATATATTAAATAATTGATAGTTGATAAAACATGTAGTAGATGTTAGTTTGTTTTGCATGTTATATCGAAATTTTTCATATATACCCGTGTCGCTTTTACGACACCGTATTGCACGGCCGAGCATATATTCTGACGCGACGGTGTTTGCGTTTTACAAAACACAGACGTTAAGGTGCGCTACACTATAAGCGCGTCAATTTAAAAAAGAGATAACTTAAACGAAAGCTATTTCTATTTTAGATATGTGATAATATATATTATATTATAGAATATTATATTCTAATAGGTTCTGAATTTATTGAACTCGGATAAAATAATAAATATGCTCGCCAGAGGGTCGCATAATATAAGTTTATTCAAATCGTTCAATTCAATAAAATCAGTATGGAACCCAGAGTACATTAATTTATTTGTGATATTTGCTTTCCATGCATGTAAATTATATTTTATGATATTACTGTGAAATTATAAAAATATAATTTCACTACCTACTGAAAGCATGTTATACGCATATTGTATTTCAAACAGGCCCGATAACCCGATTTTCCATGCTCCAATGGTGTTAATATCCAGTGTCAATGGTGTAACAACTTGCGACCAATCAACATTGTCCAAACTGAGAGAAATTCAGCAACCGTTGAACATTGTTTCTATCGTTGGCACTCTAAGAACTGGAAAATCATTCCTCTTGAATAAACTAGCAACATACGGTGCAGGTACATATATGGCGTAAATTAATTTATGCGCGAGTCACTTCGATTTAGATTCCACAAAAATTAGCATGAAATAGTAAAGTAACGATACACACTTTTTAACAAAGTGCTTTTTAAAATAATATAAATAAATAAAGACATTTATAAAGGATATATTCGCCTCTTATTACATCATGATAATGTCAAGTACACAAATGTTAGTTGAAATAGCTGTGCTTAGCTCTGTTATTTAACAAGATCGTCTCATTTCATATAATCAATACAAAATACTATGAAAATCATAAGCATATTAAAATATGATTAAGATAGCAAAAGTACAAAGATTATAAAACATTCATGAAAATCAACAGTTAATAAGCTTTTAAATATGCACTACTGTAACAGAGTAAAAGGGTGATATGACAAAATTACAGTGAGTAAAGAAGCATGCTTTGAGATCGGACACACCACAGATGCTGTAACAAAAGGGATATGGGTTATGTGTCGACCTCATCCTACCCAGGAAAATCAAGTTCTTGTCTTACTGGATACAGAGGGGATAGATGACCCAGACAAGGTAGTTAAAATGTTTATTGAGGAAATGAATATATAAATTATATAAATAATGGACATAGGTCTGCATCTTGAAGAACTTTTAATTTAGGCTAACCAGTGAGATATTAGGTTTTGTATGTGAGATAAAATCCTTATCACCCTAAGGCCTATTTCACTATCAGTGTGGGTGAAATAGCTCTGCCGAACTATTTTTGCGTACGTTCAAACGGTAATGATTTCGTAAATTTGTAAATTTACATTAAATTTGATTGTTGCGTTTTTTTTTGAATGGCATTTTTCTCGATTCAAATGTCATTATTTCTCTTAAATTGTTAATAGTTTCTCAGCAATTATTAATACAGACCTGAACAACTTTGTTTGCGCAGCGTTCACGTTAGCGTTGAACATTGTGCGTCATCTGCTTTACGCATGTCTATTTCCCGGGCTAACATTTAAACAGTTCAAAATTGCTCTTATTTATACTTACTGGGCATAAAATTAAATGAAAATGTGCTGTTTTCGTGAATATGCTATGCATCACACATTGAAGTGAGAAAATGTCAACATTTTTGCAACTTTCTTACCTCTCAGTGTGATATTTAATATATTCACTCAAAACAAACAAAAGCCCTCTATTTATTTTATGATAACCAATGATATACTGGGTAATTCCAAAATCTTTAACACAGACAGATAACCAGTTGCACAGTTCAAGTATATACATGTATAATATACATTGAAGAAAATTGCAGTTTGCATGCTTTGCTCCAAAAATAACGACTATATTTATCCCCGCCCACCAAAAATCACACCTGAAATATACTAATATGGGCCATCTTCATGAAGGTGCAGGATACTCCGAAATTCGCCCGACTCCTTTACAGTGCAATCAATGGCAGTTTCAAAAATGCAAAATTAACTGTCAGTCATATACATGTATTTATCAATTCTCTATTTATAAGCATGTTAGAATGGAAATACACTGTAGATATTCTTCTATCACGGTTCATCGTTCAAATGCTGTGTAATTATTCACGATGGCAGACCATGCGCATTTGAACTCGAACTAACGTCATATAAATGTCTGTAAACAACAAAAATGATACAATGTTAACCATAATTACCGTTGTATACTTTAGTTTTGGTTCTTTAATCATTCGCACAGGTTGATATAGAAGACGACAAAAATCTGTTCATACTTGCCACGCTTTTGTCTAACACATTAGTATACAACACACGAGGAAACTTCGATAAAACCACCATTGATAAATTTAAGTATCCTTTCTACTTAATATAATGATGCTTTTAAAAGAAATCTATAATTGGTGCATATATACGATTGTGTTTATATATTTTTGCATAAATGCACTTTAATATCTTTTTTTTTAACTTAGCATTATGATTGATAGATTCGATTATCTTTCACAGAACCATTATTTTGAACAAAAGATTTTTAAACTGCTATATTTAAATGCATTTACAAGCATAATACACTATAAAGCATTTTTGGCGTTCATGTAATTGTGTTATTGTTTTCTTACGATGGCGTCACATGATCTTAAATGATATCTCAAGAAGAAGTAAAATCCTATACTGTGTTCTGAATGTTAGATCTTATTAACTATTTTCAGTATCTTTTGTCAAAATTGTTAAGTATAGTTTGACTTACAAATTTCAAACCAAATTTATCATGACGATTTATACTTTTTATTTTCAAATTAAAAACCTGATGCTTGAGATAATGACTGCTTATTTTCCTTAACTGTTTACAAATTTTTAAATAAAATCGAGACATCAATTCAAGTAAATGGCACTGAAGAAGACGATTCAATTCTTGATTTCTTTTTTCCAAATTTTGTACTAACATTAAGAGACGTGACTCTTGACATTAAAGCGAAAGACGCAGATACTTTTCTGGAGGAAAAATTGAATATGAAAAGTGGTACCAATCTTTCTGAAGAAGCACTGAAAGAGTACAACCTTCCAAGGAAGCTTGTTAGGCGATACTTCAAAAAAAGGAAATGCTTCTTGTTCAGAAAACCGGTGAAAAGCGGCCTACTTAAGGACCTGTTGACTATAGATGAGTCAAAGTTCAAAGAAGAATTCCAACAATCGCTTGAAGGGTTCCGTAGCTATATCTTTTCGTGTAAACCAAAATCACTTAAGTCTGGAAAGGCCATTAATGGAAGAAGTAAGTAAAACAAGAGATAAGTAAACCTATCCTATTACGGATTGGTTGGTAAATCATGAATATATTTTAGTTTGTTGATATGGTTTAGTCAAATCGAATTTAATTTGTGTTGTACATCATTTATTTTGCTTTACCATTCAAACCAATGCATTTGAGAAGTTATTTTAAGGAATGCTTATCAAATACTTATTCAAACACTGAAAATACCTTTAAATTTTGAATAGTACTTATTATGGTAAAACGACATATATTTTGTCATGGTTATTAAACACATAACAAAACTCCATTTACCATTTACTATTTTGTAAAATCTTTGTATTTTTAGTGTTTTGCTCCCTAGTGCTACAATATATTGAGTCCATTCGGGATGGAGATTCCCCATGTCTGACAAGTGCAATGGTGTTAATGGCAGCTTCAGAAAACACCTATGTAGTAGAAAAGGCCTCAGAGAAATACAGAGCCGAAATGAAGAAACGTATAGGCTCCTTTATTCCAAGTGAAAAAGGTCTTGTAAACTACCATAAGGACAGCATGCGCGCGTCTCTTGAAGTGTTGAAGGCTGGACTCATTATTGACGACGAGCAAATATATGAAGAAAAAGCAATGGTAAACTAAATTTAATCTAATTTTACAAACTCTTCAAAAAAGCAAACCTCTAACTACAATAGATTTTGTCATATCACAAGTGATTAAACATTGCTTGTTAAACTAATTTATTATCTGTTTGCATAACAGGTACAATGTAGTTACACAACAGGTTCTGGCGTGAAATTTGCTTAGAGATTCAATGAAATACAGTAAACTACCATGTGTCTTACTTTGATTTTTCCATTATTATTAAAACCCCACATATAAGTCGAATGTGTCGAAGTTTTTACGTGAGTCATTTTCGAGTCATTTTTCGATAAATAAGTCAATTATCTTGACACCTTTGATCTGTCATAATCGCTCTATAATTTTTTATGTCTGACCATTTATTTCTTTACTTCATGATCATTCTAGACGTGCTTTAAAGACCAATTTGAAAAATTCAAAGAAATTGTGAAGAAGGATGTCGAGGAAAAATGCTGGAAAATACTTGGACGGCTTAATGCGATGAAAATACAAATGAAGATAAAGAATCAAAAGTATTGCACACCGACAGGATATGATGAGTACATGAAAGATATAGATTCACTTATAAAGCAATTCAAAACAGAAGCTGGTTACATGGGTTCTTTTGTAAGATAACGTTTCCCTTTTGAATATTAATCATTTTATGGCTTCTTTAAGTTTAGGTATTAGTGAGGATTTGACATTTTTTTCAAAAGTTATCGATTACATTATCAAAGTTTATCATATTATTGATTCAAATACAAAAATATGTTTGCTATAATTTTTCTTGAAAAATATTGACAATTTAAGCAAAATGTTTGTTCTAGTAAATATATAGAACAACTACTAGTATAACAAATATGTTTACATCTGTTAAAGAATATCTTTACTTATTTTCTCTTTATCTCACGTAGGAACCACGAACAGTTTATAAATATAGCGAAGAAACTAAAAAAAGCCTTTGCATATTTACAAATATTAGTTTATAGAATTGCACGCTTGATTCAATGTATGTTTTTCTTCTTATTTCTTCTCGTATAACACCTTATTATATACTAGTAGCAAAATGATGAAAGTTACTTATATGTTTACAGGCTATGCTAGCTTTAAAAGAATTTCTTGCGGGTAAGTCAAAAGAAGAGGAGAACGAAAAAGTGTTTTCCATGGTTGTAGAGGCACTTGGTGGCAAAGGTATTAGTTTATTTCTAGTAATATACAATCTTTCTAACGTCATTTCAATTTTAGTTTGTAATAAACATAATACTTAACTTTTTTAATATTATATTATTTATAATAATATAAAACTGAAAATCAAATCTTTGTCTTTTATATGAAGAAGAAAATGGCATACTAATTCTAAATTTATCCTTTAGAAAGGCCAGAGAAAAAACAATTGAGACGTATGAGCGTGTTCACAGAATACCCAGATATCTTGAAAGAAGAGGTAGAGGTTGAAGAAGCAATCCGAGGAGATATTGAAATGCTGCAAAGGAATGGTCTTCAGAATGTCGAAGAGCAATATCTTGACATGCTTACATCAAAAAGAGAAGAATTAGAGAGGGTGAAGAAAGAGCTTACTCGTGATGACTCCTATTACAAACAATTGTTTAAAGAAACTGTCCACTGGGAAAAGGTTTATGAGAACGCGACATTCAGTTCAATGGTGGTAAACCCTGTCGCTGGACAACAAGGTACAGATATGCAAGCCACCGTTAATGAAGAGCCTCTGAATGGTGTTATATGCCCTCTTTCGAACACAGCAGGCGACGATGGTGACGAGTCAGCAAGAAACGCAATATGTGAAAGAGTATCGCCTGACGAAAGTGAATCGGCCCAAATAAAGATTGTTCGAAAAAAAATAGATAAATGTGAAATTTCCTAAGAACAAAGAATGTCTAGCTTTTGCTTATCATTGACTATAGATGAGAGAAAACTGTTATGTCAAATAACGCACTATCAACTTATGTTTATTTAAAGTAACACAAGAAACAATTTAGTGATTAATTTATTGATGATTTTAATTAATCGGAGCCGAAAGGATCAATTTGTACGGTTTAGTTCACGGAAAAAAACGTTTTGTTGATTCTTTTAATTTCTTTCTTTTAATGAAATTGATATGTCTTTGAACCGATAAAACAATTTAAATTTATATCATAAAATGTTATTAAGACGGAACATAAATACTTTTAGTTGACATTGTTTTTAAATACCTTAGGTGTGATATTGTTTAATGGAGTATTGTTAAGAAACGTAAACATTAAGATACTAGTATAAGGACTAGGGAATCATTTCTTTGATTAGTATTACCTGTGAAATTGCTGTATGTTCGCGTTATGGTAATTTTTTGCATATTTTATTTTATGAATATGTTTAAACAGCGCCAGTTCTGAATCATGGGTGTGAAGTATGGGGATATTTGAAGGCAGAAAACTATTGAATTTGTTCATTAAAATGCTAATTGTTAAATGTGCACAAATGCATTATCTTAGTATATATGTGTTGTACATTAGTAAGTATGTTAGTATTGTTGATAAAATTATATAGATAATGAATAACTGTATATCAATCACATGTTGATAAAAGCGTTGATAATGATTTTGTTAGTGTAAATTGATGTCCGAAAGTTTACTAGTATGTTGTATTTCAGAATGCACAAATTAAAGAGTCAGTTAATATAATTATACATGTAATTACTTATATTAAAAGGCTCGATAAACGCTACTGATACTTTGTAGTTGACATCAATGGTTCTTTAACGATAAGCTGTACTATAAAGGGACATATAAAGGCAAATATTTTAGTTAATCACGCATTTTAAAGTACTAGTATCTTTTCTCTTTCAACAACGATTATATACTCTGTACCGTCGTATAATTTTTTTACGCCAATTTATGATATTAATAGTTTCAGCATGTATTCGTTTTGATATGCGTATGTATTCAGGCTGAATGAGGGTCCACCCGCCCTTTCAGACACTGAGAGAACGGACCCCCGTACATGTCACCATCCATGCCCTTAGCTTTCGTATTGGCTGATATTACACACTGCCAAATGTGAAAATATTCTATTTTCTATATTATCATAGAAGGAAGAAGCTTCAATATTCAGCAATATAGTAAGTAATATTTAAATATATAATTAAGTTAGAAAATAACAATGTTCATTATTATTGAAAATCTAAATATTTTTATACGAAACATCAATTAAATGAGGCCAACAAAATTCTATCAAAGGGCATGGTTTAGCTATATATGGAGATTATTTCTTTTTTCAAGTTCAGGAGAGCATGATAAACAATATCTTCAACAATACTCAAATTTACAGCGATTATAATAGCTATATAATGTATACAAAAATCACACAAAAGCACACTTATACGGTAAAATATAAAAGATATGCAATGTTAAGAAAAACAATTCCAACTTCCTCGTCATAATGTGGGTGTTAATTAAAGCAATATCAATAAAATGGTCGACAAGGGCCTTTAAACTACGTTTGTGTTCTAGAAAGGGCTGTTATAGTATTGATGTTTTGGCCTCAATATGCTTCAATATCAATGTACGCAAAAATAATGGAATAACCACGTGATGAGTATTTATCGTGCCCGCCTCATAACGTCCAGTCCTAAGCAGAATCATACCAAAGACGCTCAAATAAAACATTCAAACAAAAGTTCAACTCGTTTATTTTATAAAATATATATTCATTATATACATAACGCCGAGATTTTTTTCATACAGTGTCTAAACGGAACTAATACCGTTAGTATGTCATAATAATGAATTTAAATAACATGCAAAATTTACCGTTTAATATTAACATGATCTAAATAAACACAATCTAAATACATTAGTTTAATTTACAGATTTACATATTTATTCAAATATTTATATATTTCTAGTAGGTAATATAGGCTTAATGTCTGACCGAAGCCGGGGTAACGAAGCCAAATGATCCCCATCCTAGAATAATGGCCCCTTATTCAATATTCATTTTTAATGAGCCCTTTTCTAATGTCTATAAAAAAATCAATCTTTCTTAAAAGGACATTCCCCCACCTATCAGAATCCTGTCGAATATTTACACCCCATCTAATCGATCTCAGACAACATTAAGCCAAACAAAGAAACACAGCTTGCTTCCATCTTATCTGAAACCTGTATAATATTGACCTCTGTCAGATTTCAAGAGTAAACAAGAGTTCATCATATTAAAACGACTTAGTTTTAACACATTATTTTGCGAAAGCTTGATGCTTAATTAAACCTCTCTGAAATACTTTTCCTGGAACAAAGCTGTACTAATCAAATTAAGAAACATTCGTGACCCCTGTAAGGGTCCAACCCATGATCCCTACATTGAGAGACCAAACGCCTTTACCAATCGCCCACCACTACCCTTAAAATATTTACTTGTATAAATATAAAAAATACCTCATTCCTGTGTAATATTAAACCTTAATTCTATCAATATATCATACAAAAATATAACTTATGCTTGCTGTTGTGTTAAACTTGTTTTATGCTTTTTAAAAATTACTTAGCGATTGCAAAGTCATAAATTTGATTGGTGAAAGAATTGTTTAAAAAATGTTTTTGTTCTGAAGTATATCTGCACAATACAAACGAAGCTTGTCATAACTTTTATTTGTACAACTGTCAGATGACATTGCACTAGCACGTGAAAAGCGTGACAAAATGGGTTTTTATACGGAAAAAAAGATATTACTCAATTAGAAAAAATTAAAAACGCTTATGAGAGATAAAAATAAAAGCAGGCACAATGGGCCTTTAATGCTGGTGTACATCGAACGTCTCAAGCTTACATTTACTGTGCAAAGAAGAAAAGTATAATAAAAAGGAACTCAGCACTGCATAGTCAAAATGTTGCAGTCTCGGCTTGACTGTATATGTCCCTGGGCGGTACAGATAAATGCAAGAAATTTACGTTTCATTTTTAATCTGAATGCATTTACCTATACAATGATAGGGTTTCCAAAACTTCTTGCAATTCAGTCAAATATGTTTCACGTTCGTTTTGGAAGGAAAACAGTTGCTTCAGCTATCAGAGCACGCTAACTTTGACTTCTAAATTTATTATTTTCTACGGATTTCGCGATTTATATAAACCTGTGCAGAACTTTTGTAGAGGGCAATCCAGTGACGCCAGTGGTCAAATATCTAAGAATGAGATGTACATTTTTTTCTGCTTCAGAAAATCTTGCATTATAGACGCCTTACCCAAATGACCCTTCTTTATACTGATGGTCCTTTTTGCAATACATGGTATTTTGACAGACTTTGTTGCCCAAATCTTGGCTCATAAAATGAACCCGTGTTTCGACATGATGACATTTGCTAAATACTGCATTTTAATTTGCATTCTGTTTAAATAACAACTAAGCGCATTGTACGCTCATTTGTTAGCAAATCTAGCACAGATGTTTCTAATTTAAAATCACGTTTGAGAATGGTATCAGCTGCTCCTAATGAGATTCCAACGATACAAGCTACATGCCTAGTTGTGTATCTTGCATTTGTTCCACTTTGTCTTTACACCCTATGTCAAGAAAACAACGATTTTTAATATAAGGTCGTTTTTCAATGGCATTACAAACTATTTTGTACATGTGTATACGAGTAGACAATGTATAAAAACACAGCTAATGTGAAAGGTTTTAAATGAACGAGTTATCTAAAAATGTTTTTTAAAGTCTGCTTAAGGCCCCAACAGACGGTAGGATTTAATTGTACAACATTAATTAGAGATATGATGTACAATTTTCAAAGCAATACAACACTTGCATTCAGACCGTAACTCTGCATAGTAGAAATTATCAGGTTTCCCTAACAAACAGTTCCCTCCCAATTGATCCCTTACATAATTTACTCACTAAAAATATTATTTCTCCATGAGTAATGATAGAAACATCTCCATTTTTTTAAAGTCTTTAATTGTCAAAGGGCGAGATTAATGTGCAGCCTGACCGAAACTCGAACCTGGGACCCTTGGAATACCGTACTGTGACTCTACTGACTGAGCCTTTTACAAACTACCTCCCCTGATTAGTGAACAGTTCAATACGAGTAATTTGGGATTCGAACATACCACAACTTTGGGTCTCCTGAAGCGTTTATCAACATCATTTTGACTCCATCTTACTACTATGTTTACAGGTTAGCCCTAATTGTTCTGGAATTTCATTCATTAAACACATTATCAGGGGATAATTGGGAAATATGTCACCTGTCATCGTGGGAGGTCTATACAACAAGTATTAAGAGATAGAACATGTCCTATCCTGTAAATCTAGTATTAAGTTGTATGAATTCAAGAAATAGTAGCCTTCACACATTAAGATTTGCTTGTACATCTTAGTTTTAATTGGTGTTGTACCTCAAAATCCTACCCTCTGTTGAGGCCTTTAATATGTCGAACGGCCACTTTTTGACCAAAGGATCTTGACTTATACCAATATAGTAGAAGTCCACTAATCAATTCAACACGACAAATGTCTAAACTGTAGAACATGTTCTTTATAAAAGCAAGATTTACATGTTTCATATATATGTTAGCTAAGTAACACAGAGTAGAACAAATTCCAACAACATGGCGAGATAATGATTTATCTAATTTTTAAAGGACTTCAAGGTGTTGTTACATACCAAATATATTTACATATTTATATTTACTAAAAATATTCCTTCCTAAATGGTTAAAGAGATACTGTTTAAAGAAATAATGGATTAGATAGATGATGTATTGTTCAATCTAGCACAAAGGTTTACTTGTGAGCTGGACTTAAAAGAAGTTTTAGAAACACAATATGAAATCTTGGATATTTTAATTGCATTTGTATCAAAATATATACATATATAAAATATCTTTCTTTCAAAAATCAAGTGAGCATTAAAGGCATTCAAATAAATTCCTTTCCTGACATGAACAAGCTTCAGTTATATTGGTATCTTTTCTGCAATAAATGGTGCTTTTCTACTTTTTTTTATTTAAATCCTTAGCACATGTGTGTCAAATAGACAAGACAAACTGGCTACACAGGAAGGATTTTGATGATTACTCCTTGATCGCAGACTCCCCTTGTTTCCCAAACAGGGAGTATGTAAAACTGATAAAGTATGGCTATATTGGCCCAATAAAAGGCTTTAACACTGTATACCATGACTGGAACTGCCAGTCAAAGAAAGGTGTCAGTGTTTCGTTTATTTATATTTAGTTGACTTATGATTAAATATAAAACTATTACAATTCAAACAAGACCTGTGGATAGGACAGCATGCTCAGCTATTCTCTGTGCTTGGTAGTAAAATAAGTGCCTGGATAATGTAAGAATTAGAATCAACAAGAGGAAGATTTCATTTACAAAAATACAAACAATGTACATGACATTCATTCCAGAAATACAAAAAATGTACATGACTTAGTTATGAGTCTTGGATTTTGACCATAGACTTTTGTTAAGTTCACAAAGGGCCTTATTTTATTCAAAATCCTTACCAGAGATATGAGTCTTAGAAAATGACCTTGAATTGTAATTCAAAAAGCATGAATCAAGTTTCAAGTGAATACAATCACAAGCTTTATGACAGATAAAATGTTGCAAGCAAAACATTAACCAAGAATTTATCTAAATTCACAAAACAATAAACCAGTCAAAATCCATGTCAGAGTTATGGGCTTGGACACTGTCAATTATGAACCCAAAGACCTGTAAATGAAGTTTCAAGTGAATACCTTCAATAGATATGAAGACTGATGTTGCATAGAAAACTTTAACCAAGAATTTCTTAATAAAAAGGGCTACAAAAATCCATGTTAGAGCTAAGTGTCTTGAAATAAACCTACAATTATGATCCCACAGACATGCATTTACTTTCAAGAGAATACTTTCAGTACATGGAGTTTTAAAGATTGGTGTTGCACAAAAACAAGATTTCATTTGTGGGAAAATGCTATGCCATCGCATTAATACAACACTAAATAGAAGCAGAAGTAGATTGTTTTTGTTTCTACACAATTGAACTTCGCCATTATACAGTAGTGTCTAGTGAATTTAGGGGTCAGGGTAATATTTCACTATGTCAAATAACAGACAATGTGCAGATGCTTTTAACGTTCACATACAAAGGCCATATAGTATAATTGACTCAAAACAAAATTATTCTTACTAGATAAAAATTTAGGTATTTACTGTATTACATAAGTTTAAACTTTGGAATACAGATATATATATAAGTTAATTGTCTTACATACTATCTTTTCAAATAAGCATTATTTCTGAAAACATAAAAAACAATTATGCTTTAAAATCATCATTATATACATGGTGTGAATCATAATGTCCTTACAATGTGCTAAAATCATTTCATCAATATCCCTGCAAAGCTTGCTAGAGGTCATGACCTCAAACCTTTGAAAAGCAAAAATCTCTTGCTAGAGGACAACAACTTTAGACAAACTCCCAGCTATTGAATCTTTTTTTAGAAAAATTGCATCACATGATTGCACACATTTCTGAAAGACATTCCATCATGAGTTATTTCCTTTTCACTATTTAACTATTATTTCAAGAAAATCAAAGGCCTGGGGCAGGGCTAATTTTGACCCTAAAGCTATAATTTGAATAATTTTAATAGAGGTTCACTAGACAATGTTTCATGCCTAATATCTAAGCTCTAGCCCTTGTAGTTTTGAAGAAATAGATTTTTAAGAATTTTACCTTATACATATAATGACCAGGTCGGGCTAATTTTGACCCTTGGGCTATAATATGAACAATCTTGGTAGAGGTTCACAAGACAATGCCTTGTGCAAAATATCTAAGCTATAGGCCTTGTGGGTCTTTACAAGAAGATTTTTTAATTGTTTTCTTTTAATTCCTCTTGGTTGCGATTGCAACCAGCTTTCTGCATAGAATCAATTTTTTTTCTTTGAACAACTTTGGAAGCCCTTCATCCAAGAAACAATCCTGCTAAGTTTGGTTGTAATAAGACTAACTAGTATTTAGGAGAAGATTTTTTAATTTCACTTTATAATCTATATACATGTAATTTCACATACACACACATAGGTGAATGGCTATATGCCACTGCAATCAAAACTTCAACCAAAGTGTTACACTGACATCAAGACAAACACCAATGCATAGGTAAGTATGATAGTCGTATCATTTATTGAAAAGTCAAGCAAAAAAAAGCAATTTTTGTTTGATCGCATAATGCAAAATGGGATCAAGTCACTTCACAGAAAAGTCTAACATCTTTTAATGATCAAAGTTTGTTTTTTTGTGTTTTTTTTGTTGCAAGTTTGCTTCACTTTCCAAAATAGCATTGATAACAAGGCACAGGTATTGATACATTGATACCATCAATATCAGATGGTCACAAACTACACTAAATAACAAAATCGTAGGTGAGCTAACTTTAAATAGGCAGATATAGGTCTGTGATATTCATTTGTCAATACTTGTTTACACAGCTTAACTGCATAACTGAAAAACGATTAATGAGATCTCTTCATTTGTTAAACAAGTGATTTTTCATTAATTAATTAATTGATAATAAATAATTTGATGAAATTAATTGATATCAGCATAAAAACACTTTAATTGCTAGTTAACTGACACCATTTTATAATTTGCTTTGTAATAAATGTTGCTTTTGGAATGCTGTCACAACTTACAATTCTTGGCATTCATTTGTACAAACAGTGTTCAAATTACATTAAGAAATGCTGTTGTTAGCAAAATGCTGTCATAATAAACCTATAATCAGGAATTGCTGTCAGACTAATCATAAACTAATATGTTAATGTCAAACAAATCATGAACTTATATGTTGCTGTCAGACTCATCATGAACTTATGTGTTGCTGTCAGATTTATCATGAAATAATATGTTGCTGTCACAGTCAGACTCGTTGTGAACAAATTTGTTTCTATCAGTTTTATCATGAACTAACATGTTGCTGTCAGACTCATCATGAACTAAAATGTTGCTGTCAGACTCATCATGAACTAATATGTTGCTGTCAGACTCATTGTGAACTAATATGTTTCTATCAGTTTTATCATGAACTAACATGTTGCTGTCATACTCATCATGAACTAATATGTTGCTGTCAGACTTATCACGAACTAATATGTTGCTGTCAGACTTATCATGAACTAATATGTTGCTGTCAGTCTTATCATGAACTAATATGTTGCTGTCAGTCTTATCATGAAATAATATGTTGCTGTCAGACTTATAATGAACTAATATGTTGCTGTCAGTCTTATCATGAACTAATATGTTGCTGTCAGTCTTATCATGAAATAATATGTTGCTGTCAGACTTATCACAAGATAATATGTTGCTGTCAGGCTGATAATATTTATAAGAATAAACCCATCATCAAAACTTACAGCTATCATTAAAAGTTGCAGTCAGGCTGATCATGAACTCTTGTTGTTATAGGAATAAATCTATTACCACAAATTGCTGTCATCATCAAAAATTACCAACAGACTAATCATAAAACTATTCTGTTGCTGCTGATAATGAACTACATGTAATATGTCGTTTTAAGAATAAATCAATTATCAAAACTTGCAGGCATCATGAAAGTTGCTGATGATCATAATATATAATGTTGCGATGAAAATACACCTATATTTATTTTCACGAGTTACTGTCAGAATTTATACTCTCTGGATCTTCATCATCAAAATATTTTTCTTCAGCATCAGCATTTAAAACTTTCAGATCATCATATGTATCATTAGTGTCCACTTTACTGAAACAAATAAATGAAAAATACATGTACATCATATGAAGTCAACAGCATGCCTAAGCACTCAATAATCTGTTTTAAATGAATCCTATCTCAATATGATCTTGTTGTGTTATCTTATTCATTAGAAGTCAACTTGTCACCCTTGTAGTAAACTGCTAGTGTAAAATAGGTAAAATTGTTTGATATCATCAGTTCAAATTAAATAATTTAAACTACAAACTATTACCAGAAATTATCAGAAATTTTACTACATTTGTAGCTGGCATGTATTGTATATCTATTTGTTTATCAAGGCAATGGTACAGTATATTAAGAGCAGATGCTAATTAAACATACCTGTAATCAAAGGTTTTATCTTCACCTTGTAAGAATTTTTCCTGCATAATGGTAAGGAATTCTGCTTTTAACTCTCTCTTCTGTTGTTCAGGAATTTTAGGTTTTTCTTCATCATCATCGTCATCATCATCATTAAAATCCCCAGTTTCTAAAATAAAGCAATACAATAAATCAATCAAATCCGTTTTATGGATTCATCAGCTAATGGGTTGAGAATACAAAAATGTAAATTCATATTTCATGCATATATATCTGTATATACCTATAATATATAATAAATGACACTAAGCTAACAGAGCTTCTGTTAATAAACTGGAGATAAGACATTGAAATAATGTTTATTATAAATTTTTATCCCATTTAATTAATAGATTTTATGTATATATAGACAAGTAACTGTAAGTTTCTTAGACTAAACTAACAACTTTTTTATAGGAATATTTTCAAATATCATTAGAATATTTTAAAATATTTCCCTAAAATTATTTGAGGAATATGCTGGTCCAAGATCACTCACATGAGAACTATAACATTAGAATGTCACAAGTTTGTTAATGTCTTTTGTCAGCCTATGGATCATATTCAAGGTTATCCATGTTCAAATGTTCAAAGTGGAACATTTACCCCCAAAATAGTCTTAACAATTATTTACAGTAAGACATGTTGAAGTACAAAATTAGGCAATGCTCAGTATCATTCCTCAAAAAAAAAAACTTGATTTAAACTGGAAGTCATTGTATATGTTGATCAACAAGCCATGGTCATATTCACTTTATTTTACATATACATGTAAAGCAATTGTTCTTGATTTCAAATTTTATGAGTGTAGCTTAAAATTCTTGACATAGACATTTTTTGCATTATTTGTTGTTTTTATAATACTAAAGGACTGGGAGAGGTAAAGTGATTACAATAGCTGAACCTTGGACACATTGTTCCCTAGAAAGCTTTAAAATATACCATTTTTAGAAATTGTATTGGTTTCAAGCTCCATTTCCTGTTCTTCATCGCTATCCTCTTCTTCCTCTTCCTCTTGACCTTCCTGACAAATATATGGTCAAAAACTTCATATGTTTTGAACAAGTTTGATAAAAGGTCTATCATATGAACTAATATAACATTTCCATATATTGAAATTAGACAAACACATTCTAAGTTAAAGTTAAAAGATAAACATTTTACTTTAGATTGCAAGGGAAACCACAATCTGCATGAAAAATTATTTTTTGAAAATCCATAAAATAAACAAAATGGTATACAAGCTGTCAGATGTTTAAAGAAAGATGTGTGCAGCTGAATGGGCTAAGTTGTTAGACTTATTGTAAAATTCTGACTAGCATAAAAGAAGGATGCTATGCTAATGGCATGCATAAATTAATAATATATTTCAAATAATGTTCTTGCAATACCAAAGTAGAGATCGTCTTGACAGTATTATCATTAAAAATGTTAACAGTATTTTCATCAAGGCCATAAACATTCTAACAAATTTATCCATTAACATTTGGGCTACACTGATGGATGAAGACCCAATAGTAAAGATGCCTTTTCATTTCATACACAAGTGACCTGATAAAAAAAAATATGATTATACATGTACATGTATATGCAATTAGATTTATTTTGAAAATACACTTTAAACATTAATTTTGCTATAACTTGCATACCTCTTTATCTTTAGACTGACCAAATCGTACATTTTCATCTAACTGATCTATGTGCTTCAGTAAAATAGATGAAAATGTCAGGTCTGTTTTATCAACTTGCCCTTGAATTTCTTTTTGTGTGAGGTATTGTCCAACCATTTGCTCATATAAATATGGTTCTCTAAATTTCATTTCTTCATCACTGAAGTACTCTCCTTTTGATATCAACTCCTTCATTGCTTCATACCTTCGGTTTTTCACTATATTCTTTTGAAAACTTTTGTTTTTATTTTTCATAACTTGTTTCATATAGAAATCTATTTCATAAACATCTTTTGAATCCATAAAATATTCCAAATCTTCAAGTTCTAAATGATTCCAAAACTTTGAAAGAAATGTCACTTTGTTAGAATCAAGAATATTTTGTGCAATTTCAATTTTTTCTTCAAGATTTAAATCAGGTTCTCCGCGTTGCTGATGTTTAAAGTGAGCATCAGAAAGTGCCACTCGAGCTAACATCTTAGTTCTCACGTAAGATAAATCTGGCATGTTGATTGAACTGGAAGGTTGATTTGCAATGTCAGTTTGCTGTGAGCTTTTATCAGGAATGCCGGAATCTAAGGCCAAATCTGGTTGGTTATAATGTTCTGTTTGATCCATTTCTTCCGAGATATCATTCAGAACATCTCTATTCTTGCTATCTTTTTCAGAAGATTCCGTCAATACTCTTTCATTCTGAAAACGTGCTTCAGCCATTCTCTCTGTAAAAAGTGTGTACTGTTTAAAAAAAACAACAGGAAAACAAGGTTTATTTCAAGGAAGTGGCTAGCCGTACATGACTCACGTACAGCTAGCCAAAAGTTCTAGCCGTACGTGAGTCACGTACGACTAGCAAGGACACACTGTATTGGCTAGCCGTACGGCATTTTCAAAATTATATGGAGTGTCCGAGTTTAAATGTAAGTTATTTAAGATTGTATGTAAGTAGAAGAAGAATGTTAACAATTTTCTAAATGCATGATGTGTAAAGAGTAGCAAAATAGCTTGTATTGTTACAGAACTGGACATTGTGGTTGTTCCACAGTGTGTCCTAGTAAAGCTCCATAGCGTTACGGCGACTATGTGACCTTTTCGTAGTAATGGTATATAGGAAAAAAATTATTTTTTTTTTCAAATTTTTTTTCTTACATTCAACCCAAAATAGTTGTTTTGATGTTTTTTTTTGTTTTTTGTTTTTTTTAACTTCAATTTTTTTTTTATATGGGCACCAAGACTGGACTAGCACCTGTGGCTTGACCGGCATAAACTATCACAAGCCTGTAACGTCTAATATATTGGACTATGATAAAGGCTAATTAATTGATTACATGCTTTTACATGTATGTTCGATATTTATCTACTGTATTTGAAAATTATACAATTATTTTTGCTTTTCACCGTTTTTTTCTTCAATGTTCTTTTTATTTATTCCACTCTGATCATTATTTATTCGATCCATGTGCTTAATTAACAAAAATTCATCTTTCAAAAAAATAAAACAACAAATCATAATCATGAGGCACAAAATAACTTCCTGCCTTTAACACTCGTAAGAGGGGTTGGCAGTATCCAGAGATAGATAGATAACATATGCATGTTCGACTTCCATATAATTTTGAAAAGTGCCGTACGGCTAGACAATACAGTGAGTCCTGGCTAGTCGTACGTGACTCACGTACGACTAGAACTTTTGGCTAGCCGTACGGGTCCGCACGGCCAGCCACTTCCTTATTTCAACCAAAGGAAACATTTCTTTACAAGTGATCGTGAAAATAGGTGAAACTACAGAAAAAAGAATAATACAGTAAATCTCGACAAGTATCAGTCTGTGCCTAAGATGCAAACAATTTAAATTAACATATTGCAACATGAAATCATCTTTCAACACCGTGACAACATTAAATTAGACGAATATCAGTAACTTTTTGTCTTTATTTACTATTTTTATGAAATGGCATCGTCGTAAAATAATATCCAATGAAATTGAGCTTTACAAATATGGTTGACCAATGAAAAGTTGCGTTTCATCTGAAAACCCAACCGGTGTTTACTTCCGGTTCAGATGTGTCAAAGGAAACAGGACGTTTCGGCCCCAAACCAAATCGGCCCCAGTCGAAAAATCGGCCCCTGGACGTTTCGGCCCTTTTCCGCGAGACGTTTCGGCCCCACTATAGTATATTGCTTGTTGATTAACAAAATACAATTAAACAATTTTGACACTTTAATTCTTTAAATAATTATTTATTATCTTTTGATCTCTTGAACCATTTAGATGTACGTTAATGTTTTTAAAGGTGTAACAAACAATAAAGGCAGGTTACTTAATTTAAAACTATTTATAATGTAGCTAAATTTATATACTATGCGAATCTAAGTCGCGACGCGTAAATAAAAGTTCATACAGCATGTTCAATCTATAATTAGTTTAACTCACGATTTTTTCCCGTATTTAGTTGGTTTACTACTAGATAGAAGTATTTTAAGTATTTACACGCGCACGAGAATCTCATTTTACGCGCGGGAGGTATAAACAGAAACCTTGTGTAGCTGATTCAATTTATATTTAAATGACCAGTCTTTTTCTTGTAGTTTATATTTAAATGATCAGTCTTTTTTCTTGTATCAAAAGTAAAATATTATCAATTAAGTATTAATCATAATTGATAATCATGTACTCTTCTGTAAACCATGTTCTCTTTGTATATTATACTCTGTATGCTAAAAACAATGTAAAATGTTTAATGTTGAATAAACTATTATTGTATTGTATTGTATAATTTATAAAACTAACCACTAAAACTTCTGGATTAAGAATGTTAATTACAATTATTACTTAGAAAACATTATCTTTTGATCTTAATTAAACTATACGTACTTTTTTCAAGGTGTAACTAATTAACTGTTTATAGCTTTATGCTAATTGGCGGTAAGTAATATCAGAGAAAACTTCAAAAGATATGAAAAAAACTGTTTGCTATAATCTCATGATAATATTTTTAATTATTATTGCTATTAGATAATGATAGATCAAGTAAAGTTGTTTAATTGTAAAATTGCAAAAAAGTTATTTATAAAAAACAGTGTCTAATTACATTTGTTTCGTTGCAAGTAAAATTGTTTAACTGTACGTTCTGTACTTGTATTTTCGTACCCATCAAACTCGTCACCGTTCAATAGTTGTTGATGATAATTTAATGGCTCTCTCATGTGTTGTTTTGTGTCTTGCTTCTTAATCTTTCAAATAAAATATAACTATATATGTTGTAAATAATTGTTTGTTTGTGTATTATATTTTTTCAAATAAAGTTTATGTTCTGTTCTGTTTGTATTGATTACATTTCCCCTACTACTATTATTATCTAGTTTTTATACAAAATGATTAAATATATATATTAATTGATTCATTTAATCATTGAAATGCTATAAATATATCGGTTTAAAATACAGTACATATTCTGGGGCCGATTTGGTAAAGGGCCGAAACGTCCGGGGCCGAAACGTCTTGGGTAGTTTGGGGCCGATACGTCTTGGGGCCGAAACGTCTCGAAATCGTGTCAAAGCTTGTTGTAGTTAGGGAAGCGATTTTTCTAGAATATTGAAGTATTTCGACCAGTTAACACTTCAGAGTTTGTAGTTTCATTGAACACACAAATATGGATAAGCCACAAATTATTCTCCATGTACAACACTCCTTAAATTACACAATCTTTGACTCAAAGTGGATTCCATGCAGTACAAAATTTGTGGCATTAGGAAATTATGCTCGTGGATCTGGTGCCTTACAAATATATGATCTTTCACATGGAAGTCTTAATTTAGTCAAAGAGGTATACATATTCATACTTTATTTTTGTCTTAATTTTGTAAGTGCACATTCCATCATTCTGATTCATTAAAAGCATTAATATGAAATTAGGTGATACCTTATACAAGTGACATTTACTGAAGTTAACTTGATAATACTGTATAGGAGGAGCTTACAAGCCATCTTGGCTTAAATGCTCAGAAGAAGGAGAAGGTAGGTAAAGGTTAGATTGCCATGTACAATGTAGGCTACATACATGTGAACTTTTTTCAATGATCAAGTGGGAGATTTTTCTTCAAAAAGAGGGAGATTTAAGAATTTGCAATAAACAAAGAATGAAGAAGGAAGTTCTGACATCAAAAATAGGGAGATTTTTTTAATTTGTGAAAATACCCCTTATTTTAAGACAAATCTTTGAAAATATGGCTGAAAAAAGTGGGAGTCTCCCGCCTAAAGTTCACATGTATGAGGCTATATGCCATGGCGCAGAAAGCTCTTGATTTAATATCAAGCATAACATGCTAAGTATACATGTAAACCAGAACTTTCTTGCTCTTTGTAAATGAATAAATGTAGTATTTTTTACGTAAACAGAAACAAATAAATTGGTGGTGATCAACCTATCATCGGAATGTTCCGAATATTTCTGAAGATCTCCTCACAGTGATTTGATGTAGCGAAGCAAAGGGTTGTCACTCCATCCGAGTTTTGAAAATCCAATCCGCCATTTTTGTTAATCTCTAATCACAGTTGTTTTAACATTATTTTTGATGTGTTGATTTTGCGAAATGTATATGTAAAAGTTACTTTTTATTCAAGAAGTCAAAGCAGTCACTGGCTTTGACTTGCCCGGCTGTAGACTACACTTGTATATTTTAAGGAAATCAAATGTAAACAATTGAAAAAAATTATAGATTTCTATACCTATCAGTGAAATTTTAAGTGTCATTTATGTGCGCCGCCAAAAAATGTACCATTTAGGGGAATGCCCCAGATCTAACGTCTGGAATGTACAGAGAAAACTGGAAATTAACATTTAGCCAGATTTCAGAATTGGTGAATTGTATGATTTTTATACTATTTCAGGCAGAAAAATCAAAAGCATTTAAATGTGGAACATTTGGTGCATCAAGTCTTCAACAAAGGTATCTTGCAACTGGTGACTTTGATGGAAAAATGGCAATATGGTATGTGTGAAACAAAAAAAAAAATATTTTGTTATTTATGTATCAACTGAAAAAGCTTAAAAAGCTTCATACAACAAAAAACATGTTTTGTCAGTCATTTGAATTTCATTGACTGAATGATAATTTAAAAAGAACTTACTTTTTGATTTGCTTTTTATATTGCGGCGTTTTTGCTGTTGTTGATCAATTAGATAAAATGGTATTGGCATCTATACTAAATATATCAGTAGCTTTGGTTTCACCTAAAATGGATTTTATTTGAAAGCATAAGATATATTATATGTTTATTATTTATTAAACTTTAAACTTATTAAATCTTATTATCATGAAAGAAATGAATGCAGAATATATGCTATAAAACTTTTTTTACCTTTGAAAGAATATGAACCAGTACACTGATATCAAAAATGCATAATTAATATTTCCAAAGATATAAAACACTGTTCATTGCTATTTCCTTTACAGACTTTTGTGAAATATAGTTACATGTAATGGTACATATATTGTAAAAAGCTATGTGTTAACTTAAAGTGACAAAGTGCCTATCCAAAAGTATATAGTGAGTGAACATGTGAAAGTCAAAATTAGTTTATGTGTTGTCATAATTCCTTTTGATTTTATAGTTTACTTTGCATTAACACTAGATATCTTGGTGGTTCAATGAAATTTCTATAAATATCCATCACAACATACCTATAAGGTTCAATTTATAAAAGGAGTTGGGCAGTCTTTTTATATTTTATGCAGATTTATATTTTACCCAATATCAAACACCATTATAACTTTAAATTATATTGTCAATTAAACACAACTCGACAATGCAAAAATGAGCATAATGTTACTTTAAGATTAAAGAGAAAGTCATCTTCATTGATAAAACAATTAATGATTTAAATAAGTTTTATTGGTATTTATGTTTCATTAAATACTTTGTTCATTGATAAAGGATTAATATAGAAGTAACAAATGATGCTGCATTATATCATAATGTTTCTTTATTTTAGGAATTTAGAGGCACTAGAAGCTCCAGTATATTCAGTAAAGGGTCACAGTGAAATAATCAACTGTATAGATGGTGTAGGGGGTCTTGGTATTGGAGAAGGAGCCCCAGAAATTGTAACAGGAAGCAGAGATGGTATGTACTATCTGAGCCGCGTCACGACAAAACCAACATAATGCGTTTGCGACCAGCATGGATCCAGACCAGCCTGCGCGTCCACACAGTTTGATCAGGATCCATGCTGTTCGCTTACCAACTCTATTACAAGTAGAGAAACTGATAGCAAATAGCATGGATCCTGATCAGACTGCGCATCCACGGATGCACAGGCTGGTCTGGATCCAGGCTGGTCGCAAACCCATTAAGTTGCTTTTGTCGTGACGCGGCTCAATTTTGTTTTTCCGGTAATACTAAACTACTGTTGGAGCTGGTGTTGTAATTTGGGCATGGGCAAGTTCACATATAGTTTCATTATGATTGAAAGGCACCAAGTTTCGAAGCTAATAACTGAGTGCTTTATACCGAAAACTTAAAAATCATTTCAAGTTTTTCCTCATAAGTGAGAATTGAAGAGAGCATTTAAGGTGTATGCTATAGTTATCTATCAAGGCAGTGTCATTCACTCAGTGCCCCATTTCTTGTATAGTTGCTGTCATTTGTATAATCTCAGAAAGTACTATACACCAACATTCAATTAATATTGGAGACAGTTTACACTATGTAACCAAAATAAAATACTCACAATTGTTCGAAATATTGTGTGAAATAAATGTAAGACTAAAAATTATTTCAAAGAAGGTGTTTTCAGTTATATGCATGTTAAAGGAGTTACATATAAACATATAGGCATGAAAACCGTATAATTCTATTCATATGCTGCTTAGAATATATTTATTATATTCTTACATTATGCAAAATAAAGAGAAATTCTATTATGTGGTTTTCAATCTGCTATGTGTCTATATGTTACTGTAGAATATGCTTTTAACCTTTCAATAAGATGATAGCCTTTCCTTAAGATGATGAATGCCTTTATTCAGGATAAAAGATGGGCAAGTCCATTTATAGGTATTTAGAGTGGGATGGGAATGATTAAAGATAGAGAGAAACATAAACAACTAAATTTATATAAAGACACATATTTTTGTGAAATTGATATATGTAGGAACATTTAAAAGGACCTTCAAATGCATCTGTGTTTGTAATTTTATGCTACACATTAAAGCCAATTTACTAAAGGGTTTGCCAAAAAATGTACACACCTTGTCCTGTTTGCAATCTTAAATCCATTTTGTTTAAAAATTAGAAAAATTGACCAAATCTTACCAAGACAAAAATATACTATGTGTCAGGGTGAACTTAAGTAGTTAGTTTAATATCTAGTCATAGAATGTTAAGTTATATGTATGTGTTATTGTTACAGGTAGTGTGAAGGTGTGGGATCCAAGACAGAAAAATGACCCAGTAGCTACAATGGAGCCAGGGGAGGGTGAGGCAAAGAGGGATTGTTGGACAGTAGCTTTTGGTAAGTAACAAAGGCCTCTACCGAATCAATAGTTTTATTTCTTCAATAGTTCAGTGCTAAGGTTGAATCATTAAAACAAAAGTTAAAACAAAAAAGTAACCATTATTTTGAATAACATACTTAAAAAGTCTCAATAGTTGTTACATCATATTGACAGCCTTGGTATGTAATTATTTACATGCTGACAAAAATAAAAAATACATCAGATCCACACTTTTTTACATATGAAAATACCTGAATTTCATAATAAGTTCTCTTGTTCTGTTTCAACAACAGAACAATAGATACAATACTTCTATCTTAGTAAACATATTTTGAATTTTGAATAAAATGTTTTTTATTTTGTTTACAGGCAATGCCTACACACCTCATGAAAGATGTGTATGTGCAGGATACGATAATGGGGATATAAAACTGTTTGATCTAAAAACCATGTCACTTAGATGGGAAACTAATGTCAAAAATGGGGTGAGTATAATATAAACAATGTACTGAAATATTATTAGGCTTGTATTATAAAGAATTAGAAAAAAATGATGAAAAATAATGATAATATGACTTATTTTTAATCTGAAGTTAAATCACTCAATGAGTTAAAGTGGTCACTTTAGATTCCTGACAAATTTGTTATTTTCCATATCATCATTATCATTGAAAAATCATCTTATTATTTGAAACTCATTTAAGACATTTACGGAGCTCATATTTTTTTGGCTTTTTTAATTAATGGTTTCGGCATTTATTTATTTCTTATCACCATAAAACCATTACATTTCATATCTCTACAAAACGTGATATGTTTAATGGTATATGTTTAACAGGTTTGTGATGTGGAGTTTGACAGAAAAGATATTAACATGAACAAACTGGTGGCAACTACGCTAGAATCTAAGTTTCATGTTTATGATACTAGGACTCAGCATCCCACAAAAGGTTTTGCCTCTGTTACTGAAAAGGTGACTTGATATGTTTTATTACATTTCTTATTGTTTTTATAGCAAAAGATGAAAATGAAGAATTTGATTAAAGAAATTTGATTTTAGCATGAATTGTTAGGAAAATTATTGATATGTATATGTAGTTTTTTACAACTGAAGTACAAAAATATCAAACAACATCAAAATATATATGTATTGAAAAAAATTGTATTTCTCAGTACCTGTCACACGTTTGAGTTTCATTTGCCATGTTCATGATATCAAACAGTTATAAGAAGTCAAAATTTTCCAATTCAAATATATTTACTAGAGCCAGATACTCACACACAGGTCTGCAATTTTCAAATATGTTTAATTTTTTTCATTTATTGAATAGGCCCACAAGTCAACAGTTTGGGCAGTAAAACATTTACCTCAGAATAGAGATATTTTTATGACATGTGGAGGCAATGGGACGGTCAATTTATGGAAATAGTAAGTACCTCACATATATATAATGCATATAAATATATATGTTTTTTGGTTTTCCTTCTAAAAAATAGAAACAGGGTATCATCATTATAGAGCTAGGACATTGTGCACTGCTGTGCACCTAACCAAGGTGACCAACTTCAGATTTTCATCTTGATATCCCTAAAATTTGTAATGGACAGTACCACAGATTGTAGTTGGATAGTTCTATTTTAAGAAATTCAGGAGGTTACATCCCTAAAACTATCAAAGCAGAGCATGGTAATATACAATGCAAACTGAGTAGGTTTAGGATAAACCATTGATTTCACTGCATTTTTTGTGAAATTAGTAGATTTATTTCAGATTTTTTGACCACAGAAAAAGTTGGGATTAGATTATCTTGATTTTCAAACCACAAAAATTCTGCCCAGTATTAAAAGCTACAAATAGTTTCAAAAATATACTAAGCTTAAGGAGCTGTAATGTAAAATAATATGAAATAATATAAATTGTGTTTTTTCAGCAATTACCCAGTAAACAGAGTAGCGAAAGACGGTGATGAGATAGAAATTGGCGTCCCAGGAACTGTATCACTTATTCAGAATACAGTTCTCTCTACGCAACCAATCAGCTCATTTGATTGGAGTCCTGATAAGGAAGGCCTTGCTGTGTGCACATCTTTTGATCAAATGTTACGTATATGTATTGTTACAAAACTCAAAACTATTGGATAACACTGCTGTTATTTATTGGACTGTTGCCAAATTAACAAAATAGAGAGTGAATATTACCCTTGAGAGTTAAGACCTTGGAAGAGGTTGAAAATTGATCTGAATAATGAAGAAACTTTGAAAGTCAGATTCTTTCTGGCAGTATCTATGTAATGGAATGCTAGTTTGAACTGTGTTTACTGATTTTCTGTGAAATCCAAAGCTTAAAAAAATGTGGCATTAAGATTTATTTATAAATCTGTTGCAAATATATGTGCATAAATATACATGTGCAAGAATATGACTGGCACTGTAAATTTGTATTGTATTACCTAATACAGAAGGGTTTTATGGAATACTAGTTATCAACAATAAGAGATGTTAAAACTGTTGGTCTTGTCATGTAAAAGGTTTAACTGTATTGAGGCATTATATCTTTGATTCATCTGCTTGTTTAGAATGGATGGTGTATTTTTTAGTACATGAAAATTTCACATTTTCAAGATATTCTTTTTTCCCATTCAGATAAAACTGATTTAATAAAATTATTGCATATTAATCAATCTTGGCACTTGCTGTAACAGCTTCATTATGTAATTTTACTCCAACTTACATTGTTGTGACATGATTTTTAGCTCGACTATTCGATAAGAATAAGTAGAGCTATTGCAGTCACCCGAGCGTCGGCGTCGGCGTAACCACTTATGTTAAAGTTTTTGTAATAGTTCAAATATTTTCAAAGTCCATTGACATGTGGCTTTGAAACTTTGCACACTTGTTCACCATCATGACCCCAACCTGTAGACAGGAGGAGGTAACTCTATCAAGCATTTTGACAGAATTATGCCCCTTTTTCGACTTAGAATTTACGTTAAAGTTTTTGTAATAGTTCAAATATTTTCAAAGTCCATTGACATATGGCTTTGAAACTTTGCACACTTGTTCACCATCATGACCCCAACCTGTAGACAGGAGGAGGTAACTCTATCAAGCATTTTGACAGAATTATGCCCCTTTTTCGACTTAGAATTTACGTTAAAGTTTTTGTAATAGTTCAAATATTTTCAAAGTCCATTGACATATGGCTTTGAAACTTTGCACACTTGTTCACCATCATGACCCCAACCTGTAGACAGGAGGAGGTAACTCTATCAAGTATTTTTGACAGAATTATGCCCCTTTTTCGACTTAGAATTTACGTTAAAGTTTTTGTAATAGTTCAAATATTTTCAAAGTCCATTGACATATGGCTTTGAAACTTTGCACACTTGTTGACCATCATGACCCCAACCTGTAGACAGGAGGAGGTAACTCTATCAAGCATTTTGACAGAATTATGCCCCTTTTTCGACTTAGAATCTACGTTAAAGTTTTTGTAATAGTTCAAATATTTTCAAAGTCCATAGACATATGGCTTTGAAACTTTGCACACTTGTTCAACATCATGACCCCAACCTGTAGACAGCAGGAGGTAACTCTATTAAGCATTTTGACAGAATTATGCCCCTTTTTCGACTTAGAATTTACGTTAAAGTTTTTTGTAATAGTTCAAATATTTTCAAAGTCCATTGACATATGGCTTTGAAACTTTGCACGCTTGTTCAACATCATGACCCCAACCTGTAAACAGGAGGAGGTAACTCTATCAAGCATTTTGACAGAATTATGCCCCTTTTTCGACTTAGAATTTACGTTAAAGTTTTTGTAATAGTTCAAATATTTTCAAAGTCCATTGACATATGGCTTTGAAACTTTGCACGCTTGTTCACCATCATGACCCCAACCTGTAAACAGGAGGAGGTAACTGTATCAGGCATTTTTTTTACTATCAAGCACTAAGAATAGTCGAGCATGCTGTCCTACCGACAGCTCTTGTTGTGATATGTAAATATATATGTTTGTGTTTTCACAAGTTAAGAATGTGTTCAGGAGTTTACTATGCTGTTTCATATGTAAAAAAGTTCATTCATAAAACAAATCACATCTTTTATTATTAAAGTATGAAGAACAAAGATAATCTTGCTTTTGTTTTTAGTTAGTCACCGTATATATATGTGGAGTAACAGAGTTGACTGATTCACTGTTCTATTTCTACTAGTCATGGTTTGCTTAGGAAATATATATCAATTTTGAGTGCATTATAATAGGAGCTCAATTGCAGAGGAATATAATTATGAAGGCAGATATATGCCTGATCACCTGAATGTTTAATTACAAAGCATTTGAACAAAAAAACCCTGCATTATAATACTATTATGTAAGAAAAATTAGTATCTATTTCCATTTCTTACATGCAAATAAAAAAGATAATTGATAAAAATATGTTGAACTACATTTAGCGTAGTAGAAGTCATTTGGTTTATTGACGTCATATCCGACATTATATAGCATTTGTTGTTTTTATGCTGTGAAATTACAGTTTAATAATGCACCTCATTACCCTATCTGTTTGACAGGGGAATAGTGTGAAGCATGTTAGAATATGATTTGAAGAATCATGCATATTTAAGTTATTTAAATAATATTTATTACGTTAAAAAAATTATGTATGTCTTGCAATAATACTGATATGAATTGTTGCTGAAAACAGATGTGTTTCCGATATTGTCAGCAGATGTGAAGTTTGTACAAATATGGTAAGACAGAGCTACCTTAAAATGTGCTTTAAATTATTTTCATCTGCTTACTTGTGCAATGAAGGGCCCCTGAAGCATACCTTCACCAATGAAACTGGCAAGGCACTACATCATATCCACAGTATTACTTTATCCCAACAAGCACTGAAGAATGAACTTATACTTTTAGCTGAGCAGGAACATGTTTATATATTCCATTATTCCTTTTCATGTGCCAAAAAGCAATTATATTGTGTTGTGAAGTGAAACCCTACTGACAATTATTAACTTAAAATGTCAATTTAATGGGCAAAAAGATTGACCCAATTCTTTTAATGTTAAATGATTGACCCAGTTCTGTTAATGTTGGCAGTTATTTTGTTATCCTTTCAAACTAGGGCCACAAATATTTGGGCATTTCTGTTAAATCTCAGATTTTCTCCTTCTGTTGTATATTTGATTATGAGTATTTCTTGAACAATTTTATCCGAAAAATGACTTAAAAATTTAAAGTGTGATTCTAACAGAGGCAATAGAAGCCACATAAATTACAATCATTTATGCTGTTTTCTTCATTTAATTTGAGGAATTCTAAAAAATTAATGTAACAAAATGTACACATATCATATAAACTGGGTATATGTACACTAACTGCTGTTCTACAGAAATAAGAAACTTCGACGGGAGTGATAGCAACAATAGAATGTTTCTAATTTCTGTAGAACAGCTGCGGATGAATTAACTAACATACTTTGTGTCAAGGTTTATTTGGCCTCATTAATATTCACTTTATTACATCATAACTATTTTAAAGAACGCGGTTTTATGAAGCACTATGAAAAATAGAAGGCTTCTTTGAACAGAATTTCATATAGTATCAACTTTGTTCTTCTATGAAAATTAACGCACAACATTTTTAGGAAATACAGCATTTTCATTGGATGACAAATAAGATGGACACTAAAATATATCTCCAAAAATATTAAAAATTTATAGATGTCTTTTCAGTTTCTATACAAATGAGCTGTCATTGAGGCCAAAGTTTTTAGCCAAGTAAGCTGCCTTTGTGGCTAAGTGGTTGTGTTGCTGATTTCAAATATCACTTGCCCCTCAACACTGTGCCGGGTTTGAATCCTGTCAGGGACTTTGGCTTCTTTTACATGAGGAGGAAATACAGCTTGCTTAAGGAAGGTTGATGGTTTTTACTCAAATGCCTTCTTCTGCCTGAAATAATGCAGAAAGGGGCACCTGTGGTCTTCCTCCACCATCAAAGCACAACTTTACAGTGTTGGTGTGACTTTAAATCTATTTAAAACTAACAAGATAGACAAAATAGGAAAGTACAATGCTTTTGTGCCATAGATTTGTGAGTTTTGATCCTCAATGTTGTACATGTCTTCTGTGCATAATTTTGCAACAGACATCAGGTCTTTTGCCATTGCCAAACTACATGTACTGTTTAAAAGGTGATTTAAGTGGGCAAGTTTAAAATGACTTGTAGAAAGAACAAATACTGGTAAGTAAAGTTCAAAGTAAACGTTTGTTGGGATTTGACAGAAGTTTTTGCTGGCACTAAAACCAAAATCTTTACAAGTAAAAGGTCATTTCAAGTACAAATACAAATCGAAAGGAAACAAGTAAAATGCAAGGATTCAAAATTTTCATAAACTTTTATTGCAAAATGCTATTTTAAATTTTTTATAGATACATGTACAATGAATAGGTAACATTCTAGAGCATAAAGTTATAATCTTTATCAATGAAATTACAGAATAGAAGAGAACTTAAAAATGCATACACCATATAAAAGTGTTTATTAAACGGAATGTCCAGGTACTGCTGTAAAATACACCATACACAACAAGACTTTGTCAAAACAGAATAATCATGTAAGCTCTAACAAAATCTATGAATAAATAAATGTTCAAAAAATAAAATAACAGTGCACAATTTTTATCACAGACTTTTCATACAAATAGTAGTTCACATACAATATTGAACAGTAGTTGATTTTGCTTTATAAACACAGTTTTCCCAACATTATCAATGAATAAAATGTCATATTTTTTTCTATAATATGCCAAAAGTTGATCTCTAGTCTACTTGTGGATTTTGTTGGAACAAATACTCAGCCTGAAAAAATAGATACAGAAATATATATCGACATGTGTATAAAAGACATAAATAAGAAATAACATTTTTTAAAAGTGTAAAAATAACCTTGAAATCATACTAGCTTGTCAAAAGGCTTTTCTGACAAAGTAATTTTAAACATTCATTTTTGAACCCCTTTTCAAGTTCAATTAAGGAAAAGATGGATAATCATGTTAGAATGAAATTATATAAACTCTCTGACAGGAAGATGAAGATACATTTATTTATTAAAGGGACTCCACCTAAGTTTTTTGACATGAAAAGACAGGAATTTTTTTTTCGAAACTTTAACAGTATTTGATGTAGGTCTGGATTAATAACTTGTGTGCAAATTTTCAAATTATCCCCTCGATCAGTTTTCCAAGAATAATCACTTTAATTGTGCAAAATGACCAAGAAATGAAAAATGTTGCTTTTCACTCAAACTTGACTAAAAAATCGTGCAAAAAAAAAAGATTTTTAATTTTACTCTGAATATTTTTCTTTGTAAACGAATGCATATTCTTCCATATTAAGTGAAACACTTGCTCTATGCAAGAAATTAAAATTTTATGTTTTTAGGCTTTTTGACCTCAGTGGAGTTTGTTAAAACTGTACTTGCTATTACATGTATCTCTAAGAGAAAATGATTAAAATTGAGTAGCTCACAATAAAATGTCTGATTGGGCTAGCTTTATTTGGTTGTTTACAAATAATACAGGTTTTACTAGTACTATGAACTTACTAGGAAATCAATGGCGTCATCTGGTCTGGTTTTACAACATTCAATGAGGCCCTGGGTGAGGGTAGGCATCACATGTTTCATGAGATAATTCCTCAATGGTATTGACTGGGCCTCCAGCAGTTCATACTCCTCACGTTTTACTTCATTCAATCTTTGTGTCTGTAAAAATAGTGGGATTAAATGTAAACAACAACAAAACATCATTGGTGAGGACATTAAAAAGATAATTTGAGGTTATCTCTTTGAGTTTCTGTTAATGATATTTCAATTTATTTGAATAAAATTACATAAAAGTAGGGTCATATGTGTGCTAAATGAAGTATTTCACTGCTGCCAGTGGTGAAATACTTCATTTAGCACACATATGACCCTAATTTTTAATTAAGACTTAAATAGCCAGAAAAAAAATAATAACAATATTCTTATTTAAAGTGATACAAAACTCAACAAATTATTTACCCATTCTTCTTGTCTCTTCTTTCTCTCTTGTGCTTCTTCTAATTCTTTTCTCTCTTTCTCTTGTTTTTGCTCAGCTTCTTTCTTTTGTCTTTCTTCTTCTTCCAGTTTCTTCATTTGTTCAAGCTCCTCAGGTGTAGGTCCTGGAAGACAGAAATATTTTAGTTTTAATGATTTACGAATCCTTTTTGGATGAAATATGCCTCTTCAACCACCTTTTGAAAGAATATGTGCTTGGTTTGAAGATTACACTTCTTAAGAAGTGAAATACTGACAAAGAAAGACAACCTCTGTGCCTTGATATTTCAAAAATGAACTGGCATCAACAAAGAATCATTAAGCTTCAGTATGTGATTGTATTGAAGGTGGAGGTCTGATTATAAACAACTTCCAAAAAATTACTGACAGAGACCTGAAGTACCACTCAAGTATTTCTAAACACAGATCAATGTCTTGGAGGTGTCAAGATATTCCAAGAAGCCCCAAGGAAAGAACAACTCATTTTTCAAAGTTGGTAAACAAAGATTTTGTTCATGAAAGAATAAGCCTTGAAGAATTATCATATTGTTTAGCTTCCTAGATTTGTATAGTGATTTGCATGGGTTAAAAAAAATCATTTATCTTTATATTTTGGCCTAAAATTACAGGTATTCCATGATGAGAATTAACATTAAAAACAGATTTCTAGCTTAAATATGACAGCAACAACGCCACGTTGCTTATCAAACTTGTTTTTATAAGGAGTGACATGTAAATATGAATCAATTTTTGGTTTCCTATAAGACACAGCACTTGCAAATATGATTAACTTCTTACCATAATTTCTGGCTTTTCCAATGATTTTCTTTATTTTTTCTACTGTATCCTTCATCATATGGGAGCTATCTTTCACAACATCTGAAATAAAACACAAAATTATAAACATTTATTCAAAATGCATACAGCCCCGCTGTCTTATAGATTATCAAAATGATTAAGCTTAACATTTTTGTCATTCACATTTAGAAAGTACTGAAGAAGATGATTTTGATAACAATATATATTACTGTTATTGGTAAAGCAAACATAATTTTCTCAATATCTCTTCTAATTAAGAGATTTGTCCACCAGCTTAAAATGAAATTCAATTTTCTGTATGCCATTGTATAAAGAATTTTGCTAACTCAAACAAGTGTGAGGGCTTGAATGGTAACTATGTACCATACTTATATGAAACATCTGAAAACTAAATGTTTTCTTATCAATATTTGTAATATATAAAATCATTAAAATCAATATATACCAATATCTTCAGGATGTATCTCCAACTCATCAAAATAATTAAGGACAGTTTCTTCCTCTGTATTAGCGTTCCTGTAAGCCTCGAGTCTCCTCACAAGACCCTCCTCCGTGTTATGAGTGTTGACCACCTCACTCTCGGGAAGGTTCATCACACGATGTTTCAGAAATTCATCATTAGCTTTAAGACTGATGACGTGGTCAGGCATTATAAGACGGTTATAGTTAGTTGGCTTGGCTGACTCCTCAGGCTCCTCATCATCCTCAGCTGTAACATAAATAAAAGCATGATATAAAAATAGAAATGTCATATCAAAGTCAAAGTGCGATATCAAAAAAATAAGTTAATATCAAAACATAATCTGATATCAAATAACAAGATAAAGAGATATGAAAAAAACATAAGACTATACTACACAAGCTTGATAACATAATGTAAAGAAATGTTTAAAGCAATAACTTCCGTAAACTTCCCTCAACATTTTATTATAATATGCCTATTGGTACATTCTTGTTAGAATATATACTTTGTTTGGTAGTAAATCAAAACTACTAGTATTAATTTTTAACCTACATTTTAACAAACATAACTGCAAATTCAATTACTGGTAAAAGAATCAAAGTTATGGTACACAATGTTTTTGTTCAATTGTGAATATGAACGAAAAGAATTCTTTAGCAAGTCATAAATACATTGAACAGTAGAATATTCATAAGAATCTTACATGCAAAGAGCTCTTTTGCTTGTTCCATAGTCTTTGGAAAACCATCCAGGATAAACCCTTGGTTCTGACACGGCATTGATAAAAGTTTGTCTCTGAAAAATTTGAGGACATATGTATCCTCTATACGTCCATTGTTATTTTCCTTGCCCTCATTGATTGAGTCGAGAAGTTCTTGAGCATCTTGGGCTTTTCCTTCATCTTCTTCCTGATCTTCAGAATCAGCACGACGAGATGTGGTTGTCTGAAGGAAGACATATAACTGTACATAAGATAACTGCATTCATTATTATAGAAACAACTTAACACAATGATCTAAAATCTGTATTGGTATTATATATTACTTCATGTTTAAGTCATTACTGTTTTGGAAATTGGGGAGAGGTATAAAAAAAAGATTCTTCATACAAAATGCTGAAAATTCCATTCATGAAGTTTATTACGCTGTACATTCAAATGGACAATGATGTTAACTTCAACTCTGTTATCAATGAAACTAGATATTCTAGTATCTGAGTAAATATTATCTTTACAACAAATTTAGTATATAATCATACCAAGTCATCTATAGCCTGATCAATGACGTCTTTAATCTTGATGTGATGTAATTTGTAATGCTCACACAACTGTTTCACAACTGTTGACTTTCCACTGGCTGGTGGTCCCAATACACACACTCTCAATGGCTGAAATAAATAAACAAAATATGATGTATTCTATAACAATGTAGTTTTAATGCCATTTGTCACTCCAATACTGAAGGGACAGATAGAATTTCTATATTTTTTAATATGAAAGAGGGGGTAATTTTAACATAGAAGAAATCCCAAGTTATAGAACTTGGCCTGGGAAGAGATCATAATGTGTTTGATACATGTATAAAATTTCATTGTAAGTTTGAGTCACTGGCTTCAACTCATAGGTAAATTATATTTTAAGCCATCTGTATAATTATAGTCAAAGTCGTTAATATTGCTTGTTTTAGTATTGTATATATAAGTTGGATTTTTACTTAGCAAAACCAGACTTATGGCACAGTTAACATATATTAAAGTGAACTGAAACTTCAGACATAAAAAAGAGCATATTTTTATACAGTTTTATGCTTATTACAGTGTAAACTGACCCAATGATATTCATCAACGGGTTTTAACTAATCAAGGATATTACACAATGAGCATGGCAACTTAATACAATTTGAATAAAATATAGAAATATGAAATACATTGTACTTACATGTAGGTTCCTGGTATCTTTGTATTCTTTGATAATAGCTTGTATATTCTCCACCATACCAGCCTCTGACACCCAACTGATTCTCATGTTTTCTTTGACATTCACTGCATCCATACGTAGGTTAACCAGTAACATGTCAAAATCATTTTGCTGAAATGTTCATTATAATGAAAAATTATCATTTTCCTATGCTATTTTGACGACAAATAAGAAAATTCTTTATGACAACAATATCACTTTGTATGTTGTTTCATTTCATTAGACAAAATTGTAATGCAACACAAGCTGGTTCACCATTTAAAGGAAACTACTCACGTTAACAGTACTTTATGTAAAGCTTGCTTCACAGGTGCAAAACAAAAATCAAACCACTTGGTCTGCTGTTTCAAAATTAAGATAATTATGTTTTGTTGATATTTTTGTGTGTTTTTCTCTTTCTCTCAATTTTTTTTTTTAATTTCTCTGCTGTTTACTAATATTAAATTTTTGTCAATACCTCAATTTCCTTATTCAAAAGTGCTTCTTCTTTGGTAATATTCTTCACTTTGTCTGTGCCCAGGCTTCCACTAACACTCTACAAAACAAGTCAAAAGATATATAACAACTGCAATTAATCATTTTTTTGTACCCATAAAAATTGTAAAGCAGAAAAATGAAAAGATGATGGAACAAAAGATTGTATTATTTATTTACAAAACATCAAACACATTACAGACGATCATGCTCTAAGATTTAACATGAATAAGTACTTCATTTCATTTCTCTCAAAAAAGCTTTTCATATGAGTTTATATATTTATCCTCAATTTTGGAAGAATGAGTATTACAGTTTGTAGAGGATCTATGTATAATGTATGGTAAGTATGGTAAAACTGTTACCTTGACAATTTCTTCTAGGGTACTGTTTGAGTCATCTTTAGCAATGAGATACCGCACCTTGGGTCGACTGTCAGCAATATTCTGGATCACTCTGTTTATTGTAAATATGTATATATCATAAACTTTGAAACACATTATATATAATGGTACAAATGTTACAAACTGTAAGTCAAAAACACTGCATAAAAATCCTTAGAAATATCAAGTTCAATTTAAAATATTATAAATGTTCAACTTTGCTTTACATGTATATACAAAAAGAATATCACTTACGCAGCTAGATCTTTAATGTGGATTGTGGGTACAACATTCTGTCCATTTCCAAAGCACAGGAGCTCTGGGGCATTGTGCCAGGCAGACTGAAAATCAAATTGCAAAAAATGGATGGTAAGTTTATAAATAAAAGATTCTTGTGTTAAAATGTGTTAAATGTCATCATCAAATGTATATATAGTAAAAAATTCACATTCTACCTATTGAATTACATGTATTTACACTATTAAATTTTATAAAATCTGATTAATCAATTTTGTTATTTCTTTCTCTGATAATTTTGAGTAACATTTCAACTTTTGTCCAAGCATTGTGGACTTCAGACTTAAGTCACATACAGTATTTATTCCGATCAGACTACATGGTCAAATATGCAGGACAGCCCTTTACTGTTGACATAAACCTGCAATTAATAAATTTTACACTCTAGTCTGTAATAATTTGCATGTTACACTCTAAATAATGATGTTACCTTGAAGAGATAATGGAAAATCTGCTCCTCAGCACCATATGTGAGACCAGATGCTACCACATAAGTTACCAGCTTGCTTTTGTTCTGAAATTATAATATTTAAGTTACATATATTATACATGTGATTAAAAAATATCTAAATCACCATTTTCATCTCACTTTTCACTTGATTGTTAAGTTATCATTTGTATTACTTTTAAGGGTAAAAAATAGATCCATAAATCATCATAAACATTTGTTTATTTCTGTTGGCACATCTAACATAGCACATGTACAATGCAGAAAGATAAATGAATCTACAGATGGAATCATTCATTATATTGATGATAATGAAGATGATTTACATTACCCATGCATAAAAATTGAATATACATGACAAGGTTACAGTTACATAAGTGTGTGAGTGTCTCATTTTCAAAACAAAAAAATTATACATGCTTTATATCACAGGCTAGGGCAGTTGCATACTTGAAATAAACAATACATCTCATCAATATTGAATAAAATGTGCATATCACTCATGTGTGTTGTATAATTATAAAATATATACAACAAGTTTACAATATATCATTATAAACATATAGATAGTTTTCCTCCTGTACGTGCATTATATAAACATGCTAAGTATGTGATACAATATACAGCTTACTATATAATCTTCAACAGGTGTAGAAGAGGCACTACTCCCATCCTAGTATAATTTAATCAGTTCAATATTGATTATTCAATCTCCCCTTATCAAGTTACAAGACTGTTATTAAATATGAATTTTAAACAATATCAGGGTTACGCTGATTCTAGGCACTTCAAATAACCAGAACTGTGACAGGAAGTAACACAGTTGGCAAAAAATTCTTCTCCATGATTATGGATAGGATCCCTTAAAACAGTAGTCAATAAATGAGATTCATTAAGTCTAAATTTCATTTCGTTGATTTACCAGTACATTACAAAGCCAGATGAAATAATGAGGTGGAAAATAGGAACCCATATTACATTTAACTGATCGATCTTTTAATTAAAAATTAAATTTAACAAAAAAATTGATCAACCTAAGCCAATAGAAAATAGCAAGTCTAAGCCTTTAAAATACTTAATCTCTAGGATATGCCTGATACTTACAGTCTTTCCCAGCTTAATAACTGTTTTCTCAGCACTGATGTGTTCCTTGAAATTAGGATGTGGTTTTCTTCTTCTGTAATCATCCTCAGTGAATGGGATTTCTGGATCATCCTATCGTAAAAATATGCTTATTATTCAATGTACTGCATTACTTTATCGGTTAACATGATCTACTCTTACAATTTATTCTATCTTCTCATTGTGTCTGCATTACTTCATAAAACAAACATAAGCATTTACCACAACCGCTAAAAGTTCAATACTTTCAGTATTACTAAAGCATTTTCTGTGAATGACTTAAATTTAAAGAATTAAGTTGATTATGTAAAGTGGTATACTTATATCGTAGTGCTATAAAGATTGGTGACCTATAAGCGAATATCTCATTTTTCATTGTTGATTTTTGGATTATAGATTAGTTTATCAACTTACAGGGTCCAATGGCTTGCTTTTGGCCCATGTCATCACAGAGGATATGAGGATAAACATTTTGGGCTTCTCAATTTTTTCCAGATCAGAATGAAGTTCTGAAAGTAGAAGATAACTGTAAATTAGATATTAATCCTATGATATAGCAATCTACATCCAACAATAACAAGAGCTGTCCGTAAGACAGCGCGCTCGACTTTTTTATTGCTTGCCAATAAAAAAAGTTTTTGCAGTAAAAGGCAATACAAGAATCTCTGTATTTTTAAAGTGAACTAGTTGTTTGATACCCTTGAATATTACAGCAATGTTTATATGACATAATTTATGGTAAAGTGAACAAGTGGATAGGAATGAATTTTTTTAGATTTTTTAAGTTTTTTATTGCTTGCCTATAATACAAAACATTGACAGTTAAGGGCCATAATTCAAATAAAATCTTTGACAGAATTACCTTCTCCTGGACATGTTTGGGAATCATGATTGTAAACAAGTATTCCAACTTTCAAATTAATATCTCAAACAGTTCAGTCAAAAAGTGGACTGGTACTAAAAACTTAACCAAGATTCTAAGTCGATAAAAGGCCTTAATTTTTAAAACAAATCCTTGACAGAGTTACCTTCTCTTGCGTACAGATGGGGGTAATGATGTGAAATAGCATTAAAAGTTTCAAAGCAATATCTCAAAGGGTTAAGGCAATAAGTGGATTTTACCCATATTCAATGTATTTTCTAAGTCAAAAAGGGGCATAATTCTGTCAAAAACCTTGACAGAGTTATGTCCTCTTGTCTGTTGATGAAGGTCGTGATGGTAAACAAGTATGGTCAGTTTCAAAGCAATACCTCCAATGGTTTTGAAATAAAGTGAGGTGGTACAAAAAACTTAACCAAGCTCAATACACTTTCTAAGTCAAAAAAGGGCCATAATTCTGTCAAAAACCTTGACAGAGTTTATGTACTCTTGTCTGTAGATGGAGGTTATGATGGTGAACAAGTATGGTAAGTTTCAAAGCCATACTTGTAATACTTCTGAAATAAAGTGGGGTGGTACGAAAAACTTAACCAAGGTGTGACGCCGACGCCGACGCCGGGGCGAGTAGGATAGCTCCCCTTTTCATAGAAAAGTCGAGCTAAAAATCTTTCAACATTTTGAAAAAAAATATAACATTTATATAACATACATATATTTTTGTATTGTTTCTTTATTTTATTTTCTTGAACTAAAGTAACAAGACACTTGAATATAAATATGTTTAATTCAAATAATACACCTGGTACTTTCTATAATTTGCTTAATCTAATGAATAAAAAAATCAAAGCAAAACAGCCCAATAAAATCTTACATATATTTCAGAAGAGTATTATGAAAAGAACGGTCATTAAAATATTTTTACCTGACACAGCCCAAACAGCCTCATCAATCTGGTCAGGGTCCTCTGTGATATCATAAACAATAACATCACATTCAACAAGGAACTCATACAGCTGATCTTTGTTGTCAAACTGTAACAAGAATAAAGTCAATGTGTAAGCATACAACATTTTTTTTTATCATTATAGTACTATTGTGATAATATCATTAAATTATAATTTAAATTTTTAAATACTAATTATCATGCTACACTTTAACAACTTAATAATAACAACAAAACAATAACTAAATAAACAATTTTGTCTCAAAAGATTTTTGTCTGAATATATTAATATATCATTCAATTAACATAGCTAAAGGAAATACTTACATTAACAAGTTCTTTCACATAATCTGGTTTCTGTACATTTGGTCCCTTTTCTTTGGTTGTTCCAACAATTTCATAGCATCCTTCTTTTGGAGGAGGGATGAAACTGTCTGTAGACTTGGCATCATCTTCTTCCTCAGGCTCTTCAAGGGAAGCCCCAACAACACAACGGGATAAATACTGCAATGTAAAATAGATTGATATATGGAAATGAAGTGTTTCCGCTACTCTGCATTTCTTGCATTTTTGACGCAATAATTTCATGAATGAGACATTGAAATTTGCAAAGCTTGTTTTCTATGATGCAGTCATAATCTACCGTAATTGGATTTCTTTTCATTAAGTTATTTCTCCTATTATTTGCACCATCCTGTTTAAATTGGCAATTATTATTTGAGTATACAAAATTTATTTATTTCCGGTAACTGCATGTATGTATAAATTGCTAACTGATTCTTTGTCATTATCGGCACAATTTCTGTCCGACTTTTAACTGTTAGACATGTTCAGTCTGGGTAAACAAGCGTGCATGCAGACGCTTTTCTCACAATGGCAAACACACTGCGAAGGATTATTGGCTTTAATAATGAAAATATCTGAGTTTCTGCAATAAACACTAGTCTGACAGGTTAAATGTTTTAATGCAAATAAGCTTTGGTTCTTCCTTAGAATTTTTTTGTTTGCAACCGCAAAAAGTGAGAAATTGAAGTTAATATTGAAGTTTATGTGAAATCCAACAGTTCTGACTTTGAGATTGACTTCTGTAGTTTTTACTTTTTTATTAAATTTGACCCTTTATAATTTCAAATATTTTTTATACAGAGGGTCACAAATGACCCACATAAAACTAGTCTGGCAGATTAAACACTGAAAAAGCATCATAAAGAATTTCATAATGAATTATTTCATAGCCCTTTTGTTTGCATAATGCATATTAGTATACTATTATGACATGTAAGCCCAGGTCTACACTTAGATCAGAAAAACAATGTCGCGAAATGCAATGACAAAACCGAAAGTTAGAAATAATTTCTTACGTTTAATTGTTAATTTCAATTTTTTTGAAAAATGAAATATCACATTGACGATGCATTACCTTGGATAAATTTTTCCCTTGAAACTGGTCTACTTGGTTAACAAATAACCGTTTACTTTTTGGTTTATCTCCATCGTCTTGCGTGCTCGCCATTTTGTCTGTTTACGTTGCGTTGCTAAGGTACATTCGGTAAGTTCCGTAGTTTCCGGAAACTCGCGACTTCATGATCAGGGTCAAAGAACGCTCAAACGCTTGAATCATTATGGCTGACAAAAGTTTTCAAAGTTTTAGAAAATGAATTTAAATACGTTTTTTAACATCTGACATTTATTTTTAACAGAAATGTCTGAAATAAACGGTCTACCTCCTTTGCCTCAATGTTTTGACGGCTTGATTAAGGTCGAAAGGACCGTCTCTGAGACCAGTCTGGGTGAAATACGTGAGGGAACTAGCCATTGCCTCAACATATTAGATAAAAATCAGAATGAAAATACGGGAACACGTAAAGATATAGCCGAAACAGATGACGATGACAACGTACTTGAGGACTCAGTGTCCCCTAATTTTGATGACACGCCATTTTCTAAATTAAATACTGCATTACGGAGGCTGAAAAATGAAATGGTAATTTTTTGTGAGATTAGCATAATTAATATCATGAAAGGTGTTAGCTTAAGGTCTTCAGCATACCCGTTTATATACTATGACATGACGTGAACGCTGAAGACAGACCCGTACGGAAAGTCCACCAATAATCGTGCCAGGAATCATGAAGTGAACACTGAAGCGAAAGTTCACCAATAATAGTGCCAGGAATCTGACACGCTTGTATTCATTCATTGAACATGCCCAGGGCTCATCCGGAAGGGCGATTCAGGCGATAACTTCGCCGTGTATATTCCAATTTCGCTCTCCCGATTGATCAAAGAGAAGTCAACATCGCCGATAAAATCTTAATTCCCAAATAGTAATTACTTAGCGATGTAAAGAGCAGAGATTGTATCCGCCCATATGACGACCGCTAATTATCATTATCCAATCAGAGCGTCGCTTTATACTACCCTTCTACCTGTAAGCAAAGCGATAGACCGCCTACTCTAAACAGTAAATAATGAGAGCATCGGCCCGAAACGGTATAATTGCGTGATAGTTTTGCGAGTTTAATACGGGATTTGGCGGTAATTATAGATTGTTTTTCCCCGATTATCTAAACACGTGCAATCTTCCCTAATTGATATACACGATGCACTTTGATGGTGGGTTTTTAACCCGAGTAAAGGCGATGTGCAATGGATTTTTCACGGCTATCACAAAACTGTTAGTCAATTAAAAATAATCAATGTCATTAATGTTGAGCCACAGGATTAAAAACTTAATAATAGTTTTGAATGATTTCAGTCTGTTAACATCAATTTTTACTGTAAAATTGTTATGTCGCTCATGTCATGGCTACAAGGCGAAATGCCGAAACCGAGCAACTTAAGAAAGTTACTGATTCTGAATGATAGTTACACCTACGCGAAAATTTAAGAAAGCCAATTTGCAAAAATCTTGCGATTGGTATGTTGTAGCGGTGGGGGTGTTTGGCATTGTTCTCTTTGTAGAAATGCCAAATTTGACACAGTTTACGCACATGGGCACGACATCCTGGCGAAACTACATATCGGTCGTATATCATGTAACCTATATCATGTAACGTATATAACAACAGTATTTGTCAGGAAAGAAGTGTTCTTTTTGTTTCAATATATATATTTGTTTTAATGTCGTAAATATGACGCTCAGATTAAGATTTATCAATATTGTAAATTTTAAAAAGCATTATTTATAAAGATATTACCGAATTTAACATTTCATGAAAATAAAGGGAGGTAATTAGAAATTAATTTTCTACAATTTCTCAGTCAAATTTTTCAATAAGAAATGAATGTATGCAATTTTAGTAATCAAATATAATGTGCACAAATGTTTGCAGTACATATTTTACATATTATTTGATGTTTGAAAATTGTTTTATAAGCATAATTATATGCATATAAATTTGACATTACAACATTCAGGAATCTGAAAGAAATTTCTGTCACCAAAACAGAATACTCATAGAACAGATATTATTAATCATTATCCAATGTGACCTCAGTGAGGAAAGTGAAAAATATAAAATTGATTTTATCATCATATCTATTTCTTACACATTATCATCAACAAATCTACATGAAAAGATATAAACACATATTTAGAGAAAGCTTATAAATAGCTGATCAATAGATATCAAAAATAAACTTTTTTATTCATATTTGCAGCTCAAAACATTTAGATGCCATTGCCAGATCTACTATTAATTAATCTACTATTAATTAATACTACTATTAATTAATCTACTATTAATTAATAAACTTGAGGAATATTATATGTGATGTTAATTGTGTTTATGTTATAATTAAAGGATGTATAGCCATGCATGTTAATGCATACACATTGGGTTGTTTCCATTCTCCCTAATTTTCGCGAGGAAGTCACTTCTCCCTAAAATTTCCCCCCAGGATGAGCCCTGATGCCATGAATTAAGTGAAGCATACCTTGATAAAACTATGTATAATCAGTTGATAAGCCAAGGATGGACACATTAAAATCTTATTACAAAGATAAACTACCTTATAGTTTCCGACAGGTAAAAAATTCAGCACTTGGCTGCCATATTGCCAAAATGTTTGACCATGTGATTATGAGATTGGCCTTTAAGGGTAAATTTGCGCAGACAGTTAAGAAAACAGAACCCATGTGCTTCCAACTTTTTTATAAATTACTTTTTTAAAAAGATATTGAAAAAGGTGATTTACTGACTTTTAGATTCAATATAATGATATTTGGGACTAAAAAATTTAAGAAAAACTAAATAAAAGCGTTATCTTGAATTATAAATATTGAAATAATGTAAACAATGATTTTCTAAATATTGTACATGACTCTACTCTAATTGGTTCCCGCCAATGACGTCATACGAGGTCTCATGAAGCTCCTAAATGTCATGGCCGACTCTAGTCCGCATACAGTCAGCGTAATTGATGTTTCACAGTTAAATAGGCAATTTAAAAGATAATGAGTATTAATATTTTGATACTTTAAATGGTATAGAACAATATTAAAATAATTGTTTTATCGCAAAATGCACAACTGTCATTTTTACTTTAGGCACAGGAAATAGATCGGCAGCACTGTTGCTGGTTTGAATCAATTTAAATGGTTAAAATCAGAGAACATCTTTCAGTTCTTCAAAAAGTCATAAGTCTAAAATATATATATATTTTGTGACTTGTCTCAGTCAAAAATGTATGCAATTAGAGCTTTTATTTTGAATTTGTTTTGTAAACAATTTCTCCGTTGGACATGTTATGATGTCATCGTATCAACATGAAGTCAGTGATAACTAATTAACTTTTAATAGAATGAATATGGTCAAACCAGTCTAATCTGGTGTCTCTGGATCGGGAAATACTCGCACAAATTTCTATGATAACATAAATTTCTCTAAATTATTATGATGTACTGTCAATGAACACCTGTAAAATGTCACGGCCATGTGGACTCAATACAAAAACTGTTACACATTGGTAAAGCAAGCTAATGTTGCAGAATACCAGTTTAAAACAAAACAAAATTAGCCGCCAACTATTTTGACCTTTGAATGTCACAATATTTGCCTCAAATTTGATAATGATTACTGTTTTATAAAACCCAAAATTCTAAAACGCTCTGTTGATAAAATGTTATGATCAGAAAAGCTGTCTCTTTATAACATTAACAATATTAGAAGTAAACAATTTCCTGATTTTTTTCTTTTTGCAGGCTGGATTAAGAAAATTGGATGTCACATTGTTATATCAGTTGTGGACATTACACGAGGCTATTCAAGAATATAAAGCAGTAATGCAGGACCAGTATTCGGACATGGGCTCCGAATACTCTTGGGGTGGTCTCAGCAGTAGAGCATGCTCTATTACCAGTATTGATTCATGTGACTTCAACGAGGATTATACCTTGCAGTCAAACCCCTCAATCATCAGCTCGTTACAGGGGAGCACTACCAGTCTGATCCAGCAAATAGAAGAGTTGAAAGTCAGGGCCGAAACAGAATTTTAAGGCTAAGAAACCATTATTATAGTAGCGGCTATTTAGGAAAACAGTTCCAGTCAACAATATCAGTATTCGGTATATACTGGTAAAAGGTTTTATTACTTAAATTAGACTTATATCTACCATATATAATATTCTAGTAGATAAGAATTTTATGCTTTGTAAACAATAGAAAAACTTCAGAACACATGGCAAAGGGGGGATTTTCCAAGCTAATCGCTGGATTATTCTCCCTGAAATTGTTGGGGGGAAAAAAACATTTGCCAAGTTCCAGATAAAATTTGTTGTGACGTTTTTCCTTGAATTTTGATTAAAGTTTTGTTTTTGATAAATATTCTATGAGTCAGGTAGATGTTAAAAAAAAGACATTTTATTGTAGTATCTGTTTAAGTTTAAACAATTTTTTGTTCAATTTTAGTATCACTCTTGTATTCTTTTCACAGGGTTTAGAGTTTTCTTTTCTTCTTTTTTTGTCAATGTATATATGTTTTTGACTTTTACTTGCTAGATTTTCATTCGATTTTTTTTAAGGTAACTGTAAAGTCTTGCATCTAAACACAATAATATGAGTATCTAAGAAATAGTCAAATTAATATGTGACAATAGATTCATATAGTTTTTATTTAAAACCCCAGTTTTTATTTAAAACCCCACTAACTAAAAAATATTTAGAGACAAGACAATGACCAAACAAACAAAATATTTCTTAAATAACCAAATAGCTTACAGCAAAATAAACTGGGAACAATTGGTTTTATGTCTGAATGTATTTTACTAACAACTGTGATAGAATTTTTTGGTCTTGGTGCAAAATGGTTGTATCTCCTTTTTATCACATGACATCAATTGTTTACACAGGAAAGTGCTTACAGATTTATTCTTTTATATAACATTTGTAAAATATAATATTCACATAATGCCGCCATGATTTGTCAGTGATTCTTTGCAATTCACCAATTAAATTCAAATTTTATGTCAATTTATATATGGGAACTGATAAGATTTTTAAAAAAGGAAAATTGAAGTTCTATTTTGGTAGTTTTTTTTATATATATATATATATTTTCAGGGCATATTTGCCTGTAAACTTCTAAGAAATATTGAACTGTTTTGACTTGCTAAGATGAAACAGGTTATGTGATCATACATGAATATAACTCTTAAATGTCATGTATAGCACAGATATTTAGCTCCATGGTATCTGGTACATGTAGTTTTTAAACATTTCAAATTTATCTAATTTCCCAAAAAGCTGCTTACCCCCTCCCCCAAAATTTAAGCAGGGGGATTAGGGTGGGGGGCTTTTTCAAAATAGCTGGAACTGACCCTGATTTTCTATATGGAAATTTCTATTTTGTCATCTGTCTGATGGTATCAGTTCATGCAGAAGTTCTATACAGAAATTATGTTATCTGTGGACCAAAATAATCTTAAGTACTTTTATTAACCAGGTTTTCCGAAGGAAAAAACTGGTTATTAGATTGAGGTATGTCGGCGTGCGGGAGGACGGGCGGGCGTAAACAATTTCTTCTGTGCTCAACTCCTCCTACATTTCTCTACAGATTTTGACCAAACTTTCACAGAACCTTTGTCATCAAGTGCCCTGGCGCATATTGTCCGGGTTTTGTGATTGGATAATATTTGACCTAGTTATGGCCCTTTGTTTTTTTCCTTATACAGAATATATAGTGAACTATTTCTTCTGTATGCAACTCCTCCTACATTTCTCAACGTATTTTGACCAAACTTTCACAGAACTTTTGTCATCAAGTGCCCTGGCCCATATTGTCGGGGTTTTGTGATTGGATAATGTTTGACCTAATTATGGCCCTTTGTTTTTTTTTCCTGATATAGAATATATATTGAACAATTTCTTCTGTGCGCAAATCCTACATTTCTCAACGGATTTTAACCAAACTTTCACAGAAGGTTTGTCATTAAGTGCCCTGGGGCATATAGTCAAGGTTTTGTGATTGTATAATATTTGACCTAATTATGGCCCTTTGTTTTTGTTTCCTTATACAGAATATATAGTGAACAATTCATTTGTGCTCAACTCCTCCTACATTTCTCCACAGATTTTGACCAAACTTTCACAGAAGCTTTGTTACCAAGTGACCTGGCGCATATTGTCGGGGTTTTGTGATTAGATAATATTTGACCTAATTATGACCCTTTGTTTTTTTTCCTTACACAGAATATATAGTGAACAATTTCTTCTGTACGCAACTCCTCCTACATTTCTTAACGGATTTTGTTCAAACTTTCACAGAAGCTTTGTCATCAAGTGCCCTGGCGTGTATTGTCGGGGTTTTGTGATTGGATAATTTTTGACCTTATTATGGCCCTTTGTTTTTTTTTCCTTATACAGAATATATAGTGAATTCTTCTTCTGTGTGCAATTCCTCCTACATTATTCATGATTTACATTGCACATAGTTACAATTTGTTGCTTGTATTTGTATTTCAACTACAACATATTTATCTACAATGGTGATAATAGAAAACCTGGTTTCATGGCATTGCCATGTTTCTTGTTGTGAATTTATATAAACAGGTGTTGTTAATTCAGACAAACATTTGTTGTCAATTCATATAAACGTTTATGAAACTTGATAAGAAAAGATAATGTATGGCATGCTTCAGAACATTTTTCTGAACCTGTTTAATAAATTTTTACATGAATTAACAACAAATGCCTTGTCATATAAATGATAAATCTAACAGGAGATAAAACTGTTTTGCACCAAGCATAGTTTTTTTTGTCTTCCAGACATTTTCATTTGTTTTATTGAATCATAAGTTATGATACTTGTTTTAATGCTAATGATTTCAATTTTTTTGATAAAACTTGAACATTTTGTGTGTTATGACTTTTATTTTCAGTTTTACTGTATTTTTAAAGCATATTTTGTTAAATGCATTTATTTCTCTAATCCCAGAAGCATTTAAAATGTATATCTTATTTGCTAGATATTTAATGGATTTTCAGCAATATCATATCATCTTGGTGTTGAAAATAATATGCAATAACATGAGGTAGAAGTATGGATCAAGACTAGGGTACATATAATCTGACTGATTCTGTACTGTTGAATGTAGATTTAATATTGAGATCCCTTACAATAACAAATGGACATTTACAAACTCACAGCTAGACAAGTTAATGTAACAGCCTAACAGGTTAGACAAGATCAAGGGTTAATGAGTTATTTGGAGTTTGTTGAATTAATAGGTTTTGACAGGCACAAATCAGTGCTTCCACTACTTACAAGGTAATTGCAACATACAAATGTACATTTAAATGAGCATTTATTGTTGAAGATTGGTGCTATGGTTGTCAGATGCTATGTATTGTATTGTATGCATGTCATTAGCTCAACTATTCAAAGAATTGTGAGGGGTCTTATTCTCTTGTTGGCATCAACAACATGCTTTGGTTAAGATTTTGCATGCAAGTTGGTATCTCCAAAACTAATGAAGGAATGGGCTGAAACTTCACACACTTTTGCTATTTGAAAAGTAAATATTTTACATGATGGACACAGGTCTCTTGAGTTACCTTTTTACAGAGTTATGCCTCTTTTCTTACTGTCAAGCACTGAGAATAGTCAAGCACTCTGTCATCTCATGTTTAATATATGATTAGTATTCATTATCATACATTTTGATGTTTTTATGTGAAAAAAAAACAACAAAACATTTTTAAGCTTTACTGACCAATTATATATCCCTTGAGGCATTTATTATTTACAAATTGTTTTATATTGGTGATTTATTTATCTATTTGGACCAAATGTTTTATAATTTGTGTATTTTTGGCTCTTAAACATTACATAGGCTTCAGCTGTAGTCATTTCATCGATGGATATTCCAGGGCTAATTATTTTGAAAATTTGATGAGCAACCTTTAAGCAGTTCATTTTTTCCTGCATTTTGTTTTTGTGTCTCGTCATTATTCAACATTTGTATCAGACATATTGTGTATGATTCATTTTGTATCTTTTAAATATTTAGTACATAGAGGATATTGAATGGGTGTAAATTCATTACTGAATTTTTGAATGAGAGAGCAAAATATTACTTTATTCAACGAGTTCAAACAATTCAGTAATGAACCTACACGAATATAATATTCTATTTATCACATACCCAAAAAGGAGACTGCTTAAAGTGCAAAAGAATCTATTTTTCTCAGACATGTCTGTTGTGTAACGCTAACATTTAGCGTGTCTTTACACAATGTTTGTATAACGCAAATGATATTGTGTCAAAATGTATGCACAGCAGTGCAATACTATTTTCACAGAGTTGCAAAATCGGCACGGGTATGTGATAAATAAAATTAATTACCTAGTCACTGCATATATATACATGTATTTGAGGGGATATTGTTTTACTCAGCATTTTACTTTGGGTTAATTGTATCCATTTGCCAAGATAGTGAGTCAGTAAGTATGTATGTACATAAGTCTAGGCAGTGAAGAAATAATAGCATATTACATTAAAGCCAATGATAAACATATTCAGTTTTATACTGATTTGTCTGTTAATGTTACTCTATTAAAAGTCCATTAAAGATCGTTTTATCTGGTTGTCTAGGTAGCATTTTAGGGTTGGTTGTGTGTTGTTTTTTGTGCCCCCACATTAGTGGCGGGCATTTAGATTTACCCTTGTCCGTCCGTCCTTCCGTCCGTCCGTCTGTCCGTCCGTCCTTCCGTCCGTCCGTCCGTTCACTTTTGTGTCGCACGTAACTCAAAAAGTATTTGGCCTATAGTCATGAAACTTTACAGGAATGTTGATCAGCATGTGTAGTTGTGCACCTGGGTATTTTGGTCTGGATATTTTTAGTATTTTCAGAGTTATTGCCCTTGACTTAGTAAAATTTGGCAATTTTCAACTTGTGTCGCATGTAACTCCAAAAGTATTTGACCTAGAGTCATGAAACTTTACAGGAATGTTGATCAGCATGTGTAGTTGTGCACCTGGGTATTTTCGTCTGGATATTTTTAGTATTTTCAGAGTTATTGCCCTTGACTTAGTAAATTTGGCAATTTTCAACTTGTGTCGCATGTAACACCAAAAGTATTTGACCTACAGTCATGAAACTTTACAGGAATGTTGATCAGCATGTGTAGTTGTGCACCTAGATATTTTGTCTAGATATTTTTAGTATTTTCAGAGTTATTGCCCTTGACTTAGTAAAATTTTGCAATTTTCAACTTGTGTCGCATGTAACTCAAAAAGTATTTGACCTAGAGTCATGAAACTTTACAGGAATGTTGATCAGCATGTGTAGTTGTGCACCTGGGTATTTTCGTCTGGATATTTTTAGTATTTTCAGAGTTATTGCCCTTGAGTTAGTAAAATTTTGCAATTTTCAACTTGTGTCGCATGTAACTCAAAAAGTATTTGACCTAGAGTCATGAAACTTTACAGGAATGTTGATCAGCATGTGTAGTTGTGCACCTGGGTATTTTCGTGTGCATATTTTTAGTATTTTTAGAGTTATTGCCCTTGACTTAGTAAAATTTTGCAATTTTTAACTTGTGTCGCACATAACTCAAAAAGTATTTGACCTAGAGTCATGAAACTTTACAGGAATGTTGATCAGCATGTGCAGTTGTGCACCTGGGTATTTTTCGTCTGGATATTTTTAGTATTTTCAGAGTTATTGCCCTTGACTTAGTAAAATTTTGCAATTTTCAACATGTGTCGCACATAACTCAAAAAGTATTTGACGTAGAGTCATGTAACTTTACAGGAATATTGATCAGCATGTGCAGTTGTGCACCAGGTATTTTCGTCTGGATTTATTTAGTATTTTTAGAGTTATTGCCCTTCACGTAGAAAATTTTTGCAATTTTCAACTTGTGTCGCAAGTTTCTCAAAAAGGATTTGACATAGTCAATAAACCTTATAGGCAGGTTGCTCAGCATATTTTAGATTTGCACCTGGGGTTTGGCTTGTGGATTTATCCAGTATTTGTAGAGTTATTTCCCTTGACTTAGTAAAAAGATTGACAGAACAGTGTCGCGGTGGGGGCACCCGTGTCCTATGGACACATTTCTAGTTTGTTGTTGTTTTTTTTAATAAAATAGATAGACTGAAGATACCTAAGCTCAATTGACAAAGAAATGTAGTTTTGTATTGAGACTAACTTAAAAATTGATACCTTAATTTTTTTACAGTGCCATTATTCTGTTAAAGTTATGAATGTTTATCTTTCTCTTCAGTGAATGTAAGTGCGACTTTCCTGAAATTTACTTATTGCCAATGTTTTTATGATACTGTTACCATTAAAGTCTATAGTTATATAGAAAAAAAAAAGAAATTGTATTTAAGAAAGAAAAGGTGTATGCCTCTTTGAAGGATTAGACAATTGAATGAAGGGGACAGGGTGATATTGTAAAGACTGTAATATTCGGTCTTGAAACTGTCATCAGTTATAACAGGGTACAATCATATATCTATTTAAAACACATATCTATAATATTATATAGTATTTTATGATCTGATGTAATGTGAATGATCTTGAAATAGAGTATTTATTGCATAATTGTGTTTAGTTAACATATCTAAAGTGTTTTACAAACTTATATTATACATAACTGGATACAACGAAAGACTTTCTGCAGTCTGGCTGCACATTTTTCTCACCCTGTGATGTTAATTGCCCGATATATATTAGCATTTTGGTTTTGAAATCCCTTAAAATAACATTTTGTTTACAAATTAATGTGTTTGTGTTTATTAGGAAGATAAACAATTCTAAACTTTGGCTGGTTCAAATTCAGTATCACAAATTAACTCTTCTGATACGACATAGTTATTAAGTTTTAAGTACAAAAGTATAGGATAAGAGAGTAACACTGTTAGTAATTGTACTAAATAGTAATTTTTTAATCACACTTTTTTACGGATTGAGAATTTGTTAGTATTTTTAAGGCTTTTTTTAACAACTTTGGCCAAAATTTTCTTTATGTTATCTGTTGTAGATGTTGTGTTGTATACAGCTCGACTAGGTTAATTCTATACATGTCTTTTACACAGACTATTTTCTTCCGTTTTGTGGATGAATTATGTGTTGGTGATTAGTTTATACTTATTTTATAAAGCTTGTTTCTGAAGAAAATATATTTTAGCTCAAGAGTAATAATATAGATACTATATATATTATGTTCTTATTTAGTATAATTATTTATCAAAAGCTTTAATGATTAGTGGAACTAATTTTTTCAGGCGTAGACTTATTATTCTGGTTGTAAATAGGTGCTCCGCAACATGGAGTAATTTACCCACTCCTTGTTTAGTAAAAACCAGTGCATTTATGAACAAGAAATTGAGATTAATTTGCATTATTACCTCATTAGGGTATGATCAACGAAATTTCAGAATTTATGTTAAGTTTTTGTCTTTAAATTATTAAATCCCCAGAAATCAAACTTGGCATAAAGAATCAAAACTATTTTTTATGTATTTTATACTTGCATAAAGCTGTGGGATACAAAATATGATTTTATTTTAAAGAGGGTTTTAATGTTTGTAATTGTGAATTTAATATGAAATGTAAAAACTGTATACCGATCAGCCCTTAAACTACTACATTGGAAAGTAATTTGCCTTTGCCACCAGTGCAGAGTTAGACCAGTCTGCATGCCCTTGCAGTCTGACTATGCTTGACAAACTTTAAATTTTTTCATCATGATATCCATGAAATGGACAGTTCAAAGAATGGAACCTAGACATGCCTATTTAAGAAATTCAGCAGGTTAAGGGTTAAGCAGTAAAAAGTTAAGCAGTAAAAAAACACTAGAAATGATAATTAGTCCTATGGCACCAATCTTTGTAGTCTGAGCAAATTCTAGACTGTAAGCTGATGAGACTTTTTATATTCTTATTTTAATTAGCTATGGGCATTAGTTCAAAGCACAGAAACACAAATCATCTGACATGCAGGTGTTTTCAATCCTCTTGTTGAATAATGGAGCTGAAGTTTTTTTCTACTGGTTCTATACTGGGACCAATGCATATTCTAACTTAAGTTTTTAATAAGTTTTTGTCAACACTAAATACTTTTACAAAATCATATTACAAGGGCCCAGAATTAGGCAACACCTAAGGTTCTTCATAGGGTTTGGATTAAATAAAATAGGTTTGCATTGAATTGTGCAACAGCCACATGTGCAACCAAATTTCATTACTAACAAATTAAATGTAAACAACAATAAATTGCAATGTGGATGACATGCATGTATATCATTTAATACTAAAGGTAAAACACACAAAAAACTCCTTCGTGGTTCTTTATATTGATCATGTGACCAGTGTTTGTTTGTTAAGTTTAGCCATTATTTTTTGCTAGAATATCGCAAAGGTGTTATAAGTTATACATAAGCTATAGAACTGAAAATGAGGGCAAATACAGAATTTTTATTTCTATTATGATTCAGTGGGATTAATATTATGATAAGTATTAAGTACACATTTATACATTATTTAAGATACCGGTTATTTGGGATTATTTTAATTTGTATCCATTTATATTGTTGTGTTATAGATAATTTAAGATAATGTGGCTGTCATAATTCATGATGTAACATATTATATTATTACTAAGATTAGGTAGTTAAAATAGATTAAAAAAAAAAAGTTTCAAAAACTGATTTATGCAAAAATTGAAATGAATTACCAGTGTATACACGTTTAAGTAAAATTAAATAACAGCCACATTGTCTTAAGTGATTAGTAATTGGTGTTAAAGGTTGTGTTCAGTGTTGTATCACTAGTTTAGTGGACCATGACAAGTGCCTTATGTATAAACTGTTGTTGTTATTATATTGATATTATTAGATGGTTATTATACTTGAATCTTTGTTATTTTTTTCTTAAATCCTACAATCCTATTGAAATGTTATATTGTAATGGTCAGATGGCAAGTTTTGAGTGTACCCCCAGTGACCTTTCATTATTTTAGGCACAAACAGGCACTTGACTAGAATCATAGACAGTCAGTAAGCTTGCTAGCTTCGTCATATGAAATAATTAAACTTCCCTAGGAGGAATCAAACCCACAGCAATGATTCTGTCAGAAACCTTAACCACTGAGACCCCTCCCTGCCTAACCGCTGAGTTTCAAAGTCTGGGGTTAACATGTATTGTTTTAATCCTATGGGCAAGAACTCAACCTGAAAATATCAATATTGGCATTAAATAATTTTGTACTCCAAAGCTAATGGAAGAAAATTATAACTTTAAAAAAATGTTGCCCTATGAAAATAAAATTGACCAAGTGGTTTAAGAATAAGCAATCTCATATTGGTAAGCTCATCATTAGCACATTGTGCTTTGGTGCTTAAAATGTTGAGTGTTATACTGCCACACAATTATGTGCTTTAAATATTGAAAGGATGTGAAATGAAACAGAGTCAATCCACACAGTTATGTGCTTTAAATATTAAAAGGATGTGAAATGAAACAGAGTCAATAGTATATATGTAAAATATAATTTATTTGAACACAGTTTAATTAAAAAAGAACACAAAATATGGTAATCAAAACAAAACATTCACACATTTGCCATAACCTTCATTTCATAGGCCTCTTATTATTTTGACAGTTTTTCCATAATATTTATCTATATACATCAGATCAGTCAGATAGCACTCGAATGTTGTCAGTTCTTTATAGTAAAAGCCTTAAAAATTCAGAAATTGTAAAATAAATCATTTAGTCATGGTCAGTGGATTTTAATTACAAACCAGAATGCAAGTGCAAATGCCTTCTAGGTTTAATGAAATCAAAATCCTTGCAAGGGTTATGGATCATAAACAGTGATCTACAATTTTATTCCTAAGACATCATTCTGTAACATTTCATGTGGTTAATGAAGATAAAAACAAACAGACAAACACTAATGTGAGTCAATTAAATGCACTCTGAATATCCTAGATACATGTAAAATGAATCAATTTCTTTGGCAAAAAAAAATTCTATCTTCTATGTTCTGTTCTGTTCAAAGAACACTCTTCTTGAACATGTGACTTTGAAAAAAAATGTCACTTTAGATTTAATGCCCTAATCTGTGTATACATGATGATACGTTACAACAGACTACCTCATCATACTACATCATAGTTACCGTAACCCAGTATGTTCTTTAGCATGTTTGGTAAGTGCTGAAATTTAGCAATTTGTCAATATAACCTGCAAACATTTTAACTATTTAAGAATTTCTTCATGAATATCAGAAATGAAAATTATATGGCAGTAATATAATTAAAATGTCTAATCTTCAATGTGAAAAATATTTACTTCATTTTTCAAAGATATTCCATGAAATTCTTATTCTTTGTTTTCACACTTATATCCAACAATGGCATATTATGCAAATTTTTAAAGTTATATTTTGTTTTAAAAAGAAAAACACAATAAAGTTATTCTTTCATAAACAAAACTTTTTATAAGTATATTCCTGTTATTTTCAAACCTTACAAAAAATTTAAACACAATAATTTCTTAAAATATAATACATGTATATACTAAATATTAATGTATGACTTTATACTGACTGGTTTGAAATTCATTTCCTTAATTAAATTAAAATATACTGTATAAAAAAATTAAATCTTCAAATAGCAAAAAGCAATGAGGTATATTTAATCATGAATGATTTCTACGCAATGAAGATATGTGCCTTGATCTTACTCTGACACTACTATAGCGAGGGGCAAGTTACTAGCACTAAACAAAGGCAACAAATCTTAACATTCTAACTGTTGACAGACACAAATATTGTAACCTACATGATGACTTCATAGTCATTGCATTAACAATGTTCTTTTTTCTCACATAAAATGAACTCTTGTTATATTAAATTGATGCTTCTGACTTCAATGATCCCTGGCTGTCTGACAAACTGTTATCTACTGGAGAATGTAACTGAAATATAAACAAATCATTTAACTACAGAACATGTGTGTACATTCGTGTTTCATCATATTATTATCAGATTAGATTTACATTTATTCTTCAAAACTATCTTTTACTAAGCTTTTAAGTAATCAAAGTTATTGATTGGACAAGGATTTTACATAGTGTTACTTTGACCTTGACCTCCAAAATCATTTACTGGGCATGACCATCCTTCCTTATTATTATGAAGACAGCACACCTAATGTAATCAAGTCACTGAGCAGATATTGATGTGAGTAACAGACCAGCAGACATTTGTCATACCAAAATACAACCGAAGTTAATATCAGGTGTATAAAATACATGTATAAGGTTTATTTTGACATTAAAATCTTTTAAAAATAGCTTTTAGTATTTAGTAACCTGGCATGTATATAGTAAAGTGACATGTGTCAAAGTACAAGACTACATTCATGTTTAAATTCTATATCACATCCATAACATCTGAACATGATCGGCACTGTTCCCTCTACAGTCGGTCAATACAATGTATTTTCAAATTTTCATTAAAAATGATAGTTAACATTTTTTTCTACATTGAATGATGGCCATTTTAGAATTTAAGTGTAGTAAGGGTTTATAAACTTACAGCTTTTGCTATATCAATCCAAGTTAATGCCTGGTGTAACCTGTCACCATGACTTGGCTCTCTATCTAGATTCCAGTAGTTGAATGAATCAAAACTTCCAGTAGCTGTAAGTTCACGCTCATCATCTTCAGTAACTGACTTCTTTGACTCATTAAAAATTACACCTGATGTATAAATGGAAACAATAGTGTTGGTCAGGCCACCGCAAAATATTTCTTGGATCTCATTAGTTTAAGATTAGGAGATTTAATATTGATCACGTATGAGATAATCATGAATAAAAGTAATTATTACAAGTGAGATGACAAAAACTACCGAATTTCTCACCTGTCAATTTTTCTTCTTCTTGCCAATTTCAATACTGGACCAGATTTTTTACAAGGTCAAAAAGTACCTTACATCCACAATTTCAATAAAATGCCTGATTATGGGTATATGAATAGATTAAATATAGAAAATATTATTAGAAGTCAAATAATCAATATTACAATTTCATTCAAATAGTTTATTTAGGTCTCATCACACATATACCATTCCCAACAGAACTGTATGATGAAAATCATATTTACATATATATAATACATGCCTTACTTTAAATGTATTATTTCATTATTTTTTATAAAATATTAAACAAGTTATGTTGCTAATTTTCACAGGGCTGAAAAAGCATTGGAAATTGACATAATTCACATATATAATTATATGTCCATTTTAGTCGATTTCAATTCTGTGTTTAAATGGTAAACACCTTTAAATGTAAATATTTTCTTTACCTGTATACCCAGAGGGAACTTCAAATTTAGTTCCATGAAGAGGTCTTCCTCTCAAACTTGCTGTCATTTCTGTAATAAAATGAAACAGAAAATTTTCTTATTTAAAAAAAAAAAAATCTAATTTATATGAATTAATAATAAACTTATGCATTTATTTAACAATTAAATACTTCAACAACAATGTATTAATATACATAAAAATGGGAAGGAACTCTCAGCTTATTTGCAAATGTGCAGACGGTTCTACCCAAAAATAGGGAGAGAACCGCCAGGGAGGAAACGTCAGGAGAGGAACTGGTTACTAAGGGAGAGAATAATCTGACTACCAGCATATTTGACTTCTTGAAAAACCTTTCAAAATTTCTCGGAAACCATGCTACAATTCATAGAACGAATTGTTGATAATAAAATATTTTGTTATTGTGGAGGAGACATTTAACACAGGATTGTCTGCTCTCAATCTGGTCGCGAAAAGTAGTGAAAAAAAGTTAAATCTTACTATTCTCTGACTTTTTTCGGATGTTTGTTTCAAAGTAAGATTTAACATTTGCAGAACCGTTGTACTGTATTTCAGCTGGCATAAAATGCAACTCAGAAGATATTTCTTTCGTCAAATTTGGTACTTTCAACAAAGTTGTCATTTTTCCCGGGAACAAGCGTTTAACTTTCTCAGACTCATTTTTGTTACAATGAAAACAATTGGTTTACCAAATGAACATCGCAGATTGACAGCCAATCACAATTCGGAACACAATTTGTATAAGTACACGTGAGTTCAATGTCAACACCGGCCTGTCAAAATGAGAAGGTATCGTTACGGTGATCCAAAATCAGCTAAAGCTAGGAATCGTGTTATTAGTCAAATACTTAAATTTTTTGTCGGATGGAATCTATTGGGATATTGTGTTTGGAAATACATGAAAAGTACTGTTTCTGAAAAACATCCAGAGTTTGGAGACAAATCAAACTGTGAGTATCCTGCAATCTGTATATAATTTTGTACATAGATCTCTACATCTTGTAGAAAAGGAAATAACCTACTGTACTGTAGCATCCATATGTCTGAGTTCAAGTCAACGGAGAGAGTGTACCTTATCTCTGTCTTACCTGGGACAGAATAACTTATTTGTCTGTCCTTACCTGCTTACCTTGAAGTCCAAATTTCTAGAGATATCAACAAGAAATTATTTCTCTGAGTCCAAAACCTTTTGGGGGAGCATCAATGGGTTTGACAGGCTCTTGTTTATAAAGCGGAATCATATGAGGCTGTTGGTAAATTTATCCGTGCTGATTGTATTGACTTTCACTCCAACAATGTGGTCACTACTGATGGCATGATGCCTGTGAGGATATGGACCTGGTTAACTAGAGTGGGATTTGTAGTGAGAAATAAATCATCAAGTAGAGAGATTGACCATTTGGGTGAGGTTGGCATAGTTCTTATTAGTTGAAGGTTTCTATGACCTGTATATAGGTATAATTATAGAAGGGAGGGTGTTCACAAAACTGGGATGGACTGGAAGTGTCCCAGTCCATCTTTGGAAGGTTCAAGTCCCCACCACCCAGATATTTGTGAATCTTTTTTTGATCTTTTCAAGCGGTTTTGAGAATTTCAGAAAGCTTTCTGGGTCTAGTTCTTGAGGCTTGTAGTACCCTCCAATGACTTATCAACTACGGTAAATCTAACTTATTTTTACCGATAGTTCTTTACATTGTGATTAACTAAGTTCATTTACTAATATAATGTACAGTGTCATGTCAAAGGTCTACAGTCTTTCAGTTATATTCATACTGGAGAGTGTATGCATTGATTTTAATTTGAATGTCCAATCAATTCAATGAGCAGTCAGACTGTCAGTTTAAATATATAAGAGAATGTATATAAGACATAACTTTATATAAGAAATAGTTTTTTTTTTCAAATAGAAAGATACTTATCATGAGTCTTAATTATATAGCTTGAAGGGAAAAAGTTCTGTCATTAAGACAAACCATATTTGAAGTTACCTTTAAAGAGCCATGTATATTAAAGCATGGATTAGGACAGTTAGTTTCTTACTTAATCTTTTTAATCAATGTTGTCATCATATGCAAATGCACATAATCACATTCCTATAAGTTTCCAATTATATGATATGTACACGTATGTAGTAAAAGCACAAGGTGCTGAGCAAAATAACATACCGTAGTGGCGTAGTCATAGTTCTATTGATAATTTGATATATGATGAAATTATTATCTATAAAGGCTACCAAACATTGTATTTTCTTTAAAAATATTTATCTATAAGTTTAAGACACCATTAATTATCTTAAGATATATTGAAGGTCATTTGTCTATTAATTTTCTTTCAGCTGAACAAGTAAGGTTTATTATGACAGGAGAGCAGACAAACGTTAAAAAATATCGTGTGAAAATAGGGGGAGATAACTGGTTTAGTGTTAAAAAAGTAGAAGATGAGTCGGCACCTGAAAACAGTAACACAAGTCCAGAAGCTACAAAGTCGGAAAACTTGAACCCTTCAGATAGCTGATAAAAAATGGATAAAAAAAGGTTAATTAATATGTTTCATTTTAACTAGGTTTTCAAAAAAAATCTGGCTTAACTTTATGCAAGATACAAGATTGGTGAAAATTTCTTTGTGTGCATCACCATACATTTCTCAAGGAATTTCAAAGAACTATTACCATCAATACCTTTGTGCATATTGTAAGAGTTTTGTGTCTTAAACATTTTTGGCAGAATCATAGCCCTCTTGAGTTTTTTCTCACATAGGCAGTATAGAAGAATATTCTAATGTATGCAACTTATTCTACATTTCCTTAAGGATTTCAAGCAAACTTTCAGAGGACAATGTTACCCAAAATTTGTCTTTTGTACTATTTGTACATGTATGAAAATATACTCACTTTGCAACTTGATCCTCTCAACATTTCTGAGACGATTTTAAGTTCAACCAAACTTTTACAGAACTGTGGGACATTTGCTGTCACTTGTTTATTAATAAAAGAGAAGCAATTCCACTTATTGCAGCGCTGTAAATTACACCTGCACTCAACTACATTATTATTTAGTATTCTTAATTAAAGAAAAAAGCATTATAAGAATTTTTGTTCAATGTAAGTCGTTGAAATTTGTTTTTAATCCTTCGACCTTGATGAAACAAGGGGAAAAAATTATTATACTTTTGCTATTCTACAGTTTTTAATGAATGATTCATGTCCTAGACCTAGGGTTTTCAGGTTAGTATTGGTCTGTTTTTAGTTAGATACTAATCCCTTGCAGGTGCATAGGTAGATTTAGTACCTATGTTGTTATGGTTGCTGATTTCAAATTACTTGCCTCCTACTATATTGTGTTGAATCTTGCAAGGAACTTTGGATTCTTTCATAACAGAAAGTCAGTGATTCCACTCCTGAACCCGCTTATGTCTGAAATAATGAAAAGCTATTGTTTTATACAGTTGATATCATAGTACTTTCAGAAATGAAAACTTTATATACTTCTTGTTTTTCAGTGTTTGGAGCCATTGTGTACTACATTATCAAAAGATACTGAGGTGGAGATATCTGTGGATACCAAGTCTATAAGACAATATAGGCTGAACTGACTGAAGACAGTCCAAAGTTTTGAACAGTTGCTTAAAGCTACATATTCTAAACAGTTGCTTAAAGCAAACAGAATTTAAAGATGTCTTTATTTAAAAGAGGGTACACATGAAGACAGGGCAATACATAAAGGTGATTTATGCAAAGAAAGTAATGTTACATATGTGATAGTACTAGTAGATAGTTTATTACTGCAAAGCAGCATTCTGCTGGTTGATTAGTGTAAGGCCTCGGAAAGTTCTATGAACTGTGATTTTAGTGTTTTTGTGAGCAGTTCGGACTATACAAAAGTAGTCGGCAGATTAAATTGATGTACGGGAGGTCGCAAAATCTTAATTATGTCAGTAGGCTATGTGTGAGGATAGATACTTCTTAAAGACTTGAACCTCAAAAAACAATATGTGGTAAACAATGCTGGCATGGTGCTCAAGACTAAAAATTCATACAATTATGTATGTTCTGGTTTGAATTATGTTAATTTAATATTTTGATAAGACAGTTGAAGCTGTGCTTAAGAAAACAAGTGATTGCAGAGGTCATGTCAGACATCCATTTAAAAGGATACATCAGTGTTCTTAGAGGTATAAAACTGACTTCCATGGTCAAACAGTGACCCCAGCGAGCCAAGTGTAATGGATCAGCAAAGTTCAAGTCTTTAAAATGGCAGGGTCTTCTTGGCCAAGTGGTTAAGGTTGCTGACTTAAATCACTTGCCCCTCACTTCTGTGGGTTTGAATCCCATCTCAGACTTCAGATCATTCTTTCCAAGTGAGGAAGCTATGAGTATCAAGGGTTTAAGGAAGGTTGAAGGTTCAACTCTGGTGCCAGATTGTGCCTGAAATAATGCACAAAGTAGCACCTGAATCTGAGGTCTGCCTCCACCAGTTATGTATGACCTAGGCAGTGTTATAAAGGATTTACTTATAGCTGTTTTACAATGCAAAGTATAAATTTCAGATAAGTTTACTTTAACCTTTTACCCCATGAGCAATAAGATTACTTTAACCCTTTACCCCATGAGCATATTGCGAAAAATGGCCGTTTTCATTGAAAAGCCTCCTGTAACAAGTTCAAACTGCTATGAAACTATGAAAAATGCTTCAATACTGGTGAAACTTGGCCCAAATGTTGACTACACCATAGCCTGCCTCTGTAACAGCATGCTCAATCGTAAATTTCCTGTTACCATGGCAATGGGGGGATGTCTCAAAATTGCCAAAAATCACTATTTTGCATTGTTTTTTTCCATCAAAACTGATTTCAAAGTGCTTCAATTAACTTCTCAATGAATTGAGATAGAGTAAAAGGCTTTTCAGCGTCGGTTACTAGTTACCCTAAGATCGACCTGAGGCCATTTTTAGCCTGTCACATGTCCAAAATTTTCTTGGCGATGAGGGGGACTCCGCCCCACTTCAAACCCCCCAAACAGAAGGGGGCTCATCCCCCTTCTGGCAACCCCCTGATGTAACATTTGGATGGGGGACGGCGCCGAAAAAGTGGTCACTTTTTTAACAACATTTCTCAAACGAAAACCAGTGTTTGGGGCCTAAATAGGGCATTTCTTTACTGTTTGAGGCCTAAAAAGGGGGGGGGGGCAAAAAGCCGTCAAAACACGCTTATTTGAGGGAAAAGGTTAATTATTAATGTATGTTTTTTTAAATATGACTGATTATTCCATTATACCATTTTGAATATTTGACAAAAAACTTTTAAATTTTGCTTCATGTAGGGTGCCATGGTGCCCTTGGGTACTAGTTACTTATAGAGCATAAATAAATGAAATAGGCTTTCATTAGGCCTTTTTTAACTATGGTAGTCTTTATGTAGACTTTTTCCATCTAGAGTATTTCGTCATACCTTTTTCATTTGATTATTTGTTAATGACATATTTATTTTGAATGTTTCATGATTTTTATGAATTTGTTTTGTTTTATTGTGAAAAATATTGTTGCTTGTTTTGATTACATCATGATCATGAAGTGAATTAGTTTGTTTTTTAAGCTATGAAATTTATATTGAAATTTCTCTCAGAATAAAATAAATCTGGTGTATGATCAGATAATTTTTGCTTCAGTTATTGTTGTATATTGTGCAGGTGGTTATCTCCCTTATGCTAATATGTTGTACATGCCAAAAATAATTTCATGTTCAAACAAGACCTGTTGCAAGGGATGGCACATTTGACTTTTTATGCTCCCAAAAGGGAGAGCATATAGTCGCCGCCTTGTCGTACCAATGGGTAACAGTAAATTCTCTTTGATCCTATTCATTCCATTTTTACTTGTGTGTCTTTTTCTAAGCCTTGTGTGACTAAAAATGGCTAAAAAGATCAAAGGAAAGCCACATAAGTACCATTTCGTAAGTATGTCCGTCCGTCTGTCCATTGTTGTCTTGTCCGGAGCATAACTTGAAAACCCTTGGAGATAATTTGTTTTAACTTCACACAGTGGCAGAAGGCATTGAGGTGGAGTGCAGTGACAAAGAACCATAACTCTATTATGCCCCATTTTTGAATTATCTTCCCTTTTTAGCTCGACTTTTCTATGAAAAGGGGAGCTATCCTACTCGCCCCGGCGTCGGCGTCGGCGTCACACCTTGGTTAAGTTTTTCGTACCACCCCACTTTATTTCAGAAGTATTACAAGTATGGCTTTGAAACTTACCATACTTGTTCACCATCATAACCTCCATCTACAGACAAGAGTACATAACTCTGTCAAGGTTTTTGACAGAATTATGGCCCTTTTTTGACTTAGAAAGTGTATTGAGCTTGGTTAAGTTTTTTGTACCACCTCACTTTATTTCAAAACCATTGGAGGTATTGCTTTGAAACTGACCATACTTGTTTACCATCACGACCTTCATCAACAGACAAGAGGACATAACTCTGTCAAGGTTTTTGACAGAAATTATGCCCCTTTTTGACTTAGAAAATACATTGAATATGGGTAAAATCCACTTATTGCCTTAACCCTTTGAGATATTGCTTTGAAACTTTTAATGCTATTTCACATCATTACCCCCATCTGTACGCAAGAGAAGGTAACTCTGTCAAGGATTTGTTTTAAAAATTAAGGCCTTTTATCGACTTAGAATTAAATTTATTTAAGGCTCAACTCAGTTTTTTTTTCTTTCTTACCAGCCCTCTTTTGACTTAAACATTTCAAAACTTTGCTGCAGTGTTCAAGGGTATCACACCAATTCAGTAAAATAATTTCACTAAAATATTTCTTAATGCTCATGGCCATTGTTCACTTTAAAAATACAGAGATTCTTGTATTGCCTTTTACTGCAAAAACTTTTTTTATTGGCAAGCAATAAAAAAGTCGAGCGCGCTGTCTTACGGACAGCTCTTGTATAAAAATCTTGTCCGTGACATAACTCTAAAACTATCAGAGATATCAACATGAAACTTTGCTACTTTTAAGGTAGACAGGTCACAATGGGTAGATGGGCAGTGCACAAAAACTTTTAACTCTGCCTTGCCTAATTTTGGAGTAATTGCCCTTTGTTCATTTTTATGCTCCCCGAAAAATTTCGTGGGGAGCATATAGTCGGCGCCTTATCCGTCTGCCCGTCCGTCCGTCTGTTGTCTTGTCCGGAGCATAACTTGAAAACCCTTGGAGATAATGTGTTGAAACTTCATACAGTGGTAGAGGGCATTGAGTGGGGGTGCAGTGTCAAAGAATCATAACTCTATTTTGCCCGGTTTTTGAATTATCTCCCCTTATAGAAAAATCTTGTCCGGGGCATAACTCTAAAACTATAAGAGATATCAACATGAAATTTTGTAGGTGAATAGATCTCAATGGGTAGATGTGCAGTGCATAAGAACAATAACTCTTTTTTATCCTAATTTGGAGTTATTGCCCTTTGTTAATTTTAACACTTTGAACTTTGTCCGGAACATAACTCTAAAACTATAAAGAGATATCAAGATGAAACATTGTAGGTAGATAGATCTCATTGAGTAGAGGTGCAGTGCAAAAAACCATAATTCTGTTAAGCCTCATTTTGAATTATCTCCCCTTTTAAGAAAAAATCTTGTCCAGGAACATAGCTGTAAAACTATAAGAGATATCAACATGAAACTTTGTAGGTAGATATATCTCAATGGGTAGATGTGCAGTGCACAAGAATCATAACTCTGCCATGCCTAATTCTGGAGTTATTGCCCTTTGTTTATTTTTACTTTTTGAAGTTGTCGGGGACATAACTCAGAAATCATAAGAGATATCATCAAGAAACTTTGTAGGTTGATAGATCACATTGATTAGAAGTGCAGTGCAAAGGCCAGTAACTCTGCCTTGAATAAAATTTTGGAATTATTGAACTTTTTCCAGGGACATAACTCTGAAACTACAAGAGGTGTACTTTCCTGTGTCCAAAACCTATTCGGGGAGCATCACCTGGCTCAAACCGGGCTCTTGTTATACTTTGAACTTTGTCCGGAACATAACTCTAAGATTATAAAAGATATCAAAATGAAACTTTGTAGGTAGGTAGATCTCATTGGGTAGAAATGCAGTGCAAAAGAACCATAACTCTGTTTTGCCCCATTTTTGCATTATCTCCCCTTTCAGAAAAATCTTGTCCGGGACATTACTCTTAAACTGTAAGAGAATATCACCATGAAACTTTGCTACTTAGGTAGATAGGTGTCAATTGGTAGATGTGAAGTGCAAAAAACCATAACTCTGTTCATCTCCATTTTTGAATTACCTCCCCTTTTAGAAAAATCTTGTCCAGGACATTATATTAAAACTATCAGAGATATCAACATGAAACTTTATAGGTGGATAGATCTCAATAGGTAGATGTGCAGTGCACAAGAACCGTAACTCTGCCTTGCCTAAGTTATTGCCCTTTGTTTAGTTTTACACCTCGAACTTTGTCCGGGACTTAATTCAAAATTATAAGATATATCAACATGAAACTTTGTAGGTAGATAGATCTCAATAGGTAGATGTGCAGTGCACAAGAACCGTAACTCTGCCTTGCCTAAGTTATTGCCCTTTGTTTAGTTTTACACCTCTAACTTTGTCCGGGACTTAATTCAAAATTATAAGAGATATCAACATGAAACTTTGTAGGTAGATAGATCTTATTGGGTAGAAGTGCTGTGCAAAAGAACCATAACTCTGCTCTATCCCGTTTTTGAATTATCTCTCCTTTTAGAAAAAAACTTGTCAGGGACATAACTCTAAAACTATAAGAGATATCAACATGAAACTTTGTAGGAAGATAGATCTCATTTGGTAGATGTGCAGTGCACAAGAACAGCAACTCTGCCTTGCCTAACTTTGGACTTACTGCCCTTTGGTAATTTTTACATTTTGAACTTTGTCGGAGACTTAACTCTGAAACCATAAACGGTATCAATAAGAAACTTTGTAGGTAGATAGATCTCATTGATTAGAAGTCCAGTGCAAAGAACAGTAACTCTGCCTTACCTAATTTTGGAATTATTGCACTTTGAACGCTGTCCAGAGATATAACTTAACTACAAGAGGTGTACTTTCCTGTGTCCAAAACCTATTAGGGGAGCATCAGCCGGTTCAAACCGGGCTTTTGTTTATACTGGCTAGTAAATAACTCTTAACCAGGAAAATAATTTTATCATGAACATATTGTTTAAATAATATTAGTGGAAAATTTAAAGTGTCTGAACTGTATTGTACATCTGTGACATAGCATGAATGTTATTATTAAAAAATATATATTAATAATTATTGTATAACATTATTATTTATTGTATTACAAACCTTCCATTATAGATTTATTCACTTCAAACTCAATACTGCAGAAACAGAGCTTAGCACAGCTGAGCTTGATATGCATGAAATATCATTATGAAATAGCTGACAGAAAATCTATAGAGTATACTTAGCATAGTTTAGCGTGATAAAACTTAACATAATCACTGACAGAAAATTCAAAACAAAATCATAATTGGCATTTAAATTATCATTTAATATTAATAACAGACAATGTCAAAAAATAATGAAAGAAATCAAGTAAAGGATTGATTGTCAGCTTTGCTTTTAAAGCTTGCATTACCAAGTGAAATGGAATGTAACAGTTTTCTTAAAAAAATCCACTACTGACAATTGTTGTTCCAAAAATTAAACAAACTGATGTACATTTTAAATGTACCTGGAGCTATAATTATCACATTTCATATTTTCTTTAACCCTTCATTCTGCTGTCATGTCGTTATGTCATGTTTTAATTGTATTGAATTTATCATATATACTAGTCATTTGCATGTGCAATCAATTTTTAGACTGCTACAGGGTGAAAATAAGTTATATTGTTTAAGAATGAGTCTTTAGTTAGCACATTGTTTTATGACATTAAGAACAAGCAGCTTTCTGATGGAATAATCCAAGTTGGTTCACTATTATAAACATCAGTATTGCACCAAGAGCTGACCCGGCCTGGGTAACTATACCACACCATAGAAGCGCCGATCTACCTCTCAGCCGAAGCACTGTTGCGATGCTAACCTTGGCAAATGACATCAGACCACAAAATAAAACAAACGCTATCACCTGTAAAAAACAAAAATATATACATGTATAATGAAGTTTTGATTATTATGATTTGGATTGATCTCCTAATAAGAAATATATGTACATGAAGACTTGAAATTTGTTTAAAAGATTTGTTGAGAATGAATTTGAATTATCTCTTAAAATGTTTGGTGCATTTTTATATCTACAAAGATTTTTCTAAAGACCTAATGATATTCCCATCTCTCACAATGCTGTATTGTTCATGTTGCTTATATACTTTACACTACCATTGCTTCTTCAACTCTTGCAAATCTGATTTTTATCAGGTTCATATAAAAAACAAAAAAAATTAACGCAAGCCTGCAAAGGATCACAGCTAACACTATTCATTAAGATGCATTCAGTAAATGGATTGAATATTTATCCCTTACTATAGTCCATCTTTCAATGTAATATTTTTAGGGAAAATTAAAAAATACAGACTAAATACTAGACCAGTGCAGAACATGATCAGATGACACAGATCAATGAGCTGACTGTTATTGGTCTGAACTCACAGGTTGCATAGGCAGATTCAGTTCAATGCCACCAGCAGGGTAAACAATAATGTTAAATTTTGATTAAAATGACAGGCAGAAAATCATAGTTTACTACTCACTATGGTAGCTGCACCGATATCTTCTCCTGCCATTGGTGGTGTTGGACTGCTGGCAGCTATGACCAGAAGATATATACCAATACAAAAACCAGTAATTGTTACCCCACCTATAGCACACATTGACAAAACTGGCAAGAAAAATGCCACAAGGCATGATAGTGGATTGGCTATATTTGATAATGTTACAGAGAGGTGGAACGCCTCATTCCCGTAGGGTATTGTTGCATATGATGATATAGATGGTAAAACGCCATTGGTTAATGCACTAATAAATCCGATTTGGACCAAAAGAAGAAGAAATTTATGTCTGCTTATAACCACTGACTGGTTTGTAATTGTGACGTCACACTGAAGTTCACTTTCCTCATTCCTGAACTCACTATAACTGTATGACGCCGAGTCAGCATTTATAAACCTACATTCACTAGAAATATCTGTATTGACAGAAGCGTGCTCCTTTTTACAATATGGTAGATAATGCAGGAGTGAGAAAGCTAGCCCACAAATAACCATTATTGAGAACAGGAAGTAGAAAAAATCCTCAACAGGAAAATGTGGAGGAGAATATTCAGCAACAATTTCTGTTTCGTTTGTTGTAAGGTTGACTGTTTTATTTACACATATTGTTTTCCCCACACCTTGACCTATTGCAAGTAGACTAGGTACTAGGCCACTTAACCCTTCTCCTATGTACAGAGCGGAGATGTATTGCAGTTTGAACTTTGACATGTATGGTAAAAACACCACAGATGATGTGCAGTCAACTAAAGAAAGAAGAAAGGTTGAAAAAAGTAGTCCTGTGCTGTGTTTAACTCCGCCTATGTAACTTGTATCCTTCCAGAAAAACACCAATAGTAAACAAGCTGTCATTCCCATGACAACGATGATGAACACTCCATGTTTCTCATTGAATTTTTCTGGTGCAGCTTTGTTCACAAGTGTGTAAAGCAAAGGTCCAATATTAGCAATTTGGGTAATTATTGTGATGTATGATGGGAGGTTCCAGCCTTCTGCTGATTGGTCGACTAAGATAGGTAGCTCCACCCACATTCCATTGACCGCCACCCATGATCCCAGTCCAAACAAGATGACCAGGATGTAGACTGGTATCTTAACATCAGGAAAACAGCTCATCTTTATACTGCTATATATATCTCTGTCAACCACATCAAACTTAGGTAACAGTCTGTCTGAATGAAAAAAAAGGTAAAATAAATAAAGTAGTCCATTATTATCATCATCATAAACTGGATAACTAAGTATCTTGGGAAAGCGAGTCAGTACCATGCACAGCATGCTTAGATTAAGAAAATGCAATTTTTCAGACCTAATTTTCCTCATTAGTTGAAAATAAACAATACTCACACAGATATGCATATCAAAAAAAAATAGAAAAGGAAAAAAAAAAACATTACAGTAATCATGAATATTTTAAGTTATAAATTGTAAATATCTGATATTTACAAAGTATGTTGGAGTATTTATGTTAATACACTTTATAAACTTTATAAACATACATATGAAATTTCAACAGGAGTTTTTATGTACATAATGTGTATAATGTATCTGTGACACAAAAATTATTTCAACCTTTTAAAGTTTAAATACCTTTAAAACCACCATGTGAAATTAGATAAATAACTTAATTTTAAAAATAAGCAACTGCTAATAATGTATGTATAAATATCTTAAATGTAAAACTTCTTTAGTGCATAAAGTTCAAATAAGGAACTTAAACAAAATCTCAAAATTGTAGTGTAAAGATATATTAACCATTAGTCACTCAACAGTTCATACATACAATTATATTGATATATTTTTTTACGTCTGGGTACCTCTTGATTTAAATCTTAAACTATTAAAAAATCAAAAACATTATACCTTATGTTAAACTCCATTGCTGCTGTGGTGTTTTATATAATTTCACAGTATATTTATATAACATGTACAATATCCATAGTTCAATGAATAAGGCTATTTTTAGAACACAATTATGACAAATGTAAAATGGGGAATGTTTGTGAGGACAATTTTTTTTATCAAATAGATCAGGAAGAAAACGTGACCCTATTCATCAGCACTGGTTTATCTTATGTTGGTAACAGGTCTCTAGGTTATGAAATACATGTATATATCTATGATAACATATTTAAATTGATTGGTTAATTATGTCACAGCTGTCCATTAACTTTATTGTTTAATGTGATGACAAGTCAGAAAACAATACCTTTTTATTGTCATCATATAATATATTATTGTAGAATCAGTATCATGATAAGATAAAATGTTTTAAAGGCACATAAAGCCTAATAAAATGAATACTTTTTTTCTTGTTGTGAGATAGGCAAAAATGTGTTTTATGAATGTTGTAGATAATTATATGAGATACCTATCATCAGAAAAGAAAAATGGATGTGAAATACTCTGTTATAACGGCAGAATTTAGATAATGTTTAAAATTATTGCCACGAAAGGTGGTATTGTTAAGTTTATATTGAATTTTCTTGCGTACACAAATTTATCTCAACAAATTGTACCTTAGTTTACAGTAATTGGAGATAATACAGTTAAAGCAAACATGAATCATTCAGGGGTTAACTGTTATATGTTAATATTGGCAGGTCATTTATCTCTCAGTCATTCACAGCCCTCTTTCTTTTACTTTGTGACAATTGTAACAAAATGTGAAATGTGAACAATTAAGGGGAGAAAGGACTTTAATTTTTTCTTGCATGGTTTAATCAATGATGTCTGCTCAGTCTGACTATATTACAAATGCAAAATAATAAAAGCAAAAAATTAAAGCTATCCTTTGCAAGAATGCGCTGTGTGATGAGATCAGTGTTTATTCTCTTACATATAATGGACAGTTTGAGGAGTTTCTCTGTGACATAAAACATGTTCTCTATTGTTTTAAAAAAACACAAATGTATCAATCCATGCATTCCATGCAAAAATTGAAAATTACTTGCCTCCATTGTTAACTTACTGGACACTAATTTTGAAATAACTTCCTTTTTGAGTGGGAAAAAGGAAATACATGAAGTTAAAAAAACATGATATCCATGCTTTACTGTCTTATTTTATGTTAATGTCCAGGAATGTTAAAATATCACTATTGGTTATATGTTTGGGACTATATAATGCATATGGGAATAATTATAAATTAAAAGTAAAAGTATCTGTCACTTTGTCTTTACATTCAGTGATTATTGTTTTCCCCATCATAATTATGATTACATCTTTACAGTTTTTCATTATTTAACTGATAAAAAACTGCTGTTTTTTTTTTAAAAAACAATGAAATCAAACCAGTTCAACTGGCTACAGTTTAAATGAAGGGGAATAATCTTAATGAAATGACAGCAATTCATCACAAATCTACGATTATTGCACATGATCTTATGCGTTTATTTTTCTTTGTTAATAACATTGTACCAGAAATGAAGAAGTGTCTATTTCTGTAAAATATATACTTGTATATACATGATCACTTTTATTGGAATATTGAAAGAAAGATAATTATGTTTTGATATTGCTTAATGTTACTAATGTTCCTTATAATGGACCTTTCAGGTTTTTCGTAGCGGAACATTTAGCCACACCTTTTCCATTCATTGCTAGGTCAACTGCTCACAAACAGTATCACAAACATAAGCATGTGCTCTTTTGTGCAAACCAGGTCAACCAGTGACTATGTATTATCTCAGAGTAGCGATTGGATAACAAGTTAGCCAATTTACATAAAACTGTAAACACCAGAAAGGTCCATTCATTAAGCCATCAACAGTGTATGTTTCATCAACTTAAGATAAATGCATGGATCCTTGGCATCTGACATTTTTAAGGATGCCACTGTTTCTGAGCCATGATTGTTTAGTATGTTTCTGAGAGTAAAATCACACACACATTATACAAACTAATGTTAAAGTTTTCCTGTTTACAGACAGTCACTTAAAACTAGGGCTGGGAACGAATAAGGAATTTGATGTTCGAATATTCGTTTTCCATATTCGAATATATTCGAATATTCGTTTTTACAACATTTGTACCAATATTTCTCTTTGACGTATACGTATCCGATATTGATTGCGTCGAATACTGTACAATTTTAATATGTTTGGGATAATCGACGATTAAAAATAACTACGTAAAAGTTTTTTATTTTATATATTGTAAATCGACAGAAATGTTTACTTCTGAAATAAATTCATAATTTGATGGCCTTTTGTTCAGTTAATCCGACTGCTGGTCATTTGTCTTCATGGTCTTATTAACGGTAGGTAACGTGACTTGATTGACAGTAATATGAATCACCGTATCTTCTTAGCCCCCAAAACACATAATTCACATTGAAACTTAACTTGAATTAAATATATTATTTATTTATAATTTTAGATAAGGTTTAAAATATTCTTCAGATACATTTAGCCATAACGAATGTCAGACATAATCCCCTTCGGACAAAATCCCCTTCACCTACCCGGGCAAAATCCCCTTCATGGGTGGACATAATCCCCTTCATTCTTTTGCAAGGCTGGACAAAATCCCCTTCACTACCCGGACAAAATCCCCTTGTTTCATTGGTTTCTAATTTATTATGATGCTCCATAAAAATTGATGAATAATGTATTATTATACTCCCTAAAAATTGATGAATAATGAACTTTTGTTTTTTTATTGATAATTATGTATCAATAGTTAACCTTTATTTAGTTTAGAAGTTTTCATTAAAATTATGGTAAATTATCAACTGCATAACACATATTTGATTAGGCAATTTCTTTAATACTTTTAAACTGATTAGTATGAAAAACATTTTTATTAGCCAATAATTGTTTCATTGATTGTATAAGTTGATAATTCTAATTGATATATACTATCCATTGTTACAATTTCTATTGATGAAAGAATGATATTTTAATCAAACCAAGATCACTGCACTACTTGATTGATTGATATGAATGCTTTAACAAATTAATTTTAATGTGATTTGAATGTTGCTAATTGAATGTGCTTTTCTGCTGAAATATTTTCTACTCATTTATACATTAAGATATTTATTACACAGCATAATGCAGTATGTGGCTCTCATACCCACTTAAAAAACCGAAAATTCCACTGAGGGGGATTTTGTCCTAGGTAGCAATTTTATGAAGGGGATTTTGTCCACTTCAACATTTCACACATGTAGGGGATTATGTCCACCCATGAAGGGGATTATGTCCGGATATACAAAAATACATGAAGGGGATTTTGTCCGAAGGGGATTATGTCCGTACACCAGCTATAAAGCAGTAAATATCACACGGAGTCTTAGTTTCTACGGAATAAATATATTTTGACGGAATATAGACACTGACCATGATTACATAAAGCACCGATTAATACGTGTCGATTTTTTCGTCTTCACAAAATTTAAGACAATGACTGATTAATCGGACAGATTATTGCACAGAAAACAATAAATAAGATAATTAAAATCGGAAAATTACATTATATTCTGTTCAACAGGTAAATTGCAAACTGTGAAACGGGTGCCCTTTTGATCAACTATAGACCCAAAAGTTTTCACAGTTAATTGGCGATAATCGTTGACACGTGTCATACAAACGTGTGAACAACTGGCCAAGTAAAGGTCAATGGTTTAATTTGCTATCTTAATTGAAATTTGAAAGTAATTACAAAAAAAACACTTTTTTTTCGAATATTCGTATTCGTTTTTCAATGTTCGAATATTCGGTAGTGTTTCGAATATTCGAATATTTGAATATAATTCCCGGCCCTACTTAAAACAAGAATTAAAATTGGGGAAAAACTTTAAAAAAAATCCTTTTTGATGTTTATTTTTAGAAATTTTAATTTTGGGGAAAGGTCCCAAATTTTAAAAAACTACTTTTTAGTTTTTCAAAAACCCAGGGCTTTTTGTTAATTTTCCCCGTAAAAACCCCCCTTTTAGATTGAAGTTGTTTGGAAAAATTAAAAAAAAATTCCAAAACCAAAACCAAAAAGGGAAAATTCCCAAAAAAAAATTCAAGGAAAAAGTTGGGGATTATTTTGGTTTTATAAATGAAATTTACCTTCCAATGGGAAAAATTTTAAAAGGGGTTTAAAAATTTTATAAAATTTTTTTTAAAATTATTTTTCCCCCCATTTTTTGTTTTTTGTTAAAGTTTGAAATAAAATTTTTATTATTTTAAAATTTATCTTTTATCATATTTTTAAATTGTTATTTAATTTTGAGGGCTTTCATTAAAAATTTTGGGGGGGAAACCCAGGCAGGTACGGGGTGACTTGTTTTTTAAAAAAAAGTCTTCCAAAATTTTAAATTATTAATTTAAAAATAAATTATTTAAAAAATAAATTTCCCCCAAAAAATTTTTCGGGGTTAAAATCCCCAAAATTTTGCCTTTTCGGGGCCCTTTCTTTTCCAAAATTTTTCAAAAAATAAATTTAAAGTTTTTTCAAAATTTTTTTAAGGGTCTTTCCCCAAAAAATAAAATTTTATGCTTAAAAGTTTACATTAAATTTCAAATTTTATATAATCCCAAAAAAAAACATAACCCAATTAAAGGGTAAAAACTTAAAAAAATTCAAAAAGAGGAAATTATTTAAACTCTAAACCCCTAAAAATTGGGAAATTTTCCCTGGAAGCAGAAGAACGGGGTTTTAAAAATTCAAAAAAATTTTTCAAAAATTTCCCCAATATTCTTTGGTCCATTTGAAAAGGGGCCAACTTTTAAAAAACATTTTTCAATTTTAGTTTGGGGAAAAACAACCCCCAAAAGGTTTAAATTTTAAATTTTGGGGGTTTTTAATTTTTAGAGGATATAAATTGATAAAATTTAATAAACCAAATCAACTAAATCACAGAAAGTAAAGTTCTAATTTAGCAGCCAAAATTGTTTTCAAAATCACCACAGTTACAATTTGGAATGATACAGGAAATAGCTTTGTTCCAGCTAACATTAGCATACAAAAATCCTTTAACAAATAAAACATATAACATTCAAAGCATTCAACAAATACTAACAATACAGTAAACAAGCTTTCTAACAGTGCATTCTTATGTTAAGAGATCACAATACTAAAGAACTAAAACCTACTGTAATAGCCAACAGTATACAGCCTGGTCAATTTGTATGAATGTGTGGACTGGCTCTGCTATTCTGACAGCTGGTTAACATGAATGGATACAGTTACTTCTAGCACTGCAAACTAATTATTAAAGTAGTTTCATCTTTGTTGTTTCACTACTAGGGATGCATCAACAAAATTGATATCATTCACTTTAATACCAGTATATATATATGCCAAAAACATCTCAAAATAATCATTCCTAGTACACCAAGTGCTGTTTATATTTAACCATATAATTATGAAAAATACACATGTATGTAAAATGTAAAGGAGTATTATAGACACATATTTGTTACCAAAACGAAATAACACTTGTAATATTTAATGGTTAATGCTAATGCTAAATTCTGACACACGTATAGTATATTAAAGAAAGCTTTAGCTATCAATGTCTTCATCTCAAACTTAAAACAGTTATGGATAATGAACAGAACAGAACATACGTTTTACATAGTACATTGCCATGAAAATAGATAAATAAAACAATTATTGTGTCACATGATCATGATATTAACACAAAATACAATATGATACTTATCAGGTAATAGAAAATACATTGTTTACAAAAAGAATGTTAAGATAATATTTAATTAGTTAATATTTTCTCAAGCGTAACAGTACATGTACTAGAAATCCTATTGACAATCTCACAGGATATTGTTTCTTCCATATTGTATACCAGATATGTGCCCAGGGCCTCTAATCACAAACTAAATACCTAGTAGGTAAGAGTTATTTCCGATCAAGTAACAATTTAGTGAACCATTTTCAGTCAGAACTAGTACCATAATCAATATGCCATGAAAATGTTCGCAGATTATCTTCGCAGATTATCACTAGAGAGACAGCATTTGTGATTTCAACATGTTTTAACCTTGAATGTTTTTAAAAACTTTTACCCCCTAAAATTGGTGAAAAAACATATATGTATTTTTCTCTCTCTCGGATTATTACTTTCATTTATTACAAAATCAAAACAGTGGAAATGAGAAATGACATACATACTGGCTTGGTTTTATACAAGTAACATATACTAGTCAACATTACAACTTGTATTCAGGCAATTTCAAGATCACAAAATTTCATGATTTCTACAAAAAATGCAATTTCATAAAGCACATATTTGATGAATTGTACATTTAATTAATAGAAAAAAATACAACAATTTGTGCACTGAAAAGGTTTCAATTTCAAAATGTCACACAAAATCACAAGAATTAAATGGCATCCCATTCTGAATTTATGTTACAGTAAACTTCACTTATAGCGAACACGGTTATAGCGAACTTCCGGTTATAAGGAACAATTTATTTTGGCCCGAATTTTGCCCTTCTTTATTTCATATAAAAATATACGGTTATAGCGAACACGGTTATAAGGAATTATCGCTTATAAGGAACTCATTTCTTAGTCCCAATTTAGTTAAAAGTGCATAAAATTACACTTTTATAACGAACTCCAAATATCGTCTATTCGTAAATATATCCCGCATTTTCAACTTTCGTTTTCATTGGCACGGAATAAAACTCGCGGAATGTACCGTTTATTGTTGTATGTAATTCAATATATGAAAATGAATTTGTAAAAAGTATGTAATAGTTTTCTATTTAGAATTGTTTTTGCTTGAGTTCTTGTCACAAAGATAAAACGGTAATTCCTTTTATTCTATAATTTCTTTTCTTTAATAGTTTGCTCGAGTAAAATAATTATCGGTTTTCAACATAATCACGCATGCTTGCAAACATAATCCATAGAAAACTACAAAGTATGCTTGATTGAAATGAAAAGAAATCTATATATTATTAGTTAAAGTCACCCTTAAAATATAATAGAAGATATTCAATATAAAAGGAAGAAAAATGGAAAATTTTGTTTATTCTTATTCATTGAAAGAAAACGAAAAGCACAGTGCAGTGAGTTAAGAAACAAAATATGATGTTTTATGAAGAATTGAGAAAGGGAGTAAAACTAAAACTGAAATAGCAAAGGATTTTCAAATTCCAAAATGTACGCTCTCGGGTATTGTGTCTAAAAAAGAAATAAATGATTAATTATTCTTAATCAAATGCTCTTAAAAATGGCGGACGATGTTTAACAATCAGTTCGTTATATGTAAATCTGTTCGCTATAAAAACTCCTGATACAAGGAACTAATTCGCTATATGCTTACAAGGAACTCCGGATATAAGGAACAGAATTTGAATGTCCCAATGAGTTCGTTATAAGCGGAGTTTACTGTATATTACATCTAAAGACTATCATGGGGTTGAAATCACCTGCTACTACACTTCATATAAAGATCCTGTTTATTGGTGTTTTTAAATATAAACAATAAAGCTATTGTCACTATATATGCCTGTCACAAAGACTCAGTCTCAAGATGGTGACCATTTGCACATCAATGTTAAAATCCCTCAATTCATTTTGACTTTATGGTCAATACTCACATTCTCATCTAACCGTTAACGTCTGCATTCCAAAGAGACCTAAATTTAAGTCCAACACTATTGCCCTCATTGCCGAGCATTTATGCCAAGTAATATAACAATCCCTAAGTGCATGTATAAATTGCACTATGGACATGTGCTTTCATCTGACCTCTTTCTTAGAGTGACCTTGACCTTTGTTTTAAGATTGCAAGTGTGCAGCACTATGCCTCAAGATGGTGAACATAAGTATCAATACTTAAAATGTGTAAAGTGATGCTCTGGACAAAATTTAACACTGCCCTCCAACCAGCCAGGAGCAAATCCATAATGAGACACATTTTTTTTTCATTAAATAGGCATAAAGCATGTAAAGTGACTTGCACCCATCACATGAGTCATGTGCAACAATGTATTGGATTCCTTCAGCAATGCATAGATCCCTGACCTGTCTAATTCTAATTATCAAATTTCATCAGAACATACTTTTTAACAAAAGAGCACATGTCAATGGACCGTTCCGGTGTTTACAGTTTAATGTAAATTGGCTAACTTGTTATCCAATCGCTACACTGAGATAATACATAGTCACTGGTTGAACTGGTTTGCACAAAAGAACACGTGCTTATGTTTGTGATACTGTTTGTGAGCAGTTGATCTAGCAATGAATGGAAAAGGTGTGGCTAAATGTTCCGCTACGAAAAACCGGAAAAGTCCATGTTTGTGGTTAGATCAATGGTTATTCAAATGAAAGCCTAAAAGGTCAGAGCAGGGATCTATCAAGACATTATCTAGAACTCAGCAAATGCGGGCCTTTCCAAGTTAATCCCCCTGTACAAACAAACTTACCGTTATAGCTTCACTGTGCACTACCGGTCACAACAGTCAACCTGTTGGACTAATTTTTTTAAGCTATAACTGTAAAAGTTTGTTTGTACTCCTGGATTAGCTGGGAAAAACCCAAAATATTCTTAACTCTGGTGTATGTCTATTATAAATTAATGTTACAAATCAATAAAAAGTATTTTTAAATAATTTCATCACTATAAATATTGAAAACTTGTAGAAAGTAACAATTTACTATCTCCATAAAGTAAATAAACTACTAAAAGGCTGTGATTTACTATAAGTACGTAAAAATTGGCAAGCAAAGAATACTCATTGCTGATACATATTTGGACCATTTATATTATTTTGGCACAAAATGGGGTTACAACAAAAATAGCACAGAAGTGTAAAACAGTAAAATAAGTTTGTATAGACTAGTAACATGGTGCATTTATAATAACAAATAACAGTTTCGTTTAATTTTCTTAAGTTTAAAAATTTGACCTTGAAAAACTAGGTTATTTGAATGTCAAGGTCATATTTCAAACTATTGTGCCTCACATGATTTATTAACTGTTATATATAGCCCTATGTGATGTCAGTAGGTAGCTATCAGTAATGTCACATGGTAACATCACATTTCGGCCACTGACATTAAACAACTTTTATGCATATACCAGTTGCAGGGATTTAGTTATTCTGTTTTATATCATTTACTTCCCTTGCTAAGATACACTAGAAGCCTATCAAGAACTGTTTGTTTGGTGTCATAAAAAAAACATCCCTGGTGTTGCATTAAGTTTGTAACACCCAAGGTTAGCCAAAATCATCTTTCCTGTTTCGGCGCTATATCCCCTAAATTGTGTTGGTATGCGGTAAAACCAACCAAACAAACAAACATTGAGGCTCAAGTCTAAAGGATATTTTCTGCCTGTGTCCAAGCAAGGCTTTAGCTTATATAACAATGAGGTTTAGCCATGGTTAATGTTATTCACAGAGAACGAAAGAACAAAAATAATTTGTCTACAAATCTATAAACAAAGAGGAACATAAAATCTAATATGAAAGAACTATATCAATTGTTATTGCACCTAAAAGTATCTCAAAAACAAGCATTCTGTTTAAATATATTACAAATTCAATGACGCAATTACACCCAGATTCAATTGAAATTATTTCCTGTGACATAAATAAAATGTGCTGATACATCCTTGCAGCTACTTTATAAAATTGCAGTTATTTTTGTGCAAGTGAATCTAACTCTGTAAATAAGTGCATGTAGTTATATCCTTGGTGGTTTTATAAATGTAGTTTATTTCTAGATTGTATAAAGGGAGCTGTCATTTCCTAACTTATTTATGTTTTTGTGTATAAATATCGATGAACTTGTTTCCTTCATGGTTTATCAGAATCAGTTTCAACAACACACATTAAACAAACTCCCATTCTCCATCCTCACTAGAAACACTATGTTCCCTAGGGTGCCTGGAAGCCCCTGATGTTCCCGGATCATTGGCAGACCTCACAATATATTTGGTAAACCTTCGAACAAGCTGGCCATCCTTATTGATGCCCCAAAGAATATTGTTAGGTGTTGCTAAAAATAGATAACACATAATATGGGTAAGTAAATAAATTGAATTTCATAAAAAAAAATTGCACAAAATGATGAATAATCAAATATTCTAATAACAAGGAAAGAAACAAGAAATGTGTCCATAGGACATCTGTCAGATTTTCCCATATGTTTTTTCAGTATATGGACGGACAGCAGGACAGACAAGGGCAAATCTATTTCCCAACTCTACGAAACTGTGGCATTAAAATGTAGCATCACTTGTACTGTAGTCTATCCAATAAATACCAAGTACAAATGGCTGCATTCATTAAAATACATGTATTAAGTCAACACTTAAAGATGTAAATGATTTAAACTTTAATTTGTTGTATTTACATTATACTTGAATTTCAAGTCACATAACCACTGTCCATGAAGTCCATAAAACAACTTTTCAATTCCTGTTAAAGAGGAACTCGAGTGTATTTCATTTTAATACCAGAGAGAACTGGAGTAGAGGTAAGAACATTTTTTAATTTAGATGAATTATTTAAAGGTCAATAGCTAGATTTAAACTCAAGAAATAAGATTCAAGTATCCTATATATAACAAGCAAATTCGTTGAATTTATTTCCCCCGCCGAGTACTGGTTATTATTAACACAACAACTGAAGACATAAGGCTTTATTTCTATTTTAATCATGGCATAAACAGTAATATTCTTTGAACTTGATAAATATTCAGGGCAATAACAGAGCCATAACTTTGTGTTAAATAGTAATATCTGGAAATGCCAATGAGATGTATGCATACTACATAACTAATAAAGATGCCATAAATCTGAGTTATAAGTATCTGACCGGAACAAGGCGACTATATGCACATCTCATCTTTTAGTATCCCATAAAGTTTCATTGAATTACAGAGAAGTAGCACGGAAACGATTATTGCTCTGGTTATGTACTGCCTAAGTTATCAAGAGTCATAACTCTAAGTTAAAATGTCTGACCCGAACAAGGCGACAATATGCGCATCTCCTCTTGGTATTGAAGGTTCCAATAAAGTTTCATTGAATTCCAGCCAGTAGTTGCAGAGAAGTAGTGAGGAAACAAATATTTTTCTATATGGATACTGCATAACTAATCAAGGGCCATAACTCTGTGTTAAAGTGTCTGACCTCAACAAGGCAATGATATGCGCATCTTCTGTTGGTATTGAAGGTTCTCATAAAGTTTCATTGAATTCCAGCCAGTAGTTGCAGAGAAGTAGCGCGGTAACGATATTTGCTCTATATGCATACTGCATAACTAATCAAGGGCCATAACTCTGAGTTTAAGTGTCTGACCGGAACAAGGCGACGATATGCGCATCTCCTCTTGATATTGAAGGTTCCCATAAAGTTTCGTTGAATTCCAGCCATGAGTTGCAGAGAAGTAGCGCAGAAACAATTTTTTCTCTATATGCATACTGCATAACTAATCAAGGGCCATAACTCTGAGTTAAAGTGTCTGACCGGAACAAGGCAACGATATGCGCATCTCCTCTTGGTATTGAAAGTTCCCATAAAGTTTCATTGAATTCCAGCCAGTAGTTGCAGAGAAGTAGCGCGGAAACGATTTTTACTCTACATGCATACTGCATAACTAATCAAGGGCCATAACTCTGAGTTAAAGTGTCTGACCGGAACAATCTGATGATATGCGCATGTCCTCTTGGTATTGAAGGTTCCCATAAAGTTTCATTGAATTCCATCAAGTAGTTGCAGAGAAGTAGCGGGGAAACGATTTTTTACTCCATATGCATACCGCATAACTAATCATGGGCCAAAACTCTGAGGTTAAGTGTCTGACCGGAACAAGCCGACGATATGGGCATCTCCTCTTTGTATTGAAGGTTCCCATAAAGTTTCTTTGAATTCTAGGCAGTAGTTGCAGAGAAGTAGTGCGGAAACGATTTTTACTCTATATGCATACTACATAACTAATCAAGGGCCATAACTCTGAGTTAAAGGGTCTGACCGGAACAAGCTGACGATATGCGCATCTCCTCTTGATATTAAAGGTTCCCATAAAGTTTCGTTGAATTCCAGCCAGTAGTTGCAGAGAACTACTCCGGAAACGAAATTCGGATGGACAGACGGAAGTACCAACTTTTGATATTTAAGAGGTAAATCAGCTCATAAACTACACCTGGACCAAAGTCAACAAGCAAAATCAGCTCATAAAATAAAAAAAATAGCTCCTAATTTGAATTTTATGAGCTTTTGTTCTTTATTTAACTACGGAATGAAGCTCTGGATATCAAATGTTTGCTCGGACGGACGGACAGACGGACAACGCCAAAACTATATCCCCCTCCCGATTCCATCGGCGGGGGATAATAAACATATCTGCTTCTGAGACCCTCTTACACTTTTAATGCATGCAGTACACTTGAATATACTACTAACACTACTTTACCTGAAATATGAGTTAACTCCCCTGGCAATTTCTTCCAGTAGTCACCAGTCACATGATCAGGTGCTACACCGTGACGACACAGAAGTTCTCCAGCATGGTTCAAGGCAAACACAAAATTGTTTGATAATGTGAGCTGCATTGCCGGGGATCCTTAAATACAAACACAATATATGATGACCAAATAAGATAACTGTATTACAACCTAATTTACAAGTTAATATTCACACTGAATATCTTCAATATTTTTTTAATCATCACGAGTATTAGTGTTTTGAATTACTAAGCAAGATTGTTCTCATTTATCTGTCAACTAACTAAAACTGGTCAATTTTTGAATTTTGATAATGAAATCCCTAAAATTTTAAAAGCAGAAAGAGGTCTAATTAGATATATAATCATTTAAGTAATGAAAGATGTTTACCTGATACATGTATCCATTTGCGACCTATTGGCATCTCTTGTGTGATGCCATCTCTAACATATACCTGCCTTCTGTTATCTATTGCCCATACCTGTAAAATAATGCTACCTTTGTTTACATATTTACTTTTTGTTCAGTGGTGGTACTTTTTTTACCATGAACTTCTTTTTATGTAGACCAGAATTTTTTTAAGAACAAATGATGAACAAGACCTACCAGTGAAACAGAAGGCCCAACTATTCTCGGTGCTTAACAATGAAAGAAGAACTTAGATAATATTCCAAAATACAAAATGGAACTATTCAATAAAAATGCTAGAGTTATTGTTCTAGAACCACATCAAATGGTACAATAATCTCAAACTAGAAATGTGTCCATAGGACACGGATGCCCCCACACGCCACTGTTCTGTCAATGTCAAATATTTTTTGGACTACATGTGCCACAAGTTGAAAACTAAAAATCAACAAAGGGCCATAATTCTGTTAAATTTGGTCGCAGCAAAAATTCCTTCCTTTACTACTATCTACACATTAAGGTTGTTAATCCCTGGAAGTTTAAGCAAAATCTGCGATCCGGTTTAAGAGGAGTTGCATTCACAAAATTTCTACATAGTATATAGTGAAAAAATCAACAAAGGGCCATAATTCTCTAAAATTTGGTCGCAGCAAAAATTCCTTCCTTTACTACCATCTACACATTAAGGTTGTTCATCCCTGTAAGTTTAAGCAAAATCTGCCATCCGGTTTAAGAGGAGTTGTGTTCACAAAATTTCTACTTAGTATCTAGTGAAAAAATCAACAAAGGGCCATAATTTTGTTAAATTTGGTCGCAGCAAAAATTCCTTCCTTTACTACCATCTACACATTAAGGTTCTTCATCCCTGTAAGTTTAAGCAAAATCTGCCATCCGGTTTAAGAGGAGTTGCGTTCACAAGATTTCGGGACGTACGGACGGACTGACGGAGGCCGAAATAGAATAAGGGGCCATTTCTTTTGTTATTTTCTATTGTTTAATAGAGGGCCAATGGCCCCTTACTCTATTGTTATGGAATGAACTCTATTGTTCTCTTTTGTTCTGTTTACAGTTCGATGGCCCCCTATCTTTATTCGGTAGTGCGGACGGACGGACAAGTGCAACGCTATATGCTCCCACATTGTGGGGGCATAAAAATTATTTCCAGTTCCGTCATGTCAAAAAACCTCAGCGGGGTCCATTTAAACAATATATACTGTACATGACATTGTATGCCATGATTCAGTTTAATAAATTAGTCTAACAAATAAGTCCACACATTGAAATTAACATGCACATAAATGATATTGCAGTTAGTGTAAAAATTTATCCTATTGCGCATTTCTTAAAAACATCTCATCTGTCATTAATGATGATTAAAAGCAATGATTTTCATAACAGTTTCATACAAATTGAGTGATACAAAATACAATTATATGTCAAAAGTCAGCCTGTATCTTTATACTGTAAAAGTTACTAGGCATGTCTTAACCTTTGACCGCTGAAACAAAAGTGACAAGCCTTTGCCACCAGTATAAAGTTAGGTCATCCATGCAGTCTGACCAGGCTCTATACTTTTGGAAAAGTAACTTTAATTTTGACCTTGACACCCCTCAAGTCAACATTGGACATTTAAAAAAACAAGAGGGTCAAGATGGCCCTCGATTGCTCACCTGACCAATCGAACTCATCTGAACAATTATTTAGACAAGCATCCTGACCAAGTTTGATAACAATTGAGTCAAAAATGCGACCACAAGAATGTTAACAAGATTGTGACCTAGTTTTTGACCCAAGGTGACCCGTATTCGAACTTGACCTAGAAATCATCAAAACAAACTTGCAGATCAATTTCCAGGATAATATCTGGATAACAACATTAGCCACTAAAGAGAGTGAGAGAGAGAGAGAGACGATGAACGATGTACCCTGGACATTCAACGATCCTAAAAGCTCACCCTGAGGTAGCTCAGGTGAGCTAAAAAGGAAGCTGGACAAATGAATTTTAGACATTAAGCAGATTTAGATATAAACTCTATTATTATTATTATACTATAGTCTGATATAGACACACACCTTCCAATCTTGCTGACAGGACACCACATGTGTGAAAACAGTGCCTCCATTATCTACAGGTAACCAGGCAGCATTGAGACTGAGATCAGAGGGCGCCTTCACCCCAATACGATGCCATACCATACCATCACTATCCACAGACCACACTGTCATATCAGCACATGACATATTTACTAGCTGTTTGTCCTCTGTTGATAAAAAACCAATAATACATTCAGAAATTCAGAAAAAGGAAAATTTTATAAATTAATTTATATGACCATTTGTTCAAAACTAAATCTGAATTACTCTCTGGTTCTACTCAGTGATTTATAATAATCTTAAGAATACTATGGTGTCAGTTTTATAAGCCAAATAGCAGTCTTAATCTTGGGCTGTAGAGGTATTAATTAAAGACCATGTCCACTATTAATTCCTATTTCAAACAGATAATTAGTTATACATGCACTACCACAGTTATACATATACTGTCTTTTTTCAGGTCCATTGTGGCTGTTTTATATTATCAAATGCATTAAATATTTTAAAATCAGTAGCCAATACAAGTAAATCTTTGATAATTTTAATTTCATTACAGTGTACCTAGTTGTGAGAGATCTAGCTGTGACCAGCCCGTCCCTTTACATTCCAATTCACTCATTCCAGTTCTTATATACACCTCACCATCACCAGACAGAGCCCATAATGCATCAGTACATACAGACAGACAGACAAACAATATAGAGCCTGCAAGTTTACTTGGTCCTGGTATAGCACAGCAAGTTTTACGATCAGGAGAGAAAGCAAATATATCACCACTAGGTTGTTGTGCCCATATTACACCTGCAAACACAACAACAATTTCACATCAATGGTATAACATGTACTATCATTTCAATACTAAATTTATAACAGATCATTTATATGGATAAGTTCAACTGATTTGACAGCCTTTATTCATTAAGAAGTTAAATCAAATATTCTATATAGTGTTTAGGAAACAGCCCTTATTTGACCAATTATTATTGTTGATCTTAACTGATGTAAAAAATAAGCTCCTAACATATTTACTATAAAAGAATTGTGGCTGCATGGCAACAAAAAATTCTTCTTGAGCTTCCATGTGATAATCATTTTGACAAACTTCAATGAGTAAGAAAGCTTTCTAATACTATTGTAATTTCAAACTGTGTAACTTTAATAATTTCATAAGTGACAAGAACTCTATTCATATTCATTTCAGCACTATAAAACAAGATCTTGATGGACTGACAATGTTATTGTCACTCTTTCTTCATCTTAAGTTGCTAGATAATGCTCTAAACTCCATAAAATATTAAACTGTGTTTGTTAGATTTAAAGTCCCACCAACACTGTACAAGTCAACAATAAGAAATAGAATGAAACATTAACACACCATTTTTCTGATTAGCTGTACTGGCCACAACAGTTTTCCAACAGGATGTGGATGCCAAACTCTCTGGATGGGCATCTCTCCAAAGTTGACCTGTAAAAAAAATACCATCATTGACTGAAAATCATTATTCTACACTGAAAACAATTAAAACAACTTTCCATTTCAATTCCACATCTGCAGCAAATGTTTTCTGAATAGGAATTTGGTTTTGACTTGTTAGAATACAAAATTAGACCAACTTGTCACCTGAACTGAAAATTATATGGGTAAAGGAAATAACTGAAATGTCAATGTTTTATTTATAGGTAATGTACATACCTTCAACATTGCCTCTACACACTTGTAAAATATGTTTATATTCTGGACACACCCACACTCCACCATGAGCTGCTATCAGGCCTCCACTTTGGGCACTGAGCAGTAATGTTAATTTCTGAGGATCAAACTTCTTGGAGAAAGACTTCAACATGTCTAGAGCTGTCATATCTTTTACGACATATTCCCCACTTAGAGGGACCTAAAACACAGTGAGACAATTTATATTATAGTACAATTTTACTTCCATCATTTCAATATTTCTATGCCTTTTTGAGTTTAACCATACAAACTGTAATCACTTAGAGTGATCAACATCTTGGATAAAAAAATGATTATTGAATTCCTTAAGAAAAACCATTGTTCATAATATATAATGACTTTACTCACTAAGACTATTTACCTCATTAACTTGGCACCGTATTTTACTTATTTTCACTTATTATTTATACAAATGTACATACTTGTTACTTTTACCATCATAGATAAATTCAGCTTCTAAATTAAGGTATTAGGACCCTAATGGGCACTATCAGGAACTAAAGAAATGACATCATAGGTCAGATGTATACCTTAAAATACGCCTGTTTGCAAAATTTAAACAAAGTTTACCGCACGGAAATCAAGTTATGGCCACTTTTCTGAACTCCAGCTAGGATGTTATGAGGGCCCTTTTTTAGAAATGAGGAACCTTTAAATAATCTGCAATAACATTCTAATGAAAAATGTTTTCCCATGAATTTTTGGTAAGAAACAAATAGTACCATTCAGCTAACAATCCACATAAGCAAAATTATGGTTTCTACTTAAAATTTATGACATCTGTATAAAAATGTTACCCTACCCCACCCATTTTTACCACATGTCTGACCATTTTTCTATTAAGGGAGCCTAATTAAAAAAATTCTTAAAATTTACCCAAATGAGTGCCTGTTTTCAAAGTTTCCCTAAACTTTTTTAAAAAGTATATTGGTTGATCTTGTAAAATATGAAATACTTTTACCGTCTAGTTTTGATTATATTACACTTTGAAAATATCAGGTACCATATTAATTACCAGATTTAGCATAATTTAGCCAATAAATACCAATATAAATTAAAAATTCAAAATTAAACACTTTTTTCTTTCCATATGGGACATGAGAGATACATAAATAATGTTAAAAGAAAAAAAGAAAGAAAAAAAAGTTGACCCTTCTGGGGATTGAACCCATGGCCCTCTTTTTCAATGTAGTTAACAGTAATTCTAGCCTATTTGAATACTCTTTAACGCGGAGGTAATGCATTAGGGTGCTAATACCTTAACACATTTCCACGCAGTCTGACCTGGCTCTTTACTGTTGGTAGTTCAAGTTCTGTATTTTGATATTAAAATCCCATAAACTTTGAAATGGGCTGGTGAGCAAAACCATTATATAAATGCAGCAGGCTTTTAAGATATTTCATTATCTTATATTGAAAACTTTCATACCTGCCACCAATGGTTCTCTCCCCTTGGTGTTTTCATGGTAACTCCAGGTAGGAACCAACATTGACCTAGAATGTCAACAGCCCAACCAATATTATCTTCTCCAAGACATAACTGACTGAACAATCTGTTTTCTGAGCCACTGTAATTTGCAGATAATATACAAGTTAGTTCTTCTAATATAAAAGTTAAAGTTGTTTAATCATACATTACACATCCTTCAATTTTCATTAAAACCAAAGTTACCACAAAGCCAAAAGTTACACAGCATGTAAATGATTTTCACTGATTAGTTCTTATAATTGTACTGGTAAGTTTTAATAGATATAAAACTAAAGTTTCTTTGGTAATCAACAAGAATACAGTTACACTGCTAGATGCTTTGACAAAGTTAACAACATGGCAGCCTTACTACTAGGAACAGATGTACAATCTAATTTTATTATCAATGATGGTAGCCAGATTGACCTGAGACCTGCCTCAAAAATACTGGTACATAAAAGATACCAACACATCAAATATCTAAATTATCAGTCAATAAATAAAGAATAATAATAAGAAACAAGTGTGACCGATGAATTACAGGAGTGTCTGAAGGACAAACTGGCAACTACATGTATATGCTTCAATGACGAATTTTGGTGAGTTAAAATATACTGAAAACAAAACATACTTCATAGGCATATAAGATCATAAGGCTAGTATAATAAAATTTAACCTAAATATAGTATATGTAAAATATTCTTAGTGTCCCAAGAACAAGTTATGTCAAGACATAATGGTAAAGTTTAATGGTTTACATATATAGAATATATAAATAAAGCAATAATATTCTAATGTTTGATGCAGGACATAGTATTGTCAGATACACTCTGTAGATATACATTAAAACAAATTCATTCTACAGTATCAGCTGGGATGGTGTAAATCTGAGCCCTGTGTATACCACTGATTCATGTATGAGATACTTATTTCAGTATACATATACAAGTTTATAAATTGGCATAGTTTGTAAATATAAGGATAATATTATTTAGAAAGCAAGCCATGCATTTTTGTTTCCATGCATCTTAAAGATTTAATGGACTCACTGTTTTAATAACCCATTAAACATGCTGAAATAATTCAAAATATACTTATTTTCCTACTCTTTGTTTTAAATCTAAATAATTTTAATCTTCCTTATTGCCATTAACATGCAAGCTTTATATTCACCTATCTATAACAACAGTGTGCCGAAAATAAGACTTATGTTGGCAAAGTTACAGATACTTTTCAACACTTAAAAATGTTGTGTTTTTTTTTTAACAAATATTTGTCAAATGTAGAATCTCCAAAAATAATTGAAATGAACATCTACATCTTGTTTTCCACAATTATATTCTATAACAAATGATGTGATACTGAACAAGTTGCTCAAACAATAAACAAGTTGATTTCTGAGTAAGACAAATAAGGACATAACTGCCCCAGGATAACAGTACATGAGTAACAGGTTATAAATTTCTGATATTTGAACATCATTTACTTTTACTTTATAGTTTGAACATATCCACATATACCAAGAACAAAAGTGGCTCAATATTAAGTGTATCTTCTCTTATACAACTCTTACACTTAAATCCTATCACTAATAATTCTACCATTCTTTTGTATTTATAGGGGAAGTTACCAGTTTCAAAGTGACCAAAGATATCTAACTGGTAGACAGAAACAACTTGAACATGTTTAAAGGGACTCTTCTGATGTTTTTTGACCAAAAGGGACAGAAATATTTTTCTCAAGATTTTTGTTTTACACTATGTAGGTCTGGACCAATAATCCATGTTTAAATTTCAGATCATTTGCTCACTTCACTTCCCAGGGATAATCAATGTTATTGCACAAATTGACCCCAAAAATGAAAAGCATTAGCTGCCATGCAACACTTTTCACTCAAATACTGCCTAAAAAATGAGTATCAATTCAGTACCAAATATACATGTATTTAAATAATTATTATGTATTGCAAATGTTTCTATTTTAAATGCACTAGTTGATTTAAGACAGAATTTCAAATTTTATGAAATTAAGATATAAGACCTCAGTTGAGTTTCTTAAAGGTAACATTATTCAACAAAATCTTAACAAATGTTTAACCAAATTTAGGCAATAATGAAATAAAAAGTTAACTTTAAAAACTAACCTATCCCCAGATTTCCACTCTGTTCCCTCGGGACAGTCAGCTGTGATCCCTGCCCTGTATAACCAGTGACAATTCTCTGTTAGAGCCCAAACTACCCCAGATAGACACACTATCTGTTTCAGCCTGTGTTTACATGTCACCTCAACACCGGTATAACAAGGTCGATCTTTACACAAGCCTTTCTGTATCATTACTTGATGATTGGTCTTCATATACCTGCATCATATACAAACAATATAAGAGATTCAAATCAAATTACAAACTTATACAAAAGTCCATACATGTGATAACTGAAATGGGTCAAAACTAGATTTTCTGCTGTATTTTGGGGCATAAATCAGGATGTTTTTGGATTCCCAAGGGATATCATATGTATGGTGAAAACAAATAAAATTAGCGCTATCAATAATCATAAAAATACTTTACACAAGTTATCACTGCAAGCGGTAAAATATAAGGGGAGTAGAGTTCATCAGTTGGTAGAGCTGCAGAATGGTAATCTGAGAGCCTCAGGTTTGAGTCCAAGTAGCACTGCACATTTTCTCAACCTAGTGTGACACAATTTCACACAAACATGTTTAAAACTTAAATAATAGTTCACATGACATCATAATTCTTAAATTACAGAACATTTTTTATTACTACAATTAGAATCAAAAAAGTAACAAGTTGTAATCAAAGCACAGATGGCGCTGAATTTGTTTGGGTCTCAGAATGTCAGAAAGGTGAAGGTTCTGAGATTATAAAACAATTTGTTTTTGTATAGTGCCACCAATGCTTTCCAGCATTTTAATTGTAGTAGATTGGCTATAAGACTAATTTCAACACTGATATTCGATCCAATGTATAATTGACTTAAACAATTTGAAAAAAAATGAGTTGCCGTAATTGGGATTTGACCCCATACCTCTCGCTTCCTAAGCGAGCGCGAAAACCCCTCGGCCACGGTGAATTTATATTTCAACGGCCTGAAGAAAACCTTATTATTCTATTTAGGGTTTGTAACGACGCTAACTGTTGTTTAACACTAGTGTAAATAACCATGGCGCTTACTATAAGCATGTTTATTTATAAAGAATTAAACAATATAAGAAATCTTCGACCATTCGGGAATTATTTTGCTTGAAAATTAATCCGCCTGTCATGTGACCATATTTACACAGTGATCTCCCCTAATTTTTTCGGCCTAAGTGTTACATATAAAGGGAAGTAACCGCTTCAAAAAAGGCGGACTACTTTCGTCACTTGCAATTAACAGCGTTAGAGTCTGAAATTTCGCTACCATTATTTGTTTGGTCTGACGACCCAAACAAATAAAAATGAAGAAACTAGAGCCAAACATTCAAATTTCATGATATTTACCATGCACAGTTATTATCCACGCAGATAAAGGAAACATCTCTTACTGCCTCCACCCATTTCATTCCCTCAGGTCGTCTAGGGGTAATTTTGGTGCCTGCATAAACTGTATATTTATTCAAAGCCCACACAATATTACCATCAGGGGAAACTGATATCTGACTAGAAAGCACCAGGGGCCCCTTTTTTCCCCAAATGCAAACTCCAGGGCCAGAAAAGCCCACTAGGGTATATTTTTACAGCTTTTATCTTTTGATCCACACTTTGTGTTTTTAAAAAACGGGAAAAAACTTTTGGAATTTTTCCCTTGAGGCTATTCAGTCCATTATTCACTGATCTAAGAATTTACCCATTTTCTGCAAACAAATCTAAAAACCCTATCCCAAAAAATTTTTTTCCTGTTTTGATTTTTAAGGGTCTTTTGATGACTTTGGGGGAAGTGGGTTCATATTGTGAATAAAAGTCTTCTGCAGTAGCCCCTGGTTTATTGAATATAGTATAAAATGATGGTTTAGAATTTGGATCTATGCTATTTTGTGACAAAGAAGTAAATATTGATGAAGCTAAATTATCTTCTGTCATGTCCATGGTTTTATTACTACCTCCTTGTGCTGATTGTTCTAGCTCATTTAATTCCTTCTCTAAACTACTTGGAATGTATTTAGAATCCTTAACTTCCATAGAATCTAATATCTCCCTTTCTCTGACACTATCACTCCTCCCCATGATAGTTCTGTATGTGAGTTGGTCAGCCTCAGATTTGAATTCAATTGGAGATGTACTATTCCCCTGCCCAGTGTACGTGTCAGTTGTCTCACTCAAGTATGAGTCTAGTCTAGCCATTTCTCTATCCAAATTTGAAATCTTATCACTTTTACTGTTTTCCACTGGCAATCCGAATTCAGCATTAACTTTGGGTGCAATATTGTCAAGCGTATTTATTTCATCCCTCCTCTCAACTGGCAATGCAAAATCAGTAACCAATGATTTCTTTTGATCTTCTTTTGATTGTAAAATTTGATCCACAGTTTTCACAGAATCTGAGCTAACTGAAATACTATCTGCTATAGTCTTATCCTTATTATCTGTTTCAACATCTATTTCAACATCATCTGTTTTATCACTTATCATTTGAATTGATTCTTTATTAGACACATTTTCATTGTTTTTGTCAACATCTTCTACAAAAGTAGGCTTTTTCTCCTGATTATCTTCTCGTGTTTCCATAGGAACATGTTTCCCTGGTTCCTCTTCAACAGACTGCTGTATGAAATCCTGTTGGGATGCTGCAGAAAATCTTCCAGAATCTTCATTGGTGGAAGGTTTGACTGAAGAAGTTTCACTGCCATCGCTGGCTATACTTGTGTTGCTATTGACTGACACAGAATCTGAATCTGTTACTTTTGTACTAAGTTTCAGAGGAGACTTTTCTTTTGAACCTAAAATAGAAAATGAAAAGTGCACAAAATATACTTATCTTACAAATGAAATAGTACAAAAGTAAAAACTTCTTAATAAAAAATTCACAATCACAGTAGAAATATTTCAGGGATAAAACTGCTAAATGTCTGATACAAACAAACTAAGGACACAACAGGATAATTTGATAATTACTTTGAGACATTAATTTTATATCTGAAAAATGGACTACTTAGCTTTCATCAATAACATTAGCTTCAGTACAGACCAGTCTTAATTAAGGTAGAAATAAAAGAAACAAATTTAAGATATTTTCTATCAAAGATATTTTTTCTTTAACTTTTCTACCTCATAGACATGGTATAGCAATGTAAATATTAATGTAATTAATACCTTTAAATCATGTGCGTTCTCAAAGTAATTCTTCCCAAAGATTTAAAAACACCGTGTCTACAGCTTACCCTTTTTCTTCTTCTTTTTAACTTTTCTTTTAAACACAATGCCATCTCCTTCAGGTTCGACTTCTCCTGATATTCTAATACTTGCAGTTTCTTCAGAGTGGTTGGCAATTCTGTAGACTGGGTCACTGTTTTCCTCAGCTTGATGATCCTCCTGCAGCCTTGCAAGAGCAGAAAATGCGCCGGAACCAGTCCTCTGTTTTTCTGATTGTCTCCCAGGTTGTGTATCGAAACTGTTTCCTATTGCACCATCTAACCTTTCAGGAGAACTATCTGCTAGTGCCATTTGTCCTACTTCAATGGTCATAAGGTCTGGGGAGTTCAGCTGTACCACAGGGGGTAGATCTTCATCCTTTGCTGAATTGCTTTCTGAAGTTTGACAATTCACTCCTGCTGTACCAAAATGTTCCGCCTTCTTCTCAATATGTAACTTTTCTTGAACTTTGTCAACTAAAACAACTGGATTAGCTATCTGTTTTACTTTCTCAAATATATTTCCCTGGAATACTTTAAAAGGAGACTTTTCAACATGTTCTGGTTTCTTTTCAATTGTTTCATCTTTACTCTTAACAACTGGATGCTGTCCCTTTTGCTGCCTCTCTATTTCAAGCTGCTTTAATACTGGAAAAATGATTTGCATTATCACTAAATTCTAAGACTACATTTTACAAGTACACATGCAGTGGCAAGGATGACAAATGATAATTTTTTATAAAGATTACTGTATTTTAATCTCCAAAACATATAGATCACACTAAATATGCCTGTTTTTTTTTAATCTCATAAAAGCAATTAATCTTTTAAATACCATTTAAAAGCTTGTATGAATACTGGAATAACTGCTACCTTGAAACTGTACAAAATTTCAAACTAATTTTGAAATAGGAATTGCAGACTTAAAACTGCAAAGAAGTTTTATACAAATTTATAGAAATTAAGAAAACTTTTGCAAAATAAAAACTTACAGAGGCTAGTAGGTCTTGTGATTGGTCTGTCTGAAATCCTGATTAAATTCCGATCAGTTCCCGCCCTTAACACAAATATTTCACAATCTGTAACTGCAACATTTTTCACAAGTCCTATATGTTTCTGGGATCCTATAACACTAGAATTCTCAGGGTCTATCAAATACACGCAGGAATCATTCCATGTCACAAGTTCTTTGTCTCGAAACAATAACATTTGACAAAACTGGTTTGGATTTTGAGATTTTATGATATTTGTCACTTTAAAGTCTATTATAGGTATCGTGTAATGTGACTGGTTTAGAAGCTCTTTAAACATGTAAGTGTGAAGGACCGATCCACTAACAGAAGCTTTCCATATACGAAAACCTGGACGTGAAGCGTAAAGTTGAGCATTTTCAGGTTTACACATGGCTGGAATAAAACATGCCCCAAAATCTCCGGCACTGAAACAATTAGAAGCGTGATACTACTTTTGTTCAAAAATTTGATAAATTTTATCTCATTACTTGGCAATTCAATTTTAACAAGTTCCATCAACTTAAACATATCAATGTTCGTAATCAATACCTCCTACAACAACTTTTTATATCACTTATACAATTAAAGATGAATGACTACAATAACAACTGAAGCTGTACTATCATGTATGTCCTTAATGGCGAACCCAGCACATGTCTTTTTTGACAATTCACAATAAATTTTACTTAAATTATGATAACTTAAAAAATATAAGAAATATGTACAGCTGCTGAACTTGTTAACCTTATACATGTACTTACACTTTTCTTTCCTTAGATCCAACTTGTGTAATTTTTTCTACAGCATCTGTCCTACAAACAACACATCTCTGTTTAGTAGAGACCAACAAGCGCTTATGACCATGATTTAACTGTATGATTTCTGTATTTCCCTCTATCAGTAGCACACTTGACTGGCATTTTCCCTGAAATATTTATATTATCCCCATCACAGTGTGGTCATATCCTTTTTTATTAGGAACATAGCATGAAAAGTGAGTAATAGTTATGGTTATGTTACATTGCATTTGCTTTCATTGGTTTTATATTTGTATAAAGTTTCATTATAATTGACAAGTTTAGAAGATATACTCTGAACAAGCATTTCTAAAACTTCTAAAGCAACATTAAGGGAGATAATTCATAACTTAAACAAAATGGAATAACAGTTTCTAAACAGTACACTGCCTCTTACTAGTCTCTATCACTTCATAAAATTTTTATACATCATAAAAGAATAATAAGATGCTTTGAAGAAAGAAGTCAGTGTTTATCCAGTAAAATTGTTAGACAAATTGTTTCACAGAGATCACATCTGTTCAAAGGTGAATGGCATGCCAACCTTAGTTTAGTTTAAGCATATTTGTTTAAGTTCGATGGTGAAATAAGCTCTTGTAACATTGAACACTTTCAAGCCCATTTCATTAAATTAACACAGCAGGAAACATGGTTATGGCATGAGTAGGGCTTGAACCCACATTCTCTGGGTTAAGAGGCAGACACCTTAACAACTGGTCCAGTGCTCCCTTGCACTTATTATATTGGCCTTCTGCACTAGAATTTATTGACTTTTAAAGATTATCAAAGACACAAACCTCAATAAAGTCAACCTCTGTGCAGCCAACACAACCCTGTTTATCCCCACTGAATAATTTCATACCATTAGTGCTCCATGTTAAACAGGTCAAGGCCATCTGGTGAACATCACTAACAATAAATCTTTCAAGCTGAAATATATATTGTTAATATAAGAAAATTGTATATCATCTTTAAACTAATCAATAAATCTGTAAATTTTAAGTCCAGGCTTCACCTATAACATTTCTAAGAGTGTTAAGTAAAAGAAGATGTTTAACTGTGACAAGTCATCAGTACAAAATCTAGGAACAATTATTAGATTCAAATGTCACAATAAAATATTTTGGATAATTGACAATTAAAATGTCTTCTTTTTAGGCTTCATACTATTCAAGCTTCAAATCAAGAATTATACTGCACAGCTAGGCATAATTTATGCATGTTAAATGAACAATGGTTAAAAGCAATCTTCAAATTAAAATAAATTGAATCCCTTTTGTAAATATACTGTTATTATAACTCAGATGTGTTACTTTGCTAAAAGAATTAATTGATGTACAGGCAAATCAACTGTAAGTGATTCATTGATGCAAGTTCAACTGCTACAACATCACTTAATGTAGTTCAACATTTTGTGTGTATTTGAGTTTATTTATACTCGCCACAAGTTTATTTATACTCGCCATCGGTTTCACATACGGGCAAATCCTCCAGAAGAGTATTAGTTGCTTAAGATTTTGGAGGATAGTGATAAAGCTTCATCTTGTTCTTAAACTTGCCAAGTTTTTATGCACTCATACACAGGACATCCATTTAAAGTCTCATTTGACAGACTGTTTTAGTAATTCTAGTTGGCCAGCACAGGAATCAGACCCCAATGTCACGTCTTGCTCTCTGATCAATTGAGCTATGCAGACTGGCATGGGGGATTAATATGTTTTCATTACTTGTTATAATAACATAACTTGACAAGGGAATATTTACCTGTTTACTGTGACCAATCAGAATGCTAGGAAGCTGGAAGATATAAATAGTGCCGGAGGAATGACCTACAGCCACAAGGTCGTCTAAACCATGATGTAGACAAACACAAGTCACAATATCTGTTGTATTCTGTAATTATACAATGATTTAAGGTGAAATATTTACATTTAAAATGTGTTAACATCAACCTTTAGCCAGCAAGCTGAAATTTAATCTGTTTATGTGAGCAGTGCAGACCACGATCATGGTCTGCACTGCTCACTATTCAGTTTGCACATATTTTGAAATTTTCTAAAATTTTGATGGTTTAAACAGACAAAAGAACAAGAAATGTCAAAAGATATATATGCCCCCCTTTCTAGTCTTTGACTCACATTATTGGTTATTTTGTTATAGAAACTTGCCATAAATGGGTACATGGAAGTGTTCAGTTATGGAAAAAAGAAAAATAATGAAGACTTTGTGATAAATAGTTTTCAAGAGAATGAGCTAAAACCATGTGGTCTACCGACGGACATACCGACAGACAGACAGATGGACCAACATTAAGCAAAACAATATACCCCCTCTTCTTCAAAGGGGGGCATAAAAAATCTTATCTAACATAAACATATCAATAATGTAAGAAAATAGTAAGTATAAGCTCAGCCAGCTCATCTGAATATTGTGTTTTCATTTTTTATTTTGTAGAATAAAAATTATAAATTTGTAGAGTTCATACATGCTTAATTGAACAAGTACATCTTTTAAAAAAAAAAAAATCAGTACATATTTTTAGGAGCTTAGTTAAATGAATATTTGTTTTCTGTAGGTGTAATTACATTAACATGTATGTATAAACACACACACAAGTGTCATAACAATTTATCATATTAACCTTTTAATTAGAATGACTAAGAAGTTAACATCTTTATTTCTGTCAATCTCTCTACGATTGTAAATCTTTTTCCAGTCAAATAACTTCCCTCCTTGGTATGAATATGCATGTAGTTTTTTTCCTGCTTTATTCTATTTCACGTTCTGTGTTGAAATGTGAACTACATGCTTTAACAGTTCTGAGAAAATTAAGCCATGAACATTTTATATCCTTGTGTTTATGCATGGTTATTTGTTTACAGTATTAATGTAATAAGGCAATTTAATACAAATAAATGTTATTTTACAAGATTAAGACAAGAAACAGAATATTGAATATATTTCCTCAATGAACTATTGTTAAGTTTCAAGAATTTGCCTGGTATAAACTACAGACTATAGTTATGTTACATCTTTATGAAACATTATAACAATTAAACACGAAACAGTAGACAGTTTCACTCTCATATTGTGAATCAACCACTGCCTTGTATTTAGATCTTAATTACAATTTTACATGCTACACAATGTCATGTAACTTGCAATTGTAGATGAACTATCTCTTCATGAAAATTATAACCATGATACTGTATAACCATCTCCTAAACATGGAATACATCTATTTAAATTGTTCTGTTTATGACACAGACATTGTATGATTCTAGGAAATTGCCCCCACCTCTCCTCCCCCCACCGACAAATCTAAAACAGATGAAGAGACAGACGTCAAGGAGTGGGGGTAATGGGAAGAAATTTTAGTGGGGGGACATGTGGGGCGGACAAATGCCTGTGCTCCACATTGCATAGATTTTTATGTACTCCTTAAATAATTCATTTTATCAAGCATATTTAGCCAGCATGTTAGAAGAACCATCAACTGTTTAGCTTTGTATAATAATATAATAAATTTCACCTATAGAGACATAAACATTATCAAATGTACATGTAAAACATGTAACAGATACATAATTATAACAGATCTCATTAATAATGACAGTCCATTTAAGACATGGCATTAAGAACTATTTTCATATACAAAATAACATATATATTATAAGACAATCATCATGGCCATTTAACTTAGCAAGACAATCATCAACAGATACTCTCTCTATAGCTTAAAGACTAAAATACAAATTAATAGAATACCTCTGATCGTAGCCTTTCAATTTTGTGTTTTGCTCTATCATACAAGAATACAGTGCCAATGTTAGATCCTAAAGCAATAAAATACTGATTGGCATCAAGAGCTGTCAGCTCTAATATCTCATACTGCATCTTCATACCCCTCTGTACCTGAATAAAATATAAACAAGATCATTTGTCTGTACAACACATATACATTTATGTGCATTCAAAAACCGATTACAATTACAAAAAAAAATATTTTTTTTAAAGAGATGTCGGTAGGACAGCATGCAGCTTGATAGTAAAACAAGAGCTGGAAAATGAAGAATTTTCAAAAGTTCAAAGTTTAAAGATGGCTGTAATTCTGTCAAAATGCATGTTAGAGTTATGGACCTTGGTCAGTGACCTCCTATTATGCTTTCAAATAAGTGTGTGAAATTTGAACTGGCATTTCCTTCAGTAACTTAAGAGATACCAACTTGCTCATAAAAACTTAACCAAAGTCTAAAGCCAACACCTGGGTGAGCGCAATAACTCTCCCTGTTCTTTCAATAGTTGAGGAAAAATTTAATCTAGTGAGAATATTTGAATTTTCTGTTTTAAAACAGGATATTGTGTGGTAATTTAATTACCTTATGAGGGATCAATGACAAGATATCTGTCAGGGGTTCATGTTCTCGTAAACATTGTTGCTGTGGAGACTGTGACCTGGCAGGCTGTTCACCTCTGCTAGTCTCGTTATCTCTTACCACGTTATCAGCTGACATCTCCATCAAGTCAAGTCATAAAAAGACATTCAACCTGTAAATACATGTACCTGTAAATACATGTATTGAAATGTAAACAAAGTTGTGTTCAGAAATAAAAATGAATTTTGATAAAACAAGATACATGTAATTGATATTTTTAAATTTTGTAATTACATGCTGATATAAAATCAGTAAAACATAGAAATGTTAATTTTTTAAAGCAGATAAATAAAGTACAACAGAAGCGGAGCTATGACATTTTTCCTAAGAAAAAACACAATAAGTATTGTTTTGATTTAATATGTAACAAAAAACATCCAATTGATAACAAAGTTATGGCTAATTACATGAAAATTCAACCTGTCAGTTTTGTCCTCCAATTTTGAATCAAATTCATAAATATATGACAAAAGTTAATTCAATTTTAGCAAAATTTCATCATTTCACTTTTTGATCAAGGTTATTTTAAGGACAAGGTCATATGTAAATTATTCAACATGTTGGTTTTGTTGTAAAGTTGTTCAGTCCAACCACAGAAATAATACTGCTTTGACAATTCAAGCAAAATTCAATAATTTGACCTTGAAAGTGCAGGTCATTTAAATATAATAATTCAACATGTACAATGTACATGTTGTCATAAGTGACCAATTTTTAGCAAAATTCAATATATTTTCACTTTAAAAGTCAACAATGTGTGTGAGTCAAAGTGAAAATCAGTTTGATCTTTCTAAAGTACACACTCCCTCAGCAGCTAATGAATACACTACCATTACTTCAAACTTCTGTAAGAAAGTGAACGACAGTGAAAACATGTGACCACTACGCAGGAGGTCAACTAAAGGTCCAGCCCCATGAACTGTTCAGCATAAGTATAGGGACAACCAATTCATTAATTACAAAGTTATAACCATTTAAGCACAAATCAAGCAAAATTCATTTACTTGACCTTCAAGGTCAAGTTCATTTATCAGTCAAAGTCCAATTTTATTTACATTTCATAGAAAATCAGTCTTAAAGGAACTCCACTCAGGTCCAAAGGCCTAAAACATAAGATCTGAATTTCTTACAAAGACTAGCTGGGGCACTTAAAACAGAAAGACATGCAAAATATACTCAGAAATAATTTGAAAATCATATTTTTGTGTTGTTGTGTAGTGAAAGGCATTGCAACACTTTTCAATTTTTGATCTTTTTTACAATTAGAATAATTATTCTAGAAAAACAGAGTGAGCGGAAGATGTGAAATTTTGCACACACATAATTGGTCTACACCTACATCAAATTGAACATTAATCTCAACTAAAAAAATCCAGTCCCGTCCGACATGTCCAAAAACTGCAGTGGATTCCTTTTAAATAAACAATTTTGCATTTCAAACAAGATGTCCTAGTAAAGGACTCCTATGTTATGACTCCTTCAATTTCTCAATAGCATTACAAATAAACATATTGCTGGTGTTAAGAGTGAGTAATTGTATTTCTTAACTTTTTTCACAAGAAAAAATCTAATGACATTTTTGACTTAAATAACAATGTTTATTTAAACAGTCTTGAGTGACTTCTTAAATAAGTATTGTGTTCTAGGACTTAGGAAACTCGTAGGATTCTATGAGACACAGTCTTACATGTATTTTTTCATTCAAATATACTGTTCAAACTTGAAAGTTTGAATACATATATATTTTAGCAAAACAGCACTTTTAAAGATATCATATGATAGAAGATGTTCACTTTTTCAACCAGTTGACTCAACCAAGTATTGTCATAATTTCATACACTATATTCATATATACTGGAGAAATATGATAATTTTAGAGGTAAAAAGTCTTTAAAAAGTTGTGATGATTTTCAACAAATATTTCATAAGCATTCAATCACAGTTTATCAATATATTTTACATAAAACATTTCACAGTGTCACACCATGGACATGCTCACTGACTTCAGCATTTACACTTGTCAATGGACCTTTCCGATTTTTCGTAGCGAAACATTTAGCCACACCTTTTCCATTCATAACTAGGTCAACTGCTCACAAACAGTATCACAAACATAAGCACGTGCTCTTTTGTGAAAACCAGGTCAACCAGTGACTATGTATTATCTCAGTGTAGCGATTGGATAACAAGTTAGCCAATTTACATAAAACTGTAAACACCGTAAAGGTCCATTGGTCTACTATATATTAACTAAAGATCTCTCTGGGGAGCTATTCACTTCCCTTATGGCAGTCTATGTTAACACCACAAATCAATCTCAGGTACCCACTTAACTTAACCCATATTTTTTTTATTGGGATTTACGTCACACCAACTCAGTATAGGTAATATGGCAATGTTCCAGCTTTACTGGTGGAGGAAGACCTCACATGAAATAATCCAAAGTCCCTGTCAGGATTCGAACCCATAGCAGTAATAGGCAAGTGGTTTGAAGTCAACAACCTTAATCACTCGGCCATGGACACCCCACTTGTAAACCATAAATGAAATAAACAACGTATATGATGTTTATCTATTAAAATTTGTTTTAAAGTGTCCATCTCTTAACCTAGTGATCTGGGTTCGAGCCCTAATGAGGTCATAACATTTAGTTAGTTCCAGGAAATGGATACAAAATTGACCCAAATAAGCTTCAAGTTTTTATCAATCACAAATTCACCCTAAATATCTTCATTTGACCACCTTGCAATCTGAACAAAACCGTTGATCATTTTAAAGTAAAATCTTAAATATATACTGACTAAATAGCATACAGAGCAGACCTGACATTAACATAAAGTCAGATGGCACAGATGGGTATGCACTTATGGCATTAATATAATCACCTGCTACCAGCAGTCTACCAGTTACAATAAAAAACATATCAAAAGTTATCAAAATCTAAGTTCATTTAAAATTCAAATAAATTCTATTATGTAATTTCACATATATTGTGTACATGTAACCTAAGCATACACCTTAAATATCTTTTTACACTTATCTAAATCAATATCTGTTTTGCTTTTGGATTATAAGTGTTGCCGCGTGAGTCTAATCATTATTTACAATGTACATATAAATATAAACATTTTAAAGTTCTGATAACATTCAAGCAGGTTTTCCCATTTTTTAAATCAAGGCAATGCTTATTGACTATAAAACAAGAGCCCGGTTCGAGCCGGGTGATGCTCCACGAATAGGTTTTGGACACAGGAAAGTACACCTCTTGTAGTTTCAGAGTTATGTCCCTGGAAAAAGTTCAAAGTGCAATAATTCCAAAATAAGGCAAGGCAGAGTTACCGTTCTTTACACTGCACTTCTAATCAATGTGATCTATCAATCTACAAAGTTTCTTGTTGATATCTCTTATTGTTTCCGAGTTATGTCCCGGACAACTTCAAAAAGTAAAAATAAACAAAGGGCAATAACTCAAGAATTAGGCATGGCAGAGTTATGATTCTTGTGCACTGCACATCTACCCATTGATATCTATCTACCTACAAAGTTTCATGTTGATATCTCTTATAGTTTTACAGCTATGTACTGGCAGTGTTATTTTTCACTTTTGGGGGAAGGGGGTCGGTGCCGTTTGGAGGGGAAAAAATGCAATAGGAGGGGGATTTTTATACAGATCTAAAATATTGATGTGTCACATGATAAACTTGCTGGGACACCAGGAGTAGCTCCCCTTACTTATATGAGAACGATTTGTAAACAACCTTGCTTAACAGTAAGTCTTACAGACATAAAATAAAGCATTTTTCGGCAGTTAGTTGCAAAAAAATTAATATTCATAGCTGGCAAATTTGGGCTCCCATATTATAAGTGGAAATTTCAGCTTTGAGGGGGGTAAAACATACCATTTTGAGGGGGGAATGGGGCCGAATTTCGCCGAATATTTTGGTGAAAAAAAACTGACTGGACAAGATTTTTCTAAAAGGGGAGATAATTCAAAAATGAGGCTTAACAGAGTTATGGTTCTTTTGCACTGCACTTCTACTCAATGAGATCTATCTACCTACAATGTTTCATCTTGATATCTCTTATAGTTTTAGAGTTATGTTCCGGACAAAGTTCAAAGTGTTAAAATTAACAAAGGGCAATAACTCCAAAATTAGGACAAAAAGAGTTATTGTTCTTATGCACTGCACATCTACCCATTGAGATCTATTCACCTACAAAGTTTCATGTTGATATCTCTTATACTTTTAGAGTTATGTCCCGGACAAGATTTTTCTATAAGGGGAAATAATTCAAAAACAGGGCAAAATAGAGTTATGGTTCTTTAACACTGCACTCCCCCTCAATGCCCTCTACCACTGTATGAAGTTTAAACAAATGATCTCCAAGGGTTTTCAAGTTATGCTTTGGACAAGACAACGGACGGACAGACGGACGGACAGACGGACAAGGCGCCGACTATATGCTCCCCTGAAATTTTTCGGGGAGCATAAAAAATCATATACCATGTAACAGACATTTCAAATTTCCCTTATCTTGAGTCTGGAAAATATTAATTGTTTAGATGCTGTTATATCTAATGAGTAAAACTTATGCATGTTTCTTTTAATGAATAAGCACAGCATTTAAAGTAGTTATATATTATGTATCTATTTTAATTATACTTTAAGAAGATTTCCAACTTACCCTTTAATATTTAAACGTTACTCAATAACACTTTAACATAAACATTTTCCACTTTGGAAAGAAAAGAAAAAATCATTATTGAAGATTTATAAAGAAAATAAATTAAGTTAAAAATTAACATGCCTCCACTGAATATTCCTCAGATTTGTATTGTTAACTTTAAATAGAAAAATATGAAGATGACTTAAAGTTTTTAACAAAATGCACAACTTTTGACAAGGAAGGAAAAAATGAAACATAATTGGTATCTAAAACAAAACTTGAAAAACAAGAGCTGTCCAAGGAGCAGCTAGCTCAACTTTTCTTAGTGCAGGATAGTAAACTGCACATTTTAATGAAGAGATAATTTGATGTAAATTTAACATATACCTTGACCTTTGATCCCAAATTTTGTGTGGCAGGCATAACTCATTAAGATGCTTCAACATATCAAATTTCAAAGTCTTAATTTATTGACCATAAACAGAAACTTAATTCAAAATGTTAACAATCACAGTCTTACATTCAAATATACTGTTCAAACTTTCAATTTTGAAAACATACATATTTTAGCAAAATAGCACTTATAAAGATATCATATGATAGAAGATGTTCACGTTTTCAACTAGTTGACTCAACCAAGTATTGTCATAATTCTATATACTTATATTTATGTATGGTGGAGAAATATGACATAGAGGCAAACAGTTTTTTAAAAAGTGTGTTGCTTTTTAACAAATATACCATGTAACAGACATAAATTTCCCTTATCTTGATTCTGGAAATTAATAATTGTTTAGATGCTGTTATATTTAATGAGTAAACTTATGCATGTTTCTTTTAATGATTAAGCACAGTATTCAAAGTAAAGTAGTTTTCATGCTATAAATGTATCTTATTTAAGTTATACTTTAAGAAGATTTACTACTTACCCTTTAATATTTAAACGTTACTCAATAACATTTAATATAAACATTTTCCACTTTGGAAAGAAAAAAATAATATTAAAGATTTATAAAGAAAATACAATAGAACAAGTAGTCAACTCCACTGAAAATTCCTCAAATGTGTATTGTAATCAGTATCTATAAAGATGAATTAAAGTTTGTAACCAAATGCAGAAGGAAGACAAAATGAAATATATGGTATTAAAAACAAAGACTTTTTAAAAAAACAAGAGCTTTCCAAGAAGCAGCTTGCCCAAATTTTCTAAATGCAGGATAGCAAGTAAACTGCACATTTTAAAAATGAAGAGATAATTTGATGTAAATCTAACATATACCTTGACAGTGATTTTTCTTCTTATACAGACTCCAAAAAAAGGCCTCTTCCCAATTGAAATTTTCTTTATCCCAAAAATCTGAACTTAAACCAGCTTTTTTACATTCCAAATCAGCAAATTAGCGATAATTTTTCCCAAAATCAAGAGGCTTAGGCCTCTCCCCAATTAAGAGAGAAAAAATCACTGCTTGACCTTTTGATCCCAAATGGGTGTGGCAGGCATAACTCATTAAGCTGCTTCTACAAATCAAATTTCAAAGTCTTAATTTATTGACCATAAACAGAAACTTAATTCAAAAAGTTAACAAAGGTCATTTGACCTTGACCTTTGAGTTTAGACTTAAAAGGGAATAGTAGGTACAACGGAACAAAGTGCATCTCCAAACATTAACGTTTCCCAATCATTTCTCTTTTATTAAATAGGCAGTTTAATGTTTTTTATTATAGTTGCCAGTGACCTTAACCTTTATCCTTTTGACTTGAAAATGATTGTTGCAGGTAGAGCACATAAAAGGTACATCTAGAAAAAAAGTTTCATGCTTCCTAGGTCAATGCACTTTAATTTAATGGCCAGTGTTGTTTTTTTTTATTATTATTATATCAGTTCCCTTTGACATTGACCATCTCATTTTTGAATTGTAAATGAGTGTGACTGGTAACATATAAATGCAAAGTTTGAAGTTCCTAGGTCAATGCACATTTAATGGCCAGTTTTTGTTTGTTTTGTTTTGTTATTACATGTCCAAGTGACCTTGACCTTTTAACCTGAAAATGTGTGTGATAAAGGTGCATCTACATACTCCCACTAGTTTCCATATCAAGCTTATTTGGTATTTTAACAAAACCCACTACAGTCATTTCTCAAAGAACTTAATATTTGGAGCCTTTATGTTACAATTATCTTGACCTTAATGGATTAGATAATTTTAATTTAATTTATTTTCAAACAATTTTATTCTCATCCTGTTATTACATTGAAAACTGTGTAAGTCTCTTAGAAAATTTGATGTTTGATCCTTCAAATCTTGAAAGAAAATATTAAAAACTTAATATGTGTTTTGTATCCACAGCAGTGTTCTAGAATCTACTGAGTAACCCATCTACATATACTTTGATTTTTAAACTGATCACCTGGGGCAAAACAATAAATCCAATTTCATACAGCCTATAAGTCTATAGTTTGTTTGTTTGTTTGTTTGGATTTTTACGGCACTTCAACACATCACTGGCCATATCGTGCCGAATGCTATTAAAGGCTTAAAATGTTATGTAAAACTTTGTTAATGACAATAGAAATGAACCAATTAGATCCTAGAATACAAGTTTATCTTTTTCAAATAATCAATTATGTTTTTTGATGGAATTGTATTAAAAAGTTCTTTGAGTGAATTTACAGAATAAAATCTATTACGGGCCTGTGAAAAATCATGACATTCAAGAAGAAAATGCTTGACAGTAAAATTTACAACCTACACAGAAAGGGGCATTGTCATTTGTAAGGAGATAAGAGTGGGTAATTTTAGTGTGTCCAATTCGGCATCGAAGAAGAACTGTTTGATCACGGCGGTTCGACAGAGATAGAGATGGTGACACATCAAGAGATGGGTTTATATCGTGAAGTTTATTAAAAACGGCATTGTCCCAGTTTGCTTTCCATTCAGATGATACGAGTTTATTTATAGCCGATCTAAAATCACAAGCAGGTAACAATAAGTCAGTTTTTTGAAAATTTAATGATTGTTTAGCTAAAGCATCTACTTTTTCATTTCCTCGTATTCCTACATGACTTGGAATCCAATATAATTTAACATAGTTTGTTTTTAGTATAACATGAAATCGTAAAAGAAGTTTCTTTACCATGATATTGTCAGATTTTTTATTTTTAATGGATATTAAAACAGAAAGCGAGTCAGAAAATATCACAAATTTATAGTGGGTATGCTGTGCTATGTATGATAATGCTAAATCGATAGCTTTTGCTTCAGCAGTAAAAATTGATGCATTATCTGGTAACCTCATACTAGATGTAAAATTATTTTCAAACACAGCCGCACCTACTTTTTCTATAAGTCTATAGAAATCAAGTTATAAAATTATGATATAATAATGAAAATCCTAGGAATGTGTCTGGTAAAAATTAATGACATATGTATTTGTCTCTGACACTCATATCTGAATTGTCTGTGAATGTTTTGTTAGAATTCCTTTCATTATAATTACTTTAGTGAAGTTTTTATGCACTTATATTTTGATAAGCTCTTAAATAAATTGGCCAAAAATAAACATTTTTTTTTAAATACATTACTTAATTAGCCATATGCTATATTGCTGCAGAGAATACAAGTTTTTTTTGTCTCAAAGCAATTTATTTCTAAGACTGTATAATGAATTGTTAAGTATACAATGTAATCAAGGTTTAATAACCAAAGTTTAAAAGTTCTGCAATCTGCATGGAGTGCATGCAATGTACATTTAAAGTAGCATTAGGTAGATATGAAACAGCAAGTGAATTAATAGTTTTTATCTGCATAAATTAGTCAAATTTAGAATAGTTATATGTAGGGTAAATATATGAGTGAAGGTCAAGTTCAGCCTGGTCAACTTGTAAAATGTGACAGTAAGAAAAGTGTATGTGCTTATTTTTAGATACAAATTTCTTTACTTAAATATTTTTCAGGCTGCTCAAGAGATACAAAATGGCCCAAACTTTGACCTTAATCTAGCTAGTGACATTGACCTTATAGCGAGGCACATACATGTAAATGATGTCCTGCAAACCCTTTTAATGAAGATAAACATACAATGTACAACATAAGTATCCTTAACATCTCCATAATGATAATGGTGATGAACATAAAACATTCACACTATCAGATGGTTATATTCAAAAATAAATAAGAAAAAAGTATAACAGATATATTAGATAAAGGATAATAGAATCGTTAGCAGATTAATGGAAACAACATGTTTTGTTGGTAGGAAAACAAAAGTGAAAGTAGATAGAAGAACTTAATCAAACAAAAGTCATGTCTGTTTCAAACAATAGCTATAAATGTTTCTTTATAAAAGAGATAAATCAAATGAAATGATTTAGTTATGTAGCCAGGAAAATAATGGTAAACCATTTTAAAAGAACAGCTTTTTACTTTGGAATTATAAATAACTAGTGTGTAACTTTGAAAAAAAAACTGAAAATCTTTCCAACAAATACACTCATCAAACTGAATGTCACTCAATAAATATTATATACAATTGCTAAAATAACCAAAGTAAAATAAATTGTATTATGAAGAAACATATTTATCAAATAAAATCCTAACTTATCTGATTATCAAATTATGCCAAACGGATAAAAATATATAAAAAAAACGCGGAAACACATTACACTTAAAATTTCCTGAACAGCTTCGAATGTCTGATGGTCCTAGTCAGTAGAAATGAATGTCCCACTAAACTTTTGTCATTACACTGGCAAAACTAAAAAATTATGACGAGGAAACTTACAAAATGACTATATATAAGCGTTTGACGTTTGTTTGGTCAGCTGACAGCCGGTGATACGTAAGTAACTCTACTCGTGAAAATTGTGTTATCAGCATCTGAAAAAATGTCTTTGACCGAAGAAGAGCTTGCTAAGGCTTGTCATGAGCCAGATGACTCAACGAAGGTTAGCCAATCACTTTAAGTCTTTATGTATTTGACCTGTATTATATATTGTAACATCTAGTTGCAGAAACCCGAAAAATATTTCCTAATTGTTATTTATTTCGGATATGATTTATTCGGATATATGACATTATTATATGAATAATTATGCTACTATAAAAGGCATGGTCATAGAGTGGATTGTATCATTCATTTCTTACTATCATCAGACAATTATTTACAGAAACTACTTTGAGTGACACAATGTGACAATGATTATTTCTCTTAACTCACTGGTGGAATATTTTTGTTTATTTATTTGTTCAATGGATCAGAATTATTCTTTAGATAATTACAAAGATTTATTATTTTTATCACAGGAAATACTTTAATTTCATTTTTAAGAGAGAGCAGCCAATATTTATTTTTTTTGATACAGCTTATTTCCAAGACAGAAGATAGTTTTCTATTAAACAGTTGATCTAGTTTAAGTCCTAGATTTCGACCAGAAATATTTTACTAGGACTACATTTTGTTCAGGGTCTAATGCCTAAGTCAATTGCTAGAAATTATTATATTTTCATTTTTTCTTTTTGCTATAGAAATGTAGCCAGCTAATGGCTTCTTCCCCACTAGTCCAATATATCAGACTTTACACGCTTGTGAAAAAAATACCCCTTCGTCTGAAAAAATCACCCATTATGGCTTGTTTGCCTTTAAAAAAAAACCCTCACTAATTGCATCTGCACTCAGGACCTTTTTATATTATTTAGATACTACTGTTTATTGGAGACATTATCAATGCCAAAATGTTGAGATGCATAAAATTCACACTCATTCGCAGTAATGTTGTGGATTTTCTTTGCAAAATATTTTCATTCTAAAAGCTTCTTGAAAATAAGATATTTCTAGAAAATATTAACACAAAAAGACTGTCTTTTGGTCATTATGTCTTAACCCCTCGTACAAATCAGATTGCCAAGTGTTTTAATGTTCTTTCTCTTTTATATCATAGGCAAAAATAAAAACACGTTCTCTGTCGTCACAATATTAAACCCCAGAAAAAAAGTAACCAATTGCACCAGCATCTGAATATGACTTTTCTATCTTTATCTCTTTCCCTGTCACCGCAATAAATAAGCCATAGAAAAAATGGGCCAATCAACGATCATGCTCCAGACAGACAGTGAGTGCAGGTAACTAATACCTGCACTCCAGTTAACGCACTGTGCATGTATTGATACACGATTTAACTCTGACACGTTTTCAACAGTAAAGTCACCAAACTATGATGCAAGTTATTTTATTCAGCTTATACGGTAGTTGTATATTAGTTTTTTGCTCGCCTATTCGCAGAATAATCAAGCGAAAGCAGTCACCCATTTGTCGGCGTCAGCATCCCTGTGGTAAAGTTTTTGCGTGTAAGAAAGTATCTCCATAACTACTGAAGGGAATGGATTGAAACTTTACACACTTGTTCTCTGTGATTATCTAACATGATTGACACAAGTCACATAACTCTGATTTGCTTTTTTGCATAATTATGCCCCTTTTTTGACTTAGAAAGTTTTTGCTTGTAAGCTGATATCTCCATAACTACTGAAGGGTTAATGCCTTTTTTGGGACAATTTTATGCATTTATAATAATAACAAGCCTTTGTGCCTTTTCGGACAATTTTATGCATTCATATAGGTAAACATTATTATACTCAAAACACCCTTGTGACAACTTTTTCGAATAATAAGTCAAGCGCTACTGTCCTCTGACAGTTCTTGATAATTAATATTCTTTCTCAAAGTTTTCACTATGTATAATTATTCTGTTTGGCTGATACTACAGTAAGTAAGTAAGTAAGTAACAACTTTATTTAACGAGGCTTACACATTCGATTTCCCGATCTTCCATGTGGGCCTCAGCATTTTCATCTTTTAGTTCTTTTCGTAGAGTTTTCATTTCATTTTGTGTCAGCATTTGAGATATTGTTTATGCCTGCCTGTATTATGATGATATCTGCTTCTTTAGCAAGGTTTGTTTTCGTTTGAAGGATATTTCTTCTAGACAACACGTCTCTCTTTTTTGGCAGGATAGAAGATGCAGCATTGGGAATTTTCCATGTTCTATACATAGATTTATTACAGTACAGAGAGGTTTACAAATGATGTCTACAAACAAATAAAAACGGCATTTGAATAGTATTTTAAAAGAATCATGTTGCTTCATAAAATAAATGTCTTAAGACTTAATCAGTTATATTAATATACTTGCAGGAATTCATTATGCAACAGACAATGTACAGAATTAAAGACCCTAAAAGATCTTTGGAGTTCTACACAAATGTTCTGGGCATGAGGTATGAATCATTCATGTTAATTCAGCTTTTAGCAAGCCAGCTGTATGGGGGGAATGGTGCATTGTGTGTAGGGTAGAGTATATACATGTTGTAACTTAAAATAAGGCAATATAACATGGTTGTGCAAATGAAAAAAATGTTGATGACTGAATGATTTTAAATGATACCATGTTGATGATGATATTCAAGTTGATAGAGAGAACTAGCAAGGAAAACACGTTAACAATATATCAACTGAGGTTTGGTCAAGCCACTATTAAAGTAGATATTATATAGTGTCAGTGTAAAGGACAAAATTTTCCAAAGAAAGATTTCTGTGTTAGTAGAGGCGGGATTTAGAGTGGGAAAATACAAAAATATTTTTATAAACCAATAAAAGTACAATAATTAAAACCACATGGAAACTTTGTTTTCAAACCCTGTTTAAATATTCAGTCAAGGAATGCTTGAAGTTTTTGGTAGAGACTAAATGCTTCAAAAATAATGGACATCATTATTCATATAACTTAATGTGTTCTTTTGTCAATTTTTCTCTTCAGATATAACCTTTTTTAAACAAATATTTGAGCGTTAATTTCTTGCCATATACAAATATTCAAAGACTACTTTTTGCCTATATCCCAATTAGGTTGCTCCAGCGTTTTGACTTCCCTGCAATGAAATTCTCACTGTATTTCATGGGTTATGAAAAGGCAGAGGATATCCCATCTGATGGCCAGGAAAGAGTGAAGTGGACATTTACCAGACCTGCTACGATTGAACTTACCCAGTATGTACTTTGTTTTTTAAATGTATTTAGTGCTCTTCACTTTTGCATTTTAGAGCATGAAACAAATTTTGTTGATAAATAAAATCTAACAAAAAAGAATTTAAGGTTGTTTATTGATAGAAATTATTTTTTGTCCAATAGGATTGCAGTATTTCAAATAAATCGTAACACAATTACTTTGGTAAATTAGCCAACTGTTAATCAGTCTGGTAAATCGACTGTTTATAAAAATAATTTAGAACACTAAGTTGGTTAAAATTTATTAGTACATATTTACAAAATTAAATAAGTTGCGCGGCTGTGTTGCGCCTGACCAATTTAATTTTGTAAATACATACTAATAAACCTATACATAAAAGCAAAATAAAGAAATCTTCACTTAAGTATGTTATATTTCTGAGGCATAGTGTGCCCATAAGCTTTTTTATATTGATAAAAAACTGTACATGTGTTGTAAGTTTGTTGCTACAGTCATGTTCAGTGTGTTTAAGTGACATAATGCTAAAAAAAAATTGTTGTCAAGTTGAATTGAATTAGTAATATATTTCAAGAAATTCATTATTACTGAAAATTATAATACTAATAATTTATACTGAAAACAAGAGCTGTCGGTAGGACAGCAACGCTCTACTATTCTTATTGCTTGATAGTAAAAAAAATGCTTGATACAGTTACCTCCTCCTGTTTACAGGTTTGGGTCATGATGGTGAACAAGTGTGCAAAGTTTCAAAGCCATATGTCAATGGACTTTGAAAATATTTGAACTATTACAAAAACTTTAACGTAAATTCTAAGTCGAAAAAGGGGCATAATTCTGTCAAAATGCTTGATAGAGTTACCTTCTCCTGTTGACAGGTTGGGGTCATGATGTTGAACAAGTGTGCAAAGTTTCAAAGCCATATGTCAATGGACTTTGAAAATATTTGAACTATTACAAAAACTTTAATGTAAATTCTAAGTCGAAAAAGGGGCATAATTCTGTCAAAATGCTTGATAGAGTTACCTCCTCTTGTCTACAGGTTGGGGTCATGATGGTGAACAAGTGTGCAAAGTTTCAAAGCCATATGTCAATGGACTTTGAAAATATTTGAACTATTACAAAAACTTTAACGTAAATTCTAAGTCGAAAAAGGGGCATAATTCTGTCAAAATGCTTGATAGAGTTACCTCCTCCTGTCTACAGGTTGGGGTCATGATGGTGAACTAGTGTGCAAAGTTTCAAAGCCATATAATTATGGACTTTGAAAATATTTGAACTATTACAAAAAATTTTACATAAGTGGTTACGCCGACGCGGACGCCGACGCTCGGGTGACTGCAATAGCTCTACTTATTCTAATCGAATAGTCGAGCTAAAAAGGTTAAGCATAAAATATGAAATAATGAAGCAAGTAGAACAGTCAGCCCATGATAATAGTAAGGTTTATTTTAAATTTGAACATTACTAATGCATTTGGAACAATATTGGTAGAAATGTCCTTATTAGAAAGTTCTGTGGGTCACATGTATTATTGTTTATTTTTAGTATGCTTTTCTCCACTGATCTTTGCAAATAACTTTATTCTATTTGAACTACATCTATAAAATATATCATAAATATATCTTCAAAATTAACTGAAGCCTCTTATTAGTGAGATTCATCCAAATCTGATTTTTTTTTAAATTTACTACTTGAAAAGAAATACTTCGTACTTGAAACTTGTTTCAAAATGTTGCATACAATAATTACTGAAAGGTACAGAATAACTTCACATTATTGAGGAAGACAGTGAAATATAAACCATAGGAAAGTAAATTGAACATTAGTATTCTATTGCTTATATCTACTACAAAGCAATTTTATTTGGTATTTTGAGAACATGTTTTTACAATCGAGAGCTAGACACTTTTCTTTGTTAACTAGACAGTATATTCTTGTATTTTAGTAACTGGGGAACAGAGAAAGAAGAAGGGGAGCCTTATCATAATGGCAACTCGGATCCTAGAGGATTTGGTATGATAGAAAGACATCTTAAACAGTTCAAAACATGTCAATTTTTTACACAAATAAATAAGCAAATAAAAAAGTTCCTAAATAATGGCCAGGGCTACCGTTAATGGAAGTTTGGGTGATTTTGGCTTGTGACTTTCAAAATCTAATACTTTTCCTTCTTTACCATTATAAAGTGACTTCCAATATCAGAGATTTTGCAGTCTCTGACTACCAAATTTTGGAACTTAATGGAAGCCCTGCCATTCCCCTGCTGGGACTTGTTGAAAAGTTTATGGTTAAATCTAAAGTTTTTCTAAATCTTAGTTCATAGATAAACTAACCACACTGGTTTAACATTTTTAAATTCACATTTCTTACATGTTAATATTAAGCTGATAAATTTGTCTCATTCTTGTATGAATTGTGTGCTTCTGTTTTTAAAACTGTACGTTATTAATGATATAAAATATATCATATGAAGATTTAATGTGAGTCATATAGGGTATAGTCAGATTGGTGAAGTAATGATTTTCTATCATTTCTTCTCTTCAGGCCATATTGGATTAAGTGTACCTGATGTTTACAAGGCATGCGAGAGATTTGAGAAAATGGGTGTCAAGTTTATTAAAACACCTGATGGAGGTTTGTTTTATGCTGTTGTTTTTAGCTCACCTGTCACAAAGTGACAGGGTGAGCTTTTGTGATCGCTTTTCGTCCGCCGTCCGTCGTCCGTCCGTCCTGGGTTTAAAATTGGCCCCGCCCCGGGGTCATTGATTTTCCTTATATGTGTATAGCAAAAACTTAAAATCTTCTTTGAAAAAACCCAAATAGCTAGAGTTTAGATATTAAGCATGAAACATATTCTAGTAAGTGTCTACAAAGTTTGTTCAAATAAAAACCCTGGGGTCATAACTGGCCCGGCCCCAGGGGTGTCATTGTTTTTAACTAAATGTGTATAGTAAAAACTTTAAAAAAATCTTCTTTTAAATAGCCCAATGATCTAGAGCTTAGATGTTTAGCATGAAACATCTTCTTATGGGTGTCTACCAAGTTTGTACAAATAAAAGCCCTTTGGTTAAATTGGCCCTGCAACGTTGGGGGGGGGGGTGTTGGGGGGGGCCTATATACAGGTGAGCGACCTCAGGGCCATCATGGCCCTCTTGTTTCTTTCAAAACACCCATCCCATTCAGCCAATCTACTGTGGTTTTGCATTAGATCACATATTTATTATTTCTAAATTCTAAATGGATTCTCTACACAATGTTGTTATGTCAAAAAAAATTCAGTAGAGTCCCATTACACAATTTTATGTAAAATTTGTCTTGCCAAGCACCCTTCTATTTTTATACACCCATTTGGTCGTATTATAGTCCCCTTTCCTGAGTGGGCGGGCAGTCTGGCGGCGTCTAATTTTGTTCGGAGCATATCACCTACACCCATGTAGTAATTTTAATGTAACTTCATTGAAATATTCACCACCCCAATGAGAAGCTGTGCCGCGCATAAAAACCAAGTCAAAGGTCACAGTAAGAGGTCATTGAAAAATGCTTGTCCAGAGCAAACCTTCTACATGCATAGAGGGATTTTAATATAACTTGGCACAAATGTTTACCATTGTGATGCATAGTGTTGAGTGCAAAATTTAGGTCCCTGAGGCAGTGGTCAAGGTTACACATGTATGAAAATATGTAATCGGACCATTTAGTAATCATATATTGAGGGATTGAAACACAAATGGCAATTATCACGACTACTGGTGTGAAACATGTTATCTAGTATATATAATATAATAATATATGCAAGGTCACGAAAGATGATAAAATTTTGTCTGGACCATATTCCCTACATGCAAGGTGGGATTTTAAGGAAACTAAATAGAAATATTCACAACTATGAGAAGCTTTGCCACATGCATGAACCAGTTCTCTAGGTTAAAGTCATTGAAAAATGCTGGTTTGGAGCCAAACTTCTACATTCATTGGGAGATTTTAATGTAATTTGGCACAAATGTTCACCATTGTGAGGCTTATTGCGCACATAATCCTCTTCCAAGGTCAGTTTGTGTCCAGGGACCATTTAGTCATCATTTATTGATGAACTGTAACACAAATGATATTTATCATGACTACAAGTATGACACGTTATTTAGGTTAATATTTGCAAGGTCAAGGTCACTATAGATGGTCAAATATCAAGATATTGTTCAGATATTGCCCAGAGTGTATCTCCAATATGCATATCTATAATGTCCAAATCTCTGTCAAAAGCTTTTGTGATGGGTGATTTTGCGACAATTTTGCCCTTGTTTTACAGGTACATGTAAAGATAGTTCATATTTTGGTAATGTTGAATCATGGTAGTTTATAAAAAAAAAACAGTTTTAAACAAGCTTAATATTTTTACTTGTTTTATGAAAGAATCTTTACTGGCTTAGGAAGACCTTAGGTGCCCCTCTGTGCATTATTTCAAGCTCAAGCGGGCATCTGAGTAGAACCACTTACGTTCCGTAAGCTAACTGGATAGCTTCCTCACATGAAAGAATCAAAGTCCCTGGCAGAATTCAAACCTACAGTGGTGTTGGGCAAGAATTTACTTAGATTTCTTATTTATATGAGTCAAAATCATGATTTAGGAGATGGTATCCCTGTAATTAGCTTTAAAAAATATCAATAAAGCCCAAATCAGGAACATTTTTGTTTGCAATGAGTAAAGAATGACAAGTAATAAGGAAATTATCTTTTCATTGACAAATCAAATCTTTTTCTCTTCTCTTTCAGGGAAGATGAAAGGGTTGGCATTTATTCAAGATCCTGATGGATATTGGATTGAAATTCTAAGTGCCAACAACATGTCACGTGATGTCAAAGCATAGCCAGAAATATGTGAATAAACATAACTTCGCACGGAGAACTGTTAAATTGTTTAATGTAATGCTGGACATGGTGTATGCTTAATTCCACGAGAAATGATAATTGTTCTTAGTTATTTACATGATGCTAGTCTTCATATATCCAAGAGTTGCCCACCTTTGATTTATAGTTCATATAATTCATGAGTGATTCCCCTTTGTAAAAAAAAATGTGGTAAATATACACAGCATTTGGTGTTTAAGATTCTATTGCGTTTTTGTAGTGTGAGCATCTAAAAACCTGTGAAATGACAGAAATTTATGATGGTAAGAATTAGTAATGTACCTATTAGTCTAGTAATAATCATTGGCTTGTTATAGGAATGAAGTTTGAAAATCTTAGAAACTGCACTGCTCAGATATTTGTTAAATATCATAATCTTGAGGTCCACCATGGAAGTTTTAAAACAAACCATAAGTTTTACTTGTAGACTGGTGGTTATAATTTTGCTGTACTTAAAAGGGTAGGTTGGACTTAGAAATAGTGTTTTTGGAAAAATGAGATAAAAATACAAACTTGACGTCTACATTAACAAGCACCCATTTTTCACAAGGTTTTTCTTCTCGACGATTAATGTTAATTAACAAAAAAAAATTTAAGCAGTGTATACAGGTTTTAATAGATTTCAAGTTAACAATTATTATGTTAACATATAAAACAATATGTAACAAAGTAACAATATAAGATCAGAATACAAACTGCTATTGCAAATATATCAATTTAATTTATCAGATCATTGAACATCAGCTTAATGAAGCTTGTAGAATATTTAATCACTCTGAAACTATGTTTCTGTTTAGTTTAAATTTATTTCATATAAGTTATTTCATACAAGTTAATTCAGTAAGTTATTCAATATACATATTGAAAATTAACTTTGTCATTGTAACATATATAATAAAGAAAATGATACCATTCAAACAAATTGTCAACAAAACAATATTTCATAACATTCTACAATTAATGTGCATTTCCATTCTCATGTAGTTAATCACACTGTGCAGCTTTTCTATTTGTTTACCCACATTAACCTTAAATATCTTTTTTAGCAATCCTGTATGCTAGATAAATTCAATTACTTTCAATGTTAGCTCTGCTTAATTGAAAACAATATATACAGATAATATAATGAATAATATATTTGTAAGCAGTGTTAGTTCTTTTTTATGATTCCTGTCAGCACAGTTGAAAATTTATTACAGCAATAACTCTACATCATAGCAGAATATTCTTGTAGATTCTGCATCTTCAAATAGCCCTGAAATAAAAAGAATATATTTGTACACTACAGTTAAAACAAGAGCTGTCCGTAAGACAGCGCGCTCGACTTTTTTATTGCTTGCCAATAAAAAAAGTTTTTGCAGTAAAAGGCAATACAAGAATCTCTGTATTTTTAAAGTGAACTAGTTGTTTGATACCCTTGAATATTACAGCAATGTTTATATGACATAATTTATGGTAAAGTGAACAAGTGGATAGGAATGAATTTTTTTAGATTTTTTAAGTTTTTTAGTGCTTGCCTATAATACAAAACATTGACAGTTAAGGGCCATAATTCAAATAAAATCTTTGACAGAATTACCTTCTCCTGGACATGTTTGGGAATCATGATTGTAAACAAGTATTCCAACTTTCAAATTAATATCTCAAACAGTTCAGTCAAAAAGTGGACTGGTACTAAAAACTTAACCAAGATTCTAAGTCGATAAAAGGCCTTAATTTTTAAAACAAATCCTTGACAGAGTTACCTTCTCTTGCGTACAGATGGGGGTAATGATGTGAAATAGCATTAAAAGTTTCAAAGCAATATCTTCAAAGGGTTAAGGCAATAAGTGGATTTTACCCATATTCAATGTATTTTCTAAGTCAAAAAGGGGCATAATTCTGTCAAAAACCTTGACAGAGTTATGTCCTCTTGTCTGTTGATGAAGGTCGTGATGGTTAACAAGTATGGTCAGTTTCAAAGCAATACCTCCAATGGTTTTGAAATAAAGTGAGGTGGTACAAAAAACTTAACCAAGCTCAATACACTTTCTAAGTCAAAAAAGGGCCATAATTCTGTCAAAAACCTTGACAGAGTTATGTACTCTTGTCTGTAGATGGAGGTTATGATGGTGAACAAGTATGGTAAGTTTCAAAGCCATACTTGTAATACTTCTGAAATAAAGTGGGGTGGTACGAAAAACTTAACCAAGGTGTGACGCCAACGCCGACGCCGACGCCGGGGCGAGTAGGATAGCTCCCCTTTTCATAGAAAAGTCGAGCTAAAAACAGAACTTTTGATATCTATTAGCAGAAATTTTTAAGCCGTTTTCTTTGGAAGCCTCATACTATCTCGCAACAGGAGCTGTTGGATATATAGCACAATCAACTATTCTAACTACAATATAGTGAAATAAAAGCAGGTCCTCAGAAACAAAAACAGGGCATAATTATGACAAAGTTCAAGACAGTTATATCCTCTTTACCTTATACTTGGGAAGATATTAGGCTTAACACAAGAATTTAAAGGCCATATATAAAAGTCTTTATAACTTAAATGGAAAACCTACGCTTGCCCCACCCCCGACAATTGTTGCTTTGGAAGGACTGCAAAATAATGAGGCAAAATGTACAAGGGATCAAATGTTATGAAATCACCCTGAGAACTTGCTTTACATGATGATTGATTTCTTACAACCAAAGAGAAAAATTGTCACCTGTTCTGTCACCTATTTGTGTTGCAACAGGAAATTTTAATATATTCATAAATAGTCAAAACTAGACTTATCACTGAAGGTGATTAATACCCCCACCAGCAACTTTGATTTTTTGAAAAATAAGTAGAAAAAAATTTGAACACAAACTATCAAATGTGTACAAGGAAGTATTTCAATTAATTGTAATCCCAACTTGGGTCTCCAAATAAGCTTGCTTTTCACAAAGTTTGATTACAATATCTCATTCCTAACTCTAGTTATGGTCCGGAAACCATTTTTAGTAACACTGTTACGGTGACCTTGACCCTAGGGGGTCCAAATGCAATACCAACCCAGGTCTTCTATACACCAAATTTGATTGTAATATCTCATTCCTAACTCAAGTTATTGCCCGAAAACCATTTTTCTATTTTTAGTAACAGTGACCTTGACCCCAGGGGATCCAAGCAAAAACACCAAGTTTGTAACAATATCTCATTCCTAACTGTAGTTATTGTCCAGAAACCATTTTTCTATATTTAGTAACGGTGACCTTGACCCAAGGGGGTCCAAATGCAATATCAACCCAGGTCTTCATGTAAGCTTGCTATACCCCAAGTTTGATAACAATATCTCATTCCTAATTCTAGTTATTGTCCGGAAACCATTTTTCTATTTTTAGTAACGGTGACCTTGACCCCAGTGGGTCCAAATGCAATACCAACCCAAGTTTTGATAACAATATCTCATTCCTAACTCTAGTTATTATCCGGAAAAGCATTTTGCTATTTTTAGAAATGGTGACCTTGACCCCAAGGGGTCCAAATGCATAACCAACCAGGGACTTCTTATAAGCTTGCTGTACATTAAATTTGATTACAATATTTTATTCCTTACTCTAGTTATTGTCCGGAAACCATTTTTCTTTTTTTAGTAACAGTGGCCTTGACCCTAGGGGGTCCAAATGCAATACCAACCGGAGTTTCCACATAAGGTTGCTATATACCAAGTTTGATTACAATACCTCATTCCAAACTCTAGTTATCGTCCGGAAACCATGATGTGGACCGACCGACCGACCGACAAGCTGACTCCTATATACCCCCCCTAAACTTCGTTTGTGGGGGTATAATAAGAATATGAATTGAAGTTTTGTTAACCTTAAGCAGTGCTGTAGAACTGTCTTCTTCCTCTTCCTCCTCATCTATATACTGTGCTACCTTCATACAAACATCCGTGTGGGCATTTGTATATACCATCACCAATGTACGAGCTTCTGATAACCTGTAATCATTGATATATGTAAGTTAGATAACTACATTAATAAACTGATTTATAAGATTATAGCAACTTGATACAATTTGTAATGAACCTACATGTTTCACTAAAACTGAAAATACTTCTGCTCTAACGATCTTTTAAGTGATATAATGAGTAAAGAATATATCTTTAACTTGTAATCAATACAAATATGACTAATTGGCAATTTTGACAAAGTATTTCCTTTTCTTTAGGAAAAAGACTAATACAAGCTATTTCTACACACATGGGTGCAAGTTTTCCGGCATGTGCCGGAAGTTCCGGTTTTTCACGTCCTGGAGGAATCATTTTTGCAAATCACTTAAATCCGTTGAGATATTTTGAGGGGTATGGTGCGGGTCTACTCTTTCAAACTGAGAAGTACCACCGATCAGAAGTTCATAATCGAGAACACTAGGGACGCTCACGGTTGTTCTCGAAGTGTCAATAGTAAACTTTCGCGGAAACTGCCGATAGTTTCCGAAGATATACGAAATGTTAACGAAAACATATATTTTTAATCCCGGCATGCAATTTTATCCGTAAATTTATTACAACGATTTAGATTGGCGCGCTAATTATAACCATTCAATGAAAAAGCAGCTTCATTCTCGATTCGGCTATAGAGTAATATGTTAACAGAAAGAGATAGTCAAAACGAAGGATTATGAGAAGACTACAAAAAATAAATGGAGATTGGAATGGTTGTCTGAATGTGATCGAAACGTGGGATGACTACGGAAACTGGCTGAAAAAGCCAGACGTTCCCGGCGTAGCTTTCTATGTAGAAAAACCATCAAGTATGGATAAAAGAATTAAAACACACACAGACGATCCAAACCATTATTATTTAGTTGCCATTGTAGACTTAAAATTGATTGTGTTGTTATATTCATATACATTATCAAATGTCACTATGTTTGATTTTGTGTGCATGCTTTCTTTGTAAAAAGTATATGTCTTTAGTTTTGAAATGACTTTGATGGTTAAGCCTAAATATTTTTATTGGTAGATAATACATGTAGTCACTTGGCCTATTTTTTAAGTATATTCTTCATCCTTTACTAAGTTGTATTTTATTTATTTAATTTCATTTTTTTTTTACAAGATATGAAATAAAATTGTACTTTAAGAAAAAACTTATATAGATCTACTTCTGATATTCAGGGAATTGCATTTTAGGCCTTCAAATGTGCTATTATGCAGGAGCTTCTGGGGGCCTCCGGCCCCATGGACCCATGGCCGGGCGTTGCCCTGGACCCTACGGGGGCCCTTGCGCCCCCTGGCCCCCAACAAACAGTTCAGGTTTTTCAAAATTTTTAACTTGCACCCATGTATTTCTACACACCTTATGATATTTTATTATCTTAACCTTCAAAACTTAATTTCTATTTGTATTAGGATTACTCTATTCATACATGTTTACTTTTTTTGATGATCAAGTGGGAGATTTTTCTTCAAAAAAGAGGGAGACTTTAAAATTTGCAATAAACAAAGAAGAAAGTTCTGACATCAAAAAGAGGGAGATTTCTTTAATTTGTAAAAATACCCCTTATTTTAAGAAAAATCATTGAAAATATAGCTGCAAATGCTAAAAGTGGGAGAGTTCACATGTCTATTATTTTCATTCAATATTAATCTGCCCCCTTATAGCTCTTACCTTTGATGTTTTATAGCAAACAGTAACAGGTCATCTATTTGTTTCATCTTGACACAATACTCTACAAACTGTTGTTGGTATGGTGTATCTAGAATCTGTTCAAACCTCTCACATACCAACATATCTTTATATACACTCTCTTGTATCTGATAATACATAAAACAACATTGAGATTTAATCATGTAATCATTAGGCTTGAAGTAAAATTAACCCTACCAATGATATCTTGTTTGATAATTAAAGTATAAATTGCAGATATTTTAAAATGTATTCTAAACCATGCTTTTGCTTTTTATGCCTAAGAAATTAAGTTTACTTCTTCACTACAACAAACAAATGCTTGTTTGCTTTAAACACATGAGCCATCCTGCTGAAAATTGTACATAATCATCCATTAGTTTTGAAAATGGGACTGATTTCCTAGTAAAAGGGGAAGGGTTTCATAGTAAATAAGGTGTCTGCCTCTCAACCCAGGGATCATGGGTTCTCGCTCTACTTTTGTCATGACTTTGTCTCCTCATACGACACCAGTACTGGATAGTCGAAAGTGCTTAATATACATTGCAAGAATTTCTTTCACAATCATGCTTAAATATGAAATTATCTTTAAACTAAACTAGCTTTCAAATTTTAATTACCTTAGTACTGATTCCATGACTAAGACCACATTGGAGCATATAGTCAATGTTATCCAGGATTTGTCTGCCTTCCTCACTCACTTTATTCTATACAAAAACAAGAAAAGTGTTTTATCAAAAAACATATTATACAAAGTACATGTCTAATTAAGTAAACTGAAAATATAAGATAATATTCAAGAAATTAATTTACTAAATCTTCACAGTAACTTTTGACCCAGTCAATAGGTTAATTTTTTTAAGACACAATTTAACTAAATTGAGGTATTTGGTAAACAATAGAATTTTCAGTCCAATATTCTTTCAAAGATAATCAGAATTTTGTAAACATTAAAGAGCTAAGCCAGTCTACAAATGTATGCAGTTTGTCTTTTCTCTAAAAATTAGAATTTACATATTAAAATCACTGTTAGTTATAAGAGACAGCCCCAAAAAACAAATCAAGTCCATTACACTAAAGCACAGAACTTCAATTAGATTTATTTACAGCAAAATGATTTTGTGTCTGAAGTTTTTAATTAAAAAACCAGCAGAGTCATGTTTAGCTTTCAACTGCTACAGTAGTCTCATTTAACTGAGAGTGAAACAGAGTTATAGCTACCTGAAACATGGAGTCAGACGATGATTTACAGATGATGAGACATCCCAGAGAGCAAGCCGGCATCTCTAACTTGTGGTATAGTTTAGATAACATGTCACCATCCAGATCCCTCAATACAGGACATCTGAAAACATGACAAAAACATTGTATTAGACTTATTGAGCACAAGTTTGAATCCTGTAATTCTTATTTTCATTTTTTTTATTCTTTGGATTTTTTTTTCAACTTTTATCTTTCTGTTTATGTTTTCTCACATCATGTAAATCAAACTTACCTTAACAAGACATTGAAGTAATGTACACATGTGTCTGTCTGTTCTTTACTCAAAGGTGAACATACTGAAAGAAAGATAAACATATTTAATACTGTTTTATATTACTGTTAAAGATGTTTCCGTATAATATTTTGATGCAACTGTCTCTTTGTGAAATATCTTTCAGGAGTAACAGATTTACAAAAAAATCTTTAATAAATAAAAAAGTGAATCATAGAAATGTCACAAACCATGTGACAGTTCTCTGATGACTTACATGTATGTTTTTCAAAACATACAGTTTGAAACAGGCAAATTGTAAATTTGGACGTACAAGTGTGACCTTGACTTTTGAGCCAGAGACCCCATTTTTGTACATAACACCTCAATGGCGAACACATTTACGCATAGATATTTCAAATCCACCTAAGAATGACAGAATTTATGACCAGACACAATCATAAGAGCACTTTGATGAACATGGGTCTGGTGTCTTAATCTGCTTCACATTTATGCAAAATTATTTCAAAATCCATTAATAAATGATACTGTTATTTTCAAAATCCATTAATAAATGATAATGTTATGAACCAGGGGGATGGACAGACGGTGCAAAAACTTCATGTCTCCGCAAAAATTGAGTATGAGGAAATAAAATTTCTCAAAACTAGAATTTTAACTTGGTTCTCACCTTTGAGTAGAGGCATGGATACAACAGTATACCACATTTTAGGGAAAGCTGCAATCTGCCATAGTTCTGGCACATTGTTGAGGCGCAACAACACATATTCTAGCTGGGTCACCTGAAGATATCATCTCACTGAATTATCAAACTTTCAGAATCTCTATCAATCAAAAATATACAACTACAAATGAAATATGTGATAAAAAAATAATTAAATATAATTTACCAGGTAATGTCATCTGGCCAAATTCCAGCTTTACTGGTGGGGGAAGTCAGTATGTGCCCATTCATTCATTACTTCATGTACAAAGATCACCAACTTTATATGAATTACCACATTGAAAGTCCCAGTTATTTTCGAAACATACAGCAGTAAAGGGCATTGTAGTAAAATAAGTTACCATAACTAAAGTCACCGTTAACTTGATGCTTAACCATTTCCTCCATGACTTCTATTCATTTGCTCTGTTATTCCTACTCAAACATAACAGTGTGTGATGCAATGGACAGGATAACATCATATATGTTAGACATAGAGCAGTGACATTGCTTCACTTCTAAGACTAGCTCCACGCACATATTTACTGATTTTGAATATCAAGTAAAATACAGCTATTCATAATGCAACAAAATTTACAGATAAACTCACCAGTCCAAATGAATGAAGCCTCTGCAGAATGCTTGTCCATAACTGGAAGTCATAGATCTCAAAATCTAGGCACAAACATGACACCAATGTCACAGCCTGTGAAAATATATTCAAGTAGTTCAAGTTTCATTATAATTTTATTATTTCTTACATTAAGTATCAACGGTTCTGTCTATCAATAACAAAACTATTTTTGAAGAGTGGGGGCTTAGTGGTACATATGTCTGCTTCACAACTCAGTGATTCCAGGTTCAAGTCTGACTTGAGTTACAACTGTTTTCCTGATATGGACCGGTTCTGGTTAGTTCCAGGTACCGGAACCTAGTGGTTCAAATAAGCTACAAGCTTTCTTCACAACACAGCTTGAATAAATTAAGTTTAAACTAAACAAATACCCTGTTTTTACAGTTAAAATACTGCAGAACTTTCAATTTATAAAGGGTATGTAAAAATCATGAGGATATTCAAAAACTAAGACCAAAATCACAATCAAAGAACATTCAGTATGAAAAGGAAAACTCACAGTTTTTTCATGACTATGATTTTTCCAGATTCCTTTCACCAATCCTTCTTTATGACAGGAGATAAATGTTTCTACAGTATGTCGAATGTGAAGTTTCTCCAGACTTGACAGATAAATCATCACATGTAGAAGATTCCTGTAAATATTCAATAACATACATATTATATATCATTTTATAAATTTTCTCCAACACAGAAGATATTTCACCTAAGGTTACCCTCAAATACATGAATACATAACCTCATGAACATAGACAATGCTTTGAATTAGGAAATTTCCATTTTTACCATTATGGATTTCAACATAAAACAGCAAAGCTGTCAACAGTGTTGTCAGCTGCATGGATGTGCTGACATGACAGACATTTAGCAGTAGTCAAAGATGACTCTATTTTTTATATGATTTACTTACCTTATATCCTCAAGTGACTTGTTACATTCTTTCTGCATGGTAGCATCATCACATAGGTGAAGTAAACATCTTAATGCCCTGATACAGCATACTGTCTCACGACCTTCATGTGGCTGAAATATCCTCAATAGTGTTTATTTACAATTATTGTAATAAATAGAAGTCAACTGGTTTTCAGAAATATTAGTAGTACTTAATAAATTAACTATTCCATGACCAGTTTTTTCTATATACACTTCTATATTTTGAACTTTTCTAATATTCATAACAAAGATTATCTAAAAAACTGACATTTCAAGCTGAAAAAGAGTTTAGAAAATAATATTATCCGCGACAAGGGCGTGAGGAAAAATTCTTTTCAATCAAATCAGTGTGATTTTCTGATTTCCAACAAAATATTATCATACTAGCATTACAACATGGATGAGAACTTTGTAGCCAAATTATAATGTCTGTAGCCTATTCATTAAAACTTCAGCAAATTTCATGGAATCTTTATAAAGGATGCTACATGATATCCTATCAATATATTACAAACTATACCAGTAATAAAGAGCAAGAAGTTCAACAAATCAAAAACTAATATCTGAAAAATACACAATTACCTTTAGGGCATACTCAAACAATCTCATGATATTCTTTTCATTGTTTTCTTTCTCAACAAGGTGAACAATTCTGAAATACAGTACATTTTTACTACAAATGATATCACTATTTACAGATTAAATGTGAATGAAAGAACATTTAACCAACCATTTATTAAACTCTGTTGGATTCTCAATACAAATAATGTTTCTTGACAATACTGATCTAAGTTATTACAACAAAGATATTGTAATATACATGACTAGGTGAGGAAAAATTGTTAGCCAGTTTCAGATACTACAATACAAAGGATAATTTCATCTGAAAGACAAATTACCCCTGCAAAGAACAATGCCTTTACTTTTTTTTTAAATTATGGCAAATCATGTGACAGAACATCCTTAGAAAAAAATAATATTTCAACTTCTCACCTTTTGAAATTGATTTCCTCATCATCATCATCAATTTCTCGAAGTGTTTCACTTAGTTTGATATTCTCCAAGCTAAATGTCATTGTCTGAAATAAAAAAACTGTTGCATTATCTAATCTAATTCTTGAGATTCTCTTATAATTTCATTTTCTTTGTTTTAAGCTGAAGGCAATGATGTAACTTAATTTCGATTGTATTTATGTATACATGTACCAGCTATAGATTGATTAGGCAAGTCATATGTTAGACATTTCACATACAACATGTGTCAGTCAAGTCTCCACTGTGTGCTAATACAAATGTTGTTTTACTTACAAAAGTTTTTACTTCTGAATCACAAAATTAAATTAATTCAAGTCAATTATCAATTTAAGTGCAGTTACAAATCTATTTAATCCATCAAAAGTATTGCCCCAAAAAAATTTGGCCCTATTCAGTACCCCTTTAAAACAGTTGTAGTGGTAAAAGCATTAAAATTAAAGGATTAAACGCATAGAATGGTATTTGCAGTTGATTACAGGTCAAATTTGTTGTGTCTTTTTCCAGACTGAAACCTTTCATGATAAAGGTATTAGTCCCCTTTATAAATATTGTTGATATCAGCAATTTCCTGCAGCAGCTTATTCTGAAAACAAAAATCTCAAAATAAACCCCATACAAAAGAATTTTTTTAGTTTTGTAGTCATGTTGTCTGCTGTTGACTTTTAAAAAAAATAGAAAAACCCAAAAACGTCTGTAATCAATTGTAAATTTTACAATAAATCAAATGACACGGGAACCCCGGGGTCAGGGAAAATTCTCAATGAAACTGAAGACGTTCATTTTACTATGACACAGAATCCGATTCTGTACCATTACTACTTGCATTTCTTACTGCCAACCTTTCAATATAGGTCACATAAAACAGCGGTTGAGGACTAATGCAATTTATCCTATTGACAATTATATGTCTCTCCAAAGTCGAATCTGAAAATAAAAGTCTCTTTACTATAGTTTGAGTTTTGAGCTGAAACATTATCTGTTTACAGCCACCCTTTCATCCAATAAGGTAACCAGAGAAGTTCATCACCAAACAATTTAACACAAGAATACAGCGCAATGGCAGTGAATGACAAGTGACTGTTCTCATCAATGACCTTAACAACTCAGCCATGCATGTCTTTTTTAATTTATTTATCTATGACAAATACTAACCAGGTTTGATTGATCCAGCTTCCCATTCAAGCTGTGTGATACTAGGATGTTCATATAATTTCTGTAACAGTAATGATGGTTTGTCTGTGCTTTGTAACAACTCTGCTTCACCAAGACCATTCAAACACAGGGCTTGTGCTGATGCCATCTTCTGCCAGTGACTGAGAAATTTCAGGTAGGCTGCCTTTGCTTTCTCTTTCTTTCCACACTTTGTAAAATACAAGTCAATTGTGATATTTAACTGGAGTGAACATAGGATATATTAACCAAATAAATGGTATTTTTGTCAAGTTGGTAGTCTAAGATACCAAATTTTAATTTCAGTACATTTCATGGACATTAGGAAGTATCATTGCTGGAGCATAATTTAACTAAAACTTTAATATCATGCATTAATGGTTCAACAAGGTAATGCAGCAACACTATACAATATCCATAGAGCATTGTTTTGAAGTAAACAAGAATATTTTCATCAGAAAAGAAAAAATTCACCAAAAAAATTTAAAAAAAACCCCCTAACCCCAAAAAGTTGATACATAAAAAATCTTCAATAATTTTTCAAGTGCCAAAAACCTCTAATTTTTCACGTGTTTCAGGACCAACTTTCTCGAACCTAAATAATATTTATGTTTATTGCTTTTAAATTCACTTTAATGCCCCTGCTGATTTACCCTATTATAAAAATCAATCTTTTACAAAAAAATTTTTTTCAAATGTAATAACTTTCTTATTATATCTAAAAAAAAATTCAAACCTTTCTTAGAATTTAAAAATGAAAATAAAGGAGATACCCAAGGGTAGTTTGGTGACCATCCATTTAGCACATGCAAGAGAGCTCTCACAATTCTTAATGCTCTGTAACACTTGTACAGCATCCTGGGGTAATAAGAAATAAATATTTATAAATCAAAGGATCACATGTGTTAATTAATACATAGAAAATATTTAAAAAAAAAATAAAGCATTATCATATCAATATGAATAACATGAAGATATTAATGTTCCTATTGTTTCATCACAAAATATTTCAAATGTTATCATTCCATTGAATTAATACAAGACTAAATTCTAATATTTAAGATAAAGATAAAATCTAGACTTCTTCCTTTATAAGGAATACTAATTTAATAAAGATAATGGTGTTACAAAGTTATTCTACAGTACATTAATGAGTAGATTAGAAACAAAGTAATATTTACTTTTTACATTACATGTGACCAAACAAAGATAGATATAGTATAAGTATACCTGTAGTAGGATTTGGTTGGCCTGTTCGGGTCTCCAGTTCCAATGACTCATGTCTGATCCTCCATCAGGGCTTGTAAATGTTTCTGTATACACTCTAACCATGTTCTGTACTGCTGTTAGACATATCTGGTCTGGTGATAACTGAAATATGTATACAATAATACGTCCCCACATATAAGGTTATTTCCTTAAATGAACTGGTACTTGGGAAGGCAATACGTTTCATTCCTTAAAATACCGTTATATGTACTTGTACATTCTTTTGTGGGATCTGGGAACTATCAGAGGTTGTCTATAATGACAATGTTCCAAACAAGGTCGTTTGGGGTTTATGTACATGTACATGTATATACAATTAGAAGTCCTAACATCTACAGTAAGTCTAATATGCCTAATGAAATAGTATCAAATATATGTTTTCATAAAAAAAAGTCATTCAATTATAAATTCTGACTAAGAAAGTTACACACTGAAGTGTACAACAGTCCTCAGGGTGCAAGACATTTTTTTTTATCTTTGCATTTGGAGCAGGATATATAGTCTCATTACTTTACCTTAAGAAAATTCCCATTGCTTCATGAATATTAGTACAGGAGAATAAAACAGACAACTAAAGTTTGGCATATAAGATACTGTCCCATCAACTTAAACAAATAAACTTAGATGTTAGAAAAATTCACCTATATCAAAAAGCTTTAAAATAAGTATTTCCGAAAGGACACACAATCATAATAACTGTTAGGATAAGGCTAATAATTACACTTATGAGATAATGAAATACCAACATAGTGTTAAAGTTCAGGATTAGAATTTTAATTGAAAAAACAAAGAGTTAAATTTATATCATATGACAAATTTAAAGATATCCTTACACTGAGCAGTTTCGCCATCAGAAGCCATGTAGCAACTGTCTCTCTATTCAACTCTGGAGCTACAAAAGATACAAAACACAGTATACCAAAAGATATGTAGTTCCATTCAACACATATATGTATATAAGTGACTGATTGACTGAAAGAATTATACAAGAACTAGTTTTATCTGCTGCCAGGTAACATAATAAATAAATTATATTCTTTTTTTTTAAAGTTATGGGTACATTTCAGTTTTTATTTCTCAAATTTACCTTGTTACTTGAATATATTAACATTTTCTTATATCATAGACTAATTTAAACTGGTGTTCTCTTAGTAAATTAGATTGCCTCCAGGAATTACTGGTTCCAGCCCTTCTCATCGGCATTTTCTACATGATATTAGTACTAAAGGCACACAAAAATTTCATTCTTACATGATTATGTTTTCACTATTAAGATTATCAGGATATATTAGTCTATTGGTTAGTTTGCTTACTGATCACTTTCCAGGGATCTTTATGCAGTAAAGGGTGCACAGGTAGTCTGGTCTTACTCTCTGGTGGTAAAGATGCCATAAATATCTGAGACTGTAATAAACACATAGGGCTTAACATTTTTATATGTCCTTAAAATGATAAAATGTCCGTTTATGGCACAGTATAGCTTACCACATATTAATATACATGTACAGTGGAGCCTGCCTAATCCGAACTCGTCCGGACCAGAATAAAAGTTCGGATTAGAAAGGTTTCCGGATTAGAAAGGTTTCCGAATTAGAAGGTTCTTTTACATGTTTTTTCATGTTAAATGTATTTGCAAAATAGTTTAAGGAAAGAAAACGGGAATGCATTTGAAATTGCAATTTAGATATTTTATTTTTGCAGTCTCTTATCGTTCATTCTAATACATGTGAATACAAACATACAGAAATGAAAATAAATAAATAAGCAAAAATATTATGTCCTCAAGGGTAAGTTAACCTACGATGTAAAACAGGAGGCGGAGACATAATTAAATATTCGTACCAGCATTTGTCAATTGTTGTTTACTCTTATCCGATTTAGCGACTATCCGAATTCACTGACAGTTTCTATTAATTTTCATTGCTTAATCACGTATCACTGAATCCATTACAAAGGATTAAAAGATATTTTTATTGCATTATATCAAAATATTTATTGAAGGTGACAAAAAACGATCAATTAAGCAATTATAGAAGATATGAAGGCAAGCTAAGTGTAATTTTCACACCTTCGCAGATCATACGTTTCACCCATTATTAATCAAGTGAAATAACACATCATTTTCGTGTATGTTTACACCTGCAAGATGTGCGATTATTTGTTATTTTGAATTAAAGTGTGACATTTGGCAAAATCTGTTCGGATCCGAAAGGTAAATTTTAGAGAAAAATAAGAACAAAAATTGAAAAAAATCATCCGGAATTCGGAGTAGACAGGTTCCGGATCCGAAAGGTTTTTTACTATTGAAAATAGAACGAATAAAATTGGGACCGGACACTTCGTTCGGATAAGAAAGGATTCCGGATTAGAAGGGTTCGGATTAGCAAGGCTCCACTGTATATACTTTCTATAAAAGGTATTCTTGTTAAGGAAATCAAGCAATTTATACATCAAAGAAAAAAAAACTATAAATGTCAATCACTAATCTTTTCTAATCTGACAATAGTAAAATGCAGTCATTTTCAAAATCAATTATCAAATATTCAATTATCTGTCTAAAACTAGATTTATTCATTTCAACAAATTAAAAAGTTAATTGATATCTGATTGTATACTTGCCTCCTTTTTCTCACCACCAATTTTAAATTCAATCTCATATTCAGCTGGAGGTGCATGGCGTGTGTAGACCTTCAGATATTCCAGCAACTTTAATCCCTGAAGAAAGTTCACACCAAAATAATTAAATTGCTAAATTTGTCTGATGTCAAGCTTTTAATTTGGAACTACCCAATGTTAATGTGAGGGATTTTATTATCAAAATGCTAGTCACACAACCAACATCCCTAACAGTGGACAGTGTGGTAAGACTATGGACATGTAGACATTCCTGGTTGCACATATATATTGGTAACATAGGCATGTTATTGTTCCTGCTGGCATTTAAAGGGTTAAGTATATGTACAAAATTACTGCAAATGTATAAAGAAAATATGATGATGCACCATCATTTACCTCAGTTTGACCTACAATCACTAATATCAAAATTATGAAGATCTAAATACAAAATTTTACAACAGAGCTCAGAAAATTTGCAATGAGAAATATATGAGACATGACGTAAAAAATTGTGTAGTACCTTATCTACAGGTATGTCTCCAACATCACTGGACTTGGCCATCACCTCTAGTGCAAACTCTAAAGTCTCATAATCATAACCACTTGTCCTGAAAATAAATTTATCATATATTTCTGCTCATTCCTTGCACTTAGATAAATCTGTCAATGTTCCTAGTGAAATTTTTTATTTGGGCCTTAATACCTTATTTAAGCAAGAGAAAACAATAAACAAGACGATGGGTTACATCTAACATATTTAATTCTCTTAACACAAACTTTATTCAAGAGTGTAAGAAATGAACTCCATCTGTCCAGTTTACATGTACATCTACGTTATTAAAGAGGTATTTAAAAAGGTCAAATCTCAAAAAACAAATCAAATTTAGGGAAGATTACTCGAAAAAGGGTTGGTGACCTCTATTTCTTTTCACTTTAACTGATTCTGTTATCATATTCTTAGATCATGCAAAGATTAAATAAATTCCATTACGTTGTTTTCATTCTACTATAAATAACAAAAGACAACCCCTTTATAACGCAAAATTTAAATACATTGTCATGGTTACCTGTAATAAATTTTCTTTATACATCGCATCAGTTCATCTTCATTTTTGATCATAGAGACGGCCTCCCATGCACGAGATATCACTGAGGCCTTGTTGTTCTCCGTTTCAAATGAAGTATCATCTGGCTGTACAAACAAGTGATCTAAATATAGTAACAATCCCTCATCCACATCCAGCTCAAACGACCTGTAAGATTGAATTACATACATTATTTGTATGAAAGTATAATAGTAATTGCCTAATTGGCATATAAATGATTCTCAAGACATGCAAGAAAACCATTCCAATACTTCAAATATTTTTACCATCAAACCTCCAATTTTTTTAATACAGCATGTGTTCAAACAAGTAAATTAGTTGTTGAGGGTATATGAAAGGAACTCAAGTAAGTCTTTATAAGTAACAGAAAATATTGTTTTACAAATGTACAAGAAAAGCCCTTTCTCTGTTAAGTACAGGATAGAAATCTTATGATAAAAATCATAAATTAAAACATGCTTTATATACATGTAAATCATGCATTGTCACATGAACAGCCAATACATGTAAACATACATGTCTTTTAACTCCTATTTATTCAATTATATTTTTTTTTTACTTCTTTTACTGCTCTGTGTTCAGATTCCAGTGTTACTGAATGACTTACTGACAAAATTCCTTCACTAATGTGGTATCTGCAGCCTCATTTTGTGCAATAGTTGGTAGTAACTTTGTCTTCTCACTGTTTGGTCCTAAAATAGCATCCTTGAAGGAAATCTGCAATGAATTGTTTAATGAATTGTTAATTTTTATGCAAGTTTTGAGCCAATTTGAACAAACAGATATTGTAACATTTTATGTCAGTTTTAACCCATTTATCTATATTTAACAATTGAATCAAAAATCTTACTTATTTAAGCAAGTCTGCTTATAACAAGAGCACTGTATGCCATGTTAAATGCTCATCTGTTAAAAAAAATTTATATCAAAAAAAGGGCATAACTCCCTAGTCCAACTACGCTGCCCTTGTTTCATTTGATAACTTAAAGAATGTTTGAATAATGGGAGATATGAAAGTTTGCATGAGGCAAACAACAATTTAAAGAAAATAAATGAATTTTTACTTACATTTATTTTTAACAAACATGATTTCATCACTTATTTACCCGTTTTACCAATTTCTAGCCAATGTCTATACTAGGATGTGGGATTACAAAATTATTTTTAAAGATGGTGTAACCCCAAAATGCATGTTGTAGTAATTGTTAAATCTCCACTTCAACAAAAAAATAACTTTGTGCCATAATGTTTTGAGCATTAATTTAGCAAAAAAATCTCTCTAAACCTTTTAGCATTCCTATTTAAAGACACCTGTGTTACCAAAGGGAAACATCCAAAAATTAGAAATTAAACCTTCATTTAACTAATTTCCTATATCCCCAGGAAAGCATTGGGGTCTCTAGGCAGTTACAGCTGCTGTCATTACTTTGGGCTCCTTTTGAAGAAATTTGTCCCCTAGAGCTATACCCAAAACCCTGGGCCCCCCCCCCCCCCTTATAGCCTGTAATATACAAACATTTTACTTATTACATATGAAATACAGCTCCGCTTATAAGACCTTTTATAATACTGCACGTTTGTAACGTCGCTTTTCATTGGATAATCGTGACGTTTATAAAGTTTTATATACACAGCTACTGTCGATTCATTAAGAAATCTTACTTTTTTCTCTAAAATATAATGCGTGCTGTATTATAAATTCGTTATAAAGATTGTTAACAGGATATATGGCCGTATATAAAAGGCTGTTTGCAATATAACTCTGGCCTAGCGGCTTGGGTTATATTTACAAACAGCCTTTTATATAAGGCCATATAACCTGTCAACATTCTTTATAACTAATAATATATTTGGTGGGCTAAAGTTGACAATATTTACTATATATTTCAGACTTTGGTCTTAAGTTGACAAAATTTGATATATATTTCAGAGTTTGAAGTCTTAAAATTGGTAAAAATTTGCATGATTTTGAAATATTGGTGTGATCAGCAGAACTAAAGGAACATGATTTTACACTTAACATAATGGGATACACCAAAATATGAGCAAAACTGAATAGCATAAGATGTTTTTATCATCAAATAATCTAGACAGAGCACTGATGGTAAATATATAACAATACAAACATATCATATTACATTTATTTCATAACAATGAAACTACAATATAAATAGTTCGAGCTATTAAAAATCTTAACCCATCAACTTTATTTCATATAAAGAAAGCATGTCAAAAAATAATAATCATAGAACACTTTCCCTTAAAAAAATAAAGATTAGATAAACTTCATACCTTTAGTTTTTTATACTGTTGTCCTGCTGATTTAGTTAACCTCATCATCAGTTCCATCACTTCACGTTTAGGTCGGTTACACAAGTATGTGAATGCTAAATGATCATCTACCCGACTACTGTTAAATATCTGAAATTTTAAATCAGTCAAAAAAATAAATGACTTATGTTCTGAGTTTTAAAAGGACACTTTCAATAGGAAATTTCAGAAATTCTTACAGAAACAAAAAACTAAAACAAAGTGTGATGCTATCTTTGTGTGAAATCAATAGCTCTCCCTAATCTTCAAATAGCTGAGCTAAAATCTAGACTCACATTCCACTGTTTTGTCGGACTTAAGACGGACAGTGTGATTGATGGAAGAACAAACCTATATGACCCTACCAAACATAGAAGTGAATTTTTCTTTCCTGCCTCAAATCTGAAGCTATTACCAAAGATTAATTTTTGAAATAAATTGTACAATGTTGTATCTAACTCGATCATTTAAGGACAGTGTAGGCATGATCTTAGAAAAATGTTTTACTTATCAATAGACTTTTTTTTTTGCTATATGCTTGAAACTGTTATAATTTTCCATTTTTTTTAAAACATAAATTTTCTAATTTTTTTTTAAAAAGACAAGTAATAAGTTTTCTTATAAGTGATCTTACCTTCATGACAAGAGTAAAGACAAGATCTTTCATCATAGCCTTGCTTGTCTTCTCTAAATCCTGCACACATTTCCAGCCCTGTACAATCTTCTCCCTTTGAGCCTATATAAAAACATATACTTTCATTACATTTATTGAAGTAAAATACAAACATAAGTAACAGGATTTCTGTTAATTATAAATTTCTTCAATGTAAATTTCAGACTTTTTAATGCTATTAACAGTTTTAATCTTTATATTGTCAAGTTATGTTGAAATATGTATGGATGAATTTACTTAAAAAAAGTTTCCCATGAAAAATCCTAATAAAAGTATAGTATATTAAAAGTCATATATACACAGAGTCACTGTCCACAGACAGCACACCCCACTTTTCTCAGTGTCAGGTAGTTAAACAAAAGCAACAGAAAAAGGGGCATAACTTTGCAAAAAAATATCTTATGATTATCTGCCCTTTGAAATGGCCTTCTTTCAAGTCAATTTGAAAAATGGATTAACTATCGCCGATGAGAGGATCATGACAATAGTTCCACTTCGTTTCTTCACAAAGTGGAGTTAAAGATGATATTATGTATTTTGACATTTTGTAAATATGAGAGCAGCCACTGATTTTTTAAAACCATTAAGGTGCAGCAATTACGCAAAGCTTCTACACATTAATTGTTAACAGAGATAAAATAAGAACAATACCTCTGATGTGAAGGGCAGACCCATGTCCTGTTGTTGCATATATTGTAACAGTGTCAGCAGCATGTGGAGAGAGAAAGTAAAGGAAAGTTGTATATGACTGTTTTCTCTAAGATGTTGTACCACAGGTAATACACTGTTACATAATAACTGTACTGGAGAACTTTCCTCTACATCTGTCTTTACAGCACCTGTCAAACAGATGTATATATAGCAATCACATTAAATAACATATTAGTTTAATATACTTGTAATTTTCTATTATAAAACATTATCTTTCAATCAACAGTTATCACAGTTAAGACTGTTTCCTGGAAATTATCAGTACAGATACAAGATGAGGAAACATGGCTTAAACCAGAACAGGGTCTGGACCCATTATTCATCTTCTACTATGCTACCCACTAGTCTCTTTTTATTTAATTGAAACAGTTATGTATCAGAATAACTTTAATTAATTCATCAATAGCATCAACTGAATTCCTTTCTGTAATTAATAAAGCATCAAGTGAAAAAGTGACTAAAAAAACAAAATATATATTTGTATAATTCTTATATAGCGCCAACATACGTTTCAAGGATCTAAATAGTGGATTGAGAACTGTGTATTTAGAGACAAGTGGTAAAGCAACAGTTGAGCTCATTAACAAAGCATCTTCCTGGAACACATCTAGTGTGAGGTCTGTAAATAACTCCTTGTCTACACGGAACTCTGTCACTTCTCCCCACTGTAATAATGTACTCAAACAAATTATTATTATCTATTTCACAAAAAAAATAGAATACTGTAAAAAGGAAAAGTCCTGAATTGTATGTTACACTTTTTCTTGTAATGAAGCATAAAATACTACTTGCATCTTAATATAAAGATTTGTAAGTCATGTCTTGATTAATCCTAACATCTACAAGACAAGAGACTGACCATCAACTTTGTCTGCTATTAACAAAATACAAATTATTAAATATATCTTTTAAGGCAGTTACAATTATACATGTAGTAAAGATCAGTTGCAAAACAATTTCATACAACTTCAATCAATCAATCAATCAATCTCTTTTAAGTTTGTAATCTACACTTGCCTGTATTAGAATAGGTTGACATCTTGCACTAGCTGATATTGCATTATATAAGGATATATTTACAGATTTCAGATACAAACATTTATGAGAACAATAACAATTACCTGAGCAGATAGAGTACTGTCCCCTGATTCACATTGTTGACTTACAGATAACAACAAGGAACATATCTTACACAATTCTAGGTACTGACATAACTTCTCTGTAATATAAATATATGTATCATGATCATAAAAAAAGTAAAGAAAATGTACATTCCTATAGCAGAATTAGATTTTTTTAACGAATTATTAAGTTTGAATGCATTCTTGGGAAAATCTATAGTAGTATGTTTGTAGTCTACCAAATTTCTGTTAGCTATAGAATAATATCAAAAGCAAACTTCATTGGCACAGTTATTATTATAATCTAACATTTAGTGTAAATTTATGCTATTTTGTACAACATAAACAGAATTGCCATCAGGAGGCGGTGATAGGCCAAAAACTTTGTTGATAAAAGTATTAAAACCAAAATTACACTTCAAAATTCTGAACAAACTGTCTCAAAAAAGATGATGCACAAATAATGATACATCAAAATATATGCATGGCTGTGCAATATTGTTTTAACGGAATTTCAAAAGCAATATGTGAATGTGATTTTATGGCACAGTAGAAGGAGGTACCAATCAATAAAGGATTGCCGGTTAGTTTGTTTTATTTTACTAATAGATAAAATAAGCTCAAAGCAAAATCTGTAGTAAACACAATATGTGTGGTACATATATATTCTAGATTCCATCAATTTTCACCTTGACTACAGATACAGAGAGCCTGTGTAGCTAGTCTGTGACAGACTTCTGGTAGTAGACGTAGCTTTCCTGTATCAATATCTTCATCATCTGTATCAACTTCAGCTTGAAGGTCAAGGAAGGCTTGAACCACTTCAAACAATGTCTCTGCTGTCTCCTGTGTAGGACTGGACTCAAATAACTCACTATAATACATGTATATGATGTACCATTCATTTCTGATATTGAACAAGTTAAAATGTTTTTAGTGCATTATTTTGAAATGGATCTTAACCAACAAAGGAAGATAAATAAATAAATAAAACATATTTCAAGGTTATCTGCCATTTTGACACACGCTTCCTTTTAAGTAGTGGACAAGTATTCAAGTTGAAGTTAATATTCAATATTTTAGAGAAATGGGACTAAAAGATTAACCAATGCAAACATGTGGTCATAATCACTGCTCTTTTTCTTTTCTCTTTCCAAAAAACAGCAGAAAACAAAGATGTTAATCAGTACATACTGAAAAATGTAGATAAGCTTCAGTAGAAGACATAAATTTTCTACATTTAAATTCAATTAAAGATGTCTGATAATGAGATATAAACAATGAAATTCATATAAACAGGGCTTTTCTATTGCCATTAATTATGCAGCAAGTCAGTGAAGAAACATAACATAAGCTTGTATTACATACCCACATATTTGTACAGCAGTATGTATGTTTCCAGCGTTGGCATATTTTATAGCAAGCTGACCTTGTATAGTAGTATGAGAGATCTGTAATATTCTTGCCAATCTGGAAACACATTAATGTTAAACACTTTTGATGAATTCACAAACAAAGCAGATAAAATGATCATTTTCATGTGTTAAGTATGCATTCATGAATAGAGGAACAAAGTTTTTTTTTATCAACCAACTTCTTTTCCAAAAGATTTTTAAGATGTAAAACGATGACTTGATCAATCTACAGATTACATAAAAGGTTCAGATGTTTGATCATAACATCATTCTTTAGGATAAAGAAATTACAATGAAGCAAATCTTTATCAAAATAGCATAACATTCAAAGAATGCAACAGCATGGCGCCAAGTGGTTAATACGTCAGACTAATTATCTTATGATTGCTGGCTGTGTAAGTTCAAACCCCACCAGAGGCAAACCATTGTTTTCTTGAGAAAGAAACTTTACACTCATTGCTTAGTACTTGTTGACTCCAGGGATGGACTTGAGAGTGTTTCTGGTAGCTTATAGCTATAAATTATGTATAAAACTAAACAAATAATATATATACAAGGCTGAACCATCCATATAATTTATTGCCCTATTCTGACTGATGACCATGCATTTATTAAAACATGTCTAAAAATAAATCTGCTATGTTTTACCTATAAACCTTGGCATAGTCAGAACCCTGAAAAATAAAAATTTGTTCAAGGTACATGTATAACATATTTTCTCATTTTTCATACAAATTTCCAACATAAACTGAAATACATATTAATGTTAACTTCATACACACATAGTCTAATCTAAAACTTGACAAATCATATGACTGCAATCAACAATGTGATATAATTTTGCTTAACTTAAGAAAAGTTAAGTCTTTGTTGTTCTTGAAAGAAAACATTGGTTTTCTGTACAACTTTAACCTAATATCTAAGTTCTGTAAGGTACAATAAATGATAATCAATGTGTTTATTTTACTAGTTTTTTGTTGTGTAACAACCTTCATCAGCAGAAATCAGAGCAGTAAATATAAATATCAATACCTGTAACTGATCCTTAGCAAAGAAGTCTTTCATGAAGTCATATATAACTTTCATTCTAAACTGCTCACTGTCATATTCCTCCATTGTCACATATTTATCAAACTCTACCTATAAATTAAAAATTCATTGCAATATATTAGTTCAAGCAAGTCTGCATTAAAAAAACCAAATACGTCTTTAAAATATAACCATTAAAATAACATCTATAACATCTATAAATTATATAGACCACAATACTGAAAGGGCCTTACACTTTTCGAAAGAAAGTAGTACATAGAATTATACTGGGATATAAAAAGATTGAATAAACAAGCAATGATCATAGTATTGCAAGCAATCCATAAGTCCCCAACGGGTTAGAATCCCAGCAGTACTTTTTGCGTTATCTTGGGATCCAGTTTTATGGACGGACAGATGGACAGACAAACAGACGGACGGAGGGTAAACCTAAAGTCCCCTCTGGTTAAAATGGTAGGGGACTAATAACAAGTATTATATATTTTATTTTGAACAATTAGTAATAAGAACAACCTGCAATGCTAATATATTTCTCAGAACTTTTTCCTGCTTCTTCAAGTCTTCAAGCTCTATCAGATCTGCAAAAGATAATTACAATAAGAGTAAATTCAAATATATAATTGGTTAATCAATCAATATTGAAAATTGAATTTACCTTGAAGCTAGACTACACTTTATTTTATGTGAGAAAAATAAGAATATGCAAGAAATACAATTATTGTCAAAGGATGTTAATTTCATACATTGACACATTTTATAAGCTATGCTCTAGAGATAAAGAATCTCATTTTCATGGATGTTCAAATACAAGTAGATTCTAAACAAGATATTAAAGACATTAAATAAGAAATGGTACAAGAAATTATTTCATAATTACAAGACAAAGTATTAAGAAAAGAACTAAGTACCATGTGTTTTGGTCAATAGGTATTTAATGATTAATAAAGAAGCCTCAGTGAATGCTCTCTTCTGTTTCTTGATCTGAAAACCATAAAAAAATATAAAAAATTTATCTTCAGCTACTTAGGTTTGCTATAACCTTAATCCAACTTGTTCTGTTTTCATCAAAATGTGGAACCAATGAAATTATACCTCTTAAGAAAAATTATGTATACCATAAAATCTAACATCTATAATTATTATTTAAGCATTATATAGAATTCCTTTTGAAAACTTGAAAATTCATTCAACAAAATGTAGAAAACTGGATGTATAAAAACAGCAAGTTACCTCATTTTCTATAGGTGTCAATATGACAGTATGATTTAGCATGACCAAGGTCAAGGTCACAATGTCATTTCCTATATTGATACCTAGATCTGCTGGTAAACTCTTCAACAACTCCTTACAGTCTTCAAGCTATGTAAAAATGAAAATACTCTAAATATTTCATCTATTAACTTAATTTCTTATACAAAAACAGTATTTTCAATGCCACAGAGAAAATACAACAAAATTAAAAATTACTTGACACTAAACTACTGTTATAAGAAGTGAAAGTGTTTAACTGAAATCTCACAAATCTGTACTGGTTAATTGTAAACTGTCATTACCCGATCAGCTGTAATGAGTTGCCTCAGTCTGAAGGCATACAAGTTGACCTTTAGATTAACCCCACATGATTTCATAACTTCCAATGCATCTTCCATACAACCTTCCTTGTCCTGAGTTAACATGAAATACATCAGCCTCTGAAATATACAAATAAAGCTTTTCAGTTACTTTTTGGGTTGTGCTTAAAGTGGCAATGGCACTCTTAAAATGGCTTTCATGCATTTAATGGTCAAGCAAACCAATATTGCAGTCATCAACCTAGGCATAAACACCTATCTACTGTAAGGTACCTAGATAGTTTCCACACAATTAACAAATCTTATCCCTGTAGGATTTCAAACTCACAGCAAAAGGTAAATTTATTTCTATATCTTCCAAAAAAGCAACAACACAAATTGATAACATGGGATATAGTTTAAGTTTTTAAAAACAATTTTGTTACACTTTTTTTCAAACTCCAGTATTTGTTTTAACAATTACAGGTGTTTTCATAACATACATACATGTTTTTCAAGGTTGAAAGATTCCAGGATTAACAATATTGTTACAATAAATCATCATCTCAAGAATTTTAACATTGGTATAGATATTCAGAGATTTTCTACCTTTTGAAGGAAGATTAACAATATATTGTATCATTGTTTGGGGACCTTTCTGTTGAAATGTATCAGATTTAAATCATATACATATACATGCAGTGTTAACTGGAGTGCAGGCAATAGTTACACCCTCTCGTACAAATCAGATAGACTCGTGTTTCGATGCTCTTTCTATTACATATTCACCTTATGTCCAAATAATTATTTCTACATATTTTTATATAATATTTATATGCTTGAAAAGCATATGATGATTTTTTTCAATATAACTTCAAAAGAAACTTGCTAAAGATGCTTATGCAACAACTCAACATGTTTAAGAAAGTAAAAGTACCAGAACTTACCTCAGCTTCTGGACCATGAGGAACTTCAACATGTTTTAGACCATATTTCATCATTAACTTTCTAACTCGAGCTCTCTCACACTGCTCTTTTATCTTGCTTACTCTAAAATCATCAAAGATATATGTTACTTGATGTTGAAAAGCAATAGGATTGTTTCTAGACAAATTCCAAGAATTGAAAAAACAGATAATACAAATGTTAAACATAACAATAACTGAATAACATAAAAAATATTGGTTTTTTTTTTTGTTTGTTTTGGGTTTTACGTCACATCGACACAGTATAGGTCATATAGCGACGTTCCAGCTTTACTGGTGGAGGAAGACCTCAGGTGCCCTTCAGTGCATTATTTCAGGTACAAATGGGTACCTGAGTAGAACCACCGACGTTCCGTAAGCTAGCTGGATAGCTTCCTCATATGAAAGAATCCAGTCCCTGTCGGGATTCAAACCCACAGCGGTGAGGGGGCAAGTGGTTTGAAGTCAACGACCTTAACCACTCGGCCACGGACGCCCCTAAAAAAATATTCTACCACACTTTAATATCATATGCTTAATACCTTCAAGATTCTATTTAGAAAACAAGGTCAAAATTCTTCAGCAATTTTGAAAAAATCTACATAATTAAAAATTTACAATTCAATTTGATCTTCACATAAATAAATGCAATGCACTTCAATAAAACGTCTTTTGTCTTTTGTAAATCATAAGGGAGTATATGAAAGGCATACTTAGCATGTTTGAGTTTGAGTCCCATCTGTACAAGTTGTTCTACACCAGCGGTCCATGGTACTGGTGCCCATTCCATTACTTCAAGAATACCAACTATCTTTTGCTGAAATATTGAAGAACCAAATAAAAGATATGATAAATAGGGAAAAAAATACATTATCAATTCTCACTCTGCATTTGACTTTTTATAAATATGCAATGACAATGATAAAGCAACTTTATAAATTTAAACATTTTTTTTATCTAATTCTCTTGGTGAACATAATTATAACTTTGTTGTTTTGGATGTACACAGATGTGCATCAAGATCTTTAGACAATATTCCAGGAACAAGCAGGCTTCTGAGAAGGAAAATTTTATTCTTCAATAACCTTAGTGGATATTGTTCTGACATGAAAGAATTAAAGGTCTGGCCAAATCACTATACAACAAACAAGACAGTGGTGGAATAGAGAATTATGCCAGTTAAAAGCCATAAATCTAAATGAAGTCAACATTAGCCAATATAATCAAATCAAAAAGTGCCCTGAATTGTTCCCTGAATTGTTCTAGAAGATATTTATATTTACCTCAACATCTGTGATACAGTCTATAACAGCTGATGCTTTAGCCTCCCACGTTGTTTCTCCTCGGAAACTTCTCACCTGACCATACCTCTCCAGTAAATCCTAGTAGAGAACAGAACTGCCATGTTTAACTACATACACAGTTACCACCACTTGTATCAATATTAGATACTGCCTTTATTGCTTGTTTGATTGGTTATAGCAATGCATCTGTCTGCCTGGGTGACTAGCTTCCATTATAATATAATGCAAACAGCTCCATATATTATGATCTTACAATATTGATATCATTTGTATCAGTATTTTGGTGTATCAGGGTAAGTTCTTTTCAACCTCAACATACATATTTTACCACCTAATGTAATAACATCACAATGAATTAACAGTATTGTTTAACATGTTTTGTAATGATCAGCTTGATTTAATATGAAAATTTGTTTAACAGAGAACATGCATCAGCAGGATAAAGTTTTTGTAGCAAGTTTATGATTCTCACATGTCTTGCATAAATTATGTTGTTAATATACTAAGTTATACAACTTATATGAGTCATGAACATATTAAACGATTCATGCATCTGAAAATTACAGACAGTAGACAGTTGGTTAAAATAAAATTTACATTTATCAATTTGTTTTTAATTTAATCATAAGACGTGAAATTATTGACAGTGGCCTATAAGGATCATTCCATTTTGTATGCTTGTTTCATAGGTTAAACACCAGTTCTGAAATAAAAACTAATACATAGTTGACTGGCAAAGACTGCGTATACATTGAAGTCTTACCTTGATATATTTCGAAAATATTTCATCTTGATTAAGACCATGCTCCTTCATATACGGACGTATCTGTCTCTCTAAGGTCTGACTAATTAAATCAAGAGCAACAACTTTGTCCAACATCCTGAATGTTATTGTCTCCTTGGTTTCCTGAAAATCAATGTTTACCATAATTAACAATAGTAGACAGAACTACAATTGTTTTAAGCAGCAAATATAGATTTTAACTAGAAATGTGTCCATAGGACACGGGTGCCCCCACCGCGCCACTGTTCTGTCAATCTTTTTACTAAGTCAAGGGAAATAACTCTACAAATACTAATCCACAAGCGAAACCCCAGGTGCAAATCTAAATATGCTGAGCAACCTGCCCATAAGGTTTAATGACTATGTCAAATCCTTTTTGAGTAACTTGCGACACAAGTTGAAAATTGCAAAAATTTTCTAAGTGAAGGGCAATAACTCTAAAAATACTAAATAAATCCAGACGAAAATACCTGGTGCACAACTGCACATGCTGATCAATATTCCTGTAAAGTTACATGACTCTAGGTCAAATACTTTTTGAGTTACGTGCGACACATGTTGAAAATTGCAAAATTTTACTAAGTCAAGGGCAATAACTCCAAAAATACTAAAAATATCCACATGAAAATACCCAGGTGCACAACTACACATGCTGATCAACATTCCTGTTAAGTTTCATGACTCTAGGTTAAATACTTTTTGAGTTACGTGCGACACAAGTTAAAAATTGCAAAATTTTACTAAGTCAAGGGCAATAACTCTGAAAATACTAAAAATATCCAGACGAAAATACCCAGGTGCAAAACTACACATGCTGATCAACATTCCTGTAAAGTTTCATGACTCTAGGTCAAATACTTTTTGAGTTACGTGCGACACAAAAGTGAACGGACGGACGGACGGAAGGACGGACGGACGGACAAGGGTAAATCTAAATGCCCGCCACTAACCTGGGGGCACAAAAACAATTTCATTAACAAACTTTAACTTGTACGATGAAACAGTAAGCATTTTTTAACTTAGTAAGAAAGTTACCACTTAATCTATAGTAAAGCTTCCCTAAATGTTATGTATATCATTTTCTTAAAAAAAAATAAAATGTTGAAGTAACAGAAAATGATGCAATTGTCAATGTCTTCCTTTTTTGTAAATACCTGTATGCTTTTTACAAGAGAGTTCAAAGAGCAATGAAAAGAGAATTAATATCACCTGACCCTGACCTTTTTATTTTAAACATTGCACATGACAACTAATTTTATTCCTATCTTTCATTTTCATTATCATATCACTATTTAATGTTATTACTATACCTTGAGGAATTGAGCAAGTGACAATCTACACTTGTATTTATGTAAGACATCATCCAGTTGTCTCAGTTTGATCAGCAATGTCATCAATGGTTTTAGAGTCACCTCACTTCGTAGTTGTGTCTACAATAAATATATCAATGCTCAATTACACATTGCGGTTGCATGTGAATACATTAAGTTGAGAGCTTTATCACCTTGCATAAAAAGACATTTACTATAAACATGTTTCAAACTTGAATACAATTAAGACAGTACACAATGTAGAAGGTTAATACTTCCCGAAGAAATAATCTTCAAGAAACTACAATTGACAAAAGAAATATCAATTGGAATTAAAACAGTTAAGACAGGGCTTTTTCATTTCAAAACAGGGGTCTTATAAAGGCCCCTTCACAATTTGAAGGTCACTTCAGTGCAGACCAAGATCAAGAATGGGCACATTTGATCATAGCCTGCACTGATCCCTAATCAGTCAGTATTTATTTTGAAATCCTCACCTAAAATGATAAATGGTTTTGTCCAGATTGAAAGATGAACAGGTCCATTTTGGTGTGGTAAGAATTTAAAGAATCTAAAGGACTTATCATCATTGGCATTGAGGTGTTATGTAGAATTGGCATACCTTGTCAGCATTGTCATTTGCCATACAAGTTTCATCATCTATAACTACGGCTGAGGACTCATGTAAACGTCTGTGCATATACTCTGCAAACTCTATACCATTCTTTGGCCAGTTTGTCTGAAAGACATACAGTAGTACAAAATTATTGCGCTCTACAATCATGTTTCTTCCATTTCCCTAAAGACTTAAATAAAATCAAAACTGTACAAAATTGTCCATTTACTGAAACACAAGTCTAAGAATAATAGCAAATTCACATAAAAAGAAACATACATAACATCTTCTATTATTCAAATGATGCATGAAGGGGAAACTCCGGTCTTCCTCGGACCTCCACCAATAAAGCTGGAAAGTTGCCATTACAGTATCGGTGTGACATAAAACCAAACCAAAAATAAATTCAAATGACAATAGAGATCACATATTTTCTATATTAACCTGTTCCATGCTGCAGTAGTACATTACTTAAATATATATATATGAATAGAACAGAATAAATTTTATTTCCAATGATGGGCCTTTACAGGCATATAATCACATAATAATGATATTGTACCAGACATACAGAACTAAAAAAAAAACATGTGCCTGACAATAATAAGTAGTAATTTTTCATGTAATTAAATCAATTTCTCTTACCTTATCCATTGACTCCATGTTTTTTGTTTTCTCAATCACAAAGTCAACAAGGTCTACCTGTAACCAAACTTTCAATTAGAATTTCATCATAAAATACACATCAGAACGAAATACCACTATGAACCTAATTACAGTGTAACTTCCGAAAACCGAACACCCATGGGACTTGTCAAAAAGTTCAGATTTCAGAGGTTTCCGGAATTCAGAGGTTTATGATAATGCGGACAAGACTAAGCCACTTAATATCACTAAATGTCAAGGAAGAAGTGGCCTTTACTGTAATATCATATGTAATAGTCTTTTAATCAAGATTTACTTGCAAATGCTTTTGAATTTCTATCAGTTTGTAGAAATGTTGTTAATTGCATAAACTTACATATCGTCCGATGCTAGTTAATTAATTATTACATCAAATGCAATAAAATCCCTAAAGACTTTTGATGCATACATTGTCCAATTAATTGTCATTTAATCCGCTAATAAACACTTCAAATTAACTGACCGCCGTAAATTACTTTGATTAACCGCATCACTTCAAACATACCATTTCACAGTTTGTGATTTTAACGCGTGTCAAATTACACGATCACCGCTAATTAGTAAACAATCGATAGGGAGATTAAATCTTCCTGCAGGGTTTACAATGTATTTCACACCTTTGGATATTTCCGGTTTTTGGAGGTAAAATTGCATTGATTTGACTCTAATTTTACGAAAATATCGTCCGGAATTCAGAATTTAGAAGTTCCGGAATTCAGAAGTATTATATTAATAGAAAATAGAAGGGAAAAAATCGGGACCGAAAAAATTGTTCAGTTTTTAGAAGTTTCCGGATTTCAGAAGTTCCGGAATTCGGAAGTTACACTGTATACAGCTGATAAAAACAATTACATCAAATGAAAAATTAAATTCAAAATTTAAAGTCAAAATCTTCACTTATTTTAAATCTATCTTTCCTTTCATTGGTTTAAGCCAAATCAACACTAACCAGCCCAATACAGGTGGCAAAGGCTGTTAACTGTCAATGGAATAAGATCTAACAACAGAGAGGTAAAGCAAGTCAAAGTTTGTTATGTTAATCACTCCAGCTGTAACCTTTTTTTTTCTTAATACTTATGGTAAATTATGAAATGACAGAAACTTTTTAAAACTAACCAGGGCATCTGGAACTTCGCTCACAACACATGGTATAAGCCCAGTGCTAATGTAGCCCAGTAGATTTTTGGGTTGGGTATGGTACGGGAATGTAGACAATATCTTCTGAATCAAGTCTCTACTCAATGCTTCACTCTTCCAGCTTGACTGTAATGAAAAGTGTCATAATATGCAATTTTACCAAAGATGTATTCCAGCATTACCAAGTTTTTCTAAATCAAATTTTTAAAACATCTGTATGTTAATGTATTTTGCTGCAAAAAATGTATAACCTGTAAACAAATGATTTCAATTGAATAAAATTGTTGTTACGGTTCACAGCTGTTGTTGTACTTTTGTCAACTTACATACATTTTGTTACAAAAATACACATTACGACGATTCTTGGAAGCGAAAAAGTTGATTTTTTTTCCACTTTAACTATCTTGCTTACGATATGTTTATATACAGTGAAAACATTAATCGACATATTTCAAAATCAAAATGCACTCACTAACACTTCCTACATCTCACCATCTGATATGTAAGTATTCTAAAATATAAAACCAATAAACTTAAATTGTATGTTTCACATATAGAAATGATTTTAAAAGCTGGTAGTTAACCTGGTGTCTTGTCCAGATAATGAATCCAGTATCAAGATGACCTCTGTCCAGCCATTTGAGAGATTCATGTAGTAGGTCAGCACATATAAATTGTCCCCATTTCTCACCACTACAAAATATCATTCAACTAACAAACTTCTGTATTTCTTAAATAAGATTTCAAATAATATAAGCATTTTATCTAACAAGAGTACTGCATGTGATGTCAACGCTCTTCTGTTAGAAATTTTGAGTTAAAAAGGGGGCATTACTCCAAAATATTGCTTTCAGAGTTATGCCCCTTGTCTAACAAGAGCATCTTGTCAAGAAAAGCAAGTATTTCAAGTTTCATGCTGATAACTTTTAAAATGATTGAAAAATAGATTACATTTAAGTTGTTGAACAATGACAACGATCATAATAGTTTGGCTTTTTTTCCCCGAAACAGACAAGCTAAAAATATAACCTTTTCTTTTCCTTGAAAAATGCCATATCACAAAACTCAATGCTAGTGTTTAAATGGTTATTATAAGCTGCTGAAAATCTCTTAAGAAAGTAATATACATGTACATGTGTCAATTTTAATATTCAAACAAATATTTCCTTATTAACGGAGTTTTCTACCAGAGTTTGCCTATGTTGAGCAGCCCTTGCAACTTTAATCATTAATTTAAAATAATTTACTTTCATGGTAGAAATTAACCAGTCTTCCTATAATTCATTTATCACTGAAAATAAAATGTTTGCAAAGATGCTGTATTTAGAAATCTTTTAAAAATTTGGTGATACACATGCATGTTACTAATACATTACTGACTGTATTTTATTACCTGAATGCTTCTTCTCCATATGCCAGTTTAAATGTTACCAACCTATGCTGAATCTCCAGTAACTGTAATTAAACAATACAAAATTTCAAAATTCAGGGTTAAAGAACAGAACATTTTTATCATTACAACAAAACTTAGAACCACTAAAACAAGATTAATGAGAAAGAAATCTCTGTATCATTTGTCTAGCTCATTCTTTTTAGTATTTCAGCTACACACAAGCAAAACTTCATAGATATAACCTTAAAAATATCTTACAGACTGTTATAAAAATAGTATCAGAAACTATGAACTCCCTCCTTCAATAGCTTCAATTACATGAAGACAAAGTGTGGCGAAATGGATTATGCATTTTCATCTCTAATCAAATAGAAATATGATTTACTTTATAAATTTATTTTGTAAGCTCTTTGTACAATGATCTGTTAAATGGACTTGTACCATTTGCTAAGCTGTAAAATTTGAAACTTCGTTGTATTATTTCAATTGGTTTCAAAACGCCAAAACAGAATAGACTGGTCAGACTTTATTCAAAAGTTGGCAAAGTTAAGTCATTATAACCACAAGCATTTAGATCTAAAAAAAAGAAATAGTGTATTTAATGACCTTCACTTGAGATTATTCTATGTGTTAAACATAAGGTTACCTTACTACACAATGTTCCCTGTTTCTCTCTTACAATAGGATCTTTGCTGGATAAAGCTTTTACAAGCTGTAAGATAATACATATATATATGATGATAAAAAATGATAATAATATTTTGCTTTATTTCGTTTTTCACTCTAAACTTAATAATAATTTTACTATAATTTGCATACAAACAATTCAAGCTTACTCCAATATTTACTCTTTTGAAGTCATTGTCATGCTTTGAAGGTTTACTAAAGTAAGCCACTTTGATAACTTCCTCACATGATAAAATCCAAGTATGTAAATAATTCAAGCCAACAACAGATAGAGGACATGCGATAAAAAATCAATGAACATAACCACAAGGCCCCACTGTTTTCTGAGCATAATCAAGTTGTGCAGACAGACAGGTGGTGCTGTTTTTAACATGTTCATATTGAAGACATAGAAATTATTAAATGAGAAATCATACCCTATCTTTACAGTAAGACAGTAGTTTCTCTGTGTCATTATACGTGGGTAAAGCTGCTCTCATACAATTCTCAGCTGTATGAAGGTCATCCTATAATCATTACGATATTTTATAATATATATTATACATTCTTTTAAGTCTATATAACGGTATATGACATAGATACAAAATTATACAGAAATAATGACCTAGCAATGAAAATATCAATTATATAGGTATAAGTCAAACTCCTCACTTATGTTACACAGTTAGGTCAGACATTTCAAATACAAATGTACACAAAAATCAAATTATTTTGTTCTGAATAAAACCATTGTTAAGAATATTTTATTAAGTAAAGTAAACAAAGTATTTATAGCTATATCATGAAATTAATGTGTAACAAATTAAAATAAAATCCTGGTTGTTGAAAATTTACTGAAATTTTCACCATACATTGGTAAAGCATTTCAAATCCTTATTTGGTCAAAATATTTGCAGAAATTCTGCTACATTCCCCACATCCCCTGGGCCATCCTTAAAAAATTGTTTGTTTGTAGTGCTCCGACCCTAAGTTCGTGAGGTGGGAAGGTAGGTAGGGGATTTTTTTTTTTTTTTTTTAAATTGTTACAAAGTTGGAGCAAACTGAGTATAGCAATACACAGTATATAGTCCCCCATGATATACTGTGCATGATATTTTCTTTGTTTAATATTTCAAATAATAACAGACATACAATGTAACACTTTTGTTGTTGTTTATTTTACATTTATTTCATCTTTAAACAAAATAATTGAACTATTGAACTTGTTCCTTATTTACTGAAATTAACAATGTCTGGAAAAAGGTGACAATACCTGTAATAAAACAAGTGGTCTGAGAAAAATATATATAATATGATTACTTGACAGATTTAGCCCTTTGAGAAAATAGAACGGAATTAGTCTCAATACCAGTATTTCAGTGATATTTGAAAATGCAATTTACACTGCAAGTATAGGTGTTTTGTTTGTAAAATCAATGATTACCACCTGCTTTGATGACCACCTAAGATTTCATTTACTGGTCCTGACTTGTCAGATTCTAAATGCACAAAGAAGGGAGGGGTGTAGCAAATCCATTTCGTTTTACTATTGAATAAAAGGAATTATCCTGCAAATAATATTAATCTGGTTAGAATATAAATATTTGAAATTAAATGACTAACAGCAGAATTTTTTAGCTTTGATTTTTTTGTTATTGTTTGTTTTTGTTTGTTTGTTTTTTTCTTTTTTGTTTGTTTGTTTTTTGTAAAATTTTAGGGGTACACTTGAAAATTTAGATTACCTTGCCACCATACTGTATTAACCCAGTTAATTAACTCCATTCACTAGCCAGCATAATAATAGATCATAATGTATGTTACACCTGTCACACAGTTGTGTGTACTTACCATATATGGCAGTGTTGCATGTAGAAAAATCACCTGCTGTAAACATGTATAGTGTGTAATCAACAGGTCCTGGAGCCTGGAGTTTGTTTTGAAAGTTGGATTAAAGTGAGCAACAATTAATAAACCCATTTGGGTGTTTAAAAGGGAATATAGTACGGACAATTACAAAGGAGAAAAAAGGAACAAAAACAAAAGAAAAAAATAAAAAGTGCATGATTTGTAAAATTGTTTGCATCAAAGATTAAAAAATATGGCTATTAAATTACAATTTAGGAAAAGGTAAAATTAATGAATAATTATCATTCTTATAAAGAAAAGTATCGGGAAAAGACCCATAAATTTCCAGCGATTTTCCCGCGAAAATTTTATCAATCAACTTGTTTTTTCAACATGTTTTAGTGTAACCTCATTTTTTGACAATTCTGAATGGCTAAATGATTTAAATTAATTTATGTCAACTATAAAGTTCTTCTAGTATTATTTTGTGTAAAAAAATATGTATACAGTGGTGGCCTATGGTTACGGAGGGTAATCCATTTTAACATTCATTGATGTATGTATATTAACTTTGAAGAAAGGTTGCAATCTTTTTTTTTCACTTTTATACCCCAAAAAAATCAAATTGTATTCAAGTTAGATATGTCAACTCATGTAAAAAAACTTTCATGAGGGTACCATTTCTGTCCACTTTCACATAACAAAGTTGCAATCGTTTTTTTTTCACTTTTATACCAAAAATAAATCGAATTTTAGTCTGGTTTAATAGGGCATCATTACCGTGTACGTATATATATGCAGTATTTTACAGTAGTGGAATGAATAGGAAAAATCGAGTACAGCTTGACACAGTGTGTAAGAGATTCATCCGATCGGCATTTATTTTAGCTAATATCTTCGAAAGGGAATCGACTTTTATAAGATTTAATGTTAAATAATTAACAAAAGAACAATTCATTCACATGTTTGGCTTAGAAACTGAGATTTTTTATGCCCTTTGCGAAATTTTAAGATTTCTGGCGAATGTGAAATCGCCGATGTTCGGGGTCGAAGTTTGGCAAAATATCGATGAAAAGCGTGCGTTTATTTTGGTTTTAGAATAAAATTCTTTTACTCTTCTACTTCTCAGTTCAAAATTTTTCTGAAAAGTTATTGGAGAAAGTTTTTTTTAACAGAATGGGTACATAATGATGATCTAAAAAAAAAAAAAAAAATCCTCGAAGGTGTAAAAATTTTTTAGAGTCGGGGCCATTTTCATGGGTCGGTCGGAGCACTACAAACAAACAATTTTTTATGGATGGCCTTGCTTGGAATTAATACTTTTCCCCGCATTTTTCTCTCCATATTAACAAAAATAGAAAGCCATGCTATAGAGATGATGATCATAAACAACATACAACAATTGTATCCAGACAGCTCCATAGCTGATTGATCATATCCTTCACTTGATCAGGTTCATATTTGCTGCAATTCCAGGGAGACAACTGATCTATCAGGTAATTAGCCTTCACTTTGTGAACTAGCTGTAACACAAAACAATCCTGTTAATCAAACTTCATCCTGTCATGTCATTGACCTGTCTTGTTTAGCTTTTCAAAACTTTTTTCATCAATCATTTAAAAGATTTGAATGCCAAAATTCTTAAATCAATCAATAACACCATATAAAGTCTTGTCACAGTCTCTAAACAAGAAGAAAAAAACTATCTTATAATAATAAGTATCCAAACACTCAACTACTTAAATTCCATTTCTCAACAAGGTGTACATATTTTTCTATTTCATAATTTTATTAAATTATTTAAATATAATTTGGGATTTGGTCCCATATTGCAGTGAGCAACATAATTTGTAAAAGATGTGCTTCTATCATTCAGATATAAGATCTAAGTGTTAAATACACCATTGCCAATAGAAAATCAAATTTAAGAAATGCTGTTAAAGCTTTTTTAACAGTTTTGCACTGAACCCTAAAAAATGGAATAATTTTACCCAAACATTTCTGCTTAGGTTAGTTCATTATAAATCAGATATCTATGAGCAATGTTTACATTACCTCAATGTTCAACTGGAATAGATTGGCAAACTTTTCAGCCTCTTCAAACTTGTTTTTCTGTAAAATTCTGTACAATCTAAAACAAATAATTTCAAAATAAATCAGTAACCGTTAAGATGAAAATCTGATATAAGTAAATATTCATAATTGTATCTCTAAATGGAAAGTTTAAAAGGACAATACAGGTGGCATACCTCCAAGGCATCTTGCTGGCACTATTTATAATAGTTTGCTGTAAATAAGAAATATTTCAAAGAACAAAAAGTCCATATAAGATTTAAAAGCTCAGAAATCTTATGATTTTTATGGTTGCTGAATAATACATGTAAAAGCCTATCTCTAACTTTGAAGCTTATTTATGTGTAATTATTAAGTTACAGAAGACAGACAAGAACAATACCTTGTTTTAGGATCTGTTTCATTCAAACATCGGAATCTTAAAGTAGTGAATGTACCTGGCTCGCTGAAAAATGTTAACATATTTTATTGTTAAATAATATTATATCAAGACTATATAATTATGTTAGTGTTGATACAGACACTGATTGAGGCTGGCTAAATCTTTACCAAATCTTGCCTAAATCTTGCTGAATAATGGACCAGTCATACTTTAACTATAAACAAATTCATTTAAGCTCAATTGAGAATAAAAGTTTTCAAATTATATCAATTACAAATGTAAATGTATTTTTGAATCTACCACCACTCAAACAATAAGAGTTAATATTACATATTTTAGTAACTTCACTTACTTATTATTTGAGCAGAATTCCGAAATGTACAAAGCATCTTGAAATGTGTTACACTTGGCAAGCTTACTAGGGGCAGATAACTGTAAATTATAGACAGTCTCCCAGTCTGGTAAGGTTTGAACCTTCAGGAAACATTCTCCATTCTCTGCCTCAGTCACTATAACTAACTTCATATCTCTCATACTGAAACAATCAATTGGTATTTCTATTAAACATTGTCATGCTAAAACATTTAAGTCAAAAAATCAAATCTGTGACAAAACCATCACAGGTTGAATCTATTTATAGTAAGCAAAGTATGTGCGCTCTCAAATGTGACACATGTACTTGTCCTGATATCAGTTTCTGAAATTTTAATAAAATAATTCTACAAAATCCAACAGCAAAATGTATACTAGTAAAATAAATGTGCATATAGATGGGGACTGCCATGAAGAGTAATGCTGCTAATATTCAGAAGGTAACCATTTTTTTCAGAAATCAGAGTTGAATATTGAGCAAAGTATTACCTGTTGTTCTGTGAAGTGTTGGTCTCCAGCAGGCAGAGGTCAGCGACTTTTACATCATTAAATGTTTTCACACAAATCATCATCTTAGCATCCCAGATACTCAGGCATTGCTACAACATATAGAATTGAGCTTAATGTTATAATTTATTGGAAAACAGTAGTCCTTTTTACACATCTACAAAGAAACCAAACCTCTAATAAGTTTATGTGGCAACTCTCTTAACTAACTGTCATAGAATAACAAAAGTGACCATACACATACATGGGCAATTTGTAGAACCACAGCCCTTCAATATACAGTATATACTACCTAAGTAGCATTCAAAACAGATATCACTCCAGTGGTTTTGGATAAATGGTTCAAAATAAAATAAAACTTACTTTAGTATCCAGTATAAAGATGTAATGACCATCGGAAGTACCCTTTCCAGCAAGTAAAGCCACTTCTGTTTTAATGAAAAAATATACAATTATCATCAATCTATAAAATAATGAAATAAAGCTTAATCTAATTACTTCATTGGCTGTAATCCAACCTTTACTCTGCGTATTTCTTAAATGCATATGACCATCTTTCAACCTCGATAAAACCATTCTTCATTTTTAGCAAAAATTTCAATAGTAAATACATCTGTGCCAAATAATCATAGTGTGCACTGGCTGCATGGGAAGTTTCTGTCGGCATGCTAAGGGTTATAATAAAAGTTACTTTATTTTTATAAAGATGAAAGTATTACCCAATTTGATGTTTTGAAACATGTTTATAGAAATAACTCCATCTATTAAACTTTATCAGTATAGCCTCAATTTGATATGGGCATCTTTTGTTATTGTTAAACTAATGTAATGGACCCTTATAACCTGTAGAAACAGAAATAATCCTCATTAGGTATTCCTCATCCGGCTCAATTTGTATCACGAACTTGGCATGTTCTTGTATCTAGAAATGTCAATTGTAATGTTACAATATCAGAAAGGTCTAATTGGGCAGTCAACAGAATAGTCTGATCATACTATGTAGTACACACTTCATACTTGTGGCATGGATAAGTTATTATTGTAAGAACTTGTTGCCCAACCCATTTGCATTTTGATAAATACTCATTATTTGTATGATATGTTTGTAAACATGTATTTAATGCAATAAAATATGTTTAAACTAAGTTATTATCATAGCTAATATTCAGGAAGTTCAACAAATTTAAGATAAATACCTTCATTAAAAGGGCTATCAGCTTCATCTTGCAGGTCAATACTGCCTTGTCTGTAACTCCACTTACATAAAATACTATCACCACTCCCCTGTAAAATAATTCATGTGTATTAATTATACCTCACTTCTATGATACTAAAACTACATATTGACTGTGATGAAAATGTTTTGACACATCCAAAAATCGCTACTATAATGCCTTATATCAACAACACTATTATACCTTATAGACAGACTTCATTGATTTCCAAGTTAATAATGTGAAAACATGCTTAACAGAGATATTACACTGGTATGGATGGAGATGTCAGCATCCATGTAAGTATATTAAAGCTTTTAATGAGTCTTAATTCAAGCAGAATCAGTTACTCTTAATATAAAGGTCATGCAAAGTAAGACACACCTGTACTCAACCTGGCCATAAAGTATCATCAAGTAATTTCAGCTTTAGTAACATGCAATTAATTGATAGATCCCTATTCTGACCTTTTATTTGAATAACAATAGATTCAACCACAAACATTAACATGTGCTCTTTTGTTAACAAATATGTTGTCAGGGCTGCCAACAGCAAATTGCAAAATCAGAGGAAAATACGCCGGGGGTCAAGGGGGCTGCGCAAGCTCCCTTTGCGGATCCAGGGCTCCCGTAAGCTCCTGGATTCTGATGATTTGGTATGCCCTAAAATCAATTTCCTGGACTCTAAATTTGACTTCCTTGGTTGCCTTTAAAGCCATTCAGAGACACTTTAGTTGGACTTCAGGTTTTCATCAGCCCTCAAAACAAATATCCAACATTTTGACGCATTTTGACAACAGACAAGAGCTACAATGTAAACTGTAATTTGATTGGTTATTCTAAAATAGAATGCCGGAAAAGACTCGATTTGACCAATGAGAAAAGCGCTTACAGACGTACCATAGGCGGCTAGGGTAACGATAAAAGCCGAAGCGTGCCGGTTTTTGGGTACTGTATAAAATATGACGAATGAATTTATTGTCTTTGTCGAATTTACATGGATCTCAAAAATGACCCAGAAGCTCACGAAATCCGCGGATTTTCGCGAATCCGCGGAAAATCGGCAGCCCTCAAGGGTTTTCATCAGCCCTCAAAACAAATATCCGACATTTTGACGCATTTTGACAAGAGCGACAATGTAAACTGTAATTTGATTGGTTATTTTAAAATAGAATGCCGGAAAAGACTCAATTTGACCAATGAGAAAAGCGCTTACAGACGTACTATAGGCGGCTAGCGTAACGATAAAAGCCGAAGCGTGCCGGTTTTTGGGTACTGTATAAAATATGACGAATGAACTTATTGTCTTTGTCGAATTTACATCGATCTCAAAAATGACCCAGGAGCTCATGAAATCCGCGGATTTCCGCGAATCCGTGGAAAATCGGCAGCCCTCGTTGTGGTGAAATTCTTATTGTATCCACTAATCTGATAATTAGAATTGGACAGGTCAGGAATCTATGCATTGTAAATACTGACCTAAAAACTAATTTCTACACTCATATATAAACATACCAATGTAAATATGTAGTCTCCCATGACAATGGCATCATTAACAGATGAATGATGAGATTTGGTACTGGCCATTTTTACACTGTTTGCTACTGTGTCACCTATATTCTCTAACCCTGAAAAATAGAAAAATGTTTTCAACATGATACTTAACTTTTACCCTCCATTTGTGTAATAGACACGCAGTACTTTGAGTTTGGAATAATTTATTGTTGAACAAAGTGATGCCAATATTAAAATGCTACAAAACAAGAGGGCCATGATGGCCCTGAGGTCGCTCACCTCTATATATAGCCCCCCCCCCCACACACACACCCATAAGAAGATGTTTCATGCTAAACATCTAAGCTCTAGCTCATTGGGCTTTTTAAAAGAAGATTTTTTTAAGTTTTAACTATACACATATAGTTAAAAACAATGACACCCCTGGGGCAGGGCCAGTTTTGCCCCCAGGGCTTTTATTTGAACAAACTTTGTAGACACTTACTAGAAGATGTTTCATGCTTTATATCTAAACTCTAGCTATTTAGGTTTTTTCAAAGAAGATTTTAAGTTTTTGCTATAGACATATTAGGAAAATCAATGACCCCCGGGGTGGGGCCAATGTTGACCCCAGGGCTTTTATCTGAACAAACTTTGTAGCCACTCACTAGAAGATGTTTTATGCTTAATATCTAATCTCTAGCTATTTGGGTTTTCTCAAAGATTTTAAGTTTTTGCTATACACATATAAGGAAAATCAATGACCCCCGGGGTGGGGCCAATTTTGACCCCAGGGCTTTTATTTGAACAAACTTGGTAGACACCTATTAGAACATGTTTGATGCTAAATATCTTAGCTCTAGCTCTTTGAGTTCTTTAAAAGAAGATTTTTTAAGTTTTTACTATATGCATATAGGGAAAATCAATGACCCCCTGGGGCGGGGCCAATTTTGACCCCAGGGCTTTTATTTGAACAAACTTGGTAGACACCCATAAGAAGATGTTTCATGCTAAACATCTAAGCTCTAGCTCATTGGGCTTTTTAAAAAAAATTTTTTAAATTTTTTTACTATACACATATAGTTAAAAACAATGACACCCCTGGGGCGGGGCCAGTTTTGACCCCAGGGCTTTTATTTGAACAAACTTTGTAGACACTTACTAGAAGATAATTCATGCTTAATATCTAAACTCTAGCTATTTGGGTTTTTTTACAAAGAAGATTTTAAGTTTTTGCTATATGCATATAGGGAAAATCAATGACCCCCTGGGGCGGGGCCAATTTTGACCCCAGGGCTTTTATTTGAACAAACTTGGTAGACACCCATAAGAAGATGTTTCATGCTAAACATCTAAGCTCTAGCTCATTGGGCTTTTTAAAAGAAGATTTTTTTAAGTTTTTACTATACACATATAGTTAAAAACAATGACACCCCTGGGGCGGGGCCAGTTTTGAACCCAGGGCTTTTATTTGAACAAGCTTTGTAGACAATCACTAGAAGATGTTTCATGCTTAATATCTAATCTCTAGCTATTTGGGTTTTTTCAAAGAAGATTTTTTAACTTTTTGCTATACACATATAAGGAAAATCAATGACCCCCGGGGCGGGGCCAATTTTGACCCCAGGGCTTTTATTTGAACAAACTTGGTAGACACTCATTAGAACATGTTTGATGCTAAATATTTTAGCTCTAGCTCTTTGAGTTCTTTAAAAGAAGATTTTTTAAGTTTTTACTATATGCATATAGGGAAAATCAATGACCCCCTGGGGCGGGGCCAATTTTGACCCCAGGGCTTTTATTTGAACAAACTTGGTAGACACCCATAAGAAGATGTTTCATGCTAAACATCTAAGCTCTAGCTCATTGGGCTTTTTAAAAGAAATTTTTTTAATTTTTTTACTATACACATATACAATGTAGTTAAAAACAATGACACCCCTGGGGCGGGGCCAGTTTTGACCCCAGGGCTTTTATTTGAACAAACTTTGTAGACCCTTACTAGAAGATAATTCATGCTTAATATCTAAACTCTAGCTATTTGGGTTTTTTACAAAGAAGATTTTAAGTTTTTGCTATATGTATATAGGGAAAATCAATTACCCCCTGGGGCAGGGCCAATTTTGACCCCAGGGCTTTTATTTGAACAAACTTGGTAGACACCCATAAGAAGATGTTTCATGCTAAACATCTAAGCTCTAGCTCATTGGGCTTTTTAAAAGAAGATTTTTTTAAGTTTTTACTATACACATATAGTTAAAAACAATGACACCCCTGGGGCGGGGCCAGTTTTGACCCCAGGGCTTTTATTTGAACAAACTTTGTAGACAATCACTAGAAGATGTTTCATGCTTAATATCTAATCTCTAGCTATTTGGGTTTTTTCAAAGAAGATTTTTTAACTTTTTGCTATACACATATAAGGAAAATCAATGACCCCCGGGGCGGGGCCAATTTTGACCCCAGGGCTTTTATTTGAACAAACTTGGTAGACACCTATTAGAACATGTTTGATGCTAAATATTTTAGCTCTAGCTCTTTGAGTTCTTTAAAAGAAGATTTTTTAAGTTTTTACTATATGCATATAGGGAAAATCAATGACCCCCTGGGGCGGGGCCAATTTTGACCCCAGGGCTTTTATTTGAACAAACTTGGTAGACTCTCGTTAGAACATGTTTCATGCTAAATATCTTAGCTCTAGCTCTTTGGGTTCTTTAAAAGAAGATTTTTTTAAGGTTTTACTATATGCATATAGGGAAAATCAATGACCCCCTGGGGCGGGGCCAATTTTGACCCCAGTGCTTTCATTTGAACAAACTTGGTAGACACTCACTAGAAGATGTTTCATGCCAAATATCTAAGCTCTAGCTCTTAGGGTTTTTTAAAAGAAGATATTTAAAGTTTTTTTCTTTCGGTTGCCATGGCAACCAGAGTTCTGCATGGAATTAAATTCTTTGAACAATTTTTAAAGGTGACCACCAAAGGAACATTTGTGTGAAGTTTGGATGAAATTGGCCAAGTGGTTTATGAGGAGATGTCATTTAAAGTAAAAGTTTACGGACGACGGACGGACGCCGGACGAAAAGCGATCACAAAAGCTCACCCTGTCACTTTGTGACAGGTGAGCTAAAAATTACACAGCTGTGTGACGCTATAGCTCAGTTAGTTAGACCACTGACTGTCACTCCTGAGGTTCCGGGTTTGATCCTGGGTATCACCCTTGGGATTTTAAGAAACACTATCAGTGTTTCCCACCTACCTAGAGGTATACTGGTACGAAACCCAGGTAATCCTGGCATGTATCAGTGCTATACACTGGTCATGTAAAAGAACCAAAGGATCTATTCAATAAGAGCTAGGGACTGGTTCCCAGATTCCCTTGTATCTCATAGCTGTCTCTAGTGTCTGCTGAGGTGAGGAAATAAGTGCTAGCACTTTCGTAGGCTATCCTTTACCGTCCGGTCTAAAGAAAATCAAATCAATCAATCAGTCAGTTTTGAAATTTGCACACAAAGTTGAACGCTGGTCTAATTTATATTGATGGGTCAGTAAAGAGGAGCTAAAAGTCTTTGTAAATTCAGTTCAAAATATCTGACCTTGTTTAAATATCTGGACATCGGGGAAAACAATAAGTTGTCCATCAACAGTCAGTATAATCAGTTCAGCAGTCCCTACAAAATAAAACTTAATTACTCAAAGCATAAATACTTTTATGTAAATGCATTTAATATTTGAATTATGATTATACATGTATTTGATAATAAAATAAAATTAAGTCAGGCAACAAATAATAAATTACCAATAATTCCTTGTCTCAGGTAGATGAGTTTCTGTGAATTCAAGCTGTTGCCAACCATGTACATCAATATAATCATAAAGTTTTAAAAAAAATCTATAATTCTGCTAAAAATTATCAAATCATAAATCTTGGCAATATGTGTTAATAATTAACAAAATCTGCTAATATGTGGCATGGTACATGTCAATCACACTGTTAAAAATTGGTTTAAATCCCTTGAGAAATATATGCATTGAACATTGAGGATATTGTAAATGCCTAGCCACCCATGGACCTTCATCTAGTTAAAAATTGATGAGATGTCAGTATAATGTATATACCTCTACAACACAACCCTAGCCTGCACAAAACTAGTGTTTGGTGGTTAGTGATGTGACTAATATACAAATGTTTGCTATATATATATCAATGTAAATGATTATATTGGCTACTCAGATATACAAAACCAGTCCACCAGTAAATTAGAGTAATGAAATACATGTACAAATGCTTAAATAATAAATAAAGGATTCCACTCAAAGAAAGAGACGGAAACAGTTGTATATTATTTAGCATAGATATGATGCACTTCCACATACTTCATGCCAGCATTATTTACTCATGAGAAGCTGTTATATATCTGTATACATATTAAACTTACCTTCATTATCCATATATGGATCTGAGTAAACAAACACTAATTTTTTTATTCAACCATCATATCACATGAACAGTCAAAAACATTCCAAACAAAATAACATAATACTTGCCATAAAAGTAAATATCAACAATAGAAATCTACCTTTTTTTCGCAAGTAGATATACATGAAATACAGTAACATGTAGTTTGTATAAAGTAGAAAGTTTCATAGTAGTAAAAATGTGATATTAATAATATAAAGATTCATAATGGAAATATAGACATTTTCAACAACAAATATATAGACGAGACATGTTACGATTGACTTTTATTTAATTAGCACTTGCAAATTTAACTTAATTAATTTATTAATTTAATTTAAGTATACAGTTTTATATAAAGTACTGGCCAGGCAAAACCCACAAATTTGGCAGTATACAGCGACCAAGGCTATCTCTAAGACCATCGGCCTTTGCGAAATTTCACAGTATGGTTAAGGCAACTGTGGTGACCATGCAAAAAGCGCAGATTTCTCGTGTCAGGTACATGTACTGCACAATCTATTCTCATTGTACCTTATAAAGTATTATAGTTATTACAAGAGTATCTTGATATGGAACTTGTATTTGACTCAAGTAGAATTTAGTAAGCTATAACATAGTATCTGACAAGGCACATTAGGGCTTGAGTGTGATCCATACTTGCAACAGAGAACCAAAGACAAGTTACAGATCAAGATACTCCAATAATAACCATTTTACTATATACCTTGTTAAATTTTAAATTATGTTTCAACCATACATATAGTAAGCATAACGCCAGCAACATCATACCAGATCACACCTAAGTGTGATACTTAGTTCTATTCTGCTTAGGTAGTGTTTGTGCATGTAATACATGCAATATGTATAGGTATATAATAAATCTTGTTCTCTGTATTTAAATAAGTAGCATCATTTGTCTTTTTTTCAGTTTATATGGTTCTTACCTGAGAATAAAATTCTTTTAAATGATCTGCCATTTACTTGTCTTTCTTCAGGGACAAGAGTCTGAAATCATACAAACTTGTTCATCACTTTCATTTATCATTTTATCATTGTTCAAAGACATGTCACTTAATAGAAAATTTATCAACAAAATCAAAATTCTTACATATCATACACTTATTCATTTTCAACAAAGTACAGTTTTACTGTTTACCTTTCTTCTGTTTACCATTAAATGACCTCGATCATCAGATTCATCCAGCAGGGTATTTCGGGTAAAAACTATGAGTTGTTGTTTATACAGATTTTGCTAGTTCATGTAAATAATATTACATGCCAAACAGTAACTGTGTATTGAATAAAATAAGGCTGTCACAAAATGGTCTCCCAAATTTTTCTTGAGGGAGAAGTTACTACTGCCTACAGCCTACAAATTTACACAAGGATAAGCCTTGTATATGTCTCATATCTGGAACACAAAAATACAAAAAAAAATAAAAAAGATAAATGAAAAAATAATAGGGATTAAAAAAGAATACAAGACTGACTCTAAAAATATATAGACATTTCAATTTTATTGTAAAGATTAAAAGTTGTTAATGAAAATAGAAAATCTTACTAAAGAGAAGACGATTTCTGTGGATTCCGCATCAAGAATGAACAGCATTCCCCCTGTCAGTCCCATCACCAATAAACTTCCATCCGGACTCCATTCCATCTCTTCTATATCACTGTCTAATAATATTCAAGTAATCAACTTTACAGGACTTAACCTTTATTCAAACTAAATTTGTGAGTTGGACTAATGTTCTGGAATATAAACAACCTATTGCTAAGTTATAAGGATTTCAACTGCAATATCTCAAATGTTTTATGCTAATCACAATTTTTTTACACCAGCAATTTAATTGAAAAGAATGTTATCAAATAAATGCATGCAGCTTATAAATCAATTTGTCTTACCGAAGCTAAGCGTAGATGAGGCTTGAAGAATTAGAGTTTTCTCCACCGCCAGACTTGTTAAATCTCCAAACACACATGCTGCATTAACAGGCAGACTTGTGTTGTCCTAAAAAAACATATACAATGTACTTTATCTATTCATATACATGTTTATTTTATCTTTATCTATTCATGTTAATTATCGATTCATATTAATTTCTTTAAGTGTTTTAAAGATAATGTACAACATTATTTTGGCTACAAGATAACCACTAATTAGCCTAATTAACTACCTTGACTTAATTGTAAATTAATAATTTCAAAATTTTTGTTTAGGCCTGCACAATACAGATTTTTTTTGGCTAATTTATTTTTATAGATATAAATGGATGGAATATGTATGTTCTGTTTAAAGCTCCGTCACACTTGTAACAAGAGCATGACTCAAAAGCATTTAATTCACTCTCATGTCTTATATTCACCTATGCTATTTATAGAACGCCATCATCGACTTACCTGATTTTGGCAAGACACAGTTGCTACAGTATCAACCTGATAAAGTGCTGTCCCCGTTTCCTTTCTCGGACCAAAATTAGCTGTCTCATCTCCACCAAAGTCTGTTTCAATTATATCCCACATTTCTTAAAAAAAAAAAAATATTATGTCACAGGGCACTCATTTGGACGATTTTATTTTTTGGCTGAATATTGGCCAAATTCCTATCCTAAAATAATATAGTTTTTCCCCTTTTTGAGAAAAAAAAATCTTGAAAAAAATAAAACCAGAAGGAAAACCACAAAGTTACTCGTCGGCTGGGCATTATATCAGTGAATATTTTAATAATACACCAGGTTTTAAGTGCTGGAAATTGAGAACCGCTCAAAGCGGTGCTAAGGGGTATGAAGGATGTTGCATTTTTTGTTATCGCTTCTGTACGGACTCAATCAAACCAAGTCTGCAGTTTTCATGTTATTTTAATTGATTAATGCTTCCGAGGGATTAGTCCTTTAAATACGACGCTGTTTTGAGGTACAGTACTGGACACGCGAAACCCGCACAATTCGCGTATTCGCGGCGAACTCTCATGCTTTATAACGCGAGCGAATTCGCGGCAACGTGAGACAATCGCCGCGAATTCAACTCGCGGCGATTTTGCCGTGAACATTTGCCGCGATTCGCGGGGAATAATACATGTTCATTTGTATAATAAATGTAGATCTATTTATAAGTGTAGTCTGTGAACTTGAAACCAGATATACATGTACAAGTACGAAAATTAATTAGTAGATCTACATGAAGTTGTATCAAGAAAATCTTGTAATTTGCTAAAATGCCCTTTCTCTATTTATCTTTGATGCCAACAGCAAATATAAATAACCACGGCGAAATCAAATAACACCGTTAAAAACTTTCCGTGAATGGCGGAATCATGACCTCAATGTATAAATGCGACGCAGTACAAGTATGCGGCTCCATCTGCAGGTAAATAGTGTGAATGTACACGTGTAAAACTATTTTTAGGGGGGGGGGGGGTACATATTGAGTTTAAAGTAGAGATATAAATATAATATATGTGTAAAAAGATATTTAGTTACATAAAAAGATACATAATTGATCCGACATTAACTTGTTCATTTCTAAATGTAGTGGATCACCGGGACATTTCGTTCTCTCGGGTGATCATTACTCAATTTATAAAAAATAATACACGCAAGATTTGTCTGCTATAATTTCTGAATGGCGGATATTTGCACCCCTGTTTTAAAAATGTTAAAATATTTAATTGTTAGTTACCGAAAATTATCGCCGATTGTTGAAATTCCATAGCGCTAAAAGACACAAAAACACTCGCGCAAAAAGAAGCATCCATAAATAAAAGGAATATAATGTTTCCATTGTTAAATAATAAATACAAAATTTACACACGAAATGACCTCTGACAAATGACTGGTCGGCTCTTCTGAAGAATCCGTGAATCTTTGATGTTTACACACCTGTAGTTGTTGCCGAATCATCAAAGAAATGCCGACACTCGATTGACTTCCACCTCTTTTTTATATATCAGAAAAAACTGTCATTTCTTTTTGTCAAGGAATGATTACACATGTTTAATTATTGCTCAAGTAAAAAAAATGTTGGATATTGATTGTGTCAATTATTGACATATTATTAATCGTAAGTGCATTTTGATTGTGATATTTTATTTACATTTTAATGATCTTGAAGATATTGTGCAATACTTGTGTCTGCTATCAAAACAATAATGCATATGAAAGGATATTTTTTTCGGTCAATTTTATGACCACGCTTCTACCAGAAATGTTTTATTGCATGGGCTTATAGTATTTAATCAGTGTCGTCAGTCATAAACAAACGAACATGTACCCCAAAGCACATTAAAATTACCACATGGTAAACTAGTGACCATATAAATGCTTTACAAATATTCATTAATTTGAAAAAAAATTTTTAATCCCATTTCCACACCTTAATTTGATACGTGCTATTATTAGTTAATTCAACTTAATTGCCGCGCGCATGCAGTACTGCGTGACGTAAGGTTATTATCCTTCCCTGGTTGGTCGCTATTTATGTAAATACTTTAAATAGTAACACCCTAATTTTATGCACAGAATGCCCTCATGAATGATCACTCGTTACTTTACATATTAAATGTATGATTTAACTCCGATTTTATTTTTGTTTTCGAGGGAATTTTTTGGGTCAAATGCCCTGGCTGATTTGGCGGGAATAAAAAAAAATCTGTTTTGCATCTTGCTACTCATCACCTACTCATGCACCTGGCATTTTTTACTCGTGAAATTGAAGGTAAAGAATGTCAATTTAAGTGATAAAACTTTTACAATTTTCAACAATCATAATTAGCGTATTAGACGTAATAATTAGTTACACCTGTGAATCGGTGCTAAATGTCGCTTTGCATTGTTCTAAAAATAGAATATGTGCGAAAGTAAACAATGGATTTTAATTACATTTGTATTATTATCAAAATAACAATTGGACAATTTGTTATCGTGCGTTCTTTGATGTAGTACCAATTACCTTTTGTAATTTCAATCTCGTTTTATTGTTTACAAATTATTTATTAATACAATTATTGCTGAAGATTCGCCGTAAATTACGGCGATACATCGCGGCGATTTTTCGTGACCCGCCACGAAATTCGGCGAACTTGCACGCGGCGATGTTTTACCGCGAAGTGTCCCGTCGCGACATAGACTACACTCGCGGCATAACGCGACTTTTGCGGGTTTCGCGTGTCCAGTACTGTATTTTTCACTTCTTGGCAAAGCAGTCATATTAGAAATGCTCATAAACCCATTAAACCACAGAAGTCAGCATATAAATACATTAATTTTGAGCTGTACATGAACAAAAGTAAAACTGAAATACCTTTTAATAAAATAGCGAAACTGTCCCATACGAAAAATCAAGTTTAAATCCTTTTATTTAATTAAATTTCTTATACAGCCGATAAACAAATGGCTGTCGCACAGTGAGCGAAATCTGAATGGCTACATTAAACTGAATGCAAGCATTTAACTTTAAATAAGGCAAAAGTCTTAAACAATATAATTTTGAAACTAGAAATGTGTCATCATGCCACGGATGCCCCCGCATGCAGCCAAAATTTCAGATGTTATAATATTTAGTTCCAAATTTGTTTGCACAAATTATTGTTTTCATTTTAAGTTCAAAGCCCTTAAAACTTTTCAACGTTTACACAAACCATTTTCATACAATGTTCAAGGCACTGAAATTATTCAGTCTTAACCTTTTGAAAATAGCATATTTCATATTTGTAGCCAAAATAATGGCTACATACATTTCCACAAAAGTATGAGTGCTGAAACTGAAAGTTCAAATTTTTTCCAATATTCAAGAAAGATAAGTTTGTCCAAAATCATTGAACCATGACCAAATTCAAACTTAAACTGCTTATTCCTAAGATGTATCTATATTATTTTCAAAGTGAAAGGGACATAACTCTGACAAAAAATCATCGGACCATGACCAAATTCCAACTTGACCTGCCCATTCCTTTGACACATCCATATGTCAAATTTGAGTTGAATATGTAACACTGTTGGGTAGATAATGAACAGAAACTGTAAATTTCATATTATTTTCAAAGTGAAAGGGGCATTACTCTGCCAAAAGTCATTGAGCCATGACCAAATTCGAACTTTGCCTGGGCATTCCAAAAACATATCCATGTTGAATGTGTTGTACCGTTGGGGAGATAATGAACGGAAACTGAAAATTTCATATTATTTTCAAAGTGAAAGGGGCATTACTCTGCCAAAAATCATCGAACCATGACCAAATTCAAACTTGACCTGTATTTTCTCATGACATATCCATATGTCAAGTTTGAGTTGAATGTGTTGTACCGTTGGGGAGATAATGAACGGAAACTGAAAATTTCATATTATTTTCAAAGTAAAAGGGGCATAACTCTGCCAAAAATCATTGAACCATGACCAAATTCGAACTTGACTTGTATTTCGTCATGACATATCCATATATTAAGTTTAAGTCGAATGTGTTGTACCGTTGGGGAGATAATGAACGGAAACTGAAAATTTCATATTATTTTCAAAGTAAAAGGTGCATAACTCTGCCAAAAATCATCGAACCATGACCAAATTCGAACTTGACTTGTATTTCGTCATGACATATCCATATATTAAGTTTAAGTCGAATGTGTTGTACCGTTGGGGAGATAATGAACGGTAACTGAAAATTTCATATTATTTTCAAAGTAAAAGGTGCATAACTCTGCCAAAAATCATCGAACCATAACCAAATTCGACCTTGAACTGTATTTTCTCATGACATATTCATATGTCAAATTTGAGTTGAATGTGTTGTACTGTTGGGGAGATAATGAACAGAAACTGAAAATTTCGTATTATTTTCAAAGTAAAAGGGGCATAACTCTGCCAAAAATCATCGAACCATGACCAAATTCGAACTTGACCTGTATTTTCTCATGACATATCCATATCAAATTTGAGTTGAATATGTGCAACCGTTACTAAGATAATGAACGGAAACTGATGATGACGGAATGACAGAATGACGGAATGACGGAATGACGGAATGACGGAAGGACGGAATGACGGAAGGACGGAACAGGGTAACACTATATGCCCCGGCCATTACATGGCGGGGGCATAAAAAAATATTTTACCACGCATTGTCAGTGTGTAGGAATATATTTTTACATTCAAAAATTTGGGTTCAATCATTAACCTGTATGGCGGATAAGCACATACAGATTGTTGTACTTTAAATTGATAAATCCATTTACAGCGTCTGACATTACAAATCAGTTTCCTATTGCAGCACTGAGCAGTAAGAATTCAAAAGGCAAAACAACGTTTATTTTGTTTTCTATAGCATAAAATTTAATGTTTTTTGGTGATATTTCAACAAAAATCATGATATCTTTATCGGTTTTACTTGCTTCTGCCTCATTTTCTTCTTTAATTAATGAATAACAATAAGCGCCAGAAAGTTGAATGCATTTTAGGGTATCAAAGTTGGTCAAGAGCGTGGATTCTATTCGTTTTACTCAATCCTGAGAATATGAGAAACCCCGAGAATACAGGAAATAGGGATAACTGTAAACAGTTAAAATGATAAATTTCTGTTCTTAGATACAGGGAATGGCAATCTCCTGGATTATACCCCTATGTATATTTCAGAAGTAAAATTTGAATATAATGTACTTAATAAAATGGAATGAACAATATACATGTATATACCCCTAGTTTAGGAATCCCCATCTATTCCAGGATAAATACACCCATTGACAGTCTCTATATGAACTACATAAATAACCAAGGTAAATAGAGTGAAAAAACACGAGTTGTTTCCCTTAGGCCTAAAAAAAATACTGTTTTGTTCGGGTCTACCTAATAATATACGCCGACCCTACCGTTTTTTTCGTGTCAAAAAAAAAAAAAAAAAAAAAAAAAAATCGATGAAAATTACCGTATTATTGAGGTACGGTACGGTACAGGTTTTATCGCCGCTCTTAGTTACAAAATGGCGGATCACATCGTCAATATTTGTAAAACGGCATGTGATATTCACCAAACGGCAGAACGCCGAGACTTTAAGATTGTTACACCTAAAATATCTTTTGAAAACATAGAAGGGATGTATTTGTGCCACCCGGGAGGGATGTCAGAAATTTTCATATCTACATTTCAATATAACACAGTATACCACCATACCGGATCAGAACTGGGTACAAAGCCATGGGGGGGTTATAGAAGACGATGCTGACGTCTTGCGACCTCAACTCCAGTAAAGTAAAGTACTGGTGAATAATAAAAAAAAAAAAAAAAATCCGACCTACCATACCTATTCCTTGAGAGCATGTTACCCGAACAAAACAATTTTTTTTTTTTAGGCCTTAGCTTCGAGTAAAATCGATATCTCTAATGCAAAACAATGCAAATTTAGCCGTTTTTAAACCGCTAGTTTGGGGCTATTCAATGTTCGATTTTAAAATTTATTATACCAATGATAAGCTTGTGCTCTTAGCTTTGTCTCAGTATATATTTCAACACATTGTTTGACATTGAAGGTATTTAAATTTACGGTTAATCCTACCACAAGTCCGACCATTTTACATACGTTTTATACAGTGAGATACACAATCGGTTATCTTTACTCGCAATTCAACTGATAAGAAAAGCCTGTCGTCTGCTAGTTCGGGAACTGTCAATCCGTGTATTAAAGACCAGAGAACATTTTATTTTTGAAAATACTTAAAATATTTAATTGGCCTGAATCTTATCATGTCCTAATTTTGATAACCTAAAGGACGTTTTAATGATTATTTTCAAAGTGCGGCAAATCGTCCCTACTCTGGAGCGAAACGTCACTAAAGCGGGGCCAGTCATAATTTATGGGACGAATCGCCAGTGGGGCGAATCGTCATCAATACTTACAGCGATAATTTTTCCCAAAATGAAGAGGCTACGCCCACTTCCCAATAAATAGAGAAAACCAGGACTTATAAAGCCTTTATAAAGACATTGTCAGCTAGTACATATCAATAATATACGATTTTAATTACAGATTTACCTTCTGGATTTCAATTAAAACTCCCGCGTCCTCTGTCAAATCCGAAGGAATCCGAAAATTATTTGGAGTTCGACGGAAAAGGCCGGAGAAATACGGTTGCTTAGGTTTCGCAGTACTAAAACATTTACATTTAACTCCCGTCATATGTCGTCTGTGTATACTTAAAATATGATATATTTCTATCAATAAAACTATTAACAGTTTGTTGTAAAAGAAATGTTCCATGTAAAACACTTCCTGTAGGTTTGAATACTCCAATCAATATTTGTGTTCTATATGTGTAGAATAGAATAGAATAGAATAATTTTATTTCACCAATCAAGGGTCATACTATATGACATATATAATCACAAGCATAAAACATAAGGCATGAAACAAAATATATCAACCAACAAATTGTGTATTGTATGGTAGAAATGAAGACAATAAAGTAACTAAAGCTTAATTCGTATTATTGGAAAAACAAATAACACAGGCATAGTAATGTTAAAATAAGAAGTAAATAAATAAAACAGTATTAAAAAAAAAAAAAAAAAAAAAACCACTAATTACTCATTCGATATTCAAGTACAATAATATACATTCAATGGTCTGACAAATTTTTATTACTAATAGTACTACCTAACATAAGATTTCTTTTATTATAAATTTCGAGTAGGTATTTAGAAAAGACATTCAAGACTCTAGGGTCTTCCGAGGACATTAACCAAACAAATTTCTGCTTATTATTCAACATACAAAAGTTCTTATTTGATATTTCAATTTGTCTAAATAGTAGTTCTCTATTACTATCAAATTTTGTACAACACATGGAAAAATGAATTTCATCTTCTACAAGATTGGAAGAGCAACAGTTACAATACCTTTGATTTACTGGGATCTTTTTATATCTGCCTGTTTTTATATTCAATCTGTGTGCACTTACTCTAAACTTGGTGAAGAAAGTTCTTATATCTTTGTCCTTAATATGTCTAAAGTACACTTCTCTACAAAACCTTTGCTTAAACAAAGAGTATGTTCTAAGTTTCCCTTCAGTACCTGTGTATGTATTCTGGGCTTAATGAGGATCCATCCGACCTTTCAAGCACTCAGAGTACGGACCCGGACATGTCATCATTCATGTCTGCTAACATTTACATCTAGATTCGGGATTATTTTCATTCAATATTTCAATGTCCCATTCATGAAAGTTAAATATTCCAAAAGTATCTTTTGTGTCTTTTTAATACATTAAATTATAATTATGACAGTTTAGACATTACTTTTGCAGTATTATCCTCCAAATGAAGCAGAAACTAAGTACATGTACATTCAATGCGAGTTCAATGCGAGGGATCACTTTGTATCCAGACTTTTTGAAAGTCCACACGGCAAGCCAAACAAATGTGCAAATTATAGTTAGTGTTGGCAGATTAAAATGTTCCTAAAACATTTACAAATTAAACAATCTGAAGCTGACATTATTTTCATGTTTATGATTTTTTTAGTCAAGTCGGGTATGTAAAATATTAATAAATACATATACTTCAAGAACGTCAGTTGAAAAACAGCAATTTGAAAATTATCTCACACTTTCAAATATTGAATTTTAGACTGATACATGTATTAAAAACAATGTATTTTGAGCATACACTTTCATTTTTCCAGTTAAATTCATATAAAATGATCTATTTTACTCGAGTATTTTTCAGGGTCATTTATTTGAATGTGTGAGGAAAACTGTTTGTAGTTTTAATTTTGAATTATCTGCCTTTATCTGCGGGCCAAAAAAAATGGGAGGGGTGGGTGAGAAAATACCTACTGTCAACGGTAATCCAACAAGGCAGACATCACAAAACATGCAAACATTCAAAACAAGTAACAATACAGACATGAAAAACGCGTGAAGGAACACAGACGGGTACCGCCTTGGAACGGTCGGTAGTAGTTAAATCACCGGGGAGTTTAAACCGGTTTTGGGCGCACCAAGCCTCACTCTTAGCCCCAATATGTTCCTAAATGACACAAAAGTGTAAATAAGCCTTCGACATCAAAATAAGCCTTAAAATATACGTGTACCACCAATGTCATAACAGGAATATTTGCCAAAATGGTGAACATATATCTTTATACAACTTCCATGGTCAAATTACCATATCATTAACAAAAAACACAAAGCAGGTTAATTTAACTTGAATTATAATTTATCTTTCTTTTAATATGAAGGACACTTTAATTCAAAACAAAAGCAACTTTATGCGTGTGGGGGCTCAGTTAGTGATATATTTCCGATCCGAGTGTTCAGCACGACATCATTGTTTTGTTTCTTGTACTAGTATTTGTTTCTCCCATTTGATCTTTTTCCTTGATCTTCCTTTATTCACCATTGAATATATCACACTAAGGATTTGTTGCTTGTTTTTGTCTTTTGACGTCTTCAAGACCTGTAACCCCCTTTTCAAAATTTCATTTTATTAATCCCATTGAATTATTCTCTCGTTTATTAATATTTAAGCAAGAAATAATTTTATAAGATATGATAGTTCAAACATTCGAAGTATGTTCAAGAGTGACTACATGTACAAATAAGGTAAACTCGTTTTTGATTGGTGTCCTACTGTGCTCCTTGCCGATGGTCCTGTGTTGCTGGCTTTTAATGGGGGCTACCTATTGTGAATGTCGCATATCCTTGTTGAGCTGTGTTAAATGGAAAAAAAACACAATCAAATAGGGGAGACACATGTCAGTTATAAAAACTATAAACAGAACTTTCTAAATTGTTAAACGATAAAAAAGAATGAATGGGTCATTCTACAGTAAACATATTATTGTCTATTTATAAATTAGCACGGTTAACATGTTTTTCATCAGATACCTACATCATGTATATATAACAATAAGTTAACACATGTGCATATATGTATTGCAAATAGCAAAACGTTAGGACAGTATGAGACATTAATTTTCCCAAACTGTTAAAAATAAGTTTCTTTCTTTTAAATTACCCATACGTATCCCTTTTTTATTTTCCCCTTTAAAGGGATTCAAAAAAATTTAGAGTTTTAATTGTTTTGCTTTCCTGGGGAAAAATACTTTTTTCGGAAAGGGAGATGTATATATAGTTAAAAAAAAATTCCCAGATTTTAACTATTATTTAAAATTCACGAACCGATTATTTAGTTTGGGCCCCCCGTGGCCCAGAAATGATAATCATTTATTTGGCCCAAATAAACACGACACGGGACCCCAAAAGAAAAAAATTTACGTCATATTTTACGTCATCAAAACAGCTAGCTTTAAAAGTGAAAGTAGGTTTTAAGCACGAATCGCTTGATTTGATTATGAGAACCCTAAGCTTAATTTGTACAAACACAGTTTTATTGCAATTGGAACGATAAAAATACGACATATTTCATTTTGATAAAATAAAACGTTTTTCTTGATTATACACATAGAAGGGAAACAACTCTTTAGAAGTTACTGTACCGTGGAAATCTACAGAGATAGGAATTGCAACGAAAGATAAATCAAAATTATCATGTGTAAAAGACATTCATACACGTCATAGACGGGCCGGATAGTAATAATCGGTCCTGAAATGAATAATGCCCTCGGGGCCATTGTTCATTTTGCGGGCCGATTATCACCTTCCGGCCCTACTCTGCCGTGTATTAATCTCTTATTCATTGAATACCGCCTAAGCTTGTGATAGGGATTTGAGAGATGTTGCACTTTTACATAGTATCTCATAAACAGAGTCGATCATATCTAGTCTGCATTTTTCTTATAATATTTTTGTTCATATTGCTTCTGAGGTATCATCCATTTAATGTCTCAGGTATTTTACATAGATATGAAAATATACACTAAAAGTTCCTCTTAAAACACAAAATGTATCCATTCTGATAAAACGGCGATGAAAGAAAACAGCAAAATAAGGTGTAAATAAATAATTTAAATGCTTTTACACATTGGAAAATGAGGCATAAGAAAGGATTGTCGTTTTGACTGTTATTTAGGGATTCTTTATTTCTCTCTATTGTGTCAGATTTTGTTGGAGGCTCAGGCCAGTGAACATCGCTTTTCCTTTTCGATTACAGTTCACGTATCTAATTTTTTAGAAAATATGTTGTCTGACGTGCGTTTCATGACAAGTCTCCTGTCCAACTTAGCAATCACTATGAACTTGTTATTTGGAAGGTTAAGGGGTTAAGTAAAGTTCCTTTCTATTCCTGAAACTGAAAATTATCCCATCATTATAATGATGACAATCCTCTTTTGAATTTTAACAAGCTTTTTATTGGATATTCCAGAGGCATAAATAATAGAGATAGGCAACTTCCTAGCAAGTTAAGTTATCGCATGTGTTTGCTAAACTTACAATTAAGTTGTAGCAAGTAAAACTTATTAACCAGTTATCAAAATGCAGTAAAATAATACATTTTCTGAAAGCTTATACATTTGTCTATGGCCGTAGTTTATAACATTTACAGTTACTATTCAAATGAAAACATTATTTTTTAAGAGAACTACTTGTTAACTTTTGTTAGGTAACTATGCATATGACCATAAACTGGCTCAGAGTACGTTATTTTAAACAAAAGTCATATGAATTTATAAATTTACCAATATTTTAACACGCAGCAATAGATAATTTGTATGCTTCAAATGGTGTATACAATAAAGGATCAAATCTATTGCTAGAACATGACAAATTGTTCACTTTTTGTTAGGCGTGTGTGATATTTCAGTGGTGTAACAGTATATTATAGGGGAGCTGTTTATGTCTGTTATCTACATCTCTCGTATTCAGATTTTGATATTAGTATAACTAAATGAATTATATAGAAGGTCTTTCAAATGTATGTATTAATAATTATGTGACATACATGTATGAGATGCACTCTTCAGAAGGTCTATTTAGTACTTTGAAACCTGTCGGATATTTACAGTATGGTGAGGTGATTAAGTTTTAAAGATGGCAGCCTGCATGGGTTATTGGCAAAGACGCTTCTTCTTTTTCTTATCTTCAACTAGACATCGATCAAAATGTCATATTTACAGAAGATATTTGAACACCCGAACTCGTCGATCAATCGAAATTGATATCAGCCCCCAAAACAAGTAAGTATTAGACATATTTGTTTTGTAACATGTTTTCGCGATTTAGTGAACTCGTCCCGTGGTCAACTCGTCCCGTCTTTTTGGTCAACTTGTCCCGTGGTCACCGCGTTCCATGGTCAATTCGTCCCCTATCTCGTCCCCTATTTTTATTTAAATGGTATTAGGCAAAGCCTTTGAACGGGAAAATCGTAAAAAATGTTTCTTTCATTTTTCTGTTCTAAGACTTAAGGTGTCATGAACACTCGACGATTATTAATATGAAATTAGGCAAAGCCTATGAACGGGGAAGTCGTTAAAAATTCCTTTCATTCTTTCCGTTTTAAAGGTGTCATTGGGTATAACATGCACCGCTTCTGTTTTCAATCGGAACACTCGACGATTATTATTTATCAGAAAAGTTGAGATTTGTTCCCTTATCGGAATACCCCGCCTATTATCATTGAGTTACATTGTAAATGGCGGCGCCCGACTAGAAACTGACACTGAAAATTTCATTGATAGGTATAGAATTCTATATATTTTTTAATTGTTTTTTATTTGATTTTCTTTTAAATATACACATGTAGTCTATAGCCGGGCAAGCCAAAGCCCGGACCCGGGAGGTCTTTGACTTCCCCGTAATAATCTGAAAAGTTGAGATTTGTTCTGTTATCGGAATACCCTGTCTATTATCATTGAGTTACATTGTAAATGTTGGCGGCCAACTAAAACTGACACTGAAAATATCATTGATAGGTATAGAATTCTATATATTTTTTAATTGTTTTTTATTTCATTTTCTTTTAAATATACAGGTGTATTCTATAGCCTGGCAAGCCAAAGCCCAGGCCCGATTTGTAGGCCCGTCTTTGACTTCCACGTATTAATATTTGATACATTATCAGAGAGTTTAAGATATATCATCGGGTGTCCTAAATTTGCCCTGTCCTAGAGTCAACACCCTTACTGTGTAATGTCAGAAAGTCTCAGCAAATGTCAGTAATAATAAAGAAAACAGTTATATATTTTTATACATTAAAGTAAATTTAATGTATCTGCAAAATTTCTTTATCATAGAACGCTTAGATCATAAGGAAATATAGTGTATCAAACTAGCACTGTAAAATGCTTAGGGTAACGAATCATGACCACCCGAGGATATCTTTAGAAATCCTTGCAAGAGAATTATTGAAATTGACACTGGGATACATTTTTACCTTTTCGTGTGCTACATAGATACCTATATTACAAGTAATATGGTTTAAGTTGAGGTTTATCTTTTCGCAATCATAATCATATGCATTATCTGACAACTTGGTTATTTTATCAACTTGCATACAAAAAACTTGATCACATGTCAATAGCATTTATTGTTTAAAACAGAACATATCTTTATACTTTATACTTAAAGCTGCATGCCTCCAGATGAGCCAAAATATTTCAAGAAAATCAATATTGAGAAAAATGCACTAAACTTTTAAGAAAGATAAAAACATTCAAGATCCAAGTTATATTTTACATGTTATGTGCGGTTTAAGACTGATTTTGCAGTATTTTATCACCATATTTCTACTGCGTTACTAACGCAGTAAGGGCTGTTTTTGCATATCTTGACCACTTTTTGTTAATTTTCGTGGATTGTAAGTGCCGATTGCAATATGTTAATTACTTTATTTGTTCACCTCACAATATTTTACTTTTAAATACATTTCCAAAATGTTCATGAAAATTAACATGAATCTGGAGGCGTGCTGCTTTAAATAATGCTTGTCTTTAATTTGAAATTCAACAATTCATGTGAAAACTATGCCAAAATTATTATAAAATCACGGACTGTAATTACCGTAATTCAAGTATGTGATAGAATATAATATTAAATTCAATATGTTTACTAGTATTATATATAAAACAACAACAACAAAAATCTGGAACTCTTTAATTATAACTCCATCTTGACTAATTAATTGAGTTATTGCCCTTTGTTACTTTTCCTTGTCTGGAGCATAACTTGAAAACTACTGGTTGGAATTCAAAACAACTTCATACAATTGTCAAGCACAATAAGGGGAAGTGCAATGTACAAAAACCATAACTCTATCTAAATTAATTACAGAGTTATTGCCCTTTGTTACTTTTCCATTGCTTTTTTTGTCCGTAGCATAACTTGAAGACTAATAGTTGGAATTCAGTTCAACTTCATACAATGATCAAGCACATTGAGAGAAAGTGCAGTGCACAAGAACCATAACTCAATCTTGACTAATTACAGAGTTATTGCCCTTTGTTACTTTTCCTTGATAAACTTGAAAAATTTAACGCTAAATTGTTATCCTGAAAATTTTATGCTTAGACTAGGTCTAGGGACCTACTCACATGGTTAAGATATTTGACCGGATTTTGAAATTCCAAAGATGGATTCTTTGATATTTTAATATCCCTTTGGCCAGTGGGATATTTATCCCTCGGGTCAGAATCTTGCTTCTATGTTAAAACCAGAAACAGGCCTGCCTGTGGTGAAACTTTGATTTAGGTGTTCAGGATTCCTGGGATTCTAGCCAAGAATTTCAGAAGGCACATTGCAAAGAAAACTTATTGGGCAATACCCTTGGCTAAGAATGTTGTGAACTTATACTGGTTGGGGACAATCATCTGGACACTTTTTGAACATTTTTACATGCAGATTTCTTAATTTTAAAGCTAGCGATATCAATATATGAGACAGTACAGCTAGGTTCTTCTCTTGACGTTGATTTAATCAAGATAAAAGATGGGGTGTTTTAATCTTTTTAGCATGATCAGGCCTCGACAAATCAACTTGCCTTCTAGCATTTGCTAGTGAAAGTTTGGGTCGGGTAAGAAAAAGGTTGATGAAACTCTCCTGGCAGGGAGAGAAAGGTTCTTCCGATCCAAATGATGTTTCTTTAAACATTAATAAATCAAGTTATTCGGTAAAAGCATCAAACTGCAGACATCATTTCAATCGTAAAACTGTCAAACGAAAACTGGAAATTGACCTTATGACTAAGTATAAAACTTTATCGAACGTGTAAGATGAATCGATTTGATGACAGCAGCATTTGACAATGTTTTATACATACGCGTTTGGTAATGTTTTATACTGAGCCATGTGGTTGATTTATTAGCAGAGTGTATTAAAATTTGAATGAAATAAGTAATCGGGCTATGTCGAAAATCATATATTAAAAGAATGAAAAGTATTATAAACAATATGTTATTGTAGCCGATTATACCGATATAGACCGGTAAATAGTAAATTTTAGTCTTTTTGATTTAAACAATTTTTTTCTGTCAAAATGCAGGACAAGTACATTTTATTAAGGGCAAGGAAATTTGTATGGTCACTTGCCCTGCAGGGGATAAATCGCCCTGCATGTCGAGTGACACTAGAAAAAGTCATCAAGGCCTGATGATATACAATATTAATTTCAGCAGCAAATGCTGAAGTTTTTGACATTCTATAATAGTGGGGTGTGAAAGATGGTCTCTGCTGTGAAAATAGTGCAATTGGTGATACAAGCATGAAACTTTCAGGGAAACTTTCAAAAAATCATCTTTAGACCATGCAGATTCAAAAAGTGAAGTGGGCCCAAAAATTTTCAAGATGGCCGCCATATAAATTTGACGTCGTGTACATAATAGCTCATTCAGTTATTTTTTTGTACAGACCTGAAACTTGCTCTGTGTACAATGTACTTTATAATGGTTGCTTATTCTGACTAAATGTAAAGCCAGATAAATGTGTCTTTTTACATGTCTTGTTCATTTTTAGGATGCTTATTGAAATTGGGAGCATGGCAAGATTTGCAGATGGCTCCGTTGTAGCTAAGGTAATTGATACATTTTACCTATTAACATTATCTTAAAGCTTGATATAACATTTTACTTGTATGGACTTGAGCGATTTTAGGCTGGCTAATTGAAAGAAGCAAACAAACAGTATTTTATATAAGGCCTAAGTATATGATTGTACAGATTCTTTTTGAAGAACATATTTTACCTAGAAGTATAAATGCCAGTTTTCAATATGTTGTCACTGTCTCTAAATCATGACAACTTATTTCACATTTCAGAGTTAATTACTTACATTAATTACAATAACAACAAAATTTTAATAACATAAAGTAATAAAGATTGCTAATTTGCTTGAGTAGTAAGGCTCCCACGTTTACGATTTTATGTAAACGTTTACACGATTGCTAAGAACCGAAACGATACCGTTTAAACGGTGGTACTTCTATGTGCTATACTACACCATGTATTCAAGTCGCCAAATGATGACTTACTTTTATTTTTAACACAAGTACAAATAATAATGTTCAGGGCTCATCACGATTAAGTCGGCACATATTTTTTGCATTGTATTCTCATTTCGCTCTTTTGAAAGATCAAAGGAAAATCAACTTGACCAAAAATGTCACGAGCGATTATTGCACGGTAATGCTGTGTGGAGGGTTGTAAGTACCTATTTTCCGTATTTTACTTTGGAATAAATCAATTACAATTTATAGAATTTATGATTACAGGCAATGATTAAGATGTTTTGTAAGACGATATGGTCATTTTGATTAAACGGTAAAAAAATCATAAACATTTACGACTGAAAATCGAAACGAATCCGTTTAAACGTGTAACCGTGGGGGCCTTATTGAGTAGGAAAATAAAATATCCCTGATAGACTTATTTGATATGTTACGCTATAGTTATTAAGATTACAAGTTTTAATAGACAGTATATCAAATTCTGTATTAATGCAATTTTTTCAGTGTGGTGATACTGCTGTACTTGTGGCTGTAACCAGCAAATCAGACACCAATTCCAGTGCACAGTTTTTACCTCTAACAGTGGGTATTTTATTAAATCCTTTGTCATCAACATAGTGTCATTCTAGTGGGCACTGAAATCCAGGTTGACTCACTGCACTCTGAAAGTAGTCCGTCATCCCTGTAACTGTTAATGAACGTTTCAGATTTGTAGCAGGACAGTATTCATATGTTATATAAATATAATCCTTGGTGTAGAGTCAGAGCTCCATAAAGTATAATCAGTTATGTGTAAAACAGCAATTACACTGTTATTTATGCATTAGATACGCTTTACAATTTCATTCATCTGTAGGAACATTGCTCAATTTTAAATTCACGCTTTTCATATACATGCAACTCTTAATATGAGGCTCTTGAAGGCACTTTGCCAGTATAAAATTCCAGATACATGACTATTGTATTTTAATTTGACACTAAACAAGGCCTAAACAGTTATTAAGGACAGTTCTATTTCGTACTTTAGGTAGATTACAGGCAGAAATATGCAGCTGCTGGACGTATACCCACTAACCATTTACGACGTGAACTAGGGCCGTCGGACAAAGAAATATTGACAAGCAGAGTAATAGGTAAAACTTTTGTTTGTTTTTGTTTGTTGCTTGGTGTCTTCAAGTTAATATCAGTAATGTTGGGGATAAAGAAATTCTTGTGAGGTGGTTTGTAGGTGTGAGATGGTATATTGTATGTTTTCTTACTTTTCAATCAAGCAGTTCAAATCCTTTTTAAGATAAAAGAAATAAATTTGCTCTTCATTACTGGATAAGAAACCCTTAAAAATGTCTAGTTAAAACAGCTTAATAAATTGAAGAAACTTGCTTTGTTTAAAATCTTGAAAATATACAAATATTTTAGTCTTTTTTGAGTGAGAGAAAAATATTTTGAAATTATGCCCTTTTTTTCGACTAAAACCTACTTATCATCCTATACCCTTTGAGATAATGCTTTGAAAGTTTAAGTACCTATTAGTGACCGTCAACCTCACTTTCTGGCAAGCACACTATTTTACGACCAGCTATTGTTTAGATGAAAGAAATTACTTTGTTCCTCCTGTGAAATATGGTCATGATCTAAATAAGGGATAAATCTGTAATTAGTCTGTTACATATTTGTTTTAGCTTGATTGTGATGAAACTAATAAAAGTTGTTTTTTTCGTCTGTTTCAGATAGATCTTTAAGGACACGCTTTCCTAGTGATTATTTTTTTGAGACTCAGGTAATTGATTAACATCAGAGACTGAAACTGAAATTTCTGATTTTTTCCATAGAGCTTTTATTAGCTTGGCAATTCCAAAAACAGGGAGAGCTGTTGATCTCAATCCTCGTTGCCGTTACACTTTGGTTTTAAGATTTTGCAAGTTTTGTGAGTGACTGTTTAACTACTGAAGGGAATGGACAATTGTTCTCTGCGATTATCATTATCTAATATGATGGGCACAGGCTTCTTAACTCTCTAACATAAAAGGCACAGGCTTCGTAGCTCTCAGTTACGTTTTTACAGAGTTATGTCTCTTTTCTCCCTGTCAAGAACTGAGAATAGTCAAGCACAATGTCTTAGTACAGCTCTTGTTAACTAATATCCTAGTTAGTTAGTGTGTAGGTATTTGACATAACCCTTGTTTGGTCAAGATTCTAAAATGGTCTATATAACTAAAGATTAACATATAATTATTTTCTTTACCTCATAATTATTCAATGTTTATGAGGAGCATTTAAGCAACTAAAAGGGGCATCAATCTCTGTCAGAAATATTCATGTATTATGTGAGGAAACTAAATAGTGTTAAGTATGTGTTTTAACTTTGGTTTCATTTTATATCAATAATGATGTACTTAAGGGCCTGCAGCACCAGCCTGCAATATTTGAAAGATTGAACTTTTCTGTTAGTCTTGTACATTGAGTCAGTGACCTTGTGACCTAAATCTTATTCAATGAAAGAAAGAATGTGAGGTTTATTAGTATTGGTGTTGTATCAAGTATTATTTATTTCACAAATATATTATGCAATATTTTTCAGATCACTTGTAACATGTTATCAATTGATGGGGTCAATGACCCAGATATCGCAAGTATTAATGCTGGTAAGTGTTTTAGCCGTAATAGTATATATATTGTTTTAAGAGATGAGTTTTATTTTTGTTCATTTTATTCAGTTTTTAATTAATATCTTTTCAAAAAAGCTTTTTTTTTTGTCTTTCAAAGAAATTATTGCTACTGTTTGGGCATTAGTTTTTCTCTGTGGGCAATTCCTCTTACATCTCTAAAGGGATTTCTAAGTACCTTGTCAGATATTTTCACAGTTTGGTGATTTGAAAATTTTTGCAGAATCATGGCACTTTTTTTTTTTTTTTTTTGTTTTTTTTTACATATGTGATTTTTTAGAGAAATACTTCTCTGATTCTACAACTCTTTATATAAGAGATTTCAACCAAACTTTCATTGAACATTAGGGACATAATTGTAGGTTATTTTTATGATTCATTTTTGTCAGAAAATCCAGTTTTGTTATGATTCCTGTCACTATCTAATTGTGTTATTTACAGCTTCTGCAGCACTTTGTATTTCTGATATACCTTGGAATGGACCAGTGGGAGCAGTAAGGGTTGGTCTTTTAAAGGGAAAACTTGGTAATGGTCGTTTTGTCATTAATCCTTCACGGAAGGAACAAAGTGAAAGTGATCTTAATTTAGTTATTGCAACAGATGTAGACGACAATGTAGGTAAGTTGCTCTAACAAGATGAATGTTTGTTTTGTTCTTTTATGAAGAAATCTCATTATTTTCTCTAAAAAAAGATGCTTGCTGTATTATTACAAATTGGTTTTAAATATTTCTGACGGTTATATGGCCGTATATAAACGGTTGTAACCATTGTTTGCAATATAACCCGTGACCACTTCCAAGCAACATGCACTTGAAATCTTATGAATGTGACACATCCTACATTACAAAATGGATTTCCTTAAACTTAGGTTAAGGATTTGTTTTAGCATGACTGTGATAATGCATCTTTAGACAAAAAACTACAATTTCTCCCCTCTATACAGCAATTATGGGTTATTGGCCAATCTGGCCAGGTGACCGCTGAAAATGGGTGATCTTTAGTACAAGTTCGACTGTAAATACTACTCGCATCACAAAAATACAGTCAGAATCTACATATTGACAGCTTGGTAGTGGGTTGAGTTGATTCATGCTGAGTTAGCTAAAGGTTGAGTGGACCTTTTACCCTGACAGAGTGGCTTGTTGGGGTGTCTTATCCAGGACAATGGCAGTTCTAGTTTTACCTTTATCGCAACATTATTAATATACAGTGATACATATACCTGTATTAACAAAGTACTTCCCATAGTAAAAGGTATAGCAATGTTATCACTTAGATTTGTGGGGCTGAATTTTCACTATTGCAGTTCATTGTATATAATAATAATGTTTTGATGTTGTTTTTTATTGTGATATTTCAGTAATGTTAGAAGGGGAAGCAAACAATATACCATATCGGGAATTTACAGATGCTGTCCATTATGGTGCACAACATGCAACACATATTGCAAAACAATTTCAGAAGTTTCTAAATGGAAATGTATATAAGAGAAAATATTTTCAACCAAGTCAATTGCCAGAGGAAATGTTTAAAGATATTGAATTGTAAGGATTTTTTCTGTTTGTTTCTATCTTTTTCAAATTTTTTCTAGTTAAATATGAATTAAGTATTTGCCTTAGTGTAATGCTGTAGAAATATTTAAGTGAAGTTGGCATATGCCAGATTTGTTACGTGCCCATTCAAGGGTATATAGTGAGTAAACAGGTGAAAGTCAAAAGAAGTTTGCATTTCTCACATGAACGATAAATTAATTTATTACATGGCCAATAAAATTTCTGTTAATACCCATCAGATTTACCTGTAACATTCGATTTATAAAAAAGAGTGGGGCAATCTTTTTATATTTCAGAGAGATTTGTATTCTATCCTAACATTTTTCAATATCAACTGTCAGTCAATGAAAATATGAGCATAATGTGTCACTTTAAGTGACAGATAGGTTGAATTGGAGCTTTTGCATATGTCTTTACTATATTTAGATGTCTTAACACCTAACTGAAACAAAATAATAATTTTGATAGCAGAGAAACTTTTGTCTGTTTGCCCCATGACATTTGTTTACGGAACATTGGTTAACCACCATATTTGTTTACAGAACATTAGGTCACCAATTCTGGTCATGCCCATGACTGAAAAGGTATTTGCTAATTTTTCATTATCTGTCAATATTTGAGTGATAGATTAAACATAATTTATGTTTCCGATTCTTATGTTACATAATGTTCTTTTGAACCTTTGTTACTATTTCCATTATGCTTAAAGAATTTTTTTTTGTGTAACATTGTGGTAACATTTTGTCACAATTCCTGCAAGCATATCAGGAAATGAACCATTGGAATCAGAAAATATTTGCCTAGAACATGGTATTTGTTTATTATTCAGTATTAAAGAAAAATATAAGGAATTAATAGAAAATATATTTTAAATCATGGGCGTGACCATTTGCAGTGCCCCAATATTACCGTAAGCAGTGCTCACATAATCACCCACCCAGTTGGCCAATTGTTAGTTTGAGTTAGATTTGTAGAAAACTTCAAAATTGTGAGCGACTTGGGGCCATCTTGACTATCTTACTTTTTTAATAACTTTATTTATAATTCCAGGAAAGCATCTGAAAGTATTAATGAAATTTTAAATACAGCTAGCCATGATAAAGTAAGTATTATTTTTCATTATTGCCATTAATTCCTGTCATCTTTTATGCCAAATTATGGTGAAAATTAGATTCAAAAGGGTCTATTTTTAAGACAGAAAATACACAACAGATAGGCATAAAATGATTTTGATGAAAAAAAATCAAAATTTATTTGAATGACTTTCCTTTATTGTAAGTGATGTGCTGTTAAAGACACATTATGCCTCAGAAACAAATGAATATCGTTTTCTTAAGGAAGGGAAAATATGAGTTTTATTATGTTTATTGAATTGATTAAGAACATGTAAGCAGCATATCACATGAAGAAAGTAGCACCCTATATGAAATTATTTGTCATAAAAAGTAGCAAAATTTATCAATGTTAACAAAGTAGTATTTTTGACTAAATGTTCTATTTGCTGAAATGCAACAGGAGCAATAGATAGTTTGGATAATTGGTCAAAGAGTAACCTTTCGGAAACTAACAAGAGGACAAAAATAATAAGGTTTTGAGAAATATAAAAGACCACATCTGAGGCATAATGTACCTTTTAAAATATGCATTGTCTCAATCATGATATTAAAAATGTTAACTGGCTCAATATATTGTCTGCTGTAAGGATTTTGATGCATAAACAGTCTGAACCATACAAATCAGTATAAATCTGAAGCTGATATTTTGATTAATTAAACTTATAAGGACATAAGATAAACTAGAAATGTGTCGTCACACCACAGATTCCTCCGCATGCAGCCAAAATTTCAAATGTTATAACAATATTTAAATTCAAATTTGTTTGCACAAACTATTTTTTACAGTCTAAGTTTAAAGCCCTTAAACTATTCAATGTTAACACAAACCATAAAACTTTTCAGTGTTAACCTAATTGAATATTGCATATTTGTAGCCGAGATAATGACTACATATATTTCCACAAAAGTATGAGTGCCGAAACTGAAAGTTTCAAATTTTTCCCTAAGTTCAAAAGATAACTTTGTCCAAATTTGCATATTTGTGTTGTTGGTTTTGTACCTCACATAGCCCAATACTTACTAAATAACCAGCAAGGCTGACAGTTGACACCACTTTTTTTACCCTGTTTTTTGTATGCAAAACTTGGATAATCTAATAGACCAATGGCCTTAAGTTTTCCAAATTAGTAAACACAACTTACTATGATTTTAAAACTTTGGATAAAAATCACAATTGCAATGAAGTGAGGCACGTACAGTAATCATTATGCTTCTTTTGTGATTTCAGATATCAAGGGATAGAAGCTTGCAAAATACAAGATTTAAAGTAATAGAAAACCTATCAAGTACGTATCACATTTATATCACTAATCTTTCAAATTTCTGGCAAACTGGGTAGAAAGAATGGGAGGGGAGAAATGTCCTAACACCAGGTATATCCACTTTCCCCTTTTTCAACTAAGATTTTTTTGCCGTGGTGTTAAACACCATTTCTTGAATATCTTCAAATTTGGAATACTTATACACTATCAAAATTGGAATGCATTGTTTAAGAAATAATCCTGAAAGTAGTAATTTCCCTTTTTTGAAATAATATATATATCTTGAAAATGGTTTATTAGATTTGTTGGTTGTTGTTACAGTAAAGCTTTTAAGAAAAAGAATGTTTATGCTGTCTGTCCATTTGCTCCAAAATAAAACTCATTTACTACTTCATTGATATTTTTAGCTCACCTGTCACTTAGTGACAGGATGAGCTTTTGTGATCGCTTTTCGTCCGGCGTCCGGGCGTCCGTCCGTAAACTTTACTTTAAATGACATCTCCTCATAAACCGCCAATTTCATCCAAACTTCACAGGAATGTTCCTTTGGTGGTCACCTTCTTTTAAAGAACTCAGAGAGCTAGAGCTAAGATATTTAGCATGAAACATGTTCTAATGGGTGTCTACCAAGTTTATTCAAATAAAAGCCCTTGGGTTAAAATTGGCCCTGCCCCGGGGGTCATTGATTTTCCTTATATGTGTATAGCAAAAACTTAAAAAAATCTTCTTTGAAAAAACCCAAATAGCTAGAGTTTAAATATTAAGCATGAAACATCTTCTAGTGAGTGTCTACAAAGTTTGTTCAAATAAAAGCCCTGGGGTCAAAATTGGCCCTGCCCCGGGAGTCATTGATTTTCCTTATATTTGTTATAATAGCAAAAACTTAAAAATCTTCTTTGAAAAAAACCAAATAGCTAGAGTTTAGATATTAAGCATGAAACATCTTCTAGTAAGTGTCTACAAAGTTTGTTCAAATAAAAGCCCTAGGGTCAAAACTGGCCCCGCCATAGGGGTCTCATTGTTTTTTACGATATGTGTATAGCAAAAACTTTAAAAAATCTTCTTTTAAAAAACCCAATGAGCTAGAGCTTAGATGTTTAGCATGAAACATCTTCTTATGGGGGTCTACCAAGTTTGTTCAAATAAAAGCCCTTGGGTTAAAATTGGCCCTGCCGGAGGGGGAAGGGGGGGGGGGCCTTTATACAGGTGAGCGACCTCAGGGCCATCATGGCCCTCTTGTTTTGATTTGTACAGGATTAAAATTTTGATAACTTCCTGTATTTAAATAATGGAAATACTGCACTCCACAATGTATACAAAAACGATGTTTGTTTTGTTTTTACAGATAAGTATCAGAGCAAAGAAGAGGTTCAAGAATTGCATTTAGTTTACAATGCTGTCGTTAAAAAATTGATTAGAGAACAGATTATATTTCAAGGTGTTAGGTGAGTTAGACTATACTGTTTTAATGGCCCCTTGATTTATTGTTCTGGAACTGTTTTGTCTGACCATCAGTCTGTCAGATTGTACTAGCAGTTAGATATATCTTAAGTTAATATACGTGGGGGCGTCCATGGCCGAGTGGTTAAGGTCGTTGACTTCAAATCACTTGCCCCTCACCGTTGTGGGTTCGAATCCCGACAGGGACTTTGAATTCTTTCATGTGAGGAAGCTGAAATAATGCATGGAAGGGCACCTGAGGTCTTCCTCCACCAGTAAAGCTGGAACATCGCGATATGACCTATACTGTATCAATGTGACGTACAACCCAAAACAAACAAACAAAGTTAATATACTTGTTCGTTAGGATTCATAATATGCTTGCAAACCAATACTATGCCAGCAATATTAGAAAATTTAATAATTTAAAGACGTTTTCAGGAGTTTTCATATAGACATATAGGCAAAATAAAAAGTTTTCAGTAGAATTTCTTTAAACTTGGCATGTTATAAGAACATTTTAAACGGAAAAAAATTTGGGGTCAGCGTTCTCATTTTCAAGTTATCTGCCTTTGAATTGGACTTATTTTTAAAATTAAAGGGGAAAGATCTGTTATCTTTATTCTAAAAAAACAGGGCCAAAATTTTAAAAGAAATTTTTATAAAACATTTTTAAATTTTTTGACCACCCCGGGGAGAGGGGTTAGAGTCGATGTTTCTAACCCTTTTTAACCTCTTTTGGTGTGGGTTCGATCCCTGGGAGATGATTTGGTAGTTTAGCACGGAGGAAGGTAGTCAAGTACTGGTGTAACTCTCCAGGAACGATGGTTAGGAAACTACCTGCCTATATGACTGAAATACTGTTTGTAATAGGCGTAAAATGAAACAAACAAGCCTATATGTCTGTATAAAAACTCTCAAAAATGTCCTTAACTATTGTGACACCCCCCAATTATTCCCAGTCACTTTCTGTTACATTACTTTACTTTTTTTTTTTGCAGATGTGATGGACGTTTAAAAGAAAATTTGAGAAATATAAGCTGTGAAGTAGACCTATACCCTCCTCTTCATGGCTCCGCCCTCTTTCAGAGAGGTCAAACTCAGGTCCTGAGTACTGTAGCCTTTGATTCAAAGTACAGAGGTTTCAAAAGTGATCCTATATCAGTACTGACAGGGTAAATACTTAACATATTTGTACTTTCTGAATATCTGTTATTATATTGATTATTCTTTTCCATTATTTTGAACTAAGCATGTAATTTTAATTAGTTTTTCATCCATCAGTTATTTTTTACTACCATCATTGTAAATTTTTTCATTTTCAGAAGTAATATTAAGTTGATCTTTTCTCTCTCTTTTTTTTTTTAGAGATACGAAAGAAAAGAACTTTATGCTACATTATGAGGTAAGCTTTTTCTTCCCTTTCTGTTCATCATAAGGAGAATTTCCTTAGCTATTTGATTATTTCTTTTTAAAAGAGATTATTTACACAGCACTTAGGTTGAACTTGCAAATATTTTACTGCCGGAAGGCTTAGATCTGTTCATTGTTTTGGACTGATTAAGAGGTCACTATAAAGATATGAGGTCTTAAGTACTGCATGCTATTTCACATGCACTACTCAAAATTTGCTAAGGATCACATTTTATAACTTATATGTTTTGTGTTCTAAGGATAGTACATAAACAAAAGGTTTTTGTACCAGAAATGTTAGTATTATTGATTTGTTGTAAAATTGACCATAGAAGTGTTTATTGATGTGTTGTTGTGGTTTGTTTGTTTGTTTGTTTGATTGGATTTTACGTTGCACTGACACAGTATAGGTCATATGGCGGCTTTCCAGCTTTACTGGTGGAGGAAGACCTCATGTGCCCTTCTGTGCATTATTTCAGGGAGTAATTGTGGTAAAAATAACTTGAGTGATGAAATTCAACATTTTAAGAAGACATCCTTTAGTTATGGATGTATGAAATATCCAACATTTCAGATTTTTAGCTACTTTAATAGCATGTATAATGGCCATGGGCATTAACTACAGCCTGACATAGCCACTACAGGCTGCTGATAAGCCTTTTGAGTTAATAGTGCAGGATTTGATCCAAAACCTCTATGAGAGACTGTCTGAGCTTGTGAACAGATAATGGTTGGACTAAGGGGAAACAAGCTGTTAGATTAAGGTCAGGTGATCATGTTGGCCAATCCATTCAGGCA